GTCCGGTGGTGGAAAGCACTGCTTCCGGGTCGGGAGGCAGGGGGAGGGATCTGTGAAGCAGCTCCCCTGTCCTCCCGCGCGATGCTGTGTGGAGCATTGCCATGGTAACACGCGGCAACGCTCCACACAGCTTGCTTGCGAGAGGACAGGGGAGCTGCTTTACAGATCCCTCCCCCTGCCTCCCGACACGGAAGCAGAGTAGGCGCCTGCCGTTTTGGGCAGGCAGGTGCCTTCTGCATTGATGGCGAACCTATGGCCGTGTGCCCATAGAGAGGGCCCGGCGTGCCACCTGTGGCATGCGTGCCATAGGTTCGCCATCACTGTCATAGATTGTATGTTAAACTCTGAAGTTCACTTTAAGTAGAGCCACATCGTGATTCTTCTCGCGGTATTATATAGCTTATTACATGTTTTACATCTTGTTTTTGCATATGTGTTTTAACATGTGATATTACTTGTTAATTCATTTAATTGGGATTGGGGCTATTTAACCCCTTAAGGACCAAACTTCTGGAATAAAAGGGAATCATGACATGTCACACATGTGTCCTTAAGGGGTTAAACACTTGTGTTATGCTGTATCCTTTATGCATGATTATGGCTCTGCTGAGCCGAAACGTTGCACTCAATTTCTTGTGAGGTGGTGAACCCACGAATAAACGTACCTTCATTATCAGAGACAGCATGATTTCAGACACAGGTTGTATTGATAGACAGCATTTATTGATAGAGAGCAGGTACTGAGAGATTGAAGAGTATCTACTGTAAATAATGCCTCTGGCAAACAGAGAAAGACCCCCCCCCTCCCTCTTAGCCCCTGTTCAAACATCTGACACCAATCTTTTAAATAACTTTATCATAAAATCAGCTGAAAAATACAAACTGTATGTGACTTGTGTGCGATGAAGGTGGTGGCTGTATGTGATGTGTGCGCGATGCGTGTGGTGTCTGTATGCGATGTGTGTGCGATGAAGGTGGTGGCTGTATGTGATGTATGTGCGATGAAGGTGGTGGCTGTATGTGATGTGTGTGCGATGAAGGTGGTGGCTGTATGTGATGTGTGTGCGATGAAGGTGGTGGCTGTATGTGATGTATGTGCGATGAAGGTGGTGGCTGTATGTGATGTGTGTGCGATGAAGGTGGTGGCTGTATGTGATTTGTGTGCGATGTGTGTGGTGGCTGTATGTGATGTGTGTGTGATGTGTGTGGTGACTGTATGTGATGTGTGTGCGATGCGTCTGGTGACTGTATGTGATGTGTGTGCGATGCGTGTGGTGATTGTATATGATGTGTGTGATGGCTGTATGCGATTTGTTTGCGATGCGTGTGGTGACTGTGTGTTGGATTTTCGTGCGATGAAGGTGGTGGCTGTATGTGATGTGTGTGCGATGTGTGTGGTGGCTGTATGCAATTTGTGCGTGGTGTTGCAGGCTCTTTGTAATGTCTGTGTCTGCGTGTGGTGGCTGTATGTAATTTGTGCGTGGTGTTTGCAGGCTGTTTGTAATGTCTGTGTCTGCGTGTGGTGGCTGTATGTAATTTGTGCGTGGTGTTTGCAGGCTGTTTGTAATGTCTGTGTCTGCGTGTGGTGGCTGTATGTGATTTGTGCGTGGTGTTTGCAGGCTGTTTGTAATGTCTGTGTCTGTGTGTGGTGGCTGTATGTGATTTGTGCGTGGTGTTTGCAGGCTGTTTGAAATGTCTGTGTCTGCGTGTGGTGGCTGTATGTGATTTGTGCGTGGTGTTTGCAGGCTGTTTGTAATGTCTGTGTCTGCGTGTGGTGGCTGTATGTGATTTGTGCGTGGTGTTTGCAGGCTGTTTGTAATGTCTGTGTCTGCGTGGTGGCTGTATGTAATTTGTGCGTGGTGTTTGCAGGCTGTGTTGTAATGTCTGTGTCTGTGTCGTGTGGTGGCTGTATGTAATTTGTGCGTGGTGTTTGCAGGCTGTTTGTAATGTCTGTGTCTGTGTGTGGTGGCTGTATGTGATTTGTGCGTGGTGTTTGCAGGCTGTTTGTAATGTCTGTGTCTGCGTGTGGTGGCTGTATGTGATTTGTGCGTGGTGTTTGCAGGCTGTTTGTAATGTCTGTGTCTGCGTGTGGTGGCTGTATGTGATTTGTGCGTGGTGTTTGCAGGCTGTTTGTAATGTCTGTGTCTGCGTGTGGTGGCTGTATGTGATTTGTGCGTGGTGTTTGCAGGCTGTTTGTAATGTCTGTGTCTGCGTGTGGTGGCTGTATGTAATTTGTGCGTGGTGTTTGCAGGCTGTTTGTAATGTCTGTGTCTGTGTGTGGTGGCTGTATGTGATGTGCGTAATCTGCTCTGTGTATTCTGCTCCTGCTTTTCTATATGGGGCATATAATCACTGGTGGTCCAATGGTGGTCATACAATGGGGGAGCATGAGGTTTGCACCACAGGTGGAATCAGAACTCAGTAATCGCTTCCTCACAGTCCAACGCTCAGTGAGATAAACTGCAAGCTGAGAATACCAAGCAGCTGCGCTCTAACTCACCAAGACCATAAGGGGGCCATTAATGATGTCTGTACCTGCCTGGAGGTGTCAAACGTGATGCTGGCAGTTCTGATCCTCTTTCACACAGGCACCAGTGCCTGGTCACTTCTAAAACTGCCGTAACTGTATGAGCTATAATCACTCTTATGGCTGGTACTGAGTGACACTAGGTACTGGAAAATAACAGCAATTGAGAGACAGCAGGGATTGGGGGAGAGTATTGAAAAACAGTATGTATTGGGATATAGCAGGTATTGATAGACAGTGGGTATTGGTATATATAGCAGGTATTGAGAGACAGCAGGTACTGATGGACAGCAGGTTTTGGGATATAGCAGGTATTGGTGGATAGCAGGTATTGGAATATAGCAGGTATTGATAGACAGCAGGTATTAGGATATAGCAGGTATTAATAGACAGACACCGGGCATTGGGATGTAGTAGGTATTGAGAGACAGCAGGTATTGGGATATAGCAGGTATTAATAGACAGACAGCGGGCATTGGGATGTAGTAGGTTTTGAGAGACAGCAGATATTGATAGACAGCAGGTATTGGGATATAGAAGGTATTGATAGACAGCAGGTATTGATAGACAGCAGGTATTGGGATATAGCAGATATTGATAGACAGCAGGTATTGGGATATAGCAGGTATTGAGAGACAGTAGATGTTGATAGACAGCAGGTATTGGGATATAGTAGGTATTGATAGACAGCAGGTATTGGGATATAGAAGGTATTGATAGACAGCAGGTATTGATAGACAACAGGTATTGGGATATAGCAGATATTGATAGACAGCAGGTATTGGGATATAGCGGGTATTGAGAGACAGCAGGTATTGGAATATAGCAGGTATTGGTGGACAGCAGGTATTGGGATATAGCAGGTATTGATAGACAGCAGGTATTGGGATATAACAGGTATTGATAGACAGCAGGTATTGGGATATAGCAAGTATTGACAGACAGCGGGTATTGGGATATAGCAGGTATTGGTGGACAGCAGGTATTGGGATATAGCAAGTATTGACAGACAGCGGGTATTGGGATATAGCAGGTATTGATGGGCAGCAGGTATTGTGATGTAGCAAGTATTGACAGACAGCGGGTATTGGGATATAGCAGGTATTGGTGGACAGCAGGTATTGGGATATAGCAAGTATTGACAGACAGCGGGTATTGGGATATAGCAGGTATTGATGGGCAGCAGGTATTGGGATATAGCAAGTATTGACAGACAGCGGGTATTGGGATATAGCAGGTATTGGTGGACAGCAGGTATTGGGATATAGCAAGTATTGACAGACAGCGGGTATTGGGATATAGCAGGTATTGATGGGCAGCAGGTATTGTGATGTAGCAGGTATTGATAGACAGCAGGTATTGATAGACAGCAGGTATTGGGATGTAGCAAGTATTGATAGACAGTGGGTATTGGGATATAGCAAGCATTGATAGACAGCAGGTATTGGGATATAGCAAGCATTGATAGACAGCAGGTATTGAGAGACAGCAGGTATTGGGATAAAGCAGGTATTAATAGACAGCAGGTATTGGGATATAGCATGTATTGATAGACAGCGGGTATTGGGATGTAGCAGGTATTGATAGACAGCAGGTATTGGTATATAGCATGTATTGATAGACAGCGGGTATTGGGATGTAGCAGGTATTGATAGACAGCAGGTGTTGATAGACAGCAGGTATTGATAGACAGCAGGTATTGGGATGTAGCAAGTATTGATAGACAGCAGGTATTGATAGACAGCAGGTATTGGTATATAGCAAGCATTGATAGACAGCAGGTATTGATAGACAGCAGGTATTGGGATATAGCAGGTATTGATAGACAGCAGGTATTAGGATATAGCAAGTATTGATAGACAGCGGGTATTGGGATATAGCAGGTATTGATGGACAGCAGGTATTGATAGACAGCAGGTATTGGGATGTAGCAAGTATTGATAGACAGCGGGTATTGGGATATAGCAGGTATTGATAGACAGCAGGTATTGGGATATAGCAAGCATTGATAGACAGCAGGTATTGATAGACAGCAGGTATTGGGATATAGCAGGTATTGATAGACTGCAGGTATTTGGATACAGCAGGTATTGATAGACAGACAACAGATTCTGTATTGCCCACAGGATTGAGGTGGGGTCTCACAATACTGGCAGCACTCTCTCTGGGTGTCCATTACACAATCCTATGCACAGAGCACCAGGGAGGGGGGGGATAAAGCAGCTTATAATATGGGAGCAGATCTCCTCCCTTCCAATAGACAGGGATGTCATTTATCCGGATTAATCGAGACAGCAGCATGCGGAGAGAGATCCAGAGCTTCCCAGAAAGAGAGAGTGCTCAGGAGAGAGTGACAGGGAAAGAGAGAGCTTGCAGGGAAGGAGAGAGAGCTGGGAGGGGGGAGGGAGAGACATGAAGAACTGAGGAGGTAGAAACAAAGAAGCAGAGAGGGGGGTGTGCAAGGCGAGGGGAGGGGAGCTGGGAGATACGGCAGAGGGATGTGATGAGAGACGGCAGGTAGACAATGAATGGGTGACAGGCAGAGAGAGGTGACATGGCAGGGAGGGAGAGATAGCTGGTGCTGGGGGAGAGACAGTCCTTCATTCTGAACCAGCTGGTCCTTCAGCACTGGACAGCGACCAGCGAAGGGGGGAGCAGATTCCGATAGAATGGATGTATCATAGCGAGAGGGAAGTGGGATATGCTACGTTAGAGAATGACTGAGAGCTATTGGGGAATTTATTAGTGGGGGAGCTTAATAGGGCAGGATTGTTCCCAAATGGGATAATTATTTTAGGATAGGCTTAAGTGTCAGGAAGATGCAGCCTGCCCCCTTCACAGGTTTGGGGTAAGCTGAGGACAGGACTTGGGTCAGTATCGAGGAGGAGGGGGCCTGGTACCTCCTCGTGCCCCCCAGTGATGATGTTGCCAGGGAGCAGTCGGTAGGATTAGGAGGAGGAGAGCAGTGGTTAGGAAGGGGGGAACCGGCTCGTTCCTCTCCGGTGTCTGAGTTGAGCACGGCGGGGGAAGAGGTTGACGTGATGGGCGAGTGGACAATCTTGGAGCGCCTGCTGGAGGCGGCAGTTCAGCAGCACTCCACCATGATAGGGAGGTAAGAGGGTGGAACAGACCCATGGCTTGTTAGGGAAGGGAGGGCTGCAGGATTTGAGGTTCCAGGCATGGGGGCCACAACCCCTAGGACACACGGACACACCACCTCTAGAGCATAGAGCAGGACGCACCCTACATCCAACTGACCGTCCAAATCCCTTACAATGCTCCAAATTATACTGCACCATTTGAAATTTACCCACAGGAGGGGAGAAGATAGGTAGGTTTTAAGTAAAGATTGGGGTGATTGTTTTGTGGGGTGTCCCTTGTGGTTTGTGTACAGAGGGGGTGTCTGTCTGTGCATCGGGGGTTAATGACAATGATGCACCTGTGACTCACATTACACAAAGACATGGAAATTGCAGGATACCGACATCCCTGACGGACAGACACACAGACACAGACAGTGATCACCCCACCCCCTCCCAAAACCCCACACTTGCCATTCATTGGGTTTATTAGTAAATGACAATATATATCCACATGTATCAATAGGCAGCAGATATGTAACAATGTAGTGTGTGTGTGTGTGTGTGCGTGTTGATTCGTCTAGATTTGCTGTGTTTGTCTATGCACCAGCCCTGATTGCTACCTGTCTTGTGTGGAGGATGTATAGCTGCTTTGTTGGGTTTAATGTTAGTGCTGGGGCCTGCAGTGTATATATTGTATGCTCGCTATATATATAATATATGGGCAGTGTATATATTGTATGCTCGCTATATATATAATATATGGGCAGTGTATATATTGCATGCTCGCTATATATATAATATATGGGCAGTGTATATATTGCATGCTCGCTATATATATAATATATGGGCAGTGTATATATTGTATGCTCGATATATATATAATATATGGGCAGTGTATATATTGTATGCTCGATATATATATAATATATGGGCAGTGTATATATTGCATGCTCGATATATATATAGTATATGGGCAGTGTATATATTGCATGCTCGATATATATATAGTATATGGGCAGTGTATATATTGCATGCTCGATATATATATAGTATATGGGCAGTGTATATATTGCATGCTCGCTATATATATAGTATATGGGCAGTGTATATATTGTATGCTCGCTATATATATAGTATATGGGCAGTGTATATATTGTATGCTCGCTATATATATAATATATGGGCAGTGTATATATTGCATGCTCGCTATATATATAATATATGGGCAGTGTATATATTGCATGCTCGCTATATATATAATATATGGGCAGTGTATATATTGTATGCTCGATATATATATAGTATATGGGCAGTGTATATATTGTATGCTCGCTATATATATAGTATATGGGCAGTGTATATATTGTATGCTCGCTATATATATAGTATATGGGCAGTGTATATATTGTATGCTCGCTATATATATAATATATGGGCAGTGTATATATTGTATGCTCGCTATATATATATAATATATGGGCAGTGTATATATTGTATGCTCGATATATATATAGTATATGGGCAGTGTATATATTGTATGCTCGCTATATATATAGTATATGGGCAGTGTATATATTGTTTGCTCGCTATATATATAATATATGGGCAGTGTATATATTGTATGCTCGCTATATATATAATATATGGGCAGTGTATATATTGTATGCTCGCTATATATATAATATATGGGCAGTGTATATATTGCATGCTCGCTATATATATAATATATGGGCAGTGTATATATTGCATGCTCGCTATATATATAATATATGGGCAGTGTATATATTGTATGCTCGATATATATATAGTATATGGGCAGTGTATATATTGTATGCTCGCTATATATATAGTATATGGGCAGTGTATATATTGTTTGCTCGCTATATATATAATATATGGGCAGTGTATATATTGTATGCTCGATATATATATAATATATGGGCAGTGTATATATTGTATGCTCGCTATACATATAATATATGGGCAGTGTATATATTGTATGCTCGCTATACATATAATATATGGGCAGTGTATATATTGTATGCTCGCTATACATATAGTATATGGGCAGTGTATATATTGTTTGCTCGCTATATATATAATATATGGGCAGTGTATATATTGTATGCTCGATATATATATAATATATGGGCAGTGTATATAGTGCATGGGCAATATATATATTGTATGGACAATGCATACATTGTGTGGGCAATATATATATATATATGTATGGACAGTATATATATATATTGTATGGGCAGTGTATATATAATGTATGGATAGTATATATATTGTATGGACAGTGTATATATTATATAGATGGTAAATATATTGTATGGGCAGTGTATATATTGGATGGGCAGTATATATGTATATAATGTATGGGGAATACATACATTGTATGGGCAGTATATATAATGTGTGGGCAGTATATATATATATTGTATGGACAGTGCATATATTGCATGGTCAGTGTGTATATGTATATATATATATGTATTGACGGTATATATATATTTTGTATGAGCAGTGTATATATAATGTATGGACGGTATATATATATTGTATGGGCAGTAATTATAATGTATGGATGGTATATATATATATTCAGTACAATGTTAAACAAAAATCTGCACACCAGTCAAGCCATAAGACTTGCTTTTCCCACAGAAATCACAAATCTGCAGTGATGTTACTACCGCAAAGGATTCTGGGTGGGAATATGCAAATTAGTTCAGCAAAGAATCACATTTTTGCCTCATTCCATTTTAAACGTGGATTCTCTTGAACCTGTATTTGCAGTATACAACAGCTTTGAAACACAACTTGTAAAAAGATGCAGAGCCAGTGAACCACTCATGGACAGCTGTTTTGTTGTTAATGCAAATCATCAGCATGAGGTTGGTTACTGGTTTGCTTATTGACGCTTGGCACTACTTGGGAAGCAAAATCCAAATAGGTTACAGTGGGGAAATTGTGATTGGAAACCCCTTTGCATTAAAGGACCACTCTAGGCACCCAGACCACTTCAGCTTAATGAGGTGGTCTGGGTGCCTGGTCCAGCTAGGGTTGACCCATTTTTTCATAAACATAGCAGTTTCAGAGAAACTGCTATGTTTATGAATGGGTTAAGCCTTCCCCCTATTTCCTCTAGTGGCTGTCTCATTTTCACAGTGAGAGCACGCCAGCGTCCATAGGAAAGCATTATGAATGCTTTCCTATGTGACCGGCTGAATGCGCGCGCAGCTCTTGCCGCGCATGCGCATTCAGCCGATGGGGAGGAGAGAAGGAGGATCGGAGGAGGAGAGCTCCCCACCCAGCACTGGAAAAAGGTAAGTTTTAACCCCTTTCCAGAGCCGGGCGGGAAGGGGTCCCTGAGGGCACTATAGTGGTCCTTTAACAATGAAACAGCTGTCCATGAGTGGTTCACTGGCTCTGCATCTTTTTCCTAAGTTGTGTTTCAAAGCTGTTGTATACAGAAAACACAGACTCAAAGGAATCCATGTTTATAATGGAATGAGACAAAAATATGATTCTTTGTTTAACTAATTTGCATATGCCCATCCAGAATCCTTTGCAGTAGTAACATCACTGCAGATTTGTGATTTCTGTGGGAAATGCAAGTCTTATGGCTTGACTGGTGTGCAGATTTGTGTTTAACATTGTATTGAATATATATCTATACCATCCATACATTATAATTACTGCCCATACAATATGGTCCCTAGTTTGGTCCCTCTATGATCTAATATTGTACAGCTCTAGATTGGTACTTTTAAGATCTGATGTTGGACTGTTCTAGGTTGGTCCCTCTATGATCTAATATTGTACAGTTTTAGATTGGTCCCTCTATGATCTGATATTGTAAGACTCTAGATTGGTCCCTCTATGATCTGATATTGTACAGCTCTAGGTTGGTCCCTCTATGATCTGGTATTGTACAGTTCTAGACTGGCTCTTCTCGAGCTTATTATTATTATTATTATTATGTGTCCCACACCCACAGGCATGCGCACAGGGTGTGCCTGTTGTGCCTGGGCACACCCTAATCCCGCGGCACGCCTATGTATATTGAGACCGGCAGGGGAGATCTCAGGATCTCCCCTATCGGCTCATGCAGAGCCGGCGCTATCCGATCGCCGGCTCTGCTCTCAGCCTCCCTCCCCACCGGCCCACAGGCAGGGAGGGAGGCAGGAGAGGACCCGGCGGAGCTATTGCCGGCAGCTCCGCCGGGTTCCTCTCGCGAGATATGAGCGTTGCCACGGCAACGCTCAAATCTCGCGAGAGTGAACTCTAGCCCCACAGGGGCTAGAGTTCACTCTCCACTGGACCACCAGGGATGGAATCAGCAGCACGATCCCCCCTCCCTACAAAAGGTAAGAAGGGAGGGGGGATAGCAATTAATGTACCCCCACCTCCTCCCCCACAATCACCCACCCACATACAGCACACACACATACACAGCACACACACATACACAGCACACACACATACACAGCACACACACATACACAGCACACACACATACACAGCACACACAGACATACAGCACCCACAGACATACAGCACCCACAGACATACAGCACCCACAGACATACAGCACCCACAGACATACAGCACCCACAGACATACACAGTACCCACACACATACAGCACCCACACACATACAGCACACACACACATACAGCACACACACATACAGCACACACACATACAGCACCCACACACATTCAGCCCCCCCAGACATACACAGCACCCACACACATTCAGCACCCACACACATTCAGCACCCACAGACATATACAGCACCCACAGACATACACAGCACCCACAGACATACAGCACCCACAGACATACAGCACCCACAGACATCCAGCACCCACAGACATACACAGCACCCACACACATACAGCACCCACAGACATACACAGCACCAACACACATACAGCACCCACACACACATACAGCACCCCCACAAACACACACAGCACCCTCACACACAGCACACAAACAGCACCCTCACACACACACAGCACACTAACAGTACCCTCACAAACAGAAACAGGACCCTAACAAACACACACACAGCACACTAGCAGTACCCTCACACACAAACAGCACCCTCACACACAGTACATCAACAGCACCCTCACAAGCGCACACAAACACACAAACAGCACCCTCACACACAGTACATTAACAGCATCCTCACAAGCACGCACACACAAACACCCTCACCCACATAGCACACTACCAGCATCGTCACACACACATCACACTAACAGCACCCTCACACAGCACACACACACAGCAGTGTGTGTATGTGTGAATATATGTGTATGTATGTATGTATATATATATATATATATATATACATATATACATACATATATATATGCGGCGTGTGCTTGTGCTTTAGGGTGCACACCCTAATGCAATAGGCTGCGCACGCCTATGCCCACACCATTGGGGGCACGACAGTATAGCATATATGAGGATGTTTCTAGATAGGTTTATTCCTAGCCTGATGTTATATTCTATATTATTATTATTATTTTATAATTTCCCAGAACTGTCACATATCAAGATCAGTTCACCCTTAATGGAGTTTTCTCTTTTAAGGTCTCAGTTGAGCTGTAGCAGCTTTGGTATGCATCCATAAAACATTTAGAAACTGACATGATTGGCCTTTAACTAAATTACTGGTTAATCAATATATAGTTCACCCACCATTGCTATGATGCCAGCTTGAGATGAACCCACCCCCCAACACACAGCACTAATTTATCTACAATTTCTTGTCTTCTCTCCATAATTCCTGCCCTAGCAGATAATCTTGCTTGAATTAGCCACGATTGGTTTAAGGCATTCTTTGGACACATCTCCATATATTAGTGCTTCATAGCTTTGTTTAACGACACTGCGCTCTAATTGTGCTTCTAGATGTTTATAAATAAAATTAAACAATATGAGACAAAACTCTGTAAATGTTTATAATCTAATACGCAAATATAAGAGCTAGAATATATGCTTTAGTGTAATGAGATGTTTTTCTATAATATATTTTAACATGCTTCTCATGGAAGTTAGGAATAGAATATTTGCATCTCACTATCTATAGAAATCGGCTAATTATCACCTGGATAGCAGGCGGCACCTCTCCGAGAGGGTGTGAAATCTCACCACATGACAGCAACTTGCTAAATAGGGGGTGGGGATCAGTTATTGGTGTAACTGATAAATCTTATTAACCCTCTGTGCCAGCAGATTGGATGAAGAGAAATTCTCACCATATCCCGTGTGAAGGAATACCCTATTACTTTCGGCTCCTTTTCGTTGTCTGAATTCGTGCCCAAGTTGATTTCATTTATTTTGTTCGGTTCCCGAACTGAGACCACCCCAGAGACCCATTAGAACATAGAACGTTAAGTATCTTGTACGAAAACCACAACGGAACAAATTAATTGAATGCTCCACTGGGTGGACGCCATTTCTTGCATACGAACGCACATGTTCGGGAAATGGATGGTGGCCATTTTGGCTCCCGAATGCAGCTAGCACGACGTGGTCATCGAGTGCCCGGAACTCATTTCAGCCAGGCACTCCCTCGAACCCGAGTCATCATGGACCTGCTGCCCGTTCCGCTTCACCTACAGGAACGGTGTTTGGGAGATATGTACTACCGAACACAGGGAGCCTTCTCTACTGATCTGCTTTTGTCTAACTTGTGTGGTTTTCGTACAAAACCCTATGAACGGAGACTGGCTCTTGCCACAACTTCCATTAAACTATTTTGTGCTTCAACCTTGTGGCAGAACGGTCAAAACTTCCCTGCGATGGTGATCCAAAACTACTGAACGGATCTGGGTGATTTGTGGATATTTTGTTCGCACAGATCCTTTTGTGGGATTTCCATGTATTTGGGGGTACTTTTGGGGTGTTCAGAAATTATTATACTTTTCTGTCCCTGGAGATCTGACTTTGTACAGTTCCTGACTCAATTATCTCTCAGGCACAGAGGAGGAGTTTACTAACTGTACCTCCTTTAAAGTCTTCTCCCAGCATTAAGCCTCAGCTCATGTGTGGGGGGTTATGCTACACCAGCTATATTTTACCTGTGGGATTATTTGCTTGTTTATATGGGGGAAAAGGGTATCCGTGGCGGTGATACCTTGGCAGACCGCCACATCCAGAATACAGAAAATTTAAAAAAGTGGCAGCAAGTTGCGTTCTGCTGGTGGCCCAATAGGTGTCACCATTGCAGCACCAACATCTGCAGTACCTCCATGTCTAACCCTGGAACCACTGGAATCCCACCCTGGCAACTCCTGTTGGTATTTCAGTGATGGAACTCCTAAACCAACACTTGAAACGCCAGGACCAGCCGCTGAAGGTTCTCCACCAGTAGCTCACAAACCTGTGAATCGGAAGAATAGTTACAGGATTTATATAAAGCAGGTTAATGTTTACATGTTACCAGTAAACAGAACATAGAACGTGGATAATCCAAAAAAATGGAGTCCACGGTGTGTCAAGAGAACCCTATAGGGGGTAACCCTTAGAGATAAGTATAAAGTACTAAGAATGATCCCTGGCTAAAAAGCGCCATAGGAACACAGAAAAGAGTTCTCTGGGTATGTGATTACATGAAAAGTAAAAATAGAAATAAAAAGTCTCTTTATTATAGGGTATAAATTCCCCAAAACATTAAATAAAACTTAATAAAAACTAACACACACTAAAGAGAGCAAGGTAAAGGGGGAGACAGAAATAAAGTGATACTAAAAAGTGTCACAGCAAGAAGAAATCTTGGTATACAATCTCTCCCCTAAAGATATGTAGCGATTTGGGTAGAAACTATCCTGTATAACAGAGTATAGCAGTTGCCGAATATCTGCCTACAATGCTAAGTATGGATACATAGTATCTCCTCAATTAGCTATAGCTGGTAAGCATAAGAGATCAGCGAAGTGAACTGGACTGTCTGTTAACCAGGATTTTTGATAGAGGACACTAATATAGCCTATGCTGAAAGAGGGATTCCACTAAAAATCCACTGTTAGGAACGCTAAAGCTATCCTGAAATAGAGGAGTCCATCTGAAAAAACTACCCACCACTCTAGATGAATATCTTATAAAGTCCCAATCATTGCTCTCTAACCCCTAAAGTGCTTAAATTAAGTGCTGTGGTTTAAAATAAGGCATAAGTCCTGACGCACGTTTCGGCGCTACCCGAGCGCCTTTGTCAAAGGTAACCGAGGTACTGGCTGTATATCCGTTTATATATCTATTGGGGTATATGGCTGGACCAATCACTGTCCCTGTAATTCCCGCCGAAATTAGCTGATCACATGTGTCCATCGTCATTATGCTAATCACGCCCGATAGGCGTTTATTCAAGGCGGGATCTTACTTGTATGAATGGGAAGCCACACCTCCATTGTATTCATTCAGAAGTATCGGAGGATGGTCCCAACGTACAAGTGCCGGTAGCCGTGCATAGGAGAAAACAGAATTTCTAAAATGGTTTCTTCACACATTCTAAGTGAAGAAATTAATTGTATGGCTGATCCAGGAATGTAGGCAATGTTTGATAAGCATTGTCTAAATTATGTCATGTGATGTTTGAGGTCTTATGTGTATTATAGTGCGTCAGCGATATATATTTAATGAAATCTTAATGATAACAATAATAATAATACAAGATATCGATAAATCAATATAGCACATGGATTTTATTTAAAAACTAAGTATCACATGATCTACCCTGGTCGTACTATCCTTACATCTCGATATTATGATGAGAAACCCCTATTTCCAAATGTATTAAAGATATACATCCATATGTATTTGTGTACAGCCGTACCTAGCCTCCTATTTACACCTCTTACATAAAGAGCTTATATTCAATATCATATATTATATAAGAAACCACGAAAAATACCCACATATATACATATTTACATAAATTATATTGAAGATTTAAATACAGAGTATACAGTCTTATGAAGGGTCGATAAATGGAGTAAACGTAAACCCCTCGTTAAGTCCCTTAGGGGATAAAGTGTCAAACTTATGGATCCAAAAACATTCCCTTCTTAACAGCATCTGATCCAAGTCACCTCCTCTTCTTCCCACATTGATTTTTTCAATACCTGCAAATTTAATGCATTTCGGTGTGTCCATATGGTTGAGTCTCACATGCCTAGCGATAGGGGTATCTCTCTTGGAGGTCACCGAATGTATGTGCTCCATTATACGTCTCTTAAAAGGGCGTATAGTTTTGCCCACATATTTCATGCCACACTTACATGTTAGTAAGTAAATCATGCCTGAGGTGTTGCAATTGAAAAAATCTTTAATGGGCATTGTTATGGTGTTCGTGGAGTCAGTAAGGGTTTTAGAGCCTTTAGCGATATAGGTGCATGCCACACATTTACCACACTGATATGTGCCATGCACTGTAATCCAACTATTTCTTATTTTTCCTGGTGTTGGCAAATGGCTGGGCACTAGTATCTCCCTGATGTTTTTGCCCCTTCTAGCCGTAATGGACACTTTAGATGAAATCGTGTCACAAAGGTGTGGATCTTGAGTTAGAAGTGGCCAAAAGCGCCCTATAATCTTTTTTGCATTCTCCCAACCTGCATCAAAATTGGCTATGCACCTAATCTGTTTGGATTGTTGTTTCATAGTATTCTGTAGCAAGGTCCCACGATCACATTCCAGAGCTCTTTGGTACGCTTGCTTAAGGCATCTCCCAGGATAGCCTCTTTCTTTGAATCGCTGCCTTAATTCTTTTCATGTACTCACATACCCATCATACCCACATACCCAGAGAACTCTTTTCTGTGTTCCTATGGCGCTTTTTAGCCAGGGATCATTCTTAGTACTTTATGTTACCAGTAAAATTTCCAAAATCCATTACACTTACGAGAGACCTATAACATTAATCTTGTGCCGGAGCTCTCCGTATGTGAAAAGGAAAAGCTCTATAGGACAGACATCTCCAGACTGGGAAGGAAGCTGTATAAGCAGACACGATATTCTGGATCTGTGTCCTGCTAATAGAAAGGTATCTTGTCACAGAATTTAGTGAGAACCTGGTTTTATTTTCCAGTTGAAAACACATTCTTCATTCATTGGAACTGGAGGCTGAATGACTGCCTTGCTGCCACTGGGGTATTTTCTATGTTTCTCATGGGTGCCCGGAGCTCTGTCTTACCAGCTGACACATGGATCACAGCTCGCTCCATCTGCTCATCGCTACACACAGACAGGAAGAGTGTCTCCCTGCCTGGCATATGTGCATGTTGGCATCACCTGCACTCATTATTTATAAATAGTTACACATACACACATCTACTGGCTACCAGTAATACATCCCCTTACACCACAGACCACATCTGAAATAATATGTTGGAAAATGCCAAGTATGAGATCCATGTATCCCTGGCACAGGAGAGTAGTGGGTACATTTACTGCAATAGGAGAGGAAGTCGTGGATTTAGCGCCATACAGGAGGACAGCGGATCCCTTTTACTCCGATACAGGACGGCAGCGGATCCATTTAGCCGCCATACAGGACGGCAGCGGATCCCTTTTACTCCGATACAGGATGGCAGCGGATCCATTTAGCCGCCATACAGGACGGCAGTGGATCCATTCAGCCGCCATTGGGCTAAGATTGGGAGCTCTAAACCCTCATAGAGTGGGTCTCCTGAATGGTGGAATTGGTTGTCCATACTGTCTCGTATTTAGAAATGATAGAAAACAGATTGGTAGAAGCACAAAGACACCTTGCAACTAGGCTTCAATAATAAATAAGTAAATGAGCTAAGCCCACCATCATGCAGCGGCATCAAAGTCCAATGATGGAAATGCATAAAAGTGTTTAATGCCTAAAATATAACATTTGTTTTATGTAATATGACTAAAAGAGACAATATTAATGCAAGTGCACCAAAGCATGAAACCCATTCACTCTGCTCTCTGTTACCTCCAAGCCTCAATATATGCAGCTAAGCATGTGTAGAAGAGAATCCTTTGTTTCATAGTCCGCAGTGTAGTCACATAGGAGGTGGATCAAGGAACGATTCAAATGTCAAAATGCTCTATCCTACCACAACACCACATTCTACTCAACCCCAGCCCTGCCTCAACTCCCCATCCACAATCTACCCAACTCAATCTGCCACAACTCCCCATCCACAATCTACCGAACCTCAGCCCTGCCTCAACTCCCCATCCACAATCTACCCAACTCAATCTGCCACAACTCCCCATCCACAATCTACCCAACTCAATCTGCCTCAACCCCCCATCCACAATCTACCCAATCCGAACCCTGCCTCAACTCCCCATCCACAATCTACCACAACCTCCCATCCACAATTTACCCAACCTCAACTCCCCATCCACAATCTAGCCAACCTCAGCCCTGCCTCAACTCCCCATCCACAATATAGGCAACTCCAGCCCTGCCTCAACTCCCCATCCACAATCTACCCAATCCCAACCCTGCCTCAACTCCCCATCCACAATCTACCCAATCCCAACCCTGCCTCAACTCCCCATCCACAATCTACCCAATCCCAACCCTACCACAACTCCCCATCCACAATCTAGCCAACCCCAGCCCTGCCTCAACTCACCATCCACAATATAGCCAACTCAATCTGCCACAACTCCCCATCCACAATCTACCCAACCCCAGCCCTAACTCAACTCACCATCCACAATTTAGCCAACTCAATCTGCCACAACCCCCCATCCACAATCTACCCAACTCAATCTGCCTCAACTACCCATCCACAATCTACCCAACTCAATCTGCCTCAACTCCCCATCCACCACCTACCCAATCCCAACCCTGCCTCAACTCCCAATCCACAATCTACCCAACCCCAATCACATCCAAAATTTGCCCAGCCTCAGCCATGCCGCAACACCACACCCACACTCTACCTATCCCCGGCCCTGCCGCATCTTCCATCCACAATCAACCCAAACCCATTCTGGCCATAACCCCCATTCACAATCTACCCAACCGTGGCCACATCTCCCCATCCACAGTCTGCCCAACCTTACTGAAATTCTCCATCCACAATTTACCCAACTACGGCCCTATTGCATATTCTCATTCACAATCTACCTAAATACAGATCTGCCAAATCTCTCCAACTACATTCTACCAAATCCCAGCCTTACTGCATCTCCCCATCCACAATCTACTGCTTCAACACCACATCCACAATCTACCCAACTCTGTTGCATCTCCCTAGCATCAACACTAGCCATATGGCAACCAGTATTTAAAAAGGGGTTCCTGGAAGGGTAAATAGTAAATATATACATTATTACCAAAAGAGCGGTTCCCTATTTTGTAACAGATTAGGTATTTTTTGCCACGGGGTGCCAGGGATTTAGATCCAGTCACCATTTCCCTTTCTAACTTATACTCTTTCCATTGCAGGATCCTGCTGACTGTCGTAGTTATATTCCGGATCCTGATTGTGGCCATCGTTGGTGAAACAGTCTACGAAGACGAACAAACCATGTTTATGTGTAACACACTCCAGCCAGGATGTAACCAAGCATGCTACGACAGAGCGTTTCCTATCTCCCACATTCGCTACTGGGTCTTTCAAATTATTTTGGTGTGTACACCCAGTCTCTGCTTCATCACTTACTCTGTTCACCAGTCAGCCAAGCAGAGAGACCGGCGATATTCATTTATCTACCCTCTATTAGAGAAAGAGCTTCCCCGTGAAACCCGGCGCATGAAGAACATCAATGGGATTTTGATGCAGAATCCTGATATCTCGTCTAAAGATGAGCCGGACTGCCTGGAGGTCAAAGAGATCCCAAGCACACCCAAAAAAGCAATCAAGAGTGCCAAGGTGAAACGTCAGGAGGGCATCTCTCGTTTCTACATTATCCAGGTCTTTTTTCGAAATGCTTTGGAAATTGGTTTCCTTGCAGGACAATATTTTCTCTACGGGTTTAGCGTGCCGCCAATCTTTGAGTGTGACCGTTACCCCTGCGTTAAGGAAGTAGAGTGCTACGTTTCCAGGCCCACAGAGAAAACAGTCTTCCTGGTTTTCATGTTCGCTGTGAGCGGCATCTGTGTCCTCTTAAATTTAGCTGAGCTAAACCACCTTGGATGGAGGAAAATTAAAACTGCTATGAGAGGGGTGCAGGCACGCAGGAAGTCAGTCTGTGAAGTGCGCAAAAAGGAGCCATCAACATTGGCCCAAGTGCCAACATTAGGTAGGACACAATCCAGCGAGTCTGCTTACGTTTGACATCTTTTGAGGATGTCGAGTTACTATGGTGGCAGGAACTTTTCCTTGTACCCGATATCATCGGTAAAGGATAGAAAACACTGCACTGACGGTGCCAGTACGGCTACAGTCTTCCAAGCAGCCATGGAGAACATGAAAAACTTTATTGGAAGTCGGTGGATAATTAAGGTCATTGGTGTGCCGTACACTGCGGATCGCAATATCCCTACCTATATGGCGGTCAAACGGTGGACAATGAAAGCACGAGCATGACAAACATTGTGTGATTAGTTTATATAAATGAAATGCAAACCTTGTAAAGAGATGTTGAGTACCATTGTACATTGCAACTTGTCTGTTTAAAAGAGGACATATTTACCTCCATCTCCAAGATCACAAATGATGTCAATGATGAACAAACTCATAAGGGACTTCTCGGAAATCCCTGGCACGTCCAGTAATTTGCACTGACACAGGAGAAGCCATACGCCAAGGCAGTGACATTGATTAATACTGAATTAATGGCTAATAATGGGAGGTGTTTAAAATCTCCTGCGACTGTTATTTCTCCTCCCTAATTACTAAACACATTTGAGAATCCCTGCCTAGCCCTACATCTGTCCACAAACCACACATGACCTCGGAAAAAAAAAAATCTGTATTTATTTCCATCCCTCATTATAGCAGCTGACAGAGAAACAAGGCAATAGGTCTGAGCCATCAATGTAACGAAGCGTTAACACTTTGGGAAGCAGCGGATGAGATACAAATGAAATGACAGTCATAACTCCTTTTATCATATTTACAGACACAAAGAGCAGACCACCCTGCTGACACTCAAGGTGTTAATGTGTCTTAAAGGTTAATTATAAAATCTATTTCCAGTAATTCACTCTGTACCATATTTCCATTCCTCCCCCCACAGCCCAAAGCATTTTTAGGGGAACGGATAATGGGGGTAAATGCTATTATTTGACGTTTCAAGTTAATCAATCCGGGAGAATGTCGTTGTCCATTTGAATGTATCGTAACTTGATGTTGTTATTGATTTTCCTGCATGTGCAAAGCATGTTGTGATTGTTTAAACACCGTTTTAAATCCCAGACCAAACCCTAAAGGGTTACACATGTGATCCCTGGCTCAGCCGAGTCAATATGTAGTAAGGTAAACGCAGATAAAACAGCGCTGGTACTTTAAATCCCACTGAAGACAAACTACATGAAAAATAGACAGTCATGTTCTGTGCTTTGATTTCTATTCTGGCCTCCAATATCCTGCACGCTTAATTCAACACAAATTACCCATTAGCAATGGCTCTACCAGGAACTCAGATGGTACAGCCTTCACCAGAGCAAGCATTATCAGGTATAGGCTTATCAGGACATATATAGAACAGTGGAATATTAACCCCTTAAGGACGCATGACATGTGTGACATGTCATGATTCCCTTTTATTCCATAAGTTTGGTCCTTAAGGGGTTAAAGGGACACTATCGGTAAAATATTAAAGGGACACTATCGGTAAAATATTAAAGGGACACCAGAAGTATAATATTAAGACAATAGTCAGCTTAATGCCAGTCTGTAAAGTACATAGTTTACATATTTTCTTGGTTTAATGTTAAGTTATGGGACAGCTGTTGGATTTAGCATTCAGTCTACAGGGAGCTGAAGGACTGGGGTCTAGGAAGAGTTGCAGGGTTCAGTTTACAGATGAGCTGAAAGGTTCTGTATTTAGTATGGTAAGATCAGGATTCTGATTCCAGACTATGGAGAGCTGAAGTGTTCAGCATTAAGTCTATAAGGAGCTGAACGGTTCATGGTTCAGTTTAGGGATTGCTGCAGGGTTCAACGTTCAGTCTGTGGAGGGCTGCAGAGTTCAGGCCTCAGTCTGTGTAGAGTTGCAGGATTCAAATTCTAAAGGGTTCAGTGTTCCGTCTATGAAGAACTATAGTATGCAGCGCACAATCTAAAGGATTCAATGCGCAGTCTATAAAGATCTATAGAGTTCAGTCTGTGAAAGTCTACAGGGTTTAGTCTATGAGGGGTTACAGGGTTCTGCTTAGGGATAGCTGCAGGGTTCAGTGCACAGGGGGAATGAGGGTTCAGGTTGTCTATGGAGAGTGCTGTGCTCCATTAAATTACAAACCTAACACTGCTGGGTTTGCTCCTGCCATTTATATTGATGACACCGAATCTGCTAGAACTGGGTCTGAACTCAATAAGAATATCCCGAACGAGTGTCCTTTTTCTGTTTTATTGAAAGTCGCCCTCCCTCTCCTTACACAGAAATCTGATGATAAAAGTATACTCACCGTGTAGCTCTTAATGATGGAACATACCAAGTTACAGGGTTCATGCCTCCAAAAATATTTTCTCTGTAAACCCATCACCATCCACGATTAAAATACCTAGAAACAACATCCGATAGGAATAGGAGAAATTAACACGGCTCACTAGACATTCACTGAGCAGCTGGTGTGGATCTCACAGGAACACGTCAATATTGACAAAAACAATAGACAATGAGTGAAATTTTGTCTTTTTTTATTGCCTGCTACCCAGCGCAGGCATTTTCTGCTTTCTTTATCCTCAATTTAAAGGAAACCAATATTGACAGATGACACTTTATTACAAAAAGGTAATGATTCCATGTAGAGAAGCCAGAGATTACATAACTGTACAGCTTGCTGGCAACAGGGTGAAAATGTTTAACAAGCCCTGGTTTGTGCACCATTTATGGTTTCCACTAAAAGGAATCACCACTTGTAAGCATGCTGCTTGATCTGATGTAATGATGATCTCTGATAATCTGTTACCTGTTTATGCACCCGAAGTAGGGGGGAGGGGGGGTGGAGATCGGGCTGCTCTCCCAACTATTTTTCAACTTGAAAATCTCAAACCTCAGGACATTATAACAGATTTTCTGCACTCTGTACAGTTCAACGGTGCTCCAACCTGCCTCAGCAACCCTTCCAACGCTCATTAAGATCAGCTTAAACCACGACACAAATGCTGAGAACAGAATACGGACATGTCGCTAAAACAAATTATTGTACTGTCAGCACGTTAAGACTGGCTGCACTATTGTCTGGTGCTAAAATGGTTAATTAAAAGTGAAAAGAGAAAAAGTGCACTGTGTGTGTTATTCAAAACGAGCTTCAACTAAATCAAATCTATGGAGAAATTGTTTGTATACAGAGACTTAAAGATCTCACAGTGGATCACTAGTCACCCTGCAATGGGAGGGAATGACTATCCTAAAGCTCCATCTGTCTGGGTCACCCTGCAGTGGGAGGGACAGACTGTGTCCCTTAAGGGACACTCCAGGCACCCAGACCACTTCTGCCCATTGGCGTTGTCTGGGGGCCAACTCCCACTATCCTTAACTCTGCAACTGTAAATATTGCAGTTTTCATAAAATGCAATATTTACCTTGCAGGGTTAAGTCCTCCTCTAGTGGCTACTAGACAGTCACTTCCGTATTCATAGAACACGAAAAGTGTGTTATAACGACGCTGGACGTCCTTACGCGATGTGAGGACCTCCAGCATCGCCAAAATTCACATAGGAAAGCATTATTCAATGCTTTCCTATGTGGAGGTCTAATGCGCGTGCGCGGCAGGGGAGAAGCATAGGTGGAGCCTGGCCCAGCACCAAGGCACATCGGCGCTGGATACAGGTAAGTCACTGAAGGTTTTTTTTTCCCCCCCTTCAGCAACTTGGGATGGGGGGGGAGAGGGGGCCTGCAGTGCCAGGAAAACAGTTTGTCCCTTTAGCTCCTGTCTGTGTAACCCTGCAGTGGGAGAAACGGACAGTGTCCCTTAGCTCATTCCGTCTGTGCCACCCTGCAGTGGGAGGGACTCCATGTGCCATAGCTTCCTGCTGTCTGTGTCACCCTGCCATGGGAGGGACAGACTCACACAGCCACTGCAGCTAACACCTCTCCCACCCACTGGTTTCCATGTAATGCGGTCTGTGATAATCGCAAGCTGTGTTGGAGTTTGACTGACGCGAGGCAGGAAAAAGTGGTGCTCCCTGCTGACACATTTCATTAACTGCTGTTAGCCATACCAAATATTAGGTCATGTATATGCAGCACAGAGTTAAAGTTCTACATTACAATAAACTGATCACAAGTTCAGCCATAAAGTGCCAATTCCTAAATCCATCCAGGGTAAAACAAGGTGGTTATAATAGTTCCAGACAGAGATGGCGTGCTTGTGTTCATCCCATGGCTCGTTCTGCTGCGAGTGTGCCTGCCAGCTAAACTTAGAATGAATAAAGTATAGACACACAAATGTACAAATTCACCATTTCTATTTTTAATCCAAAAGCAACCGCCAAGGACACGCTGAAGGCCTAAGAGACAGAGACAAGGAAAACGCATTAAATCTATGAATAATACATGGCAGAGCGCCAGAAAATCTCGCATCAGCAGCCAATCAACCAATGAAGCTTGCTATAAGTCCCTCCAATAGCCCAGAGCCTTTATGCAACTGCAGTCTACAAAGTCCCAAGATCAGAGCTGAATTATTCTGTCACAACTCAAATGGCAGGAAGGTTAGAAATGTACAGGATCAGTATAGAATAAATTATATCTAATCAGCTGCCTCGCTCCAATCCATTACACAGCATCTCAGCAAAGTACATGAGCATCTGTAGGGGAATCAGGCCTATTATTCCCTCAAACAGACTCTCTGCAAAGGACCTGACTGGCTGTAGGGGAATCAGGCCTGTTGAACCATAAAAGGCACACCCACAGGTAGAACTCTGTATTGAAGGAAGCAGCGGGCCCTGTATAGAATGAAGAGATAACAGACAGAATGGCAGCAAGCTGTGAGGGGATGTTAGTCATTTGCTGGTTTAATTATAAAGAAGCCAAAAAGCCATTTATAACCAACAGGAAAGGAACAGGAGGGTTCTGTGCAGTGAAACTCTTGCAGAGTGTTGTGTTATAGTGCTAGCAGCTTACCTTTAAAAACGGCTGAATCATTACTTTGATAAACTAGCAAATATAAAACAATAATACATCAAGTTACACAAAACAGACTACAAGCAAATATTTATATCAGGTCTTCAATCCCACCAGTGATTTCACCGTAGAAAGTAGAGTGCATGTGGTCATTCCAGGCTGGCCGTGGCCAGTAAAATAATGCCTGGCTAGGAACGTTATAATAACAGTATTCCTCAATACCTGGCAGGATACCAGGAGAATGACCCTGCACTGGGTCAGGATAAACTAGACTTGCAGCCTTAAAATTATGTAAGAGTGCAGAGTATGACATTACAATTGACACAATGGAACACAGAATGAATAATGTGGTTTAATGGCCAGAGGCTTGCTTGGCTGCCAGCATTACATCTCCAAACAGAGTAAGCTCAATGAAAATGTGAGAGAACCTTTTACCCCCGAAATAAAAACCCCTCACTCCCAGCTTTGAGGGCGAGGCACAGGAAGGGTTAACAGTCCGTAAGAAAATCAGTGACATCTTTATCAGTTAAATAATCACAGAAAAGATCCACAACAGCTTTTATAAAGCAGTCAGTACATTTCATGCCTGAAAACAGCATATTTGTATTGTGGAAAATCACATGAATATTCAGTCTCCAACATGTCGATAGAGGATGCACCAGGCTGGTGAGAAAATCCAACGCTGGTCTTTCTTTACACACATTGTTCACCATTATCAGCCCCGGCGCATTTTAGATCTTGATAATCAGCTACAACAGCCCCAAGGTAGGGGCCACAGACTGGCAGAAGGGACAGCGGCAATCCTGAGAAGGATTATAACCTGTGTATAAGAAGAACACGGTCATACAAGACAGCATCGGACAAGTAGCTACGTCATACCACTAGCAAAAACACGTTAATTTCCTGCGGTACATCCAGAATCCCGCACAATCATACACCCACACACAACTTACACGACTTCGCGAAAAGCTCGTTTCTCCACGTATTTCACCTTCAGCTTTCTCTTGAATCTGTATAAAAGATATGGAATAATTGAAACTTGTCTGTAGAAAGCATTGCATGTATTCCACATTACACAGTAAAAGGTTTACATTATTCCTGTTATTCTAAATATAGGGCCTGTACCTTAGTATTACTGGCAATTATAACACCAACATATACCATAGCGATATAGTATATATTAACCTCCTACGAATGTCATCATCCGGCACTAAGAATCAGCCATCACATAACGGGGGCTCTAGCTTGCTCGCACCCAGGTAAAATTTGTGAAGCACTTACTTTGCTCTCTCCCGAGGCTCAATAAGATTTCTCTTCTGAAAACTCTTGAACCGGTCTTTTGCAATGCTACCTTCCGGCTTCAGAGGAAAAAAAAAAAAAAAAAAATAGATCTTTATTACAAACAGCTTGATCAACAAGGAAAGAAACTATTAACACGCAAATTATTCAAATACATTTCATGCAGACAGACCCAGAGTGTAGCACAGCATGGCACGAAGTTTACCTTCAAATTGCGCAGTGTCCCAGGCAGTTCATCACTCAGGAGCACAGCTACATCACCCTCCTGATACCTGGGATTTGAGAGACGAACAATCAAAACAAAGAAAAATAAAGCAGATTATGGTGTAGACTACAGTCGATCCTGTTAAATGATTATATCGCTATACCAATATGTAACCATTTGTTACATTCTGGAGCACGTTTTGAAAGCATTCCTAAAACCCCTTAATATTTCTGTAACTCTGAAGGAAAAGCCCCATGAGCTGAGCTTTACCAATATTCATAAACCGTAATCTTTACACGAAATCTGTTTCAGAATGTAGGATTTATCCATACCTATCAAGTTAGTCCATTTCTTGTTAATTTCCTTTAAAATAAAAATACTATAGTAAACGGATAACATTAATCATTTCTATGCCCCGCACTCAGAACCTGGGGATCAGGTAGCACCCCACAGCCTAAGGACACCCAGGGTTGAGCTCACATTCCCAGCATGCACTGCTGCAAGTTCTCACAGCACAAGGATGGGTACATAATGTCCTGACCAGCTAACCATGAAAAGAAAAAGTGAGCGACAGCCCCTGGACGCGCACTTACTTCAGACGGCCCAGTCGCTTTGGCTTAAAGGCATCCGCCTTCCGTTCCTCCTCCCTTTTTTCCTTGCGGCGCACAGACTCAGCCTGCTGCTGCGATATCTCGGCACGGATTGAGCGCAGCTGGAATAATTCCTGACCATGTTTCTTCAGGGATTTCTCTGCCTCCATCTTGACTTTCTGGCAAGGAAAACAAGAAATCTTGTGTCAACTGACCAAAACTGCACAAACCAAAGCGACCAAATTCAAACAAGACAGCTGTAGGTTAAAAATGAAAATGGCAATAAATTTCATTTCACACTCTGCAATGCTCACTGCTGGGAAGAGATCAAAGACTAAACAGGGGAACACTTTGAGAGCAGATAGAAAAGTCACGTGACTCATAAGCTGGAGTTGGCACGGTGCCCAGCTGGCACAGAATTATCCAGAATGGACGTCAGAGCTCTGATTCAAGGGCACTACTGCTTAACCTGGGCAGGGTGGCAGGTTTACACTAGTGGCCCTCACCACAAGTCTCCTATTCAAACCGTTAAATAAAAAAAATAATCACAGAAAATATCTTATGAAAATGGTGGGATTCCCTGGCACCCAATGCTCATGCCATCTTTCCCAAGTTCAAAAGGCATACCCTCAACGTACGAACATGCAGAGCCAGCTCTGCACCACAGCCCTCTCTGTACAGCTAAACTGCCGTTTGCTGCAGCCCTTTTGCGTATCACCAAAAGGGTACCAAATTGGTCGTAAGGTGCTGGAGAGTTCACCATTACTGCCAAACCGTAATGATAGCATGCATCATAACCCCTGCAATCACGGTGGAGCTTAAAGGACTTGTATCTGTTTAACGCTACATAACTGGAATATAAATTCAGGCTCGATTTACTAAGTCAGGAGACCAGGTTTCATATTTTCAAAACGTTCTGTATGAGTCTCATTTAGCGATTAGGCAAATAAACAGTTACAAAATAAGACATGGCCTGGAGGTCTGCCTGCTTGTGTTAAGCTGCTTGAGATGTGTTCAGGAAGCAGCATGTGTTACGGTCCCTTTAAGGATCAAGCACTGGACACTGCAATAGAAATTCCAGCACACGATTCAGAATGATATTCTGTCAGCGCCCTCAGAACCCAGGGATTGGGAAACTCACCAAAACCCCAGGACACCCAGTGTTAACATCACATTCCCAGCATGTATTGCTGTAAATTCTCACAGCGCAAGGATGGGTCTCTTCATTGGGCGGTTAGGCAGACACAGCACACTTTGATGCCACAACTGATCATGTCTGACCTGGAATGGGAAACTATACAAAGATCTTACCAAAATCCTGGCCTCTTTCTCCTTCTTCCTCTGTCGCTCTGTCTTCTTCTCCCTTTGTGCCATTGGGGTAGTTCCCAGCTCTTCACCCTCACCATCTTCAAGCGTGGCGTCATCGTCCGACTCCACGAGTCCCTCACACAGTTCCTGAAACTGGCTCTCCTGCACACAGTAATCGAGACAGATTGAATGATTAAGCCATTTTATATGGAAAAACTGGATCCAGAATTAGATCTTAAATGATTAACGCAAATAAGTTTCCAACTAAACACTGAGCCAGCAAGTCAAATCTTATTCCTTGCCACCGTCTTCACTCTGCAGATAGCAGCTAGACAATGCATTCTGGGATTGAATGTGCAGCAAATACTCCCAGTGTTACTCTGAATTGTTGGGAATTTAAAAGGAATGTCAAGTTCACTAGATCTTCAGTTCTGCTATCTTGATAAAAGGTTATAAAAAATAAAAATAGTACTTTACATTCTTGACATTTATTGAATAAACCTACATATAAAAAGATAAGTTCATCCAGATGCAAGGCACAGATAATGAGCTTTTTAAAGGTGCCCAAGTATTTGGGTTTTTGCTAGAGTTACGATTAAACGCACAGCTCTGGAGCAGCCAGAGTATCTGTCTGTACTAGAAGAGTTTCACAAACATCTCATTCTGTAAACTGCAGTGGGACCCACATAAGACAGGGAGGTGGGCTGCCAGGAGCCATTACTTCTTACAGCCAGGTAAACGAGTCAGGGAGGCGAAGCGTCAGTTCAGGAGGTTGGGTACAATATGTGCAGAAAGTTATTGTGGCTGCCGGAAACTGTCATTATTGTGGCTGCCGGAAACTGTCATTAGCACAGTTGTTTGACTGTGTAATATGTCACTGCTCGCTGGAACAAGGACCATGCAGAGCTGCCCACAGTAGACAATGGTGGTGAGCAGCAGTGACACACAGAGCTTCTATCCAAACACACTGACCTGTGTAGCAACTTCAGCCGCTGTGGGGAGTTTCACCTGTCGCTCCAGCTTTTCCTCTTGTCTCAACCTCTTCACTTCATTCTCATGAGCCTGGAGGAGCAGAGACTGGAAGGGGCGGGTAAACAAAAAAAATTCATATCATGATAAAACCGAAGGACCAACGGACAATGTTTTCCACTCACAATAAAAGTATTCCCATACTTTAAGATAACCAGCGTCGTCCTACTGCACCTGTCATATATACAAACACTTACACAGCACGACGGCACGCTCGCCACAAGGATATTAACCATCCACGATCCTAGTGCAGGCAAACCAGAATAAAAATGGAGAGGCTAGAAGGGTCCGAATATTCTTAGTTTCTGGTACGAAACAAATTTATTGTCCACGAAAGTCACATGGTGAATTGTAAATTATTATTTTAGAATTACAGGGTTATGTACTAAGCAAAACTGGTTGAGACAGACAAAATTATTTCCCTGTTTGTCCATCACTGCAGAATGTTAGCCCTATGAATATCTGACAGCGCGATTCCATCCTGCGAAAGTTAGATAATACCAACAGCAGCTAAAAGGCAATACACCCATATAATTCAAGGCACAGGCATTAATCTTAAAGGATCACTAAGGGCACTGAAAGCAGTTCAAGTCAATGAAGCAGTTATGATGCCTGGAGTCCACAGACGCCCGATTACCTTTTAGTGCTACACAGTTGGTTTCAACAGTTTTACACTAAAATGGCGTTATAGAGGCAGAGGTCAGCTTCCACTACCATGCTCGCAAATGTGCATCAGCTGCGGACACATTCAGCCAGTCACTGGCTGCCCATAGCGAGCAATGCTACAGAAACACTTTCTACAGAATGTTTACCTGATGTGACTCAAACGTTGGGTTGTAGGAGGCGCCAGGATTCAGGACCTCGATGGCTGGCAGCTGTGAAGGTTTGACATTCAGTCTGCTGGGACGCTGGTAGAGAGCAAGGAGCAAAGTGAGAAAAACGTTCACATGCATTCAACATTGGTAAAAATTCTATACAACCATGTAACACATTAACCTCGTCACAGGGCCAAAAATATAGGCCAATCGCCACGCTTAAATACAAAATGTGTCCTTGAATTCTACAAATAAAGTGAACTCACGACTTTTGGATCCCACAAACATTCACTTTGTGTAAGCAGACTTATTTTGCCCATTGATTGCTTTCCCTCGTAAACCCAGTTCTGGCCCATTTTCCTCAGCCCAGACTGACCTTCACTTGGCCTTTCTTGGTCTGCTGACTGTGCCAGCTCTCTGGTTCTCCAGGGGAAGGTTCTAATGAGTCTGGGAAAAGAGGACATAGGACTGAGATGTTAACTGCTCTGGTACAGACTGTGTGAAACTTTGACATGTCACTTTAATTAGAACCTAAATTTTTGTTTCAGACAAGATTTTGAGCCTGACGCCAGCCAGGTAACAGATTTAGAACAACCCTGGTGCCTACACTGGGTTCCCACCAGACTGCAACCACCACTCAACAACCCACTGTCTACCAAGGACAAGTAGATAGCTTACCGTCTTCCCAGAGATCATAAAAGCCTCTGCCAGGATTGTTATTGGCCTCTGGTTTGCAGCGGGGCCTCTTATTCCTCAGCTGTGCCTGGAGGAGCCTCTCTGATCTGGGCAAAACACCTTGTGCTGCCAACTTCTCCTCTCGTTCCAGCTTCCTCTTTAACTTGCGCCCATTGGGAACCTGATGTGAGGAGATGCTGCAGTAAGGAAACAGGACAAGATACAAGGATCAGAAAAGCAGGCAGCAAAGGGCTTCACATGCCACATGTCCTCATACTGTGTAAACCGCAAGTCCCTGCAATCTCCGCCACCACGGCTATACTTACAGTGGCTAATCATTTTCATGTAATTGGTAAATATGCTTTAAATTGACAGTGCGCACAAAAAAAAAAAAAGAGCAAAGCAGTTTTAATATAAACAAAAAACTAAACACGTTTTTTTAAAAGCAATCAAAATAATGAGGCAAGAGAGAACGTGTAAAACACTCCGATGAAGGACAATAAAACTTGTCCAATACTGCCCCCTACTGTACACAAATATAAGCAGTTTGTTACCTGCACAGACACCATTGCCAAGCGTAAATAACGGAATATTTTATGCCAGCATGCAGAATATGCTGGACACTGGCTGGGCAGATCGCAGTGATTCTCTGAGGAGTGAGATTATTTACTGAAGTGAGAAATGTCAAGAACCTTAAATTTAAGGGCCAAGTGGAGAAATTCTCCAAGTCAGCTATGCTTCCAGTTCGGCTACTTTTGTCTGAAATTAAATCTTGATGACTTCACTGTAGATGGATCTGATAAGGATTTCTGACATGTTTAAGAACATTATACACCACACACAGATTTGGTAACCAAAATTAACACCAACATTCTAGAAATATATTTTAATAAGAGCCTTAAAACCAGTTTTTACACTTTGAATCCCACTGGGAATAGCCAACATGACGACATGTTTGTAAACTAGAAATCCTATAAGGCTCTGCCAATCTAAACTCTACAGGAAGTGATCTAAAATTAAACTCATTCTGATATTTCCATTTTTCTCAATAGGAGAACTTTGCCTGTTGCACAAACCCCAGAAAACCAGGGGTTAGTGGGACATGTAAAATCCCATTCACAGCTTCCATTTCCTTATAGAGAAAGTAACTCATGACTGCTGTAGATATAAAGCGCTGAATGAAAGGAAACGAGGAGCGAATTGGCATTCCGAAACTTGGAATGACTAAAAGCAGTCAAGGTGGGGAAAAAAGGGTTAAATACTTACTCTTTGGGTGCAGGAACTTTGGAGTCTGGCTGAAGGATCAGGTCTATTCTGAGAGGTTTAACCTTTTTCTTTGCAGCTACAGCTGGTAGATACATTGAATATAGATTAATACATTTTAGGCACAGATGCACACAGTGTAAAACAAGCAGCAGTTCAGTTTCCTATCAGAACAGTCTTTACTCCCACATAGCCTAACAAAAAGCACAGAGTCCTGCTACAGGCACTAAATAAGATAGGCTGCGATCACAAGGGAGATCTTCCAGAGGGGTATTAATCCTGCTTTACTACCCAGATAGAGTTAAAAGGACAAGGCTGAAAGTGACTCCATTGCTTTAATAGAGTGTGGCACAGCATAGGAGAAAAGGGGAGTAAAAATCACCTTTAATATCCAAAGAGAGGGGGACCAGGGACACAATGCTGCATTTCAGCACTATAGTGTCAGGAAGACATTCGTCTAGCGTTCATTCAAACAAAAATGAGAAAAAGAAAAAAAAAAAACGGGAAAGAGCATGAGATGTAACAAAATGCAATATGCGAAAAGAAAAAGGAAATTTAAATTATGAGCTTTAGTATCAAGCCCACAGATGCAACATTCAGTTATAACAAAATATACTGAGTGGACCAAACTGAAATGAAGGATGAGTTAGCATTAACCATACCTTTCTTCTTGTCACCAGTGTCTACAAAGAATAAATGGTCATCTGCCTTCTCTGAAAGCATCCCCCTGGAATGAAAGAAAAGATAATTTAACCATGTTCACAGTACGTAACTCTGGAGTAGAGAGATCATGTCTAGCTAAGGACGAATTTGGAAAATATACCAAGAAGGGTTAAATAAACCAATGTTACCCGGTACAATAGAAACGTTGTGTGCGCCAAGTTTCCAGATTTCAATTTAACACCAAATAATTCTTGTCATTACCCTTATCCAATTCCCTGCATTACAGTCCATGGTGCCATGATTTCACCCCCTCATATATGCCAAGTCTATCAGACCCACTCTCTGCACAAACTATGGGCATCATAATATCCACTGCTGGCACATGTTTAGCTCCCAGTGTATGTGCACTGCCCCTGGAAAGGCTCCGAGCAGAATATACATTTTACCATGTGTTTGGTAGGTAGGTGGCCGTGCCCCGGGTTAGTGGCGGCGGATGGCTGAGGGGGAGAGGGGGGTGGTGGCTGGCTGAGGGTGCCTGGGGGGGAGGCCAGCTGGCTGAGGGTACTGGTGCTGTGTGGGGGGATGGTGGGTGGCTGAGGGGTGGTGGTGTGGCTGAGGTGGCTGGCTGTGGTTGGCTGAGGTGCTGGTGGCTGTGGGGGGATGGTGGTGGCTGGCTGAGGGGGATGGTGGGTGGCTGGCTGGGGTGCTGGGTGGCTGTGTGGGGGATGGTGGGTGGCTGGCTGAGGGGGTGGTGGTGGTGGCTGGCTGAGGTGGCTGGTGGTGGTTGCTGAGGGTGCTGGTGGCTGTGTGGGGGGATGGTGGTGGCTGGCTGAGGGGGATGGTGGTGGCTGGCTGAGGGGGGATGGTGGGTGGCTGGCTGAGGGTGCTGGTGGCTGTGTTGCGGGGGGGGATGGTGGATGCTGGCTGAGGGGGGGGGGGCGGTGGCTGGCTGGTGTGGTGGGAGTCTCACCCCGCCGTTCTCTCCTGCAGGCGGACATCGTCCAGGAATTCCTCCACATCCCGGATGTCGCTGTGCCGGTTCCAGTTCTTCTTCTTGTTGCGGTTGACCCGCTTCCTCGCGGTCTCGGGCTTCCTCCCGCCTCGCGCCCCGGGAGTGAACCCCAGGAACCCAGCCTGACCCACGCGGCCAGCGGGAGCCGCCATCTTCTCACACAGCGGAAGTGACGCATTGCGCTCAGGGCAGGAAATACGTCACCGGCGGCGGCCATCTTTGTACAGGCTAGAAACCGGAAGTAAGTCCGTGTCCTTGCGCCCGCCCCTTCCGTTAACAGGAGACTCAAAACAAGAAAAAAAAATAAATGCCTTGAAATTCCTAAACCGAGAGAAGGTTCCACCAACCAGGATCCTCTCATTATGGTGTTTGGAAAATGATTCATCCCATAATGCCCTGCGGCGGAGAGAGGCTCTGTCTACACAGTGTCATGGAGGCTTGATTGACAGCTCGGGGGGGCGGGGCTATAACTGATATTTCTATAAATATTTCCCGTTATTATCACTGTCTGTATTATCACCGGCTGCCAGTACTGTCATCATGTCAGCAGTATCCTTTAATTGGGAGATTCTTAGCATGAAAAGCAGATTCCCTGGGTAAAAGCAGATTCTCAGATGGAGTGGGCAGATTCTCAGGGTGAAGCAGCAGATTCCCTGGGTAAAAGAGCAGATTCTCATGAGGGATAGGCAGATTCTCAGGGTGAAGGAGCAGATTCCCTGGGTAAAAGCAGATTCTCAGGAGGGATAGGCAGATTCTCAGGTGAAGTGGGGCAGATTCTCAGGGTGAAGGAGCAGATTCCCTGGGTAAAAGAGCAGATTCTCGGGTGGAGTGGGGTAGATTTTTAGGAAGAATAGGCAGATTCCCAGAGTGAAGGGTTAATTCACATGGTGAATGACCACCTCCCGGTTAGCTATCATAATCAACAACATTTTGTACAAATTTTTATTGAGGGGGGCTGGCTACGGGTTAGCCCCCCTGAAAATGATTGTTAATATTGCATATTTTAGAGTAGATCTAACGAAAAAAATTGTTGATCAAACCTGATCTAACAAAGATCTAACAAATGGAATAATCTTTTGTTAAAATTCTCAATATGGGGGGCTAACCCGGGGTGGTTAGCGAATGGGCACATTTTTAGGAGGAATGGGTAGATACTCCGTGTCAATGAGCAGATTCTCCAGGTGAAAGGGTAGATTCTCAGGGTAAATGAGCAGATTCTCACGGTAAATGAGCAGATTCTCAGGGTGAATAGTTTGATTTTCAGGGGGAATAAGTAGATTCTCAGAATGAATGGGCAGATCATAAGAGTGAAGGAGCAGATTCTCAGGCGGTGTGGGTTAGATACTCAGTGTCAATGAGCAGATTTTCTGGCTGAAAGGGTAGATTCTCAGAATAAATGGGCAGATTATCAGAGTGAAGGAGCAGATTCTCAAGGTAAGTGTGCAGATTCTCAGGGTAAAGGAGCAGATTCTCAGGGTGAATGGTTCAATTCTCTGGAGGAATAAGTAGATTCTCAGAATGAATGGGCAGATTATAAGAGTGAAGGAGCAGATTCTCAGGCGGAGTGGGGTAGATACTCAGTTTCAATGAGCAAATTTTCTGGGTGAAAGTGTAGATTCTCAGAATGAATGGGCAGATTCTCAGGGTGAAGGAGCAGATTCTCAGGGTGAATGGTTAAATTCTCTGGATGAATAGGCAGATTATCAGAGTGCACGGGTAGATTCACAAGATGAATGGGCTGATTATCAGGAGGAATGGGCAGATTCTTTTGGTTAACATTCAAATCCACACAATCTAGTATTTATTTTCCAATTTAAAGTAAGTATTACAGATTTATAACACCCTGAATTCCACACAGTCTGTTTAACTCCTTCATTTACTTCAAAAGTAAAAATCACAAAGCAAAACATCCACAATAATAAAAACGTGTCCGAGCGATCATCTGTAATGAACACGGTTTATTCAGATAGAGCACAGTTTGTCGTGGCAACCATTAGTTTTATTGATGATAAACAGTCTGCAAAGGATTATGGGAAATGTAGGGAATCCATTATTTGATTGTCTTGCTCGGCATGCGTGTTTGTGGTTTGATGGCGCATGTGTGTGCCTGATGAGACACGAGTAAAGATAGAAAGCTCCGGGCGTGGATTCCAGGGGAAACCACAATATACACCCACATCTGGCATACGAAGTGCCAGGCATGCCAACCCAGCTTGCGTCACTAGAGGGCGCTGAGGCTTCAAGGATGTTTCTCGCTGGGGGGACCATTCCCCTTGTACTGTATATACTCAGAGCACCTGCTGCACATAATCCCATACCTTCTAACAGTCCTGGATCCGGCCATACAGTCCTGATTTCATACCTCTGTCCAGTATTGTTTTCTCTGATATTGCATACTGTCTGCTTGTGTCCGTTGCAGGAATTCTCCCCATGCAATACACACGGCACCCTAATTGACTGGCAAACCTGTCCGTCTACTCTGGCATTGCCAATTGGTAAATGTCAAGAAAGTAAAAATGTACAGAACAAGACGTATTGAAGGCCCTGCTTCAAAGAGCTTACACTCTAAACACGTGGTCACTTGCAGGAGTTGATAACAGCATGCTAGCGCCTCCTAATGACCATAAAGTGCGTCACGTACGTTTTCAGTCATTTATTAAACTTGAAGAAATATTGTGGGAGATTTATAAAAAGTGACTCCGACTGTTCTCACACCAGTATTTTTTGTGAAATTCTTTGCAGTTTTCTTGATGTGCCCTTCCTGACAGTTTCATAATGAGCCTTATTTTTGTCAGTTTTAATAGTGGCGCTGTTGTTGTCCTCTCTGATGGACGTAGAGATGAGGAGTTCTGTTATTGGCGTCTCATATGAAATCTAAACACTAAAACCACCAGTAGTGAGATCTAGTTTATACAGTGTCCAGGGTTATATAAAAATAAAGTACACCCACAAGTAGAGAGCGCTCTGTTATCTTTCTTATGGTCTTACTTATTGTTTAATGAATAAAAGAAGTCCTTCGATTGTCTTGGCTTTCCTGATATTAATCCTTTGTCTAATTTTGTGAATCTTATCAATGGTAAACTGAAATCATCAGGAAAAGGGAGCAAAAAAACTCAGAAAGAGGAATGAAAAGTGCCAGAAAGACAAATTATTTTGTCACATTACAAAAGAGTGTAAGAAAGGTCCCCAATGTACAAAGACGGAGTGATCATATTACACATAACAAAATGGCGTATGTGTACAACACTGACGCAAATGTGAAAGTGTGTTTTCTATATTACCCCCATAAATGCCAGACACACTTGACCCAAATTATGTAGATGAGAAATTAATTGTTTGGTGCGTGATTTGCCCCCTGTGCAATGTCTGGGCTCCTTTGTCACAGGTGTATTAGCAGATATGTTCCTGTCCACCTGTGAATAAGCAGTCCCAGCAGGCTACGTTATTGGCAGTGGAGATGTTTTAGGGCTGACACAGTGAAGACAGGGTTACTAGGCTGAATGTTTAAATAAAGTGTGAAGTATGTGAAACATTTTTCCTGCGGATCCCAGCATTCCTTGTTAAGTAAATAACGCCATACCCACAGCTCTCTAATCCTAGAAATGGGAGGGGGTAGTACGCAGGGTCACGGGCAGGGTATGGCCAAGGGGGGATTAATGCCCATTACTATCCCAGGTATTAAGCAAGGTTCACCGAGTAATTTATGACTTTCTCCAAGAAATATTTTAGGAAAACAATTGAGGGAAACGGCGTTAGTAACAGAGAAGCACTTAACATGCCGTTCCTTCAACTACAAAAAACACTGTTACACAGGATATCCACATTGCTAACAGAATGACACTGTTTCTCAATTGCAAATATACGTAAATAAGTCCTGCGCTCAAACTCCCACTACTCCTGGGCAGCAGCAATGGCTATATTATACATCAGTCCCAATACATACAATAAAAAGCAGAGACAATAGTTACTTGTGCACTATCCCAAATCCCAATGCATATTTAAATAACTGGTTTCAGTATCACTCCAATGGCCATTTAAGTGTCAGCTCACCTGCCACATCAAAGCAAAACCTCTTAGGTGAGTTCTACACTAATAATTCAAAGCGCTACTTTCAGCTTTAGGGACAAAATCTCTAATGAGACTGAGAGGGGCATCAGCATGGCTGTGTAATACAAAAAAAAATACAAACATCCAAAATGAAGCCCTGCTCTCAATCTCACACAGCCTCGGTGGGTTACTATTACATGGTAAAGGGGAGGTTTTTACAGATTACTTTTACCCTTATTACCATTCTTGTTTGTAGTACCCTCTGATTATTATCTGTTTAATAATACTTTTTGAGAATCCACTGCTTTTTCCTGTATTTCATCCATTAGTCACATTGGCACCTTTGAACCTTGTATTCGGAGCCCGGGATGGCTCTGGAGCATGTGAGTGATATTTCACCCCATCCCCTTACTTGACATGTTTACCGTTCACACTATGTGGTTGTCCATTCTGTTTTTATAGGTATCCTATGTTTATAGTGTGATTCCCAGACAACTGAATTAGTTTGTATACTTGTTATTGTTTTCACTGATGCACTCGGGGTATTTTACACCGATATATATTTTATATTTGACTAGTTTTTGTAAGGTTGTACACCGATTCTATATTGCTTTACAGGCCCTCCTCCTGCGTCATGTCTGTTATTGCTGAGCAATGTGTGAGCTGTGCCTTCAGTTTGTCTAATCTCAGCTGATCCTCTGACCTGACATACTTTCACTCTGGTGAGGAATCTGAGGCCGGCTTGGCAGGGAGGGTGAGATTTCCAAACTAGGCAACCCCCTAGCCTAGTTACACATACCACGGGCTGCATCCTTCTGTAAATCTGGACGGAATTCCGAATATTTCAGTCTGGTTTGGGAAATATTGAACCTTTCATATATTTTACATCCATATTTTTCCAGCTACGGATTCTTGGACCAGTGAGGACCGATTAAGGGAAATATCGCTAACACAGAACGTTGCGCAGCTCTGGAGTCAGGGAACCGAGATTTGTGATAACATGGCTGCTGACAGCTAACATTCCTCAGTGCTCCCTAATATAGGGCTCAAGTAAACTTTCACTCACTTGTCCATTACAAAGAGAACCTATTGCATATGACCTTCGATGAGGTCCAGGTGATCCCCCCCCCACGGCAATGAGCTTGGCCGAAGGATAGTCTGACTGTGTTTAAAAACTATAATTAATGGGGAGCTATAGGCACCCAGAGGAAACCATTTCATTGACATGGTGTGGGTGGCGTGCCTCCTTGCTATGCTAATTATTGCAGTTTCTGAGAAACAGCAATAATTATATTGCAGCGCTAACCTCTTCTCTAGTGGCCATCTCCTAGACACCAAAGGGGTTCCTGGTGTTTCACAGAGTTTTACTCTGAACGCTTTGTTTGAGGACCAGAGGAAAGCATTGATTCTATACTTTGCTACGGTGAAGCCCCAATGCGCTTATCACGTCAATGAAGCATTAATAGTGAACACATGGGGTGGGTGGCAGTACTGTAATACAAACATTGTACATAGGGATTTGGGATAGTGTTTGATTTTTACTGTAGGTATTGGGGATGATGTGTACTATAGTCATTGCTGCTGCCCAGGAGTAGTGGGAGTTTGGGTGAAAAAAGAAAACCAATGTATTAAAAAGGGTTACAGTTTAAAGGGTAATCCAGATGTGGCTCCCTCACTCATTATACCTAGAAATGTATGTGCCTTTCTCCATGACGAGGGGCCAGTGATTGCCAAAATGACAGTCTTGTAGATGGGATCAGTCTATTATGATTAATTCCCTCTGTAATGGCACAAGTGAGCTATATTATAATATGATATATTAATGTATTGTATCTCAGTATTACTGTATGGACCGGGCTGCCATATAGCTGTATAATAAAACCATTACTGTATGGACTGGGCTGCCATATAGCTGTATAATAAAACCACTACTGTACGGACCAGGCTGCCATATAGCCGTATAATAAAACCATTAGTGTACGGACTGGGCTGCCATATAGCTGTATAATAAAACCATTAGTGTATGGACCAGGCTGCCATATAGCTGTATACTAAAACCATTAGTGTATGGACCGGGCTGCCATATAGCTGTATACTAAAACCATTAGTGTATGGACCGGGCTGTCATATAGCTGTATAATGAAACCATTAGTGTATGGACCGGGCTGTCATATAGCTGTATACTAAAACCATTACTGGACGGACCGGGCTGCCATATAGCTGTATAATAAAACCATTACTGTACGGACCGGGCTGCCATATAGCCGTATAATAAAACCATTAGTGTACGGACCGGGCTGCCATATAGCTGTATAATAAAACCATTAGTGTATGGACCGGGCTGCCATATAGCTGTATAATAAAACCATTCGTGTATGGACCGGGCTGCCATTTAGCTGTATAATAAAACCATTACTGTACGGACCAGGCTGCCATATAACTGTATAATAAAACCATTACTGTATGGACTGGGCTGCCATATAGCTGTATAATAAAACCATTAGTGTATGGACCGGGCTGTCATATAGCTGTATAATAAAACCACTACTGTACGGACCAGGCTGCCATATAGCCGTATAATAAAACCATTAGTGTACGGACCGGGCTGCCATATAGCTGTATAATAAAACCATTAGTGTATGGACCGGGCTGCCATATAGCTGTATAATAAAACCATTCGTGTATGGACCGGGCTGCCATATAGCTGTATAATAAAACCATTCGTGTATGGACCGGGCTGCCATTTAGCTGTATAATAAAACCATTACTGTACGGACCAGGCTGCCATATAACTGTATAATAAAACCATTACTGTATGGACTGGGCTGCCATATAGCTGTATAATAAAATCATTAGTGTATGGACCGGGCTGCCATATCGCTGTATAATAAACCATTAGTGTATGGGCTGGGCTGCCATATAGCTGTATAATAAAACCATTACTGTAAGGACCGGGCTGCCATATAGCTGTATAATAAAACCATTACTGTATGGACTGGGCTGCCATATAGCTGTATAATAAAACCATTAGTGTATGGACCGGGCTGCCATATCGCTGTATAATAAAACCATTACTGTACCTACCAGGCTGCCATATAGCTGTATAATAAAACCATTAGTGTATGGACCGGGCTGCCATATAGCTGTATAATAAAACCATTAGTGTATGGACCGGGCTGCCATATAGCTGTATAATAAAACCATTACTGTATGGACCAGGCTGCCATATAGCTGTATAATAAAACCATTACTGTATGGACCGGGCTGCCATATAGCTGTATAATAAAACCATTAGTGTATGACCAGGCTGCCATATAGCTGTATAATAAAACCATTACTGTATGGACCAGGGCTGCCATATAGCTGTATAATAAAACCATTAGTGTATGGACCGGGCTGCCATATATATTAGTGTATGGACTGTATATAGCTGTATAATAAAACCACTACTGTACGGACCAGGCTGCCATATAGCCGTATAATAAAACCATTAGTGTACGGACCGGGCTGCCATATAGCTGTATAATAAAACCATTAGTGTATGGACCGGGCTGCCATATAGCTGTATAATAAAACCATTCGTGTATGGACCGGGCTGCCATATAGCTGTATAATAAAACCATTCGTGTATGGACCGGGCTGCCATATAGCTGTATAATAAAACCATTACTGTACGGACCAGGCTGCCATATAACTGTATAATAAAACCATTACTGTATGGACTGGGCTGCCATATAGCTGTATAATAAAACCATTAGTGTATGGACCGGGCTGTCATATAGCTGTATAATAAAACCATTAGTGTATGGACCGGGCTGTCATATAGCTGTATAATAAAACCATTACTGTATGGACCAGGCTGCCATATAGCTGTATAATAAAACCATTACTGTACGGACCAGGCTGCCATATAGCTGTATAATAAAACCATTACTGTATGGACCGGGCTGCCATATAGCTGTATAATAAAACCATTACTGTATGGACCGGGCTGTCATATAGCTGTATAATAAAACCATTACTGTACGGTTAAGGCTGCCATATAGCTGTATAAATGGTATATATATATATATATATACCGTGTATAGATGTTGGTTCCGGTGCATTTCAGCATGTGAGATAAGTGTTGGTTCCGGTCCATTTTAGCCTGTGAGATAAGTGTTGGTTCTGGTCCATTTCAGCATGTGAGATAGATGTTGGTTCCGGTCCATTTCAGTACAATATGGTGCTGTTGCTTTTCAGCAGCCTAGGTGTTAATGAAAGGGTTTGCAGGTCAGAGAATCCGCAGGTGAGTTTTATTTAGAAATGTTATTTTTTCTGTTTATATTCAGAGAACACACGTTTGCTATGGCTTCCAACAGCGCGGTCGCCCTAATAACATGACACAGAGGAGACCCAGAGGTGGGTAAATGCCATTTATTGAAGGACAGTGAGGTAAGTACACACATTGGAGGCGTTGGCCGCTTTGGATACAGTCCAGTAATAACACAGACAGACGTGACAGATACAGGCATTCACGCTGTGTCTTTAAATAAACTCTGTGCAGAGAGCGATGCAATAGCTGCAGACAGGACACACAGCCACTGCTTATTCCTCAAACTATCAGCTTATACAGGGTGCGGCAAGGGACAGAGAGGGTTAACAGCAGCCACAGACATGTCATTTAAATGCAGAACTACCTCAATGTTTTCAATCCAGATGTCCTGGACTTAAATGTACATTTCCACTATTAGTCCTTGTATAAAATAAAGCTTTACTGCCAAAGATATGATTGAAAAAGCCATGAAAGTTTAAAATTAAAATTTATTTCTAATATAGTTTGTCATCGGCCTGATTCCCAGTAGTAGGGATTATACTCCAAAACTGGGAATGAAGAAGGGATTGTACATGTTAAAGTAAAATTGGACACAGATCCGGCTCTCGTTTTCCTTACTAAGAGACAATCCCCCGTACTATAATCCTAGCAGTGTAGTAGTTATAGTAGTATAGTAATATATTTGACCTGGCCTGTCGCTTTATTAGGGAGCACGCTATAACAGCAATGTTGAATCAATGAATTGCCTCGTTATAAACTCACATCCTGTTTCATATTCTGATAATTTTATCATTTTTTACCAGGTGACCATTCCATGTATGGTTAAATAATCTGGTAGTATCCAGAAAGACTGTCCCTCGGTTGGTTACTTGTTCCACCATCCAGTAGCCCAAGACGTTTCTACAATCACCCAGTAGCTAAGGTCAGTATTACACTTGGCTGTGTTCTGTGTTTGTTTTTTTACAATCTTAGCTATTTTGACAAACTTTCCATTTGTCCATCACTGCTTAGCCAATAAACCCCTTTGAGTTGTATTGAGCGCATCCCTAGAGGTTCTCCATCCCTAGAGGTTCTCCATCACTAGAAGTTCCCCATGCCCTAAGGGTCTCCATCACTAGAAGTTCCCTATGCCCTTAAGGTTCTCCATCACTAGAAGTTCCCCATGCCCTAGAGGTTCTCCATCACTAGAAGTTCCCCATGCCCTATAGGTTCTCCATCACTAGAATTTCCTCATGCCCTAGAGGTTCTCCATCACTAGAAGTTCCCCATGCCCTAGAGATTCTCCATCACTAAAAGTTCCCCATGTCCTAAAGGTTCTCCATCACTAGAAGTTCCCCATGCCCTAGAGGATCTCCATTTCTAGAAGGTCCCCAATGTCCTAGAGATTCTCCATCCCTAGAAGTTCCCCATGCCCTAGAGATTCTCCATCACTAAAAGTTCCCCATGTCCTAAAGGTTCTCCATCACTAGAAGTTCCCCATGCCCTAGAGGATCTCCATTTCTAGAAGGTCCCCAATGCCCTAGAGATTCTCCATCCCTAGAAGTTCCCCATGCCCTAGAGCAGGCATAGGCAACCTTTGGCACTGCTGATGTTTTGGCCTACACCTCCCATGATGCTTTGCCAGCATTATGGGTGTAAGAGCATTATGGGGGACGTAGTCCACATCATCTGGAGTGCCAAAGGTTGCCTACCCCTGCCCTAGAGGTTTTCCATCAGTACAGGTGCTACAATTATAGAAGTTATCCATGCCCTAGAGGTTCTCCATCCCAAAGGTTTCTCTATGCCCTACAAGTTCTTCGTGCCCTATAGGTTCTCCATTTCTAGAGGTTCTCAATCCCAAAAAGGTTCTCTGTGCCCAGGGTTAATGCCTCCACTACTGTTTAATCCCTGAACATTGACTCTAACATTATCTGCAAATAGTCTGTAGTGTCTGAAAGTGATCAGAAAGCTCTCCCTGGGACCTTGTCACCTCTCCCTTCCTGAGATCAGCATGTGAGATAAGATAATGTCCTGATTTCTGTTCCCAGAGCTGTTATGACGGTTTCCTTCCTCCTTTCAAGTTGTCTGGAATAACCATTTATTGCTCTCTTTTCTGCTATCAGTAACAGTCATTCATCTTACAGTCACTCTTTAGATTTGTTACCTTGCACTCCCTACACATACACAAGCTTTCACTAAATCTCTATCAGTGGCTTATAATAACAACCACACGTGTATATACCTCCAGGCATTAAAGGGGCCAACAAAACATATTATAATCACGTCTGGAGCATGCTGGGACAGATTCTGGGCAAATATCGTCCATAAATGGTCAGTCCATGTGCTGGCAATCGATTTACACATTAGGGACGCAGCATGTCCAGAAGTTTTTTAAAGGGCCCCAAAAGGCCACACTCTTTGAAATCAGTCTTCATGACCCACCAGGGTCGCCAGTGGATTACATAGTTCTGTTCCACTGGGGACAGCTGATTAAACCTGAGCTGCAAGACTGGTCGGAGAAGATAAATATCTGAGAATTCCTGTAGGCTGGGGTGGAAGAGTGCACAGTGCGTGTCAAGCTCAACTCTTCCCCAATCTATATTGTGTCAGAACAGATGGGCAGAAAAAAGGACAGTCTGCCATGCGACCCAACTACCAGCTCAATCGGCGAAGAGGGAATTTATTTTTCGGAAGCTGGTGAAATGCATATTGATTTTGGATGAAGAAAATACATTTTGGAGGCTATCTCGCAGCCAGGTATCTGAACAGATAAACAGTATACAATGGTAGCTCATAGCATGAAACTAACGCTCCCTCTTTCCTGCAAACTTACACTGAAATACATTATTATTCCGGCCTGGGGCCCCAGTACATATCCAGGGGGCTATTCGGGTGCCAATGTGGTACCATGGAAATCATGGCCCAGAACATAATCTACATAGAGAAGGATGTTAAATTCCACAAATAATGTTTAATTCTCCTGTCAAGAGATAAAAGAAAATGCCTTTTACAAAATTAAACCAAAAAACTGTGGCTGCAATCTGTGTCCATAGCTTGTGCACGAAGCTGTGTGATGTTGTAGGTACAGAGGCAGGTATGTATGGCCACAGGAGGGGCAGGCACCACTCAAGTGTTTTAGGTAATTTTGGTAACAGCTGGTTCCCCACAGATGGGATGGGGTCTCTGGCTTTAAATCCAAAATGATCAAGAAAGCAAAATGCAACTAATAAACCTGAATGGGATGCGACCAGATCACCTAAACAACAAACGAGGTTAACTAAGTATAATGTGCATTAAATTAAATAGTATGTGTTTAAGCACCAGATTTTCATAGTAGTCATATGTCACGAGCGAAGACTATTCCTGGCCGTCTGATGGATCGTGTCCTCACCCAGGAATCTCTCAGCCTCCACAAAAAAAACGATTCACCAGATAGTTGGGAACATTATTACAGATTCCCATTTAAAAAAGATAAAAGAAAATAATACTTTTCTTGCCTAAAACCATAATATTGGTACTGGTGATTATATAGCTATAGAGCACAAGATGGGGAAACATGTATTCATTTTACAGCACAGGGGTATGGACTTTACAATGTCACCATGCACATAGGTGGCATGGATATGGCACAAAGACTCCATGGACATGGCACAAAGACTCCATGGATATGGCACAAAGATATGGGATCCTATAGATATGGCACATTCATCATACAAGAAGGCACATAGATGGCATGAATAGGCACATAGCCTGAATAAGGCACATAGATGGCATGGATAGGCACATAGCCTGGATAAGGCACATAGATGGCATGGATAGGCACATAGATGGCATGGAGAAGGCACATAGATGGTATGGATAAGGCACATAGATGGCATGGAGAAGGCACATAGATGGCATGGATAGGCACATAGCCTGGATAAGGCACATAGATGGCATGGAGAAGGCACATAGATGGCATGGATAAGGGCAATTAAGCAGGTGGAGGACAGACCAGTTTGCTTCATATTACTTACATGAAATATTTATATTTGTGAAAAAATTGCTTCAGATACACATACTTCACAAAAAACCCTGAAACTATGACTTATGTGACATCCCGATGTTGGTGATGGTCTCTGTAAAGATTTCACAGTACAGGAATTCAGGTCACAGGTCCACATAATACGTTGATGCTGAGACTGGGCTTGTGACTTGATGTTCTTCATGACCCTGTTATTGATATAAAGACCTGTGGTCAATCATTGGAGGCCAGAGTCCCTTGTTCAGATGGAAATGATGTGCCATGCTCATTAATGATAAATACCTTCCACTCTCCCACATTTGGCACCTTGGAAATTTGACAGGATCCCATGGGTTGCGTAATATTGATGCAGATATACATTTAAAGCTATTTAATTTTGTTAGTAACATTTGATGACAAGTGTCCCTGAAAACTAGACATATATCAGTGAGGAATATCAAATATGTCAGGGCACAAGAAGTTGGAGTTAACCTGATCAACCGTGGCACAGTTGCTTGTAGAAGGGTTGGTGTGTGGTCTCATTCAGCAGAGCCTTTCTGTCTTCTCTTGGATGGTGGGACCAGGTGTCTTGGAAGCTCAGAGGGCAGCCCATGACCATCCAGTTTCACCTCAATCAAATGGCTAGCTAAGGCAAACTCTTCATCATCAAGCATGCCATCACGGTCAACATCAGAGAGTTTCCAGATTTTCCCGAGCACTGAGTTGGGCAGTTTAGTTGTTACCATCCAGTTTTTGGCTTTTGTGCCATTCAGTTTGCCATCGGTGGGGGCTAGGTTGAAGAATATCTCATCATATTTTGGTTTGTCTTTCGTAACTACCCAGTCATCATCATCAACACCATCAAGGAGACCATCAGCAATCCCCTCAATAAAAGGACCGTTGTGAGTACCATCAAAGGCTCCACCTTGGACCACATTATCTGCTGTATCAATGTCTTCCTGGCGCAGGAGAGGCATTAGCTTAGCAATGTCAACGGTCAACATCTCGTCCAGAGCTTCAATCATCGGAGGTTTCAGAGAATGGAACTTCTTGAAATCATGAATCATCAGTTGCTTCTGTTGGAGGACAGGAGATACAGGATAGCAGTGAATCAGAAGTAAAACAAATGGAGGACACACTGGAAAGTATAATGTAGCTATATAGAATGCCGGCTGGATAGATCACTGTATAATGTATCTATATAGAATGCCGACTAGGTAGATTACTGTATAATGTATCTATATAGAATGCCGGTTGGGTAGATCGCTGTATAATGTATCTATATAGAATGCCGGCTGGATAGATCGCTGTATAATGTATCTATATAGAATGCCGGTTGGGTAGATCGCTGTATAATGTATCTATATAGAATGCCGGCTGGATAGATCGCTGTATAATGTATCTATATAGAATGCCGGTTGGGTAGATCGCTGTATAATGTATCTATATAGAATGCCGGCTGGATAGATCGCTGTATAATGTATCTATATAGAATGCCGGTTGGGTAGATCGCTGTATAATGTATCTATATAGAATGCCGGCTGGATAGATCGCTGTATAATGTATCTATATAGAATGCCGGTTGGGTAGATCGCTGTATAATGTATCTATATAGAATGCTGGCTGGATAGATCACTGTATAATGTATCTATATAGAATGCCGGCTGGGTAGATCGCTGTATAATGTATCTATATAGAATGATGGCCGGGTAGATCGCTGTATAATGTATCTATATAGAATGATGGCCGGGTAGATCGCTGTATAATGTATCTATATAGAATGCCGGCTGGGTAGATCACTGTATAATGTATCTTTATAGAATGCTGGCTGAATAGATCGTATCTATACATTGTACATGATGGCCAAGGAGGACTTACCTGCATTTTATCGCAGTCAGGGAAGTCTCCGGGGGAGATGTGGTGCTCGAGCTGGATTTTGGCAAAAATGACGGGAAGCATATTAATTAGCTGCTTCTTCTTATTGTCTTTACGAAAAACAGGCATCTCTTTCTTCAGATAGCTTATAATGTGAGCGTGGACCTGGGGGGGACAGAGACACAGAGTCACCACCAATCACAAACATCACCCTTGACCCCCCGTAAAGCCTGGGCTTAGTCATGGAAACAGCGACAACATTCTAATCAAAGCTGGAAAAATAGCGGATTTGGGTAAGGCTTCCAGCTCTGCCAATTTCATCTAAAATGTATCAAAACTCTGCTTGTGATTTCTCCCCAATTTATCGTTTAATGAATCCACCCCAAACTGACTGTGCATTGATTGACTCTCCCAACAATGCGGGTAAGATGGAGGTCGGACACCTAGATGGGTAGTAGGACACTATGGCGATAGGAATACATGTTTAGATTCCTATAGTATTCCTTTAAATCAGATCTGTTTGATTTGTGGGTGATACAAGTCAAGCGTTGCAGAATACACACTGCGGGAGATTTATCAAAGTGTTGCCCTCTAAAAAGTGAATTAATCCCTATCGAATGTCCCTGCACTCAATGGTTTCCATGGCGATTGCTCCACCTTTACATCATTTTCCCATTTCTCCAAACATGACAGTTTGATAAGTCTCTCTGTTGTCACCGGCCGACTTATACAGATTGGTGGCCGTACATCACATCTGCCGGTGTCCCAGTCTCTTCCTGTCCAGGACACGTCTCGTGCTAGAATTGGCAAGGATGGCTGCACCATGACACTGATGCACAGAATACCAGGAAGGACTTAATGGGGGAGCGGGAGACATCTAACACTTCAGTGGGAACAGGATGCTTAAATGACACCCCCTGGCTTCCTCTGGGACTGACTGGCTCTTGACACCCAGAGCAAATCACTTACTGCAGGATAAACCCTTCACAGCCCAACTGGGAGGCGTACAAACCATGCCGTCTTGGGGTGCACTTGTAACTGTGCCCTCTCATTAAGGAGGGGGCATCTGTGATCAGTCTCTAAATCTCTTTTTAATGTCCTGTGCGGCCAGCTCTAACATATTCCCAGAATGCACCATGTCCCATCACCCTCCCACCTTACACAGGTACATCTTAACATGAATTGGAAAACAGACTGAAAGACTTACGCGGTGAACAGTAACCAGCCGGGAGCAGGCTGAGTGCTCTCTGGAGGGAGCAGGCTGAGTGCTCTCTGGGGGCAGCAAACTGTGAGAAGGTGGGTAATTGGCATCTATCCCAGCTATGACATGAGGAAAGGGAATCCCTGGGTACAGGGCGTGATTGGATTTATTAAACTGATTGAATGATCAGCTCACACATGGAACATGTCGCAGAGAGCAAATATAACAAATAAAGGAGACACCGATAAGGATATTCACCAAAGAGAGAATTCAGAGTGAATTTCAAATTTAGGCTAAGGTAGCAGAACCAGATGGAGAGCTACCAGTTTGGTTACTTTGGCCTTTCACTCACTGAATCCTGACCATAGTAAATAACCCAGTGATTGGACGGATTTAGTAACAACAATATCCCACAATGGAACCTCAGGTGAAGGCTTCACAGCCGAAACGTTGGGGTTTCATTTCTCCTGCTCTTGGTCAGTATACCTTTTTAATGGGTTTTTGCATTTAGCACTTTACTTATATTGTGGTTTTGGTACTATATACTGGTTTAGCACTATACTATGCACTTTCTCTCTGTTATAAAGATATTCCGTTGTATTTTCTATGCAGGAATAAATACTCTTTTTATGTGCAAAACGGTGGTGTGCCTTGGGATCATTTCTTATTTTTATTACATGTAGATATCTGGTATGGGGACAGATTTCCTTCCATTAAGAGCACCCTGTACCTTATAAACCACACACTTACTACCCATTTTTCAGTAGAACTCTTCCTGTAAATTTATGTTTGTATATCTAGATAGACAGACAGATAGAATATAGCTAGACAGACAGACAGATAGACAGACAGACGGATATCTAGATAGACAGACAGAATATAGCTAGATTAGACAGATAGACAGACAGAAGGATATCTAGATAGACAGACAGATAGAATATAGCTAGACAGACAGACAGACAGACAGACAGACGGATATCTAGATAGACAGACAGATAGAATATAGCTAGACAGACAGACAGATAGACAGACGGATATCTAGATAGACAGACAGATAGAATATAGCTAGATTAGACAGATAGACAGACAGAAGGATATCTAGATAGACAGACGGATATCTAGATAGACAGACAGATAGAATATAGCTAGACAGACAGACAGATAGACAGACAGACGGATATCTAGATAGACAGACAGATAGAATATAGCTAGATTAGACAGATAGACAGACAGAAGGATATCTAGATAGATAGACAGACAGACAGACGGATATCTAGATAGACAGATCAAGCCTGTCCTCTTTAAGTGATATCACAGATGGTGGCTGAGTTTGGGGACATGCCCCCCACCCCCCTCCGAATTAGAAAATCTCTCCTCATTAAAGCACAAAGCAGACGCTGGCGACAGGAGAGGGTGGCAGGAAGCGATAAGATCTTTCCTTCTGCTCTCCAGCAAAAAACAATAAAAGCATCACTGACCCAAATAAACAAAACAATGCTGTCTGACACCTCGACTGCCAATACCGGGCACATTCTCTGTATTTATACATGCACCCCCAAATACCGATCTGTGTAACGCATGCACCCCCAAATACCGATCTGTGTAATGCATGCACCCCAAATACCGATCTGAGTAATGCATGCACCCCCAAATACCGATCTGTGTAATGCATGCACCCCAAATACCGATCTGTGTAATGCATGCACCCCAAATACCGATCTGTGTAATGCATGCACCCCCAAATACCGATCTGTGTAATGCATGCACCCCAAATACCGATCTGTGTAACGCATGCACCCCAAAATACCGATCTGTGTAACGCATGCACCCCCAAATACCGATCTGTGTAACGCATGCACCCCAAATACCGATCTGTGTAATGCATGCACCCCCAAATACCGATCTGTGTAACGCATGCACCCCAAATACCGATCTGTGTAACGCATGCACCCCAAATACCGATCTGTGTAATGCATGCACGCCAAATACCGATCTGTGTAACGCATGCACCCCCAAATACCGATCTGTGTAATGCATGCACCCCCAAATACCGATCTTTGTAATGCATGCACCCCAAATACCGATCTGTGTAATGCATGCACCCCCAAATACCGATCTGTGTAACGCATGCACCCCCAAATACCGATCTGTGTAATGCATGCACCCCCAAATACCTGATCTGTGTAATGCATGCACCTCCAAATACCTGACCTGTGTAACGCATGCACCCCCAAATACCGATCTGTGTAATGCATGCACCCCAAATACCGATCTGTGTAATCCATGCACCCCAAAATACCGATCTGTGTAATGCATGCACCCCAAATACCGATCTGTGTAATGCATGCACCCCAAAATACCGATCTGTGTAATGCATGCACCCCAAATACCGATCTGTGTAATGCATGCACCCCCAAATACCGATCTGTGTAATCCATGCACCCCCAAATACCGATCTGTGTAATGCATGCACCCCCAAATACCGATCTGTATAACGCATGCACCCCCAAATACCGATCTGTATAACGCATGCACCCCAAATACCGATCTGTGTAACGCATGCACCCCCAAATACCGATCTGTGTAACGCATGCACCCCCAAATACCTGATCTCTGTAATGCATGCACCCCCAAATACCGATCTCTGTAATGCATGTATCCGCCAAATACCTGATCTGTGTATTGCATGCATCCCCAAATACCTGATCTGTGTAATGCATGCACCCCCAAATACCTGATCTGTGTAACGCATGCACCCCCAAATACCGATCTGTGTAACGCATGCACCCCAAATACCGATCTCTGTAATGCATGTATCCGCCAAATACCTGATCTGTGTATTGCATGCACCCCCAAATACCTCTCCTACACTCTTCACACATAGCTCTCCTACACTCTTCACACATTCCACTCTCCCTGACCCTTCACTCACTCTCTCCCTCACCCTTCACTCACTCTCTCCCTCACCATTCTCTCTCTCACTCCTCTCTCCTGTCTCTCTGCTCACACTCCCTCCCCTCGTCCTCGGCTGAGTAAATGGTGTGGAATGTGTTGGCTTTTGTTGCAGATGATTTTCCCAGCTCTGCTGCCAAAATTATGTACAAAAAGCAAATGTTTCATCTGCAAATCCCTTCACGGTGCGCCCCTCCCTACGGAGCATTGAGAGCAGCTGTACCCTAAACCTTGGTATTGGGGTGTAAGGATGGGCCACGATCTGTGCAGGAAATCTGCATTAAGTCAACTATTACTATTATCAGTATAAAACGAGTTATTTGCTCAGATATTAATGTAATGGGAAGGCATGAGGTTTAAACATGTCACCGACATTAGTACACTGTGACCCTGGGAGGGACCGACCTTTAAACATGTCACTGTCATTAGTACACTGTGACCCTGGGAGGGACTGACCATTAAACATGTCACTGTCATTAGTACACTGTGACCCTGGGAGGGACCGACCTTTAAACATGTCACTGTCATTAGTACACTGTGACCCTGGGAGGGACTGACCATTAAACATGTCACTGTCATTAGTACACTGTGACCCTGGGAGGGACCGACCATTAAACATGTCACTGTCATTAGTACACTGTGACCCTGGGAGGGACTGACCATTAAACATGTCACTGTCATTAGTACACTGTGACCCTGGGAGGACTGACCCTTAAACATGTCACTGTCATTAGTACACTGTGACCCTGGGAGGGACTGACCATTAAACATGTCACTGTCATTAGTACACTGTGACCCTGGGAGGGACTGACCATTAAACATGTCACTGTCATTAGTACACTGTGACCCTGGGAGGGACTGACCATTAAACATGTCACTGTCATTAGTACACTGTGACCCTGGGAGGGACCGACCATTAAACATGTCACTGTCATTAGTACACTGTGACCCTGGGAGGGACTGACCATTAAACATGTCACTGTCATTAGTACACTGTGACCCTGGGAGGGACTGACCATTAAACATGTCACTGTCATTAGTACACTGTGACCCTGGGAGGGACTGACCATTAAACATGTCACTGTCATTAGTACACTGTGACCCTAGGAGGGACTGACCATTAAACATGTCACTGTCATTAGTACGCTGTGACCCTGGGAGGGACCGACCATTAAACATGTCACTGTTATTAGTACACTGTGACCCTGGGAAGGACTGACCATTAAACATGTCACTGTCATTAGTACGCTGTGACCCTGGGAGGGACTGACCATTAAACATGGCACTGTCATTAGTACGCTGTGACACTGGGAGGGACTGACCATTAAACATGTCACTGTCATTAGTACACTGTGACCCTGGGAGGGACCGACCCTTAAACATGTCACTGGCATTAGTACACTGTGACACTGGGAGGGACTGACCTGTAAACATGTCACTGTCATTAGTACGCTGTGACCCTGGGAGGGACCGACCATTAAACATGTCACTGTTATTAGTACACTGTGATCCTGGGAAGGACTGACCATTAAACATGTCACTGTCATTAGTACACTGTGACCCTGGGAAGGACTGACCATTAAACATGTCACTGGCATTAGTACACTGTGACACTGGGAGGGACTGACCTGTAAACATGTCAATGTCATTAGTACACTGTGACACTGGGAGGGACCGACCCTTAAACATGTCACTGTCATTAGTACACTGTGATCCTGGGAGGGACTGACCCTTAAACATATCACCTGGGAGGGACCAACAATATATGTCATTGTCATTAATGCCAGTGTTGTGAAGTTAAAGGAAATTTCTTACTCTAACAAGTCGAGCCCTTTTGACCAGGTCATTGAGTTTACGCAGGGCTGCATTCCTGGGAAGGTTCTGGATGTCTTGGAACAGATCCTGCTCTTCCAACTCGAAGAGATGGCGGTGATCAGAAATCATCAGTGGTTCCGACCAGAACGATCCTATGAAGACCCTCAGGACCTCCGGAGTATTGAACACTTTGCCCAAAGACCACATAAGTGCTCCATAGACCCGCATTAGCTGCTGGGTCTCCACCATATCGGCTTTGTTTAGGACCACTCGGATCTTGTCCTCGTTGCCATTCAGAGCTCGGATGGCTTCAGAGAACTCGTCCGATATCTCCAGCTTGTGGGCATCAAAGAGAAGGATGATGCGGTCGACTCGCTCCGCAAACCACTGGAGGACAGCAGGAAAGTCATAGCCTGCAATGAGAGACTGATCATTAATACACCACGCACACATCGCGTCATAAACATAAATCACTATATAACTCAGCAGTCCAGTCACCTATGACAAATCAGGACATTTAGCGGACGCCAAACATAGAAAACATACCTATCATTGGCAGCCGTGACAAATCTTTCTGGTCAATATAACTAGTAATCACGGAAACATAACGTTTACTGGGACAAATATCATTATTACTATTGACATTTATGTATCGCCATCGTATTCTGCAGAACTTTGCGTATTTAATGTGGAGATATTACATAAAATAAGAAATTCTATTACAAAAGTTAATGGGTTGCTCCAAAAATTCTGACCAGTACAGTCACCATAACCACTATAGTTACCTTTCTCCCTCCGGAGGTGTGCTTTCGGATTGACTCACATGACTGACATTGCAAAGAAATGATATGGAGGTGGGGTTACAGCTCCAGCAGCAAAGGGGTTAAACTCTGTATGTGCAATAAAGCGCCATTAATAGTGGCCCAGTGAAATGTGCGAGTGGACGAGGGAAGAAGAAGAAAAACTAAGAGAGTTTGTTTTACTCAGAAACAGATTTTATTAATATATCTAATGTATTATTTTTTTCTCTTTTGACTGGAGACGTAGAAAGTTTGCAGGTAACGGATGGCACTGAATGGACTTGCCCCAGCATGGCAGAGCGAGATAAGGGGATATTGTATTGTTACCCAAGCTATGATCTCATTCTTCCCATATGATTTCTTTCCTTGGCAATCCCAGCTCCCGTCCGCTCCCTCCCTCTGTTCCCCACCTCTCCAGGACTCACACTTTCCAGAAAATTCACCCAACCCGCTGCCTTTTTTGGAGATTTGAAACAGGCCGAGTTGGAGGGCCACTGAAACCTTGGAAAGGGGGGTGGATAGCGTGGGGGGGGGCTGGATGGGGAAGATGCAGTAGGAGCACACATATTTAATCCCTTCTGTGCCAGTGGGTGAACCTTATCGAGTCCTCTTATATAAGACAGACAGACAGCATTTTAAACATGATTTAGAAGTGACCCCAGACCGGAGGTCCTGTTTGGGTCCACGTAGTGGGATCCGCACTGCAGGGAATAGAGGCTACACACACCAATAGGGCCATGTTTAGATGTGGGGTTTGTATAGATCACAGAGTGTGAGGTTTTACAACCACTACTGAACTTTATGTCAGTTATTCTTTGCAATAATAATAATAATGTGAATTCAAGTGAAATAAAATGTTCCAGAATTACCTGCATGTTGTTTGATGTATGAGGTGTGAGTGGGAGTATGTGGAGTGCACACTCAGCACCATGTGTATCTAACACTAATTAGACAGATTCCAGGCCGTACCAGTCCCTCTCAGTCTGTGCCACATTCCAGAGTGAGTCAGAGTATCTGTACACAGCCCAGGGCTTAGGGTGTATGGGGGGAGCAGGAGCCATGCTGTGGGTGATGTTAAAGAGACAGCTATGGGTGATGTTAAAGAGACAGCTATGGGTGATGGTAAAGAGACAGCAGTGGGTGATGGTAAAGAGACAGCAGTGGGTGATGGTAAAGAGACAGCAGTGGGTGATGTTAAAGAGACAGCAGTGGGTGATGTTAAAGAGACAGCTATGGGTGATGTTAAAGAGACAGCAATGGGTGATGGTAAAGAGACAGCTATGGGTGATGGTAAAGAGACAGCAGTGGGTGATGTTAAAGAGACAGCTATGGGTGATGGTAAAGAGAGTGATTCAGACAGTTAAACTTGTGAAGTTAAAGAGACAGCAATTAATTAAGTTAAAGAGACAGATAAAGTTAAAGAGACAGCAATGTAGGACGTTAAAGAGATGACAGTGATTCTGACAGTTAAAGAGACAGCATATAATGGGATTAAATAGACAGTGATGGATTAAGTTAAAGTGACAGCGATGTAGGAAATTAAAGAGACAGTAAAGCAGGAAGTTAAAGAGACTGCAATGAATAAAACTAAAGAGAGAGCAATGGGTATTTATAAAAAGCATGTGTGAGAAGTTCCAACATTGATTTACTTTTATAACGATTCAGTTATTCACTAAAGGGAGAATTAGCGGGAATATAAAATTAATTTCAAACCTTAAACCAGAATAACAAACTAGAAGTATAGCGGGTGGACAGTGTTTACAATTCAAATTTTTTACCCTAAATTTCAAATTCTCTTTCAATTCACTTAGAATTTCTGAAAATTGGCAATTTGTAAATAACACTCAGAAACTGCGCAGGAAAGTCCCACGGTACCAACCTAATGAGTTTGTGGGGCCTCTGGCAAGATTCTAGCTGTGAATCCGGTGAGACCCTCCAGTCACTCCCCCATCTCTCCGAGCTATTTAAGTAAGTGTTGATGTGAGAATAGAGAGGAAGTTTGCATTTAGGTAATTATTCCAGGGACGAGGGTTAATGGACCTGCAAACAATAGGCGGTAATTATGGCGATTGTTCTGGAGGATAATGAGGAAAGCAGAACTTGTACCTCTGGGGAAAGATTCCCCACCCCACGTGTCCTTAAACCGCCACCCCCTTAACGGTGCTGGCAACCCAGCCCTTCTCCCAAAATATACAGCTTGTACCCCATTAACTGAGCGAGGCATAAAACTTTCACCCCAACTGTAATAGGGGAACGGCAAAAAAAGACCAGTCCGAATGTTATTTTATGTTCTATGAGCTTTATATTATATTGCATTATCTTATGTTTTGTGGTATTTTAAATGATATAATGTGTTATTCTATGATATTATTTATTACGTGCTGACATATTCCATAGCGCTGTACAATTAGAGGAGAACATACAAGACCAATACAAAAGGTAAGGAAGGCTCTGCGATCCAGCCATTTAAGCTTTTTATACGATCTACCTAGTTAGATAGTAAGTGAGCTTACAATCTAAAGGATATAATGAGGACTTGAGACAAGAAGAAGCAGGGGGATTGGAAGTGACGGCCAGAGATATTAAAGGAACGTTGCAGCTACTGTTAGTGTAAAGAGAATGAGGGAGTAATTGAGTAATATCTCAAGCAGCCGGAGGAACATGCTATGAAATTAGTAGCAACTAGGGTGGACGGGTTGTGCTAAGAGAATATGGAGAGTCTGAGGATTTTCGTTGTAAGTCTGGGTGTGTGAAGTGAGGAAACCGGGATGGAGATAAGACACGTTACAGCCAGGAGGGCACACTCAGCACCATGTGTATCTAACAGAAAACATGGTGGGAGAGAAAACATCTTGAATACGATTGAAAAGTTTACCAACCAGATTTTATCACCCAAAATATTAATAACTATATTACATGGAATATTGGTGGAATACATTCACTGAAAATAAAAACTGCATGTACAGAAAATGTCACTGATAAACTACAGGCATAATACTGTAACATACTGTAATATAATACTGTAACATAATACTGTGATATAATACTGTAACATAATACTGTAACATGACAGGGCTGGAACGGAGCGTGGACTAGTCACGTCATGGCTGGAACAGAGCGTGGACTGGTCATGACAGGGCTGGAACAGAACACGGATAGTCACGATAGGGCATGGAACAGAGCATGGACAGGTCACGTCATGGCTGGAACGAAGCATGGACTGGTCATGATAGGGCTGGAACGGAGCGTGGACTGGTCATGACAGGGCTGGAACGGAGCGTGGACTGGTCATGATAGGGCTGGAACGGAGCGTGGACTGGTCACGTCATGGCTGGAACAGAGCGTGGACTGGTCATGACAGGGCTGGAACGGAGCATGGACTGGTCATGATAGGGCTGGAACAGAGCATGGGCTGGTCATGACAGGGCTGGAACGGAGCATGGACTGGTCATGACAGGCTAGAACGGAGCATGGACTGGTCATGAATGGGCTGGAACGGAGCATGGACTGGTCATGATAGGGCTGGAACGGAGTGTGGACTGGTCACGTCATGGCTGGAACAGAGCGTGGACTGGTCATGACAGGGCTAGAACGGAGCATGGACTGGTCATGAATGGGCTGGAACAGAGCATGGGCTGGTCATGACAGGGCTGGAACGGAGCATGGACTGGTCATGACAGGCTAGAACGGAGCATGGACTGGTCATGAATGGGCTGGTCATGACAGGGCTGGAATGGAGTGTGGACTGGTCATGACAGGGCTGGAATTGAGCATGGACTGATCATGGCAGGACACGGAACGGAACATGGATAGTTACGACAGGGCATGGAATGGAGCGCAGACCGGTCATGACAGGGCTGGAATGGAGCGCGGACCAGTCATGACAGGGCTGGAACGGAGCGCGGACCGGTCATGACAGGGCTGGAATGGAACGGAACATGGATAGTCACGATAGGGCATGGAATGGAGCGCAGACTGGTCACATCAGGGCACGGGACAGAGCGCGGACTGGTCACGTCAGGGCACGGAATGGAGCGTGGACTGGTCATGACAGGGCGTGGAACAGAGCATGGACTGATCATGGCAGGACACGGAACGGAACATGGATAGTCACGACAGAGCTCGGAACAGAGTGTAGGCTGGTCACGACAGGGCTAGAACGGAGCGCGGGCCGGTCATGACAGGGCTGGAACGGAGCGCGGACCGGTCATGACAGGGCTGGAACAGAGCATGGGCCGGTCATGACAGCACTGGAACAGAATGTGGACTGATCATGACAGGACACGGAACGGAACATGGATAGTCACGATAGGGCATGGAATGGAGCGTAGACTGGTCACATCAGGGTACGGGACAGAGCGTGGACTGGTCACGTCAAGGCACAGAATGGAGCGTGGACTGGTCATGACAGGGCGTGGAACAGAGCACGGACTGATCATGGCAGGACACGGAACGGAACATGGATAGTCACGACAGAGCCCGGAACAGAGTGTAGGCTGGTCACGACAGGGCTGGAATGGAGAATGTGGACTGGCCATGACAGGGAGTGGAATGGAGAATGTGGACTGGCCATGACAGGGCGTGTAATGGATTGTGGACTGGTCTTAAATAAACCAGAAAGGGTATTTAAGAAAAGGCAACACCAAAACATCTATGATGAGATATCTCCGGAGAGACCCATCTGCTGTGGATCCATGGAATGATGCAACTCACTCTGGCTGTAAGAAATGTCAAAATTAGAAAGGATGCGACCCACAGGGTCAATACATATACCATGGCAATGCACCAAATGGGGCAGGAAGCGTCACCGTTTCTTAAATAATACATACAGATTGTTGCAAAAAAATCATCAAAACTAAATAATAAACTGAAAAATTTAAAATCTGCGGCCTATTACCTCTCATAACACACAGACCGACAGAAACACACACGCATAGATTGTGCCATAACAGGGGAACCTCCTCGCCCCTTGCTTATTCCATGTCTCACTGTACGGGGAATGGCCTCCCCATCTCTCCCTCCCTTCCTCTTTCCATGACTTCAGGCAATGGGTAACCCCCCTTACCATCCTCCCACTCCCTCCATGGCTTCCCAGGGGGAACACCTCTGTTTATTTAGGATTCCTAGCAACAACCCAATAGAGAGACAGAAAGCAGCATGTGACAGCTCCATAATGTGACAGCCCTGGAATGTGACTGTTCAGCAATCTCACATCCAAGGAAGGTGACAGCCCAGCAAGCTGACAGCCCTGGAATGTGACAGGCCAGGATTGTGACAGCCTAGAAATCTGACAGCCCAAACTCTAAAACACCTGAAGTGTGACAGCCCAGCAATTTCACAGCCCCAGAATGTGACAGATCAGACTCCTACCCCAGACCTTAAATGGCAACTATCACCTCAACCCTATCTTTTAATATAATGATATTTTCATCTAGTTTTGAAAGGAAATACATTCTTTGTTAATTTAAAGGGACACTCCAGGCACCAAGACCATTTCTGCCCATTGGAGTAGTTTGGGTGCCAACTCCCATCACCCTTAATCCTGCAAGTGTAATTATTGCAGTTTTTATAAACTACAATAATTACCTTGCAGGGTTAAGTCCTCCTCTAGTGGCCGTCTATCAGACAGCCAGTAGAGTGACTTCCGTGTTCTTAAAACAGACAGTGTATGAATGTGACAGTTATTGGATCAGACAGTGTCTGAATGTGACAGTTATTGGATCAGACAGTAATTGAATGTGACAGTTATTGGGTCAGACAGTGATTGAATTTAACAGTTATTGGGTCAGACAGTAATTGAATGTGACAGTTATTGGGTCAGACAGTGTATGAATGTGACAGTTATTGGGTCAGACAGTGATTGAATATGACAGTTATTGGGTCAGACAGTGATTGGATCAGACAGTGTCTGAATGTGACAGTTATTGGGTCAGACAGTGTCTGAATGTGACAGTTATTGGGTCAGACAGTGATTGAATTTAACAGTTATTGGGTCAGACAGTGTATGAATGTGACAGTTATTGGGTCAGACAGTGATTGAATATGACAGTTATTGGGTCAGACAGTGATTGGATCAGACAGTGTCTGAATGTGACAGTTATTGGGTCAGACAGTGATTGAATTTAACAGTTATTGGGTCAGACAGTAATTGAATGTGACAGTTATTGGGTCAGACAGTGTCTGAATGTGACAGTTATTGGGTCAGACAGTGTCTGAATGTGACAGTTATTGGATCAGACAGTGTATGAATGTGACAGTTATTGGGTCAGACAGTGATTGAATATGACAGTTATTGGGTCAGACAGTGATTGGATCAGACAGTGTCTGAATGTGACAGTTATTGGATCAGACAGTGTCTGAATGTGACAGTTATTGGGTCAGACAGTGATTGAATTTAACAGTTATTGGGTCAGACAGTAATTGAATGTGACAGTTATTGGGTCAGACAGTAATTGAATGTGACAGTTATTGGGTCAGACAGTGATTGAATTTAACAGTTATTGGGTCAGACAGTAATTGAATGTGACAGTTATTGGGTGAGACAGTGTATGAATGTGACAGTTATTGGGTCAGACAGTGATTGAATATGACAGTTATTGGGTCAGACAGTTATTGGATCAGACAGTGTCTGAATGTGACAGTTATTGGGTCAGACAGTGTCTGAATGTGACAGTTATTGGGTCAGACAGTGATTGAATTTAACAGTTATTGGGTCAGACAGTGATTGAATATGACAGTTATTGGGTCAGACAGTGATTGGATCAGACAGTGTCTGAATGTGACAGTTATTGGGTCAGACAGTGATTGAATTTAACAGTTATTGGGTCAGACAGTAATTGAATGTGACAGTTATTGGGTCAGACAGTGTCTGAATGTGACAGTTATTGGGTCAGACAGTGTCTGAATGTGACAGTTATTGGGTCAGACAGTGATTGAATTTAACAGTTATTGGGTCAGACAGTAATTGAATGTGACAGTTATTGGGTCAGACATTGTCTAAATGTGACAGTTATTGGATCAGACAGTGATTGAATGTGACAGTTATTGGGTCAGACAGTGTCTGAATGTGACAGTTATTGGGTCAGACAGTGATTGAATGTGACAGTTATTGGGTCAGACAGTGTCTGAATGTGACAGTTATTGGGTCAGACAGTGTCTAAATGTGACAGTTATTGGATCAGACAGTGTCTGAATGTGACAGTTATTGGGTCAGACAGTGTTTGAATGTGACAGTTATTGGGTCAGACAGTGTCTGAATATGACAGTTATTGGGTCAGAAGGTGATTGAATGTGACAGTTATTGGGTCTGATGATGTCACTGCGCTGTGCACGGAGTGAAGCCGGAAAGACCATAGAGACTAACCATAGAGACTAACTGTCTGTATTCAATTACTGTCTGACCCAAGGTGTATGTATACGGCTGAATGATCCCATCATATACTAAAGATAAGGATTAGATTTATATTTTTTTCTTTTTTGTATACCTTATTTAACAAAGAATCTATTTCCTTTTAAAACTTGATGAAAGGATTATTGTATAAAAAAATTTTTGTTGAGGTGATAATTGTCCTTTAACTCTTTGTATGCAGAATCTATGTCAGATCCTGAACCTGTTGTCTGGGAGGACATCACCGTATTTACAGAGCGTCCAGTGCCAGGAGGCATGACGCCAGAAACCAGTCAGGATGTTGCCATAAACAATGGAGCTTAATGTTTAGGTCAGTTAGTAAGAGCTGAATCCGGCCTCCAAACTGACCTTCCCTTCTGTAAACAGACAGTGACCCCCACCCCATGTCACCGTAAAATAGGCTGCAGGTGTGTGACCGCATGTCCCCCGCCATGTCACGTATCATACCATGTCACTACGGCCACAATCCTTGAACTGTGGCCCGTGGCCAATACCACAGCAATAAACAGATTATTAAAACAATGCTTCTCTATAAACGGTACATAAAAAAAAGAATGAAGGAGTAGAGCCAAACTACTGAACCAAGCAGTCGTATGGGCTATCTTTACTGCTATTAACTCCTACCCCAAATTAAGCGACAAGACAACACATAGGTGAATCCCATCCATGAGTTCCCTCAGGCAGTCAGCTAAGGGACAGTGGCTTCAGGCCTAGGGGAACAGCCCCAATTATCTTCTCCCCCCCCACCCCCTGCAGCAATCCTTAGTTGCACTGCCCTACACCAGCGAGCTGTCCTACGAATGCCACCCATGAAGCCACCAAATAATAAAGGGCACGTAATCTGCTCTCACTACGTACCCAGCCAGGGCACGTAGCTACGCCGATATCCTGACTGTCTTCCCCTACTGAGAGCTAACCGTAGCATCCCTACAGATCCATACCCTGGGGTCCGCAAGAGACACCCTTCCCCCTCGGGACCTAGGGTAATCATCTAACCATTGAGACCACAAAATAATAGAGTCCTCATACTCAGCGGGCCACCGCAAGACACCACGACAGTAGTCTACCCCATGGTACACTCTCAGTTAACTCCAGTAAATAAACACTCAGCGGTTAAAATCTCTAAAATCTGCGGTATGTATGCTCATGTACAAAAGCTGCTGCTGCATATCTACACTTACTGTACTTATTATGATGACTTGTTACCTCATTCAGCAAAAATACTCTATCTCTGTGCTCCAATAAAATGAAAAAAAAACAAAACAATGAAATGGGCAATTTATGTCCAATAACCAAATGCTGGGAAAATGTTGATAAAAGATAATGTCATCAGAAGACAATAGACAAGACGTACATGAATTTTAATAAATAGAGATCTGACGAATACCTCACATAGTGAAACGTTGAGCGCTTCCTGTAAATGCAGCAATGTTGTACATTGCTCTTAATCTATCAAAAAGTCAAATTTTTCCTAAAATTGATAAGCTCTACCTTCACTGCTAAGTAGAATTAATACACTGCTCTGGGGTAATAATATATATACAGCAAAAACTGACCCTCCAGAGAACTTTCTAAACAAAGACGGAATGTTCTAAAATTATCTTACACCCAAATAAAGGCATTCAGCAATCCAAGCAAGATGATCCTATTTAGATATAATTCTTTAAACATTAAAAAAAACCAACAACTTATATTTGATTAATGGAGAACATTCCTTTATAGAATACTGTTTGCACAATATAGAGCAGAGCCTGGTAGGACATACAGAGATATATCTCACCTAGAGTATTGTGTTCAGTTCTATAGAGCAGATCCCAGGACATAGAGAGGTAGTGATAGTACTTTATAGATCTCGGTAAGATCTCACCTAGAGTATTGTGTGCAGTTCTATAGAGCAGATACCAGGAGGACATAGAGAGGTAGTGACAGTACTTCATAGATCCCCGGTAAGATCTCACCTAGAGTATTGTATTCAGTTCTATAGAGCAGATCCCAGGACATAGAGAGGTAGTGATAGTACTTTATAGATCCTGGTAAGATCTCACCTAGAGTATTGTGTTCAGTTCTATAGAGCAGATACCAGGAGGACATAGAGAGGTAGTGATAGTACTTCATAGATCCCCGGTAAGATCTCACCTAGAGTATTGTATTCAGTTCTATAGAGCAGATATCAGGAGGACATAGAGAGGTAGTGATAGTACTTTATAGATCCCCGGTAAGATCCCACGTAGAATAATGTGTTTAGTTCTATAGAGCAGATTGTGGGAGGACATATAGAGGTAGTGACAGTACTTTATAGAGCCCGGTAAGAATTTGCTTATAATGTTTAACCTGGGGAAATGTTTAATGGCGTTATATATTTATTTAATATGTTTTTCAGACACACAGGAAGAAGGCATTTTGGCATCATGGAGCTAACTCACCTCTGCACACACGTTGTTTGGTGCCAGATAGGATGCCCGGGGTGTCTATTAGGCTGATGCTTTCCAGGACTTTGTTGGGTAAATGGGCGCACATAAACCTATAAAGGAAACAGGAGTTACTGTTGTAATAGAGGCACACAGTGGAGGTTAAGGAGTTTGGTAGTGGAGACAGACAATGGGGAGAGACACAGGGTGGAGTAATAGCAATAGAGAACCTGGATTTAATATACTATAAATACATGGGGTTAGCCAGACTCTGCTTTTAAAATCCGAATCTTGGATATGATGAGTCTCCATCCCCAAGCAGAGGATGTAGGGTACATCCATGTTTATAAATTAGTCAGGGCAATGCGTGTTTCAGGAAGTCCTCCCCACCAAACATAAACAGAGGCTGTCTAGTAATACAACACTGGATCCTGTGATACCAGGAAACTCCCCAATATAGAGCCTCCTGATTTCCCACTGCTGAACCCTGCCAGGACCTACCAACTGACCATACCTACCGAGCCATGTCAGGACCTACCAACTGCTAATAGAGCCTGGCACTGCACCCAGAGCCATGCCAGGTCCTACCAACTGCTAATACAGTCTGGCACTGCATCCAGAGCCATGCCAGGACCCACCAACTGCTAATACAGCCTGGCACTGCACCCAGAGCCATGCCAGGGCCTACCAACTGCTAATACAGTCTGGCACTGCATCCAGAGCCATGCCAGGACCCACCAACTGCTAACACAGCCTGGCACTGTGCCCAGAGCCATGCCAGGACCCACCAACTGTTCTACTAATACAGTCTGGCACTGCGCCCAACGCCATGCCAGGACCCACCAACTGCTAATACTGCCTGGCACTGCACCCAGAGCCATGCCAGGTCCTACCAACTGCTAATACAGTCTGGCACTGCATCCAGAGCCATGCCAGGACCCACCAACTGCTAATACAGCCTGGCACTGTGCCCAGAGCCATGCCAGGACCTATCAACTGCTAATACAGCCTGGAACTGCGCCCAGAGCCACGCCAGGACCCACCAACTGCTACTACATCCTGGCACTACACCCTGAGCCATGCCACAACCTACCAATTGATAATACAGCCTGGTATTGCAGCCACGAGCCATGCCAGCATCTACCAACTGCTAATATAACCTGGCACTGCATCCTGAGCCATGCCAGAGCCAGCCAACTACTAATACAGCCTGGCACTGCATCCTGAGCCATGCCAGAGCCAACCAACTGCTAATACAGCCTGGCACTACACCTCGAGCCATGCCAGCACCTACCAACTGCTAATACAGCCTGGCACTGCACCCAGAGCTCTGCCAGCACTTACCAACTGCTAATACAGCCTGGCACTGCATCCAGAGCCACGCCAGGACCCACCAACTGCTACTACATCCTGGCACTGCACCCTGAGCTATGCCAGGACCTACCAATTGCTACTACAGCCTGGCACTGCACCTCGAGCCTTGCCAGGGTCTACCAGTTGCTACTACAGCCTAGCACTGCACCACGAGCCATGCCAGCATCCACCAACTGCTAATATAACCTGGCACTGCATCCTAGGCCATGCCAGAGCCAACCAACTACTAATACAGCCTGGCACTGCACCCTGAGCCATGCCAGAGCCAACCAACTACTAATACAGCCTAGCACTGCACACTGAGCCATGCCAGCACCTATTCATTGCTAATACAGCCTGGCACTGCATCCAGAGCCACGCCAGCACCTACCAACTGCTAATACATCCTGGCACTGCATCCAGAGCCACGCCAGGACCCACCAACTGCTAATACATCCTGGCACTGCATCCAGAGCCACGCCAGGACCCACCAACTGCTAATACAGCCTGGTACCGCACCCAGAGCTATGCCAGCACCTACCAACTGCTAATACAGCCTGGCACTGGACCCTGAGTCATGCCAAAACCTACTATCATCTAATACAGCCTGGTACTGCACCTTGAGCCATGCCAGGACCTACCAACTGCTAATACAGCCTGGTACCGCACCCAGAGCTATGCCAGCACCTACCAACTGCTAATACAGCCTGGCACTGCACCCAGAGCCATGCCAGGACTACAAACTGCTAATGCCCACTGCTACCTCCCCAATATTGATATCAATGTGTATTCCTCCCAGGAGATCCAACCACCCTGAATGTGTCGGAGCACTGCCACCGGTTTACCAGGGCACCTGTTCCACCTACTACACCACCAGGGATCAGCATGCCAACCTCCCTGGCCAAACGTGCACAAGACAAGTGGGGAATAAACCTGCACTAAACAAACAACGGGCATGTTACTATTCTGAGAAGGGGAGATTATTATTATTATTATTATTATTATTATTATTGCCATTTATATAGCGCCAACAGATTTCGTAGTGCTTTACAATATTATGAGAGGGGGGATTTAACAATAAATAGGACAATTACAAGAAAACTTACATGAACGATAGGTTGAAGAGGACCCTGCTCAAACAATCTTACAGTCTGTAGGTTTAAAACCTTTATTGCACATTGTAGACATCAGGTTCTGTATTGTACAGTGTGGGGAGGTTAGACTCCATATTAAATAGTTTAAGATATCAGACGCTGTACTGAACAGTATTGTGGAGTTTAGGTCCTATATGGTACAGTGTGAACGAAATCAGATTCTGTATTGTACAGTGTGAGGAGATCAGACTCTGTATTGTACAGTGTGGGGGAGATCAGACTCTGTATTGTGCAGTTGGGGGGAGATCAGACTCTGTATTGTACAGTATGGGGGAGATCAGATTCTGTATTGTACAGTGTGGGGACATCAGACACTGTATTGTACAGTGTGGGGAGATCAGACCCTGTATTGTACAATGTGGGGAGATCAGACCCTGTATGTTACAGTATGGGGGAGATCAGACCCTGTATTGTACAATGTGGGGGAGATCAGACTCTGTGTTGTACAGTGTGGGGGGAGATCAGACTCTGTGTTGTACAGTGTGGGGAGATCAGACACTGTATTGTACAGTGTGGGGGAGATCAGACCCTGTATTGTACAGTATGGGGGAGATCAGACCCTGTATTGTACAATGTGGGGGAGATCAGACTCTGTGTTGTACAGTGTGGGGAGATCAGACTCTGTATTGTACAATGTGGGGAGATCAGACCCTGTATTGTGCAACATGAGGGAGATCTGATTGTGTATTGTACAGTGTGGGGGAATGATGTCCAGTGTTGTATAGTTAGGGTTAGTCCCGTACAGATAGTGCTAGACCCTATACAACACACGTATAGAGATAGGAGTGAGGTCTGTACTGTACAGTGTGTATAGATTGTCTATTCACAGAGGGGGTAAGGTTCTTTCATTTACAGTGTGGGGAGGATAGACCCTGTATTAAACAGCCTGCGAAAGGTCAGACCCCATATTGTGCTGTGTTCTGAGGTACTGTATTGTACAGTGGGGGCTAGACCCATATTTATAGTGTGCCTGAGACCATGAAATCTTTAGTGGTTGATAATTTTGGAATTTTCAGCGAGAGAGGGGTGCTCCTGTATTGGAGGGTGGGGAAGAAAGGTCATGTGTTTACATCGGGGGTGCACAATGTCCTGTATTGTATAGTCTGGGGGGACAGACCCTACATCTAATGAAATCAGACAATGACTGGAATCCATGCTGTTACAGAATAAGCCCAGAAAACACAGGGGAACTTTTTTTTCACCACTTCTCCCACATCTCAAATGTGGGACTCGTCCCCCGGGAAAATGTAACCAAGCTCCTAATTCACAGGGCCGAGTGAATTTTGAAGTGATCCTGAAATAGATTGATATCTTTAGGACCCTGAACCGAGATATTTTCTGCACCTGTCAAGAAGATCTACCACGTACAACCCAACTCACCTGTTGAGGAAAGTGTTGCCGAAAGGAGAGAGCTTGCGGAATGGTCTATTGGGGTCCACCATGAGAGCATTGCCTGGGATTACCCCTTCTGTCTCCCCATGCATAACTGCAATGAAGGAATCGGTGGTGGGCTCTGGACCAATACGGCTGCCAGGGATGTCCTGCTCCAGGAGATACTTGATGAAGGTGGTCTTCCCAGTGGAGTACTGACCCACCACAAGCACCATGGGCTTATTATCAAAGTCAGCATCTTCAAGTGCCGGAGAATGGAAGTCATGGAACCGATACAAGTCCTCTACTGGCTTCAGCTTTTTCTTGTAAAGGTCCTTCAGACCTTCAGTCACCGTGTGGATGACTTCTGGGGTCTCCTTCTTCTGATTTTTACCCATCCAGCTGAACATGTTTAGACGTGGTGTAAAGACAAACCACAGAAACAGAAAAACAAAAAAAAACTTCCAAAAATCTTGTCCCTCTCTTTGACTTTTATACCTGTCCTGCCCTCTGCTCTCCCACTCTCTCCTGTCCAGATCTCAGTATGATACAACACACAGAGCCTCCCCAGACATTTCACATGAGGGCTGGAAAAAGAGGCAGGAACAGGGTGTGGGACGCAGGGAGTGGGGGCTGCATGGAAAGGAGGGATCACCTTAATTCTCTCCAAAAAGAGAGCAGAGGGTTAGCAGGTTACAGAAGGAATGGGAGATGATGTTAGGGCCAAACTGACAATGTGGAAAACAGCTGGAATTATACAATAGAACGAGAATAACTGAGTGGGAGAGCACTGCCCTCCATGATCTGCACTGTGGGTGCCAACCCCACCCAAGGAATGCACTAATATAACGGCTTATAAAAAGGGGACCTCTGCATCTGCACCGCCATCTAGTGGCTTGATTGCAAACCTTCAGGCACCGCTAACTGTAGGCTGATTTTAAACTGGTTTAATTACTAAAGTGAGGTTTTTCAGGACTCCAAAGTGAATTTTAAATTTAGACCAAAAAAAAATGATCTGGAAGCACAGCCAACTAAATGAAAGTTTCCAATCCAGTTATTTTGGTCCTAAATGTAAAATTCACTTTGAACTCTCACTTTCTTAAAGTGTTTATTTAAAAGTTATTCGCTAAACTCGGAATTGTAGCAAAGTGAGATACAGTCATGGGAAAAAGAAAATACCCTCTTTGAATTCTGTGGTTTTCTCCGTTTGGGAAAGCTCATACTAACGGGGTCCCGAATGGGGACCACCCCAATACCTCATTTAGAATGTAGGTATAGAACGTTCACACCTCGTAACGAGGTGTGAAAACCACAAACCGCAAGGGAAACAATCGCCTCGTGCTTCCCCTAGGTGGCCGCTGGTTCATATAAATGAACACCAACCAGGGATAGCATTCGTATGCCGAACCTGCATGCTCGCACTGTTTTAGGTCTCCGTGTCAGGGATCCCCGTACCTGATCCTAACGAAGCTATAGTCACTGTCCACCTCCCCCTCCACCCCCACCTGGGAGCCACAGGACGGGGCTTGTAGCTGCCCAAGCGAGTGCTCGCTCCGGTTTGTACCTGAGTGGAGGTAGCCCCGGAGAGGGTGCGAGCCCCAGCGGCATCCCTGGAGCTGTGAGTCAGTTACACAGCCACAGGGGTCCCGCTGGCCGCATGGAAGTGCTTGTCGACCAATGGGAGAGGGCGCGCCCATTCAAACTAGGTTCACTCCATTCTCCTGATTGGTCGGCATGAACGGGCGCTGATTGGTCACTGTGGCGACCTATCATAGGAGGAGCTCTCTTTCAAATGGAGTTTCGCGCCTTTTCTCCTGATTGGGTGGCGAAACCCCTCTCCTCCCTGAGCACCGATTGGTGTAACCAGTTTTTGCGCCCTTTCGCCTGATTGGGCAGCGAAACTCCTCTCCTCCCTGCAAGCTTATTGGCGCAATTTGGTTTTGCGCCTTTAAGCTGATTGGTTGTTGCTTGGTTTAGGCGCGAAGTTTGAATTCGCCGGACTAAACCAAGCAACTCCATGGAACTAATTTCGGGGATGTACAGAACCTCGAGCCCTAGAATTTAGACGATGATTTCTTGGGCTCTGTATATCTGATCGCTCCACTATTTGCAGGGATCCCAGATGGGACCCAGGGCTATCTAGTGATATAGGTTTTATCTGTGTGACCCCTTCCTTTCCCGGGGCGCCAAGCCCCAAAGTTTACCCCCCGGTATGTAATGTGTTTTAATGTGTGTCTCTATGTGCTGTTGGTATCTCCCAGAGCGGGAGATGGCTATCTGTAACCCAGCACCCTCCTGCCTGGGGTTGTGTTGTACTGAATGGAGACCCCCTGTGGGGGTCTGTGCATAAAAGCTGTGTGTTCCAAATAAAGATTGTCAGTGTTTTAACCTCTAGAACTGTGTCTCGTCTGGTTACTGGAGGGAAGGAAGATTTAACCCCTGTGTCTGCTGTTTCAGCTTGCAGGGGATGCAGAGGGGAAAGTCCTTGTCAGGACTAAGAGCTTCCAGGACTGAGTGCCGTCCCTTCCTGGGAGTGCATAGAGCTAAGTCCCCTAACCATGTAAGAGTTCTTGATCGGCTGAAGGAAGGGAACTAGTGAAGTTAACCGGTCGGGTTACCTGGTGGTCTGCTACAAAAGCATTGTGATTGGCTCAGACCACCATTTTTGATTATGTCAGCCCAGCAGGCAGGTCCGGGGCAGAGCCAGCAGCAGCATACTGGAATAAAGGTAAGATTTTGCTATATATAGGGAGGCAAGTGCGGGCCAGGGGGACTAGATGGTTTTAACACTATAGGGTCAGGAATACATGTTTGTGTTCCTGATCCTATAGTGTTCCTTTAAGGTTTGTTGGCATTTATATATGTACAGCTCTCTTGAGGTCCCACCACAGCATTTCAATCGGGTTGACGACTGGACCATTGCAACACCTTGAGTCTTTCATTTTCCATTCATTCTGTTGTAGATTTGTTGGCGTGCTTGGGATCATTGTCCTGTTGCATGACCCAATTTATGCCAAATTAGAGCTGTCAGATAGATGACCTCACATGTAACTCTAAAATACGTTGGTATACAGAGGAGTTCATGGTCGACTCACTGACTGCAAGGTTCCCAGGTGCAGTGGCTACAAAACAATCCCAATTCATCACCTCTCCACCACCATTCTTGACAGTTGATATGATGTGTTTGTGCTGATATGCTCTGTTTGGTTTTCACCAAACGTGGCGCAGTGCATTATGGTCAAACATATTCACTTTGGTCTTGTCTGCCCAAAGAACATTGTTCCAGAATTCTTGTGGATTGTTCAGCTACAACTTTGCAAACCTAAGTCATGCTGCCATGTTCTTTTTAGAGAGAAGAGACTTTCTCCTGTCAACCCTTGCAAACAAACAATAATTGTTTAGTATGTTTTTAATTGTACTGTTATTAACTTTAACATTTAACATAATAGATGAGGCTTGTAGAGCCTAAGGTGTTGGACAAAAAAAAAAAAAGTGAAAGGTGAGTAAATACTTTATCAAACACTAAAGGGAGCTTGCAACCCAAACGAGGGGTGAAATTATCAGATATATAAAAATAAAAATAAGATTTATTGAAATAAAACCATAATGTGTAATAAAATAACAGTTTATTTCACATAAAGTAAAAAAAATGGTCAGAGACAAGTGCACAGTGCCAACATAAACAGTATATCTGTACTATTTCAATAGTGTAAGATGTAACTCTTGGGTTATTTGAAATTTTTCTGATCATTGCACGGTCTGACCTTGGGGTGAACTCACATGGGACTTCTAGCTCAGGGAACAACAGATATCATCAACCCCTAGGTGTTAAACCACCAATTGGCTCTAGGTTGCATGTAAATCTGAAGGCATGGCATGCAGAAGGGATCTGGGAGAGCTGGTGGGAGGGCAACCTTGGAAAGCAGAGGGAAGTGACTGGGAAGAGCCAAAATGGCACCCAGTCTCCTCTACTCCTTTATTTGCATTGGGGCGCCACCTACAAGGAGGTGGGGATCTCTTCTCTTTAAATACTGCACTTAGTCAATGCTTGGTTGTTCTGGTGCTTGCTTCCATGCTCCTCGTGATCCTGGTCCATGTTCCTAATCCTGGTTTGTGTTCCTGATCTTGGTCCATGTTCCTGGTTCCTAATTTCCAGTTCCTGATTCCCAGTAATACTTCTTGGCTTCTGACCTTTGGCTTTGACCCTAACCACACTTCTTGTCTCTGACCCTTGGCTTCTGATATCCTGCTGTCTATTCATGGATATCCCAGTTTCTGACCTTCGGCTTGACACTTGTCCTCTCTCCTTTGCTGCCAGTCCTGACCATCAGACCATCACTGCTTACTGCCTGTTCCTTTCTGACTTTTTCTCCTACACTGTAAATAAAGGCACCCATGCCTTATAGGTCTCCTAGATTCCCATAGGACTCTCAGTAACCTGGGATGGTCGTATTTGCAAGGGGTTGCCGTTCCACTGCAACTGAGTTCCTCGCCAAACAAACCAACCAGTACGCTATAACCTAGAGATAAATCATATACATATAAACAAACTATCCTACATGGACATATAAGGAGGGATGAGAATTCTAACCCATTGAAAACAATGAGATAACCTCAGAGGGTGCTAAGAGGAGATATGTATTACGTGCTACCCGTAGTGAATGACAAGATATGTAAATAAGACCCGATACCTGTTGCAGTGTATAATTTCGCTTTCGTCAGGGAGCTGGGCATCAATTATTTGGGTCTTCTGTGCAGTATACATGGCCGTCATATTAGCCATGTGAGCACTGGCCACTAACATACAAGCACATGATCCAAAAGCTGTATCGCATTGGTTTAATCAAAAGTGGACATGTTTCACCGAGAAGGAGCATAAAAAAATAAAAGGGGGTAACCCCTAAGTAGTGAAATTCAAATTATAAAAAATAAATAAATAAATAAATAAACAAAAAAGTATATTGTGGCGGAACCAACCTCACCACTGGGCATTGGAGAAGACTGATTGCGAGCCTCCTGCCCTGTGACTATGGCCCCATGTTGAAATGCTTGATTTTCCCCTGCAAAGACCCGAATTCGGTCATTCGGTACTTGCCCTATTTGAACAGTGATACCCCAGATAGCTATGCCATGGAGCCCATTCGTATAACGAAAGACTACGTGAAAGACTTTGGCTCCATGGCAATTGAACTGTATGTATGTGATCTGAGCGCCATTCAGTAATAATGTGCGTTAAGATCTGAGCTATCTGGGGATATGTTGAATGTACCTGTTTTATGCAATAGCTGCACAGTTATATATTTTTATGTATTTTATTGTCTTTTGCTACCATGTGTTCAATGGAGTTTTGCCTCTGTCCTTGGAGATAATTGGATTACTTCCCAATTATCTCCAGGATAGAAGACTCTGTTGAACTGGTTTTGGGCAGAAAAGCCATGCTTTATTTGGTCACAAAGGACATCGATCTAACTTTTGACCCACTGGACCAATTTGTATGATTTTGACGTATGTTGGTATTTGGAGAAGGCTAATTCTGAAAATGTTTTAAGTTTTATGTGAATGTGATGTATACTTTTGGAGTTATGAATATTGTGCAAAACTGTGTATTTTCCTGCCTGTGATAATTGTTAGCTCATTGTGTTCAGTAATTATATCAAAGGTAGAGGGGAGGATTTTGTGTGGTAGTGTCAGAGTGTATTGTATGTATTGATTGGTTGTACTTCAAAACCCTGTGGGCGGTACTATGTTTGTAGAATGGGCATAAAAGCAGAGTGTTTGTTTGAATAAAAGTTGAGTTCTACTTCACCTACAATTTGGAGTGCCATCTCTTATTGGGGGAATCTGCTACAAGGGATTGCTATGCTTGTCATACTCCCTTGCTAAATAACTACTAAGCTCTTGTAAGAGCTTGTTCCTGCCTTGCTCTCTGGAGGAGTCTACGGTGGTTATGGTGTCTGCTGCAGTGCTTGGAGTCCTCAGGAAGCGCTAGCAGCATCCTTCAACGGAGGTACCCAGTTGGGGTGCCAGGTGATCCGTTACATATATCTTCTTAATGTGAGAAAAAAAAGAGAATAGGAAAATAAAACTTTTATTAATTTATTCGATTAAAATTAGAATTGAATCAAATATAATATGCTGATTAAGGTCCTCTTAGTATTATCAGGTACTTTTAATTAGGCAGATAATCGGAATAAGTGTAACCAATGTAATCAATATATCATTTTTCTAATGCCGATGTAGAGTAGCTTAGAAGTGGAGAGGAGAAGTGGAAAGTAATAACTAACCTGATACTCCTAATATGGGGAGCTAATGCACCCCTTAAAAGATTCTACTCTCAAACTAAGCCACTCTTCTTGCCCAATAACAGAGTAAGTAAGTAAATGTAAATCGATCCGAGGACTAAACAGCCGTAATAAACGAAGGTAGCTGTATTTCTGAGTGTCAGTTAGCCGCAGCTTGATATGCGGTAGTGGAAGGCTGACAACCGTGGTATGTTGAGTCTACTACCAGAGCCCCTTATTATATTATTTATCCTGACTCTCCCTCTGAGAAAGAACAGAGGCGTTTACCTCTAGTATGAAGGGTTTGCTAGTGTCAGGATGTACCAATATGTCAGCAGAGGCGAATAATTTATTTCTCAAAAGCTTCTTTAGCTTCTTTAGACCATATAGTACAGTTAACCCCCTTACGTGTTATATTGGTGATCAGGGCTATCACCGTAGAGAAACCTTTGATGAATCTCCTATAGTAATTTGCAAACCCAATAAACATTTGAATGGCTTTTAACCCATTAGGTAATGGCCAGTGCAGAACGACTTCTAGTTTGCGAGGGTCCATCTGAAAACAAGAAATATTAAATCCCAAGAACTGTACCTCCGTCTGATCAAATGTGCATTTCTCAAGTTTGTAATATAGCCCATTTCTAAGCAAAGTTTGCAATACTTGTTTAACATGCCTATGATGAGTCTGGAGATTGGGGGAATAAATGAGAATATCATCCAGATATACTAATACAAAAGTATAAATGTAGTCTCTGAGAACATCATTGAAATCCTGAAAAATGGCCGGAGCATTGCATAAGCCGAAGGGCATGACAAGATACTCATAGTGACCACTTGTCGTGTTAAATGCAGTTCTCAAACTCGTTTTCCTGGCACTATAGGGTCATTAGGGCCCCCCTCCCGCTGGGCTGAAGGGGTTAAAACCCCTTCAGCCACTTACCTTTCTCCAGCGTTGGTGACTTCTCCACCCCCTGCCGACGTCAGATCCGAATGCGCATTGCGCGGCATTGCTCGTGCATTCAAACCACCCATAAGAAAGCTCAATGCTTTCCTATGGACGTCCAGCGTCTTCTCACTGTGATTTTCACAGTGAGAATCGCGGAAGCGCCTCTAGCGGCTGTCAGTGAGATGGCCACTAGAGGCTGGATAAACCCTCAGTGAAACATAGCAATTTCTCTGAAACTGCTATGTTTTCAGCTGCAGGGTTAAAACTAGAGGGACCTGGCACCCAGACCACTTCATTGAGCTGAAGTGATCTGAGTGCCTATAGTGGTCCTTTAATCCTTACCAAATTGTAAGCACTCATAAGATCGAGTTTAGTAAACACCTTAGCGCCTTGGAGTCTATCAAACAATTCCGAGATAAGGGGAATGGGATCAGCATTTTTGATGGTGATCTTGTTCAATGCCCTATAATCAGTACATGGCCGTAACTCTCTTTCTTGGGTACAAAAGAAGGTGAAGAAGATTTACGTATGTGACCTTTTTGTAGATACGCTTTAATGTAATCCTCCAACATTTTTACTTTCCTGTGGTGATAAGGCATAAACTGCCCCCTTAGCCCCTTAAGGACCAAACGTCTGCAATAAAAGGGAATCATGACATGTCACACATGTCATGTGTCCTTAAGGGGTTAAAGGGCATAGTGCCGGGTAACAAATCTATGGAGCATTCATAAGATCTGTGAGGAGATATCATATTGGTGTGACGTTTACTAAACACAGGAATTTCTGTAGACTGAGGCGTAGGAATAGGTAGAGCAACGATGCCCGCTCTTTTAGTAATGGGTAACATACATCTATCATTACATTCCTTACCCCATTCCAGTATTTCCCCCTTTGTCCAGTCAATATGAGGATTATGCTTAACAAGCCATGGGAATCCTAGTATAATGGGACAAGAAGGGGAAGCAATTATCTGAAATGGAATGATTTCTTTATGTAACGCTCCTATAGTAACAGTAATAGGCATAGTTTCGTGGGTAATTAGAGGTTGAGAGAGAGGTCTCCCATCAATGTCCTCGACGGCCAGGGGTGATGATCTCTACTCGATGGGTAGGAGGTGTTTACTGACAAAAAGTATCCTGCAGCACCTGAGTCCATCAGGGCTTTACATGAAAAACTTTTCTTGTTGCATAGAGCAGTAATATTAAGGAGAAATCTACTTTGGGTAGTACCAGGGGACATATCCATCACACCTAAGACCGGTCCCCTTATGGTTCTTAGGTGTGCAAGTTTTCCGGACGTATGGGACAAGCATGTGTCATGTTTTTTCCTTGCCACAGTATAAGCAAAGGCCCTCTTTTCTCCTAAACTGTCTTTTCTGCATGTGACAGTCTCATAACCCCTAACTGCATAGGTTCAGTTTTAGACTGCACAGGAGGGCCAGAAACAACAGGACTAGAGAAGCGAGGCGCCAATTACATATTCCTATGTCTGGTTCTATTTCTATCTATCTCCCTATTCCTAAATCGATTACCTATAGGCATCATGTAAGTGATGTATTTATTTAATCTCTCCTGTAGTTCTTTGACTGCAAACTCATCAAGGATAGCTTCGGATAATCCCTCTGAGAATGCGGTGATCAATCTGCCATTGGTCCAGTCTACCTCGGAAGCCAGGGTGCGGAATTCTATGGCATACTCTGAGACAGACTGGTTCCCTTGCTTGATATGCATTAGGGCAGGTGTTGCTCTCCCTTCCCAATGCTTCAAACGTTAATTTGAATTCTGCAAGGAATTCCTGGTAATTATGGGCAACAGTCTTATTAATCTCCCAAAATGGATTGACCCATGCTAAGGCTTTACCTTGTAGTTGGTTCATTAAGTACCCGGTTTTGGCTCTATGCGTGGGGAAAGGCCCAGGTGAGACTTCAAAATGGTACTCAATTTGATTAAGGAATCCCCGACATTCATAAATATTACCTTCAAAATGCGTGCGTAAAGATAGGGTGATGGTAGGTGCCCTATATATAGGATAGGTGTAGGTAAAGTAGATATGGGTGTACCTGCCGAAAGGACCTCAGGCTGCAAGTGAGCCGTACGTATTAGTAGTGTATCGAAAGCTTGGGCAAATTGATCCATACGGTGATCATTGCAGCAAACTCACCCCTTTAAGAGAGTTTGCCATGAGCTTTTGGAGGGGCTTGCTTGCCCGCCTCCTGCCATGTGACTATGGCCCTGGGGGTATTGCCCTTTAAAGACAGTATTTGGGCATAGTGTATTGTACTGCACTGTTTCTGGCCCTTGAAAGTACTTTGGGAAAAGACCTGCAGCTTTGTTAGGGTACTTCGAATGTAGCCGAAGTGCCGAAGTAATTGAAGTGGCCACCATTCGACAGCCGAACACGTGGCGGCGCCCTTTTTAGTTCATTCGCATGTGGTCAGCGGTGTTTTGCCGTCGATTTCATGGAACCGAAATTGGCTACTCGATGGCACGAACACCGCTGAAGTTTATCTTCTCATCCACTACAACGCTTCAGCTAAAGTCGAAGTGCGTTCGACAATTCGAACGCCAGGTGATGCTGTACTATTTGCACGAACCGGCCCATTCGTGCATTTGAATGAGACTTAGACATTTTTCTTGTGTGAAATTGAAAAAGGTCAGAAAAGGACTTTTGAACCACTGGAGGGATTTGCATGATTTTTGAGTATGTGTATAGTTCAAGTGTGCTGATTCTGAAAATGTATGTTTTATGTGAATGGCATGTATATTTTGGAAGTTATTAATATTTTGTAAAAACTGTATATTTTCTGCCTGTGATAATTAGGTTAGTCCATTGTGTTGAGGTAATTGTATCACAGGCAGAGGGGAGGATTTCTGATGTCATAAATCAGAGTGTTTAGCTGTGTTGTAACGTATTGATTGGTTTTTCTTCAAAACCCTGTGGGCAGTCCTTTTGTGTTAGAATGTGCATAAAAGCAGAGCCTTTGATTAAAATTTCTGGTTCTGCTCCTGATACTGTGTGTCGTCCAGTTATTGGGAAACGTGATGGGATCTTGCTGGATTATATTACTGATTGTGCCTGCTACTCTATTGGATTATTTTATTGATTACAGTGGATGTTCTCCTGGGTTACTTATGGGTTCCTGAGCCACACTAGGATTACCAGCGTAAATAGTCTGTGAGAGATCAGCGTTCCGTTACAATCATTTTCCTCTAGCTTTCTCTCACAAGCTACTATGTGCTGACACATATCTGCAGGATCTATGGCCATGTCGTAATGTTAGGATTATATTGATCCAGCACGAAGAATAGTATCACACCCTAAACTAAGGGTAACGTCTTCCTGGGCCTTAGAATGGCCGGACTTAACGTACCCGAGAATAGTCAGAAAACTAGCCAAGGTCAGGGACACAGAACGAGACACAGCGATAAGGAAAATCCAAAAGTCAAGGGTGCCAGAAATCAGGGAAGTCAAAACAAAGCCAAAGTCAAAAAACAGAAAAACACGATCAGGAACACACTCTTGGATAACCATCTAAGGGAAACCACGACAGGGCAATGAGCTAAGGAATAAGTGAGTTTAAATAACCCTCTTGCAGATACGGTTGGCTGTACCTAGCCCTTGACCACAAAACGTGTGTGTGCGTCTTTTGCATGACGTCACCTGTACGTCGACGTCATCTTTACTGTGGACGGACGTGGGGCTATATAATTGCGTGGGTCCGCAGCGGCCGGGGTGCACCGACATGCTGCACAAGTCAGGCATCATGGCAGAAGACCACCGAGCAGCACTCCCCTCGATCTTCAGAAGGTAATTATCTCTATTTTTGCCACATGGATACAAAGGAAACGTGAGACCACCCTATCTCGCTACTTTCTTTTGCGTCCAAGATCCTTGAAAGACTTGTGCATGTGAGAGTGACAGACTTCCTCAAGTCCAATTCTCTGCTCGACCCACTTCAGTCTGGTATTCCGCGCTCAGCACTCTGTGGAAATGGCTCTGACCAAAGTATCAAATGATCTACCCGCTGCAAAATCTCATGGTCACTACTCTATCCTAATTCTCCTTGACCTTACCGCTGCTTTTGATACTGTTGATCATCAACAGCTTCTTCTCATCCTCCGTAATCTAAGCCTACAAGATATTGCTCTTTCCTGGTGCTCCTCCTACCTCACCCAGTGCTCTTTTAGAATTTCTTTCTCTGGCTCTGCCTCTTCCTCACAACCTCTCTCTGTTGGTGTCCCCCAAGGTTCAGTCCTTGGTCCCCTACTGTTCTCGATCTATACTGCCTCCCTTGGTAAACTCATCAGGTCCTTTGGCTTCCAATATCACTTCTATGCAGATGACATACAAATCTACCTGCCCTCTCCCGATCTCTCCCCGCCCCTCTTGACTAGTGTCTCTGACTGCCTCTCTGCTATTTCTAACTGGATGGCTGCCTACTTCCTTTAAAGGGACACTATAGTCACTAAATCAGTTTTGGCGTATAGGTTATGTCCTTGCAGTTACACTGTTCAATTCCCTGCCATTGAGGAGTTAAATCACTTTGTTTATGCAGCGCTAGTCACACCGTCCTGCATGTGAGTTACACAAACTTCCTAAACACTTCCTGTAAAGAGTCCTCTAATGTTTACACTTCCTATACTGCAAATTCTGTTTAATTAAGAATGCCTTATCTCCTGCACTGTTGATAGCTTGCTAGAACCTTCATGAGCATCCTGTATCTAATTAAAGTTCAATTTACAGAGCAGGAGATAAAAACTTTTAAATTAAGTTACATCTTATTGAAAGGGAAACCATTTCTTTCCAGGCAAGCTGTGTCAGTCACAGCCAAGGGATGTGTGACTAGGACTACATAAACAGAAACAAAAGTGATCTAACTCCTAAATGGCAGTGAATTGAGCAGTGAAACTTGAGAAGCATAATCTATACACCAAAACCGCTTCATTAAGCTAAAGTTGTTTTGGTGACTATAGTGTTCTTTTAAGCTGTATAAAACAGAACTTCTGGTCTCTCCTCCCTCAAGTGTTGCTACTCCCGTTTTTGTCTCCCTCCACATTAATGGTGCTCTCATCAGCTCCACCACGCAGGAGTCTTCACCCAAGAGCTGTATAAGGGGTAATGAGAGTACCAATAAGGGCGGGAGGCACTTAGATGCCTCCATTGTAATGAAGGTCTTTTAGTAGAATTGTAGATATGTTGTAGAGACTAGAACCCGCTTAGGATGGGTCAGTAGGATGTTTAATCAAGATTTACACATGGGGGGGATTTAGGAGTTGGCGTGGGTAGTATGCAGCTCCCAACTGTGTAAGACAGCGGTAACATGACCTATAAACAGTGTTCAAAGGAACACCTCACAGGAACTTAAGCAAATTATGTAAAAACATGAGAAATCAAATAACATAAAATAAACTGAACCAAATATAAAGAGATATATGAATGTTCAAGACAGTTCAGGACACCAGGGGTGATGATGGCACTAATGGGCGAACCTTCACAGGATCCCAGGGAGTGGAAGTCAAAAGTTATTGGCTGAGTAGGCGCTGCGGCGGCCTGCGTGGATAGCCCAAGGGTCTGCAGAGTACCAGAAATCTCATCAGCGACGGTGATTTTCAGGTCGCCAGTTTCCTTAGGTATGATCAGTCTTCTTGGTACTCCCCAGCGATATGGTATTTTGTGGGCAAGTAGTTCCTACGTCAATGGGCACACAGAGAATCGCCACTCCAGGGTAGCTCTGGATAAATCAGGAAAAAACGTTAAAGGAATGTTCCTCAAATTGAAAAGGTGACCTGTTACGGATGGCCGCCATGAGGGCCAGACGGTCTATTGTGTCTCTGCCAGTGCCCTGGGTGTCTGTAGTTGATTTAGGGATTTTAAATCATCTAGAGGCATTGCCTTGGCTTGTTTGGAAGAGAATAGTACGGTGAGTAACCTGCAAAACAGGTGTGGAAATTCAGTAGGCTCTAGATTTGTCAGGCAGGCCTATTATTTCAATATATTTCCAGCGCCTCTTGTCTTCCATGGCTGCAATGCATTCCAGGGCCTGTGTCTGAGTGTTGAAAGCTGGTTCTCCAGAGACTTTATACGAGTCTGGTGGTCAGCAGAGTTCAGCTCTGTATGGTGTAAGTGTGTCAATATTTCATTAATTTCTTCCCGGAACTGCCCGATTTCAATTGCCATGTTTTGGCGCAGCTCATCCAGAAGGCTCCTTAGCGTATCATCTGTGACCGGAGGCTTTGCAGTTTATTTGGGTGGTGGGATCATGAGACTGGTGGGTACCCTAATGCCGTAATCCTCCTCATCAGCTGATAGCTCGTCACTGGATGCTTGTGAGAGCCCATCTGACTTTGGTGCCATTTCAGGCCTCCCAGTAGATTGTTTCCTTTTCAGGAGCTCTGAGATATCGGCGGTTGCGGGGGTCGTCTATCTTTTTATTTTTTGCTGAGATACCTCATTGCATTTGATTTATATTGAGATGCCTTCAGAGAGGTATATAGCAGCTTTGAGTTCAGGTAGGCAGTACAATTCCTGTGTTTTATGCTCAGTAGCAGAGTTGTCGCTCGGCGCTCGTGGGATATGCATGCTCATAGTACGGTTGACGGCTCTGCCCCTTTAATTCTATTTTAATGTCTGGCTATTCATTTTATTGATTAATATAAGTGAAAACCATGTAAATAGTTAATTTATTTCCCTCGCTGGGTGAATCAGTACTAATATTTATGTACAACGCCATCCGTTTACTTGAAAATTGTGCTACTTTTAGTAATTTCCTCCAACTTTCTAGTAGAATTATTTTTATATATCACCCTGAATAAATTGTTATTTAATAAACCCGTGTTTATGGGAGCAATGTTACCGCAGCCTGCACTCTAAGACATCCGTTTAATAGCACTTTATGTATTAATGACAGGCAGAGAATCACTACTCCACTAGGTGGCAGCATCGTCCTACAGAGCCCATCCAGCCTGGCGATACACCTGCTGTGGACTAGAATATTGTCTTTGGAGTCCACAATAGAGATTAAAGGGACACTCCACTGCCTAAATAAAAATCACTGTTTGGTTGATATATACCCGATAAACGCATGCATTAATTTAATTATACATTTATTAATTGGAGTTATATCAAAAAACAGATTGCAAAAAGCTGCAGATCTCTTGTCTGCAGCCTTTTCAAACCCTCCCTTCCTAACCCCGTCAAGACCTTCTGAGGCTGTCCAATCACAGACTTCCCACCTCTTGTCTTCCAGTCATAAGCTCTGCCCCCATCCCCCACCGATATACTGCACTCCGCTCACTGGCAAATAATGCAGACGGCTTTATCTGTGATCTCACATGATGTGTCCACATACAATATTGACTGATGTTTGTTCCCAGCTTAGCGTATCTCTGAATAGAACATGAGCTCTGATATCGAGCGATGTGTTTGAATAAGTTTAATAGGCAGAGGGCTGGTCTGTAAAGAACAGATGGCTAGCACCGTGACTCGGGTTAAGAGTTAGTGGGTGAGAGGTTAATTTCCTTTATTTACAATGGAAGGTATTGAAAGGTTTAAGGGGGTATCCGAATTAAAAAGTCAGTCATCATCACACTGTGGTAAGTAGTCAGGAAAAGCACATAATGGTGGCAACACGGCAATCGATTTCTGTCCGAAATAGTAAAAGAGAAATATGAGGCACAGAAGAAAAATCTGAAATAATGAGCAAAAATCGCGTCATTAATCACCTTACAAATAGCTATTAGTTCCCAGTATAAAGCATTAATACAGTATTCAGTATTCCCCAAATATCTATAACGTGTTTAATATCATCTTACCGTAAACAGAGCAATGAGTAAACGTATGACATGCCTCCTTAGCTCTCTGCCACCTTCATAGCCGCCACCATCTTCATTTCTGCCATCTTCACAGCCACCATCTTCATATCCACCATCTTCAAAGCCGCCATCTTCACAGCTCCCATCTTCAGAGCCGCCATCTTCAAAGCCGCCATCTTCACAGCCGCCATCTTCACAGCCGCCATCTTGAGCGAATTATATGGATGAACCTGTGACAGAGAATAGTGGTGCAACAGTCAAACACGCACTCGCTAATGACGCAAACATCCATCAATATTCATTTTGTGTCTTTATTTCAATCTGAACCTTCTAACTCCTTGTAAAAAATAATGATCATTTCTTAACCTCCCCAATTTTAGTTTTTTAATCAATGTTATATTAATTGGTGTATTATTTGTGTTTATATACATAGGCGTGCGCAGCCTATTGCATTAGGGTGTGCACCCTAAAGCACAAGCACACGCCGCATATATATATGTATGTATGTATGTATGTGTATATATATATATATATATATATATACATACACATATATACACACATACACACACTGCTGTGTGTGTGTGTGTGTGCTGTGTGAGGGTGCTGTTAGTGTGATATGTGTGTGACGGTGCTGGTAGTGTGCTATGTGGGTGAGGGTGTTTGTGTGTGCGTGCTTGTGAGGATGCTGTTAATGTACTGTGTGTAAGGGTGCTGTTTGTGTGTGTGTGTGTGCTTGTGAGGGTGCTGTTTGTGTGTGAGGGTACTGGTAGTGTGCTGTGTGTGTGTTTGTTAATGTCCTGTTTGTGAGGGTACTGTTAGTGTGCTGTGTGTGTGTGAGGGTGCTGTTTGTGTGCTGTGTGTGAGGGTGCTGTGTGTGTTTGTGAGGGTGCTGTATGTGTGTGTGGGTGCTGTATGTGTGTTGGTGCTGTGTATGTCTGTGGGTGCTGTGTATGTCTGTGGGTGCTGTATGTCTGTGGGTGCTGAAAGTGTGTGGGTGCTGTGTATGTCTGTGGGTGCTGTACGTGTGTGGGTGCTGTTTATGTCTGTGGGTGCTGTATGTGTGTGAGTGCTGTATGTGTGTGGGTGCTGTATGTGTGTGGGTGCTGTGTATGTGTGTGGGTGATGTATGTGTGTGGGTGCTGTGTATGTCTGTGGGTGCTGTGTATGTCTGTGGGTGCTGGATGTCTGTGGGTTCTGTGTATGTCTGTGGGTGCTGTGTATGTCTGTGGGTGCTGTATGTCTGTGGGTGCTGAATGTATGTGGGTGCTGTGTATGTCTGTGGGTGCTGTATGTGTGTGGGTGCTGTGTGTGGGTGCTGTATGTATGTCTGTGGGTGCTGAATGTGTGTGGGTGCTGAATGTGTGTGGGTGCTGTGTATGTCTGTGGGTGCAGTGTATGTCTGTGGGTGCTGTATGTCTGTGGGTGCTGTGTATGTGTGTGGGTGCTGTGTATGTGTGTTGGTGCTGTATGTCTGTGGGTGCTGTGTATGTGTGTGGGTGCTGTGTATGTGTGTGGGTGCTGTGTATGTGTGTGGGTGCTGTGTATGTGTGTGGGTGCTTTATGTCTGTGGGTGCTGTATGTGTGCTGTATGTGTGGGTGTGTGTGCTGTATGTGGGTGGGTGATTGTGGGGGGTGGAGGTGGGGGTACATTACTTGCTATCCCCCCTCCCTTCTTACCTTTTGTAGGGAGGGGGGATAGTGCCCTGGTGGTCCAGTGGAGAGTGAACTCTAGCCCCCTGTGGGGCTAGAGTTCACTCTTGCGAGATTTGAGCATTGCCGTGACAACGCTCATATCTCGCGAGAGGAACCCGGTGGAGCTGCTGGCAATTGCTCCGCCGGTCCTCTCCTGCCTCTCTCCCTGCATGTGGGTCAGTGGGGAGGGAGGCCGAGAGCAGAGCCGGCGCTCAGATAGCGCCAGCTCTGCATGAGCCGACAGGGGAGATCCTGTGATCTCCCCTGCCGGTCTCAATATACATAGGCGTGCCGCGGGGATTAGGGTGTGAACAGGCACACCCCGTGCGCACGCCTATGTTTATATAAGAGTATTCATCTCAACTAACTGGGGTTCCAACATATAATAATTATTTTTTATTTTATGGAGGAAATTATTATTGTCGTCTTTTATATAGTGCCAGCATATTCCGCAGCGCTTTACAGTAATATCAAAGGGGGAAATTTAACAATAAATGAGAGAATTACAATATGTTACAGGAACAATAGGTTGACGAGGACCCTGCTTGAAAGAGCTTAAAATCTTGAGGTGAAAATAAGTATTTTGACTCAATAAGATGATTTCTGTTTAGATTACTTTTTGTAAGCCATTCATTTTACATAAATAAAAAGAAGGGTGGGAATGGTTCCTGGATGACCTTGAACACAGGTATCTGATGTGGAGAATAGCTGAGCTGCTGTCAGTATAGGACATTCGCTGAGCTGCCGGGCTGTTTTACCATCACAGGATTGGCTGGCAGTTTTATCGTGCTTAGAATGGCCGTGCGGTTTCAATGTGCCCGAATTGGCTTGGCTGTTTCACCATGCCAAGATTGTCCAGGGTTTTCACTGTGCCAGAATTGGCCAGGCTGTCTCACCGCGGCAATATTGGTAGTGCTGTTTCCAAGTGCCAGGATTGGAAGGCCGGCTTCATCGTGCCAGAATTGGCTGGGCAGTTTCATCGTGCCAGGATTGGCTGGGCTGTCTCAGTCAGTTTCACCGTGCCAGTATTGGCTGGGCTGTCTCACTGTGCCAGCATTGGCTGGCCTGTCTCACTGTGCTGAAATTGACCAGACTGTCTCACCATGCCAGGATTGGCAGGGCTGTCTCATGGTGCCAGGATTGGCCAGGATGTTTCATCATGCCAAGATTGACCAGGCTGTCTCACTGTGCCAGGATTGGCTAGGCGGTTTCACAGTGCCAGAATTGGCAGGCTGTCTCACTGTGCCAGGCTTAGCTGGGCTGTCTCACCATGCCAAGATTGGCTGGATTGCTGTCAGTACTTTTAGAGGCTAGACTTGGTACTTTGAACTGGAGTAATACTGTGCATAATTTCATAATCTCTCAGTATGAGTCAAAATCCCTCCGCCTCATACTCTCCATTTATATCTCCTTCCCTGTTTGGTAAAATATTAACCAAATAATTAATAACAACATCAACGGCCACAGCTATATAATTCCAACCAAGATATAAATCCAATGAATAGACGTGCTATGTATGAGTATATCACAGAGCTCCACAGCAATAAAACTCACAGTAATGAGCAATGTGTATGAATATATCACAGAGCTCCACAGTAATAAAACTCACAGTAATGAGCAATGTGTATGAATATATCACAGAGCTCCACAGTAATAAAACTCACAGTAATGTGCAATGTATGAGTATATCACAGAGCCCCACAGAAATAAAACTCACAGTAATGTGCAATGTATCAGTGAGTATCACAAAGCTCCTGAGCAATATAGTGTGTATAATGTGATTGTGTCAGTCTGTATCTTTGTGTGTGTGTATCTCTGTATTTGTCTTGGTGTCGGTCTCTGTCTTTGTATAAACATCACATGTTTTTTTGACATAAAGTAAGTCATGCCTATAAAGTATTGTGTTACCATTTTGTAGGTGTGTATCTGTGTGTATTGACAGGTTGCAGGTGTATAGTATTAGGTGCCTGAGGGTGTAGTTGATACAGTTACTCTCCGCCCAGTGCCACCTGTATGAAAATCTCTATATCAGCCTTGAAATGTTCTCTGACCTCTCCCCCTCCTCCCACACATACACTACACTCACATTCGTAGGAAGGACCTGTACTGTGACAATGGCTCCAGCAGCTATCACTGTGCGTCTGCTGAAGGATGGGGACTTACCTTCTCCCAGGCAAGTGACCCGACCCTACCTGGAGCAAGACTATGACAAGCTGCTTCAGGAGTGTCTGCAACAAGGGCGACTCTTCGAGGATCCCAAGTTTCCTGCGGAGCCAAAATCACTGGGGTACAACCAGCTGGGACCTTGGTCTTCAGAAACCAGAGACATCCAATGGAAGAGACCCCAGGTATGGACGCAGACAGAGAATGCCCGAAGGACAGGGTCAAAACTGAGAAATACTTTCAATGAATGAGGGGGCTGTGGATTGTCACTACAATTCCCATCATTAGTTTGGGGAGCAAACATAGTAACCCATGGTGGGGTTATACAAAGCGGGCAACTCGGTGTGTATAGACCAGTAACGTATGGGGAATATAGGATCCAGATACTGGACATTCATAGACCAGCAATGTATGGGGGAATACAGAGCCCGTCACGTGGACAACCCATAATCTATTATAGAACGAGGGGGGACTACAACGCCAGAGAACATGACACACTTTAGCCCATTATTGTACAACATAGGCCCTCCACAGTTTTTTGGGGGTCTGACGGAAATTTCTGTACTGTGCTGTTGCTGATATTGATTAGGACACTAACGGTTCCTGTAGAAATTATGGTTTAAACATATTTTATCTTCTCGAAAACTGCCTGTACTTAGTGAAACTGGCGTATTGCGGAACGTGTGCCACGGAAAAGACTAACATCTCCACAGCTTAACCCTGTCAGTGCTGAGTCCTGAGTGACAGACTCAATATTAATTATAGGGGAGTTACCATTGGGAACATGAACCAAACATCATTCTTTTAAAGTAATCCTAAAAATGAATTTTTTTATTTTTTTTTACCAATTTTCCTTGCATGTTCCTTAGCCATGAAAAATCGAGATGGCAAATGTAATTGCGCCCCTGTGATAAATAGTGACGAAAGTGCACAGTAAAAATCTAATTTTAACATAGTCCTATGTAGTGAATCCATTTTTGCAATTATGACATTTATTAAGATCTCGCTACTAGATTAGTAAATCACTACTAGCGCAAGAAAAGTGCTAATTATTTTATTTGTTAATATGCGAGGATTCAAGCCGTGACTTTATCGACCGCTCTGTAACACCACATGCTGTTTACACTTTGGGTTAGAGAGGGAGAGGTTTATTTGGGAAGGGATCAAGCTCAGCTTCTCCTCAACCAGGGCAACGGTAACCGGTGAATTATAATATAATAGGGATATTACATGCAACAGCTCATACACCACATGGTTTATGGGAGGGGATGTTAATATTGTCCTAGACCCAACACAAGATAGATAAACCCGAGAGACGTCACCTTACACTTTCAGCTGCATTGCAGTACTTACGCCCAACAAATATTAATAAAAGGAATGGAGCATTTTAGTTATGAAGAAAGGTTAACAAATGTAAACCTCTTTAGGTTAGAAAAACGTCACCATGATAAAATTATGCACATATATTCGGGCCAATACAAACCATTCTCTGGAAATCTATTCACAAACAGGACTATACATAGGACACGAGGTTACACATTTAGACTGGAAGAAAGGAGATTTAGTCTAAGGCAAAGGAAAGATTTCTTACAGTAAGAAAAATAAGAATGTGGAATTAGAGGTTGTTTTATCAGAGTCTGTATTGAAGTTTAAACAGTAATTGGATAAATATTTGCAAAAACATAATATTCAGGGGCATCATTTTTAATTAATGAGGTGATACCTTCTTGGAGCTATCCAAGGCAGTGGCGGAGCTACCGCGGTCGCAGGGGTCAGAAGGGTGCCCACCAGCCATCTATTGCAGCACCCGCCCGCGCGGTAGAACCAGTGGAGCCCATGCTTTAAGGGCCACCTGATGGCAAAGCATTTCCAGGGGGCCTGGTCAGTGCTGCAGTGCTTTAACAGTACGACCAGGCCCCCTGTGATGAGGCCAGATGCTAGGAGAAAGTGACTGTCCTGGTCACTCTTCCCAGCATACACAGAGAAAGTGGAGGAGGAGTAAGAGAGGAGGGAGTCAGAGTGGGAATTCTGACTCCCATCAGCCTGAGCCAGCCTCCTGCACCTAAAAGGTAAGAAACAGGAAGTTGACTAAACCATTTTGCATGTGTGTGTTTGTGTATGTGTGTCTTAATGTATGTATGTGTGTGTCTGTATGTATGTGTGTGTGTCTATGTATGTATGTGTGTGTTTGCGTCTCTGTATGTATGTGTGTGTGTGTGTATGTCTCTGTATGTATGTATGTATGTGTTTCTGTATTTATTTGTGTGTTTGTGTATTTGTATCTGTATGTGTGTGTCTATATGTATATCTGTATGTCTGCGTATCTTTATGTCAATGTGTGACCTGTGTATCTTTATGTGTGTCACTGTTTGTATCTGTATGAGTATCATTCTGTGTATTTGAATGTTTTTCCTTAAGTGTTTGTGTATCTGTCTGTATGTGTGTCTGTGTATTCGCATGTGTGTCTGTGTATCTGTATTTGTGTCATTCTGTATATCTCAAAGTGTGTCTGTGTATCTGCATGTGTCTGTGTGTATATATGTATGCATCTTTTGGACCAACAGCAAAAACAGATGTTAGGAAGGCTAAACTCTCTTTTTAGCTTATGTAACTATGTAGAGACTATACCTTTTATTCCCACAACACATTTCCTGTACTGACTTTTCCTAATCTTGTTTGGCTCTCTACCATGTGGACTCTACAGATAGTATTATCATCCCAATCCATTCCCACTGGAGATTCCGTCACACCACCACTGGTGCTCTTCCCAAATAGTTTTACCTGATACAGATCTTTTCACATCATGATTTCTGAAACTCTACAAATCTTTTCAGATTTTCAAGTAGTTTAGCAAGAAGGGCAGGATTTATTTATATAAACTACAAGTGCCCCACCTGGGAGTCTAACATTAAACATAATTATATTACAGAATTCCTTGTTGGCCTTTCCAAATGGCTCAGCCCCCCACAATTCGCCACCAACTCTTTCAGCTGTAAAACCGAACATTTCCCATTTTGTAGTTTGTTCTTATGAAGACATTGACGTAACCCATTGACTCCCAAAATAATAGCCAGATCTATTTTACTAAATTCCTTCATATCAAAACTACGACCTCCCCTTCCCCACACCTTTAAGTTCCATTCACTCCTCTCTGTTCCGATACATGCTCTTCCTTCCATACGTGACCGGTAACAGGGGATTTGCAGTGTTTATAGTGATAGAAAGTGCGATAGGAAAGTGTTAAGCTGCTAACCCAGTGTAACCCAGCACCGTCTCTCCATCTGTCACTTATCTAGCCTTTATTGATCTGCCCATCCCAGATACTTAATATCTTCTGTGATTAACCCTCGCAATGCTAGGGATCCTAACTGCAAGTTAGAAATGACAAAACATAGCCCACATTCGCCCTTTTCTTACTCAAGATGCTACCAAGGAGCTTGTCCATGCTCTAGTAATTTCCAGCATGGATTACTGTAACCCTCTCCTGATTGGTCTTCCCAAAAGCCGTATTGCCCCGCTACAGTCTGTAATGAATGCTGCCGCCAGACTGATTTTCCTCTCTAGTCGGTTCTCTCACAGCTCACCCCTCTGCCAGTCCTTACATTGGCTTCCTGTATGCTATAGGAGTCAATTCAAGGTATTAATTCACACCTATAAAGCACTGAACAGTTCTAGCCCCTCTTACATCTCCTCACAGATCCATAGGTATGTCCCTTCTCGGTCTCTCCGCTCTGCCCGTGACCACCTACTGTCCATTGTTCGCACCCGGACGGCCAACTCGCGCCTGCAGGTCTTCTCGCGGGCAGCTCCCTTCCTATGGAATAGCCCGCCTACCGCCATCAGACTCTACCTTAGTCTTCAATCGTTTAAGAAGTGCCTTAAAACCCATCTCTTTAGGAAAGCTTATGGCCTCCCAGATTAACCTCTACCTCACATACCTGTCCCTTGCTCTCTCCTAAAGGGCAGCACTCTACTCTCTCCTCCAGCTCTGCTTCACTCCCACCGTATTTGATTGATATTTCCGTCCTAATGTGTCTTACACCCCACCTCCTATAGACTGTAAGCTCGTTTGAGCAGGGTCCTCTTCAACCTATCGTTCCTGTAAGTTTTCTTGTAATTATCCTATTTATAGTTACATCCACCCCTCTCATAATATTGTAAAATGCTACAGAATCTGTTGGCGCTATATAAATGGCAATAATAATAATAACCCGGTATTTTTTAACACAATATGTCGAATGGTCCAATATAGGTGTTTTTCCATCAAAACAGAAAATAAATCCCAGCTCTCACCAGAGCAAGAACCATAACCCAGTCACTCACTGACTCTCTCTGGACGACTAAATCCATTTACCAGCTGCGACCATATACAGCCGACACAGCGTGGAAATAGAAAACATATTCTATCAGCGCTCGCTGCTAGCGTTATACAATACTAAGCGCTCGCTGCTAGCTTTATACAATACTAAGCGCTCGCTGCTAGCTTTATACAATACTAATCGCTCACTGCTAGCTTTATACAATACTAAGCGCTCGCTGCTAGCTTTATACAATACTAATCGCTCGCTGCTAGCTTTATACAATACTAAGCGCTCACTGCTAGCTTTATACAATACTAAGCGCTCACTGCTAGCTTTATACAATACTAAGCGCTCGCTGCTAGCTTTATACAATACTAAGCGCTCACTGCTAGCTTTATACAATACTAAGCATTCATTGCTAGCTTTATACAATACTAAGCTCTCACTGCTAGCTTTATACAATACTAAGCGCTCACTGCTAGCTTTATACAATACTAAGCGCTCACTGCTAGCTTTATACAATACTAAGCGCTCACTGCTAGCTTTATACAATACTAAGCGCTCACTGCTAGCTTTATACAATACTAAGCGCTCACTGCTAGCTTTATACAATACTAAGCGCTCACTGCTAGCTTCATACAATACTAAGCTCTCACTGCTAGCTTTATACAATACTAAGTACCCACTGCTAGCTTTTCACAGCACTGAGTGCTCACTAATAGCATTTCAGTTAGTTTTTACAGCATTGTTCGCTCTGTGTATTGTTGTTATAAATCCTGACACACTATAAACATTAACTAACCCACAGTGTCTGTCTGTCTGTCTGTCTGTCTGTTTCAGGAGATCTGCCAATCGCCGCAGTTTGTCTGCGAGGACATGAAATGGACGGATGTGTGCCAGGGCCAGCTCGGTGAGTGCGATAATAATGTCATAATATCAAAGTATTTAACCACTAAAGGGGTAATTAACTTGCTGCAAGCTTCCAACTACATCTACATATTACTATTACCCAACTCAATGGTGCGTATTGCATTGAGCTCAGAAAGGGACAAGTTGTGTTTGCTGGATATAGACGTTGTGATGCGTAAATGCTCTGTTTGGAGCCCTATTCAGTGTTTCCTGGCATGGGAACCTGGTCCAATCACCCCTCTCACAGTCATTCCACTGACTCCAAGCCTCAAAACAAACTCACAAAAATCGTATTTTTATTTTATATAATATTCAGCGACAGAAAACGTGCCATGAATAAATACAGCATAAAACACATTTACATATATATAGTAAGATTTGGGGTATCTGTCATGGGATATAATAAGAAATCCCTGAGTCTTGCACCAGTTGGATAGAGAATGAGTAGCCAATCAGGGGGCAGTTGCGAGGAGTTGCATTAAGGGAGTTATTACGTGACATGATGGGTTTGGATAAGAATCAGGTGAAAAACTACCAAATATTTTCGAACATACCTTAAAAACCTGCTGGGCTGTTTTATAGGCACTTTGAGAGTGTGTGGGCAGTATTTAACGTTACTGCCTGTAGCGCATAATGTCCAGGATGCAAACCAGGCCGCCAGCGCAGAAACTACAGATAAGTTATTTACTAAAATGCGAAGGGTCAACAATTCAAACTATACTGGTTTTTTACATCATAGAATTTCTGTGTTTCTCTCTTATCTCTCTGTCTCCATGTGTGTCTAACGTTTCAGAGGATTCCTTCAGTTTCACTATTGTAGCCTCAAATTTGACTTTTTAAATTCTCAACAATACCCACTTTAGAGGATAACCCAGGATATGTAGGTATCGGTCTGTCAGTATACGCACAGTATGGCCGACAAGTTCCTAGAGGATAACCCAGGATATGTAGGTATCGGTCTGTCTGTATACGCACAGTATGGCCGACACGCTCCTTTAGAGAATAACCCAGGATATGTAGGTATCGCTCTGTCTGTAAACGCACAGTATGGCCGACACGCTCCTTTAGAGAATAACCCAGGATATGTAGGTATCACTCTGTATGGCCGACACGCTCCTTTAGAGAATAACCCAGGACATGTAGGTATCGGTCTGTCTGTCTGTATGCGCACAGTATAGCCGACACGCTCCTTTAGAGAATAACCCAAGATATGTAGGTATCTGTCTGTCTGTATACGCACAGTATGGCTGACACGCTCCTTTAGAGAATAACCCAGGACATGTAGGTATCGGTCTGTCTGTATACGTACAGTATGGCTGACACGCTCCTTTAGAGGATAACCCAGGATATGTAGGTATCGGTCTATCAGGATACGCACAGTATGGCCGACACGCTCCTTTAGAGGATAACCCAGGATATGTAGGTGTCGGTCAATCAGTATACGCACAGTATGGCCGACACGCTCCTTTAGACAATAACCCAGGATATGTAGGTATCGCTCTGTCAGTATACGCACAGTATGGCCGACACGCTCCTTTAGTGGATAACCCAAGATATGTAGGTATCTGTCTGTCTGTCTGTATACGCACAGAATGGCCGACACGTTCCTTTAGAGGATAACCCAGGATATGTAGGTATCAGTCTGTCTGTATACGCACAGTATGGCCGACACGCTCCTTTAGACAATAACCCAGGATATGTAGGTATCGCTCTGTCAGTATACGCACAATATGGCCGACACGCTCCTTTAGAGAATAACCCAGGATATGTAGGTATCGCTCAGTCAGTATACGCACAGTATGGCCGACACGCTCCTTTAGACAATAACCCAGGATATGTAGGTATCGGTCTGTCTGTTTGTATATGCACAGTATGGCCAGCAATACGATGATGATACAATGACAATACGGTGACAATACAGTGACAATACGATGACAGTGGGTAAAGAGAGACTTTGGTGGGATGCTCTCTCTTCCCGTATCTGATCTTCCGTGTTGGTCAGAGAGCAAGCTTGGACAGTGCTCTCACATGGTTAAAGATGTCGGCCCCTTCGACAAACTGACTCACAGTATATACATTCCCTGTCCTAGTCCTCTCATATTACTCCATTTACTGCCAAACCTTCAAGACATCGTTATATTCTGGTTTCTCCTGTCATCCTCTCACTTATCCCTCTAATTAAACTAATAAATACCACTGGTAATATATTCATCTATATTATAAGGAGTCACTGAGATCCCTCACATAGATCTCTCTAATTAAACTAATAAATACCACTGGTAATATATTGTAAGGAGTCACTGAGATTGTTATCACAATGGGTTTCGTTATACAGTGGCTTTGTGGTCTGTTTAAACATTTTCTAGTTGCCCAGTAATTCCATACGGCACCATAAAGTCATTAATACATATTCAAATTTTGAAATAATATTCTACACTAGCGCTACCAGTAATGCCACACTTTAATATACTCCTAAGTCTAGCCCATATGCCAACCCAAAACCTAGCCCTAACCCTAATGCCAACCCAAAACCTAGCCCTAATGCTAACCCTAATGCCAACCCAAAACCTAGCCCTAACCCTAATGCCAACCCAAAACCTAGCCCTAACCCTAATGCCAACCAAAAACCTAGCCCTAATGCCAACCCAAAACCTAGCCCTAATGCCAACCCAAAACCTAGTCCTAATGCTAACCCTAATGCCAACACAAAACCTAGCCCTAATGCTAACCCTAATGCCAACCCAAAACCTAGCCCTAACCCTAATGCCAACCAAAAACCTAGCCCTAATGCCAACCCAAAACCTAGCCCTAATGCTAACCCTAATGCCAACCCAAAACCTAGCCCTAACCCTAATGCCAACCCAAAACCTAGCCCTAATGCTAACCCTAATGCCAACTCAAACCCTCAACCTAACACTAACCCTAAACCCATCCAAAAACCTAGCCCTAACACTAACCCTAAAGCAATCCTAAATCCTAGCCCTAATGCTAACCATAAACCTAGCCCTAATGCTAACCCTAAAGCCATCCCAAACCCTAGCCCTAATGCTAACCCTAAACCTAGCCCTAATGCCAACTCAAACCCTAGCCCTAACCTTAATGCCAACCCAAAACCTAGCCCTAATGCTAACCCTAATGCCGACTCAAACCCTAGCCCTAACACTAACCCTAATGCCAACTCAAACCCTCAACCTAAACCTTACCCTAATGCCAACCCAAACCCTATGATAATGCTAACCCTAACCTTAATGCCAACCCAAACCCTAGCCCTAACACTAACCTTAAAGCCAACCCAAACCCTAGCCCTAACCCTAATGCCAAACCCTAGCCCTAACACTAACCCTAAAGCCAACCCAAACCCTCACCCTAACGCTAACCCTAATGCCAACCCAAAACCTAGCCCTAATGCCAACCCAAAACCTAGTCCTAATGCTAACCTTAATGCCAACTCAAACCCTAGCCTTAACACTAACCCTAATGCCAACTCAAACCCTCAACCTAATCCTAATGCCAACCCAAACCCTACGATAACGCTAACCCTAACCTTAATGCCAACCTAAACCCTAGCCTTAACACTAACCCTAAAGCCAACCCAAACCCTAGCCCTAACCCTAATGCCAACCCAAACCCTAGCCCTAACACTCACCCTAATGCCAACCCAAACCCTAACCCTAGCCCTAATGGTAACCCTAAAGCCAACTCAAACCCTAGCCCTAACTCTAACCCTAAAGCCAACCCAAACCCTAGCCCTAACACTAACCCTAATGCCAAGCCAAACTCTCAACCTAACCCTAACCTTAAAGCCATCCCAAACCCTCACCCTAACACTAACCCTAATGCCAACTCAAACCCTCAACCTAACCCTAACCCTAATGACAACCCGAACCCTAGCCCTAGCCCTAATACAAACCCTAGCCCTAAAACTAACCCCAATGCCAACCCAAACCCTAGCCCTCACTCTAATGTCAACCCTGCTCCTGCCCTAACCCTACCCTTGGCCCTAAAATGACTTCCTATGTCCTTAATTCTGGGAATTGGAGTTCTTGATCCTTCAGTATTGGTCTTATCGTTTATTACAATGTTTATAAGATCCCTCCGTGGTTTTATTTTCCCATAATGTATCTTAAACCAGTTATCGCATTGCGGAAGTGGACATGCTTATTCCAAGTCTGTAAACAGTGTAAATGTAATGTAACAATAAAGAATGAATCACTTTCTTTACATTTCATTATACACTGTATGTACTAATCTCTCACCTTCCCCTCATTTAAAGGGACAGTGACCCATATTCCAATAATAGCTCTTAAACTATGACATTTTGCTGGCCCTGTCCCTCACAGCCACCCCCGTGAAACTCTGTAGATTTGCTGCTAATTTATGCTGAGTTAGTGTGCGTGCGGACAAGTCCATTATTCATCAAAGACAAAAGAGGATCGATTTAGCCCTCCACCCCTCCTCCACCCGGCCCTACCCTTTCCAGCTGGACTGAATGAAAAACCTGGAGTGTACGGTTATTATTTGAAGCACTAAGCTGTTAAGGCAGACTGACTCAAGTGCTAATTATATCAGGAACTCTTTAAAAATGCTCCTTCCAAGGCTGTCGTTACCAAAGTGCACACAGCCGTCTGCAGGGTTTATTTTACATAGAATAATCCCTGATTCACATCCTGTAAAGAGGGATTCGAGACAGTCATAATATTTCATATCAATGGCGGGGATATCGCTGCTAGTACAGGGCTTCCTGCGCACAAGCTAATGGCATTTTAAGTCAGTGACCCTCATACCATGACCCACTAGGACTGCCAGATCCTCCCTGGTTTTTCTGCTGATGGGCTGTGCGTGTAAAGTGCTACCCAGCATTGTGTACAAATACTGGGAAGAAATTGGGGAAGGAAATCAATAACTGGATCGTAACTAAACTAGTTTGGTTAATCTAGAAAGAGAGTTTGGTATATAATTTATATATATCTCAAGTGGAGCGCTATAGATGTTGAGGGATTACCTCACAGAATCTTGATCGGATCGTATACGTCACATACAAATATGAAAGATAAAAAGATATAATATAGTGCAGATTGTAAAACACTTGTGCAATTTAGGTGAGGTAGATAAATGTATCACTCACATTTTCAAGAGCCTATATTATTGGCTCTGTATGGACTGGTATGCTTTTTAACGCAGCATCCCACCACTATTTTCTTTTTTTTATAATTCTTTATTTTTGCAACGGTATGGAGTAGACAATGCATAAGGTTTGGCTCGTGCAAGAGCGTTTCAAAAGTACATACACATGTCAGGTACATATGAGGATTTTTAACATCTCTACTTTCATCCGTTGTGGTTGTTGGTATTATTGTTTCAACAAGAACATTGTGTATAGAAAAATAAAATAACTGAACTGTGGGCCGGGATACCGGTCATCTCGGTCCAAACGGTCATGGGTTGGGTGGGGGGAGAGAAGTTGAGGTAGGTTGGGGGGGGGGGCAAGGGTTGGGGGGGGTTACTGCAGTCCATCGTTAGCGTTTGCGACTCCTTTCTGCTACATGGTCTTTATTGGTCTTACTGGTCATTATAGGTCTCCCACGGTTCCCACGTCTTAGTAAAAGCTTTGGTTGTGCCCCTAATTTGGGCCGTGAGTTTGTCCATTAAGTGGCATTCTTTGATTTTGTTAATCACTATTGCTACTGAGGGGGTGTCCTGCTGTAACCAGGTCTGGGCTAACGCTCTCCTGGCCGCTAAGGTTATTTTGTCAAACAGATGCTGGTTTGGTTTGGACCAATTCTCCTGAGGTCTGGCCAGTAGGAACGTCCAAGGGTTCAGTGTCACTGGCCTATCGAATATTTGGGTCATGAGGGTTCGAATGGCCGTCCAATAAATTTTAATCTTAGGGCAGTGCCACCACATATGGGTATATGTCCCTCTCTCCCCACAATTGCGCCAGCAGAGGTCTGTGGGTGTTTTTTTCATGTGATATAGCTGAACAGGGGTGGTATACCACCTGAACATCGTTTTGTAGGCCTGCTCTTGCATCGTGACGCAAATAGAGGTTTTAGCAGTGGCCTGCCATATGTCCTGCCAGTCTACCCCCTCTAATGTTTCCCCAAGGTCGGTTTCCCACTTGTCTGTGTAGTGGAGGGTGCCCCAGTCCTGTGTAGTGGAGCAGAGATGGGAGTACAAGAGGGAGATCAATCCCTTTTGGTAGCGTTCGGCCAGGCATATGTTTTCAAAGAATGTTGGTTTAGCTAGTGCAGCTCTTTTAACAGGTTCTTGGGTAGCATAGTGTCTTAGCTGGAGGTACCTAAAGAAATCTGCGGGGGTTAGGGTTGTTCTGGTTTGTAATTCAGCGAAGGTGATTATGTCGTGACCTGTGTAGAGTTGATGAATTCTTTGTAGGTCTGCATTTTCCAGGCCTTTGAAATCTCTGGGTCTCATGCCTGGAATAAATGCCCTATTTCTGTATATGGGGGTGAGGGGGGAGGATGATGTTGTTAGTTCGTATTTTGTGGCATATTTGTCCCAGATGTGAATCGAATTTGTAATAGCTGGGCAGGTAGTCCTTAAAAGTGCTCTATGCTCTTTCGGGGTCCATATGTAAAACTGAGGGAGGTCCGATTTCATAATCAGGGATTCCAGGTCCACCCATCTTCTGGTGTCCGGAGGGGTGTGCCACATCGCTATTTGTGTCAAGTGGGCTGCAATGTAGTAGAAATGTATGTGTGGTAGGCCTAATCCCCCTCTGGGCTTGGGGCGATATAGAATATTACGGGCCACTCTGTGCCTTTTGTTGTGCCAGATAAAGCGGTCAATGGCCTGCTGTAGAGGCTTTAAGTCTTGTTTCGTTATGGGGATGGGTAGGGCCTGGAATAGAAAAAGGATACGCGGTAGGATGTTCATCTTTATTGAATGTATCCTGCCAATCCAGGATATGGGTTTATCCGCCCAGGTCTCCATGTCCGTTATGAGTTTAGTGATTAGCGGGGAGTAGTTAAGTTGGTGTAGTTTCGTGAGGTCTGCCGGCAGTTTTATGCCGAGGTAGGAGAGGTAGGTCGGTGCCATGCGTATGTGATAGTCTGACGTGATTTGGGTGGTCTCATTCTGCGCGAGTAGTATTGGGAGTGCGCTGGATTTCTCCATATTGACTTTGTAGCCTGATATTGTACTGTAGTTTTGCAAGAGGGGCATCAGCGCGCGCATGGAGCGGATGGGGTTAGTTAATGTGATGAGAACGTCGTCCGCGTATGCGGAGGCCAGGAACTCTTGGTCTGTTATCTTTGCCCCCGTAATTTCGGGGTGTTCTCTGATCGCCTGTAAAAGGGGTTCGAGTGTTAGTGCAAAAAGTAACGGGGATAGGGGGCAGCCCTGTCTAGTTCCGTTATAGATGTTAAATCGTGGGCTGTTTGATCCGGTCAGCTGTATTTGGGCTGTCACGTCTGTGTATAGCGCCCGTACTGCCGTGATGAAGGTGGGGGGTATGTTTAAATGGCTTAGTAGTGTGAACATGTATGGCCAGTTCACCCTGTCGAACGCTTTTTCAGCGTCTAGGGACAGGGCAATCGCTGGTGTGTTGGTTGTAGTGAGTGTCCATATCACGTCTATGTTCCGTCTGGTATTTTCAAATAACTGCCTGCCGGGAATAAACCCGACCTGGTCTGCGTGGATGAGCCGCGTGAGATGCGGGTTCAGTCTTGTCGCTAATATTTTGGCAAAGATTTTACTATCATGGTTTATTAGTGATATGGGTCTATATGCTTCTGGTAGGGTGTGGTCCTTGTCTGGTTTGGGTAAGAGTATGATATGTGCCTGTGTCATGTCCTTGGTAGGAGGGGTTCCCTCGAGTAGTTCGCGGAATAAAGTCTCCATGTGTGGGAGTAGTATCTCACGAAAGGTTTTGTAGTAGCTCCCCTCGTAGCCATCAGGGCCCGGGGCTTTGTTGCTCTTCAAGGAGGATATGGCCATATTGATTTCGTCTGTGCTGATTGGGGCTGATAATTCTTCTATGGCTGCGGTGTGGAGTTTGGGTAGGTTGAGGCGCGCTAAGAATTCCGACGTCCTCTGGCAAGCTGTCTGAGTGTGCGTATGACTTTGGGGGGTGTGGTTGTATAGGGCTGCGTAATAGGAGGTAAAAATCTGCGCTATCTCTGTCGGTGTGGTTTTCATGGTGCCGTCGGGGGCTCGTATGGATGTAATGTGAGGACGTTGCGTTCTAGGGCGGAGTGTCCGAGCGAGTAGTGTGTCCATTTTATTCGATTTGTCGTAGTATGTCCGTTTAGTCCATGTTAGTGCTCGCGCTGTGTCGTTTATTAGTAGCTGCCTGATAGCTAGGCGCGTGTCTAGTAGGTGTTGTAACGTTTGCGGATTCGGGTCTGTTTTGTGGCTCTGTTCCGCTTTACGAAGGGAGTCTAGAAGTTGGGTCAGTTTTTGGGTTTTCAATTTCTTTTTATGTGTCGCTATTTTGATAAGGTGTCCCCGAATGACGGCTTTGTGCGCTGCCCAAATTACAGTCATCGGGATATCTGGCGTTATATTTTCTGTGAAATATGTCTGTAGTTGTGTTTGTAGTTCAGTTACAACTAGTGGGTCTTGAAGGAGGGAGGTGTTTAGCTTCCATGTCCACGGTGTTGGACTATATAGGCCTTCCAGATAGATGGCTATGTCTGCGTGATCTGACCAGGCTATAGTGCCTATTTCTGTTTTTTGGGTTTTAGTGAAGCCTATTTGGTTGGTCAGGAAGATGTCAATACGAGAGTAAGTGTCGTGGGGGGCAGAATAGTAGGTATAATCTTTATGACTGGGGTGTTGTGCCCTCCACGCGTCTATGAGGCCCGTTTTACGTATGAAGTCGTTGAGTTGTTTGTCTTGTCCTCCTTTGCCGTGGGATCTAGCTAGTCCCGGGCGGGAGCTTCTGTCTGCAGCTGGGGAAGGGGTGGCGTTGAGGTCGCCCCCCAGGATCACCACTCCATTGGGTAGTGACAGGACTTTATCTGCCAGTTGGTTCCAGAATTGCAGGGATGGTGTGTTGGGAGCGTAGATGTTGATTAGGTGTATGGTTTGTGTGTATATTTGGCCCGTCGCTATGAGGTATCTGCCCTCTGTGTCGTTGTCTATGTGAGTGAGGCGCATAGGGCATCGTTTATGGACGAGGATAGTTACCCCGTTTCGTTTTTGGAAGGCACGCGCTTCTGCTGCGACCCGGTAGGAATGGTCGCGAAGGGAGACCTGGGCGGATCTAGGTAAGTGTGTCTCCTGCAGGTACGCGATGTCCGGGTTAAGTCTTTTTAGCTCCCTAAAAAGTGTGCGTCTTTTGCGTGGTGAATTGAGGCCCTTAACATTTAGTGAGGATATCTTTAGTGCCATGTTGGTAGAGTGAAGATGGTTTTTGTGTTATCTAGCCGTGTGGGGCATGGCGTGGGGGGTGATCTACTCCCATCTCTGCTCCGCCTCCCCTCATTAGGAGTGGGGTTTCCGTGGGGCGATATAGTCGTAGCAATTAGTGACCAAGGTGATGGTAAGGAGTGGGTTGGTCTGCAGTATGGAGACGTATAGGATGGCGTGCGAGGGGAAGATGGGGAAGGGAGGTAGGAAATCTGAGGGATGAACATGTGAACCCGTCTGGTCTTATGCCTTGCCAGACTATGGGGGGGTACTTGGGTCCTTGCCTCCTTCAGGGCTCTTGCCGCCCGAGGGGTCTGGGTCATGAACCAAGTCACCGAGGGTGTCCCCTATACCGTAAGGGTTGCTATAGGTATGATATGCCAAGCGTCACTGTTTTGTGGAGCTTATTGTGGGTGCGAATTCCCCGGTTGCCGGGGCTGGGGATGTTAATTGAGGTGGAGGGGTAGGACCCTTTGGAGAAGGTCAGTAGTAAGTCCGTGTTCGAAGTGATAAGTTGGAGAGGAGTGATGTAAGGAAAGGGTCCCGTCTCGTTGGGCTCTCAGAATTGTATACGGCCTATACCGGGTCTCATAGGATCCTGAAGGCATTCCCGGCCTGGGTTCCATATGTACCTGTATTCTAATGGCTGGGGTGTATAATGGGAGTTCGGGAGGTGGGAGCTATGGTCTATTTACCCCTCAGTCAGTGGTAGCGTATCGTCGCGCCCGTACTGATATTGCAGAAGTGGGGCCGTCTATATATGGAGCCTTGCTACTTCCGGTCTGCTCTGATCTCCCTCCTGGGCATCTCTGTTCGGGCTGACGTCTGCTCCCTTAACATATGCACTGATAATAATCATGTGAATTTAAGCAACAAGAAAAAGAAAAAAGGGGTGGGGGCAAGGGACAGGGGCTACATCAGTAAGCGTGAGTGTGGGCTATTAGCATACAGTTTGCATAACAATTAAACATTTGCATACAATTAAGTATAAACATCAGGTACTCTGGTGAAACATTAGGCTGTCCGTCTACGGTGTGTGGCTCTCCTTTCCAGCTGTATGTCTGGCCTAATGTGTTTCTAGTGTAACCCCTGTCTGTGCTGGAGTGCTTGTCCCGGATGTAGATCTCCGTCGTGTTAGTAAGTTGTGTGGGTGGTATTTCCCCTTTTCCTTTTTTCCCTTTCTCCCTTTCCTCCTTCTTTTTTTTTTTTTTTTTTTTTTTTTTTTTTTTTTTTTTTTTTTTTTTTTTTTTTGGTTGTTGTTATGTTTCGGTAATAGGGATGGGTTTCTGTCTGTCAATCCTATTGTGTTCCAATTCTCTAAGTGTGTGTGAGCGGAGCTCGCGTGTGCTGTTTGTGCCCCTCTACCTATTTATATGAGTCCAAAAATACATTACAGTTCCGATGAGAGATGTCGGGGGCTGCCGTGGCAGACGCATGGCCGGCCATCAGTCTATTCGTGTCTTTTGCAGGTCGGTGTAGCGGCCTTGTTGTTGCAGCTGGAAATGTTTGTCCCTAGTCCTGGTTCTGATGTGGTTGGCGGGTGGTCTCCTAGCAGTTGCTGAGCTCAGCGCTGCGCCTTGACAGGTTGCGAAATGTTCTCCGGTGGCGTCTTGCTTGGTGCGTTCTGAGTCCTGAGAGTCCCTGGTGAAGTTGTCTTGAAAGAGAGCGGGTGAATAAAACGTTGTGGGTGGCAGCTAGGGTGAGTTTTTTTTTTTTTGTTGTTTGTTTGGGTTTTGCTTTGCTGTTCGTTTGTGTTTTATTGGCCCGCGGCCATATGCCAGTCTCTCGGCAGGGTGCGGAGTGCCGGGAGCGCGGTCGTAGGCAATCTGAGGTCGTTGGGGGGCGCTATTCCCAGTTCGCGTAGAAACGGTATAGGATTTGCTCCTGGCAGGAGAACATGAGGCCTACCCTGCTTGAAGACCATCAATTTGAAGGGGTGGCCCCACGCATATCGCACCGAGTTGTTTCGGAGCAGCTCCGTGACTGGACGCCACTCACGCCTGCGCTGGAGCGTGACGGGGGCCAGGTCCTGGAATAAGGTGAGCGCTGTGTTCTTGTAGGTGATCAGGGTGTCTCGGGCCCTCCTGAGTACTGCCTCTTTTGTTCGGTAGTGTAAGAAGCGCACTATGACGTCTCTGGGTCTTGCTGTGTCTTCCCGTCGGGCACGGAGGGCTCTATGTGCCCTGTCCAGATGCCAGTGTTCTTCTGGGACGTCTGGGAGGAGAGGCTTGAGGATGGCAAGTATTGTTGCTGCGAGTGGGCCCTCGTCAGGCTGCTCAGGCAGGCCTCTTAGCCGTATATTGTTGCGGCGCGTGCGATTTGCCAGGTCCTCTAGGGCCGCTTCCGTTGTTTCTACACGCGCGGTTAGCATGTTAATATGGTTTGTTGCCGTATTATGTGCCTCCACTGTAGCCTCTACCCGCTGCTCCAGCTCTGTCGTCCGCGCCCCCAGCGAGTGAATTTCCGCCATTACCGCTTTGGAGCTGCGTTCTATCTCCCGGGCCAGAAATGTTTTCATTGCCGCCATCTCTGTGAGGATATGCGCCGTCTCCGGTGCTGGGGACTGTGGCATCTGGGGTGTGCCAGCGTCTGTGGGGGTGGTTGAGACCCGCGGGTCGTTTTCGGCGCCATCTTGGGCCTCGTGGCGGCTATGCCGCGAGGCCGCAAATAGATCTCGCACGGTAGCTGCTGCATCGGCGGCTTTTTTGGGCTGCTTCCTGGGTGTCCTCCTGTCCATCCTCAATGGTGGGTGCAAGTATAGAGGGCGAATTCGCGGTTTCGTGGCTTTTGTTAGCTTGCGGTATCGGGGTCGGTGAGGAGCGCTAGTGACTCGCGTCCATCTTGGTTCCCGGTCAAGCCCCGCCTCATCCCCACCACTATTTTCTACTGAAGTTTTTCTCCGGGAAGATAAAAACAATAGGAAAATCCAATGTGTAGTATAGTTAATTCAAGGATATCTTGCTCACCTTTTTTAGAGCCTTCACAATAGATTATTTGTATTAATAAATAGATTATATTTTATACAAAGTCCACAGAAGCCTCAAGTACCTTCATTTGGGGAAAGTGCCAACCCCCTTAGTGTGGCACAAAGTCTACCGCCAGGACTTTAAAGCTCTAAAAAAAAAACAATGTTAGATTTATTCAGGTTCTTCTTGATAAACCTTCCCCAACCTCCCATCAGATCCAATAAATCCGGGAAATAGTCACAATCTGCCGCAACGTTTTACACACTTTTCATGCAAGGTGGGAGCATAGTCCCTACATCCTGCCGGGGCTCCCGCCATATTGATTGTCTGACGACAGGAAACAAGAAACGCTAACATACAAATAATTTCCAATCTACAGGGAACTGCTGGTTCCTGGCGGCGGCAGCCTCTCTAACCCTGTACCCCGCGCTCATGGAACAGGTGGTACCTTCCCAGCAGAGCTTCACCACAGGGTATGCCGGAATCTTCCATTTCAAGGTGTGTTCCAGTGCGCGGGAGAGAAGCTGTTGAGACAGACTTACAATGGACAAAGTAATGGTGACATGGGTCACAGCGTACTAATGACAGTGACATGTTTAACGGTCAGTCCCTCCCAGGGTCACAGCGTACTAATGACAGTGACATGTTTAATGGTCAGTCCCTCCCAGGGTCACAGTGTACTAATGACAGTGACATGTTTAATGGTCAGTCCCTTCCAGGGTCACAGTGTACTAATGACAGTGACATGTTTAACGGTCAGTCCCTCCCAGGGTCACAGCGTACTAATGACAGTGACATGTTTAACGGTCAGTCCCTCCCAGGGTCACAGCGTACTAATGACAGTGACATGTTTAATGGTCAGTCCCTTCCAGGGTCACAGTGTACTAATGACAGTGACATGTTTAATGGTCAGTCCCTTCCAGGGTCACAGTGTACTAATGACAGTGACATGTTTAATGGTCAGTCCCTCCCAGGGTCACAGTGTACTAATGACAGTGACATGTTTAATGGTCAGTCCCTCCCATGGTCACAGTGTACTAATGGCAGTGACAAGTTTAAGGGTCAGTCCCTCCCAGGGTCACAGTGTACTAATGACAGTGACATGTTTAATGGTCAGTCCCTCCTAGGGTCACAGTGTACTAATGACAGTGACATGTTTAATGGTCAGTCCCCAGGGTCACAGTGTACTAATAACAGTGACATGTTTAAGGGTCGGTCCCTCCCAGGGTCACAGTGTACTAATGACAGTGACATGTTTAATGGTCAGTCCCTCCCAGGGTCACAGTGTACTAATGACAGTGACATGTTTAATGGTCGGTCCCTCCCAGGGTCACAGTGTACTAATGACAGTGACATGTTTAATGGTCGGTCCCTCCCAGGGTCACAGTGTACTAATGACAGTGACATGTTTAATGGTCAGTCCTCCCAGGGTCACAGCGTACTAATGACAGTGACATGTTTAATGGTGTCCCTCCCAGGTCACAGTGTAACAATGACAGTGACATGTTTAATGGTCAGTCCCTCCCAGGGTCACAGTGTACTAATGACAGTGACATGTTTAATGGTCGGTCCCTCCCAGGGTCACAGTGTACTAATGACAGTGACATGTTTAAGGGTCAGTCCCCTCCCAGGGTCACACAGTGTACCAATGACAGTGACATGTTTAAGGGTCAGTCCCTCCCAGGGTCACAGTGTACTAATGACAGTAACATGTTTAATGGTCAGTCCCTCCCAGGGTCACAGTGTACTAATGACAGTAACATGTTTAACGGTCAGTCTCTCCCACGGTCACAGTGTAATAATGACAGTGACATGTTTAATGGTCAATCCCTCCCAGGGTCACAGTGTACTAATGACAGTGACATGTTTAATGGTCGGTCCCTCCCAGGGTCACAGCGTACTAATGACAGTGACATGTTTAATGGTCGGTCCCTCCCAGGGTCACAGCGTACCAATGACAGTGACATGTTTAATGGTCAGTCCCGCCCAGGGTCACAGCGTACCAATGACAGTGACATGTTTAATGGTCAGTCCCGCCCAGGGTCACAGCGTACCAATGACAGTGACATGTTTAATGGTCAGTCCCTCCCAGGGTCACAGTGTACTAATGACAGTGACATGTTTAATGGTCGGTCCCTCCCAGGGTCACAGTGTACTAATGACAGTGACATGTTTAAGGGTCAGTCCCTCCCAGGGTCACAGTGTACTAATGACAGTGACATGTTTAATGGTCAGTCCCACACAGGGTCACAGTGTACTAATGACAGTGACATGTTTAATGGTCAGTCCCTCCCAGGGTCACAGTGTACTAAATGATGCACATGTTTAATGGTCGGTCCCCCAGGGTCACAGTGTACTAATGACAGTGACATAAGCTCATGCGGGTCAGTCCCCACACAGGGTCACAGTGTACCAATGACAGTGACATGTTTAATGGTCAGTCCCTCCCAGGGTCATTGGAAAGTGTACTAATAACAGAAAGTGACATGTTTAATGGTCAGTCCCGCCCAGGGTCACAGCGTACCAATGACAGTGACATGTTTAATGGTCAGTCCCGCCCAGGGTCACAGCGTACCAATGACAGTGACATGTTTAATGGTCAGTCCCGCCCAGGGTCACAGCGTACCAATGACAGTGACATGTTTAATGGTCAGTCCCTCCCAGGGTCACAGCGTACCAATGACAATGACATGTTTAATGGTCAGTCCCTCCCAGGGTCACAGTGTACTAATGACAGTGACATGTTTAATGGTCGGTCCCTCCCAGGGTCACAGTGTACTAATGACAGTGACATGTTTAATGGTCGATCCCTTCCAGGGTCACAGTGTACCAATGACAGTGACATGTTTAATGGTCAGTCCCTCCCAGGGTCACAGTGTACTAATGACAGTGACATGTTTAATGGTCGGTCCCTCCCAGGGTCACAGTGTGCTAATGACAGTGACATGTTTAATGGTCAGTCCCTCCCAGGGTCACAGTGTACTAATGACAGTGACATGTTTAATGGTCAGTCCCTCCCAGGGTCACAGTGTACTAATGACAGTAACATGCTTAATGGTCAGTCTCTCCCAGGGTCACAGTGTACTAATGACAGTGACATGTTTAATGTTCAGTCCTTCCCAGGGTCACAGCGTACTAATGACAGTGACATGTTTAATGGTCAGTCCCTCCCAGGGTCACAGTGTACTAATGACAGTGACATGTTTAATGGTCAGTCCTCCCAGGGTCACATGCGACAATGATGAAAAGTGACATGTTTTAAATGGTCAGTCTCACAGGGTCACAGCCAAGCACTAAATTTCCAGACAGTGACATGCTTCTAATGGTCAGTCCCTCCCCAGGGCTCAGTGTACTAATGGCAGTGACATGTTTAATGGTCGGTCTCTCCCAGGGTCACAGTGTACTAATGACAGTGACATGTTTAATGGTCAGTCCCTCCCAGGGTCACAGCGTACTAATGACAGTGACATGTTTAATGGTCAGTCTCTCACAGGGTCACAGCGTACTAATGACAGTGACATGTTTAATGGTCAGTCCCTCTCAGGGTCAGTGTAATAATGACAGTGACATGTTTAATGGTCAGTCCCGCCCAGGGTCACAGTGTACTAATGACAGTGACATGTTTAATGGTCAGTCCCTCCCAGGGTCACAGTGTACTAATGACAGTGACATGTTTAAGGGTCAGTCCCACACAGGGTCACAGTGTACTAATGACAGTGACATGTTTAATGGTCAGTCCCTCCCAGGGTCACAGTGTACTAATGACAGTAACATGTTTAATGGTCGGTCCCTCCCAGGGTCACAGTGTACTAATGACAGTGACATGTTTAAGGGTCAGTCCCACACAGGGTCACAGTGTACTAATGACAGTGACATGTTTAATGGTCAGTCCCTCCCAGGGTCACAGTGTACTAATGACAGTGACATGTTTAATGGTCAGTCCCTCCTAGGGTCACAGTGTACTAATGACAGTGACATGTTTAATGGTCGGTCCCTCCCAGGGTCACAGTGTGTACTAATGACAGTGACATGTTTAATGGTCAGTCCCTCCCAGGGTCACAGTGTACTAATGACAGTGACATGTTTAATGGTCAGTCCTCCCAGGGTCACAGTGTACTAATGACAGTGACATGTTTAATGGTCGGTCCCTCCCAGGGTCACAGTGTACTAATGACAGTGACATGTTTAAGGGTCAGTCCCTCACAGGGTCACAGTGTACTAATGACAGTGACATGTTTAATGGTCAGTCCCTCCCAGGGTCACAGTGTACTAATGACAGTAACATGTTTAATGGTCGGTCCCTCCCAGGGTCACAGTGTACTAATGACAGTGACATGTTTAAGGGTCAGTCCCACACAGGGTCACAGTGTACTAATGACAGTGACATGTTTAATGGTCAGTCCCTCCCAGGGTCACAGTGTACTAATAACAGTGACATGTTTAATGGTCAGTCCCTCCCAGGGTCACAGTGTACTAATGACAGTGACATGTTTAATGGTCAGTCCCTCCCAGGATCACAGCGTACTAATGACAGTGACATGTTTAATGGTCGGTCCCTCCCAGGGTCATAGTGTACTAATGACAGTGACATGTTTAATGGTCAGTCCCTCCCAGGGTCACACATTGTACTAATGACAGTGACATGTTTAAGGGTCAGTCCCACACAGGGTCACAGTGTACTAATGACAGTGACTTGTTTAATGGTCAGTCCCTCCCAGGGTCACAGTGTACTAATGACAGTGACATGTTTAATGGTCGGTCCCTCCCAGGGTCACAGTGTACTAATGACAGTAACATGTTTAATGGTCGGTCCCTCCCAGGATCACAGTGTACTAATGACAGTAACATGTTTAATGGTCGGTCCCTCCCAGGATCACAGTGTACTAATGACAGTGACATGTTTAATGGTCGGTCCCTCCCAGGGTCACAGTGTACTAATGACAGTGACATATTTAATGGTCAGTCTCTCCCAGGGTCACAGTGTACTAATGACAGTGACATGTTTAATGGTCAGTCCCTCCCAGGGTCACAGTGTACTAATGACAGTGACATGTTTAATGGTCAGTCCCTTCCAGGGTCACAGTGTACTAATGACAGTGACATGTTTAATGGTCAGTCCCTCCCAGGGTCACAGCGTACTAATGACAGTGACATGTTTAATGGTCAGTCCCTCCCAGGGTCACAGCGTACTAATGACAGTGACATGTTTAATGGTCAGTCTCTCACAGGGTCACAGCGTACTAATGACAGTGACATGTTTAATGGTCAGTCCCTCTCAGGGTCAGTGTAATAATGGCAGTGACATGTTTAATGGTCAGTCCCGCCCAGGGTCACAGTGTACTAATGACAGTGACATGTTTAATGGTCAGTCCCTCCCAGGGTCACAGCGTACTAATGACAGTGACATGTTTAATGGTCAGTCTCTCACAGGGTCACAGCGTACTAATGACAGTGACATGTTTAATGGTCAGTCCCTCTCAGGGTCAGTGTAATAATGACAGTGACATGTTTAATGGTCAGTCCCGCCCAGGGTCACAGTGTACTAATGACAGTGACATGTTTAATGGTCAGTCCCTCCCAGGGTCACAGTGTACTAATGACAGTGACATGTTTAATGGTCGGTCCCTCCCAGGGTCACAGTGTACTAATGACAGTGACATGTTTAATGGTCAGTCCTTCCCAGGGTCACAGTGTACTAATGACAGTGACATGTTTAATGGTCGGTCCCTCCCAGGGTCACAGTGTACTAATGACAGTGACATGTTTAATGGTCAGTTCCTCCCAGGGTCACAGTGTACTAATGACAGTGACATGTTTAATGGTCTGTCCCTCCCAGGGTCACAGTGTACTAATGACAGTGACATGTTTAATGGTCTGTCCCTCCCAGGGTCACAGTGTACTCAATGACAGTGACATGTTTAATGGTCGGTCCCTCCCAGGGTCATAGTGTACTAAATGACAGTGACATGTTTAATGGTCGGTCCTCCCAGGGTCACAGTGTACCAATGGACAGTGACATGTTTAATGGTCAGTCCCTCCCAGGGTCACAGTTTACTAATGACAGTGACATGTTTAATGGTCAGTCCCTCCCAGGGTCACAGGTTACTAATGACAGTGACATGTTTAATGGTCAGTCCCTCCCAGGGTCACAGTTTACTAATGACAGTGACATGTTTAATGGTCAGTCCCTCCCAGGGTCACAGCGTACTAATGACAGTGACATGTTTAATGGTCGGTCCCTCCCAGGGTCACAGCGTACTAATGACAGTGACATGTTTAATGGTCAGTCCTTCCCAGGGTCACAGTGTACTAATGACAGTGACATGTTTAATGGTCAGTCCCTCCCAGGGTCACAGCGTACTAATGACAGTGACATGTTTAATGGTCAGTCCCTCCCAGGGTCACAGCGTACTAATGACAGTGACATGTTTAATGGTCAGTCCCTCCCAGGGTCACAGTGTACTAATGACAGTGACATGTTTAATGGTCAGTCCCTCCCAGGGTCACTGTGTACTAATGACAGTGACATGTTTAATGGTCAGTCCCTCCCAGGGTCACATTGTACCCTTCTTTTCAAATGACAGTGATGAGCAGTTTTTAATGGTCGGTCCCTCCCAGGGTCACAGCGTACTAATGACAGTGACATGTTTAATGGTCAGTCCCTCCTAGGGTCATAGTGTACTAATGACAGTGACATGTTTAATGGTCAGTCCCTCCCAGGGTCACAGTGCACTAATGACAGTGACATGTTTAATGGTCAGTCCCTCCTAGGGTCATAGTGTACTAATGACAGTGACATGTTTAATGGTCAGTCCCTCCCAGGGTCACAGTGCACTAATGACAGTGATATGTTTAAGGGTCAGTCCCTCTCAGGGTCACACAGTGTACTAATGACAGTGACATGTTTAATGGTCAGTCCCTCCCAGGGTCACAGTGTACTAATGACAGTGACATGTTTAATGGTCAGTCCCTCCCAGGGTCACAGCGTATTAATGACCGTGACATGTTTAAGGGTCAGTCCCTCCCAGGGTCACAGTGTCTTAATGACAGTGATATGTTTAAAAGTCCGTTCCTGCCATTGTCACAATCCAACATCCTATAACTTTGTGTACATGCCATTTCATGTAGTCTGTATAAATATTAATCTTATACAATGAGGGATTTCAGAGTATGTTATTGAAATATGGTTTATTTGAATGGAATTAAATATTCAACATGAATGCATTGATGTCTGTTTTATATAAATGGTGTACTGAGAGATTTTACCCGCAGTTTTGGCAGTATGGAGAATGGCAGGATGTTGTGATTGACGATCGTCTTCCAACAAAACATGGAGAGTTGGTTTTCGTCAGTTCTGCACAGAAGACTGAATTCTGGGCGGCGTTGCTGGAGAAAGCGTACGCCAAGTAAGTACACAGTTCACACATTCCCCATAACCAGTCAGTAATTAGAAGCTGTAGGGGTTAATAGGGACGACTAACGGCAGCTATTTATTGAATAGGCTGAAAAAGAAAAGAGTCCTGTCCTGTGCATGATGCGTGGCTGCGCAGGGGGCGGGGTTTTCCCTGCATTTAGCTGGGTCCCATGAAATGTTTTCTTTTAACAGAATCCTGTTTATTCCCATCATTTAAGTTTTAAGAAAATATTGTACGTATAACTTAAAACAGTTACCTGTGCACTGTCCCAAATCCCTATGCACATTTAAATTACTGGAGGGTTTTGGTATCACTCCAATGGCCATTTAAGTGTAAGCTCACCTGCCACATCAAGGCAAAACATTGTAAGTGAACCCAATGCTAACAATTCACCCTGCTGTCGTCAGCTTTAGGTAAAATCTCTAATGAGACCGAGAGGGATATTTTTCTAAACCCCTACTCACATATTACCTTGATATAATTTGGGAAAGCGATACTAAAAACCTCCAGTTATTTAGGTTATGTTGGGATTTGGATAGTGCGCAATGAACTCTTTTCTTTATTTTTATTGTTTGTATTGGGACTGATGTGTCATTGCTGCCGCTCAGGAGTAGTGGGAGTTTGAGTGCAGGGCTTGATTTTATGTTTGTATTGTATTAATATAATTGGAAGAGCGAAATAGTATTGTACAATATAAATGGCCGAATATTGTAAAAATGGATCACAAGGTGATAAATAAAAAATAACTGTTTTTTATACAATAAACATGCGCAATCTATGGCACTCTGTGACGCCCAGAAATCCTCGCTATGTACAGCCTACTCTGCGTCTTTCAGGAATATCCTGGGGGGGAGGTAGGTTTAGTGAGAAACGATCGACCAGCGGATTTAAAACAAAACACAAAACTTTACAATCCCTTAACCCCTTCAGAATCAAAAGTCACTTTTTGCTGTCATCACAGTCCGGTCCCTGAGTATCCAGCATGGAATGTTCTCCTTAGTAGTTGTATTAGTTTTATACAACCCTTGGGTCATACATCGAGCAGATAATTCCGGTATGACAGCATAGACCTGGGTAGAGTCCCTTAGTGTGCCGGTCCTATTTATTTTTAAATTGAGGTGTGTTTGTTGCTGTGTTGTTTATGGGTGCTGCAGTTGGTTTGTAGTGGTGTATTGGTGTGTGTGTGGGAAGTAGTGGCAAGGTTCCCTTCTTGTCAGGTTTTTGGGTCAAAGCCCTATTTTAAGACACTGTTTTTACTCTTAGACTGAATGGATCGTACGAGGCCCTAAATGGAGGCTGGATTAACGAGGCATTTGTCGATTTCACTGGAGGTCTGGACGAAAGTATTAATCTTCAGCTTCCCCTTCCAAACCTGTATCCACTGATCCAAAAAGCTGTGGAGAAGAGGTCACTGATGGGAACGTCAATCAATGTAAGTTCCATCAATATCCTCCACCTGTCTTCCACTGTCAGAGAGTCGTCCTCTACTCCTACCTGGTCCACTGGCCATCAGTCACTATCAGAGAGTCATCCTCTACTCCTACCTGGTCCACTGGCCATCAGTCACTATCCGAGAGTCATCCTCTACTCCTACCTCGTCCACTGGCCATCAGTCACTATCAGAGAGTCATCCTCTACTCATACCTGGTCTACTGGCCACCAGTCACTATCAGAGAGTCATCCTCTACTCCTACCTGGTCCACTGGCCATCAGTCACTATCCGAGAGTCATCCTCTACTCCTACCTCGTCCACTGGCCATCAGTCACTATCAGAGAGTCATCCTCTACTCCTACCTGGTCCACTGGCCATCAGTCACTATCCGAGAGTCATCCTCTACTCCTACCTGGTCCACTGGCCATCAGTCACTATCCGAGAGTCATCCTCTACTCCTACCTGGTCTACTGGCCACCAGTCACTATCAGAGAGTCATTCTCTACTCCTACCTGGTCCACTGGCCACCAGTCACTATCAGAGAGTCATTCTCTACTCCTACCTGGTCCACTGGCCACTACTCACTATCAGAGAGTCATCCTCTATTTTTATATTGTACAATGGAAACCAGTCGCTTTCTGTATTCAGTGGTCCTAGTGACACAGTGACATTGGATGTATCAGCATGTAGTTCCATTTATTTATTACCAGCTGCACTATGCTGGCTGAAGACAGATTCTTCTCCCCCAAATTTAGCCCTCCCACCTCTCAAAATGTAAGAATTTAATGCATTATTCAGTGAAGAATTCTATAAGATATAAACAGCATAATTTAAAGAGATTCTCAAATTCCCTTAAGATGTCCTTTGTTTGAGGCCTTAAACGTACTGGGTGTGAAATATAATCCTAGCTTTTCAGGTAGACTTTTAATTATATAGAGTTACATAGTTAAAGTGTTACATAGTGACAGAGTTACATTGTTACAGTTATATTATTACATAGTGACAGTTACATTGTTACAGTTATATTATTACAGAGTTATTGAGTTACATTGTTATAGAGTTATACTGTTACAGATAAAAATACAAGTAATACACTGGCGCTATCATTAAATTAAACACTCTTTAGTCTAACAAAAAATGTTATATTTAGGCCAAGCTGCTGTAACACCTAGATGTAATCTTTCTTATTTACATCAATATAGGAAAAAGGTAAAAACAATGTGAAATCGGTGTAGCGCTATATACATACATATAATAGGGTTGAGCCTAATAGAATATTCAGGCTTCCAAATGAGGGTAATTCCAATATCTTATAAAGTCCACCTAAAATAAGCAAAGAGAACTCTAATAGTGTAACACTGTAAATTAAGATGATAGTGAGAGTCAAATATAATAACAAACTCACATTCTTCTGAGCTTAATGCCAAGCTCAGGAATAAGTGCGTATAGGTCCGTACAGGCGACCTTTCCCTTCTTCTTATCTGGTGTGTATCTCAGATCGTCTCTAGGACTCAAGTAAAACAGATATATAGTGTAGAATGTCTGTATACAATATTACTACTTAAAGTATATAATATACTCACAAAAATGGAGCCTCTATATCGGCTCAGTCTCTGCACGTTGAATAAAATGTAGAACTTTTCTAAGCAGGAACCAGAAAAAGCCCATATAATAATTTAAAAGGTATATAAAATTTATTGCATTACAAGGGTGTAGAAAAAACCCTCTATAGTAAATTAAAGCGCCAAAATACAAAGCGCAGAAAAATATAAAATAAAATAAACAGCTAATGGCTATTGAATCTAGCTGAGGAAGCCGTCGGAGTTACGGTGAAACGCGTTCTGGAAAGAAGTGTACGATATTGTTATGCCCATTTGTTATTTATTTGTTTATTTTATTTTATATTTTTCTGCGCTTTGTATTTTGGCGCTTTAATTTACTATAGAGGGTTTTTTCTACACCCTTGTAATGCAATAAATTTTATATACCTTTTACATTATTATATGGGCTTTTTCTGGTTCCTGCTTAGAAAAGTTCTACATTTTATTCAACGTGCAGAGACTGAGCCGATATAGAGGCTCCATTTTTGTGAGTATATTATATACTTTAAGTAGTAATATTGTATACAGACATTCTACACTATATATCTGTTTTACTTGAGTCCTAGAGACGATCTGAGATACACACCAGATAAGAAGAAGGGAAAGGTCGCCTGTACGGACCTATACGCACTTATTCCTGAGCTTGGCATTAAGCTCAGAAGAATGTGAGTTTGTTATTATATTTGACTCTCACTATCATCTTAATTTACAGTGTTACACTATTAGAGTTCTCTTTGCTTATTTTAGGTGGACTTTATAAGATATTGGAATTACCCTCATTTGGAAGCCTGACTATTCTATTAGGCTCAACCCTATTATATGTATGTATATAGCGCTACACCGATTTCACATTGTTTTTATACTGTTACAGAGTTATATTCCAACAGAGTTATATCACTATAGAGTTATTGTTATATCGTTAGAGTTTATTGTTACAGTCATACCATTACAGATCATCAGAGTTATATCGTTAGAGAGTTGTATCATTACAGAGTTATATAATTACAGATTTGCATTGTTACAGAGTTATATCATTACAGAGTTACATTGTTACAGGGTTACATTGTTACAGGGTTATATCATTACAGAGTTAAATTGTTACAGAGTTATATCATTACAGAGTTACATTGTTACAGGGTTACATTGTTACAGGGTTATATCATTACAGAGTTAAATTGTTACAGAGTTATATAATTACAGATTTGCATTGTTACAGGGTCACATTGTTACAGGGTTACATTGTTACAGGGTTACATTGTTACAGGGTTATATCATTACAGAGTTAAATCGTTACAGAGTTATATAGCTGTTGATCCAAAAGAAGGTGAAAATGAAAACCCCAACTTAAAGCGATTAAAAATATTGTCACAAACTTGGAATAAAATCTAGCAGTCAGATTTATCGTTAGATCAACACGCCATAACCACTCATGTTAACGATTAAATTCATGAATATTGTGTTTTTCCAAAAATCCATCCACACATTATTTTTGCAGATTGCGAGCCAGAATGAGAGTGAAATGAAGACCCCGGAGGGATTGGTGAAGGGTCACGCGTATTCAGTGATCGGAGTGTACGAGGTAAGGTCTCACCTGCGGTTACCGATCATCCTCATAGCCAACAATGCTTTCTGAAAAATCCACTGGAGGTACATCTTTGTCGCCTTAAAATGTTCATGTTCCAACCTGTGTAGTAAGTGTGGAGTTCTTATAAAACTATAGCACTGGGTGATGCCCACAAGGGACAGAGCTCCTCAGGTCTCTTTCACACACTATGTAAGAAACTATACCTGGTCCTGCTATAAAGCACCTTGTTTGGCTGTGTGTGTGTTCCAGCTATAAAAATGGTCCGTGGCAGCATGATACTTGACTGCGTGTGTAGCCCAACTATAAACACGGCCTGTGGCGTCATGTTTGGCTGTGTGTGTAGCCCAGGTATAAACACGGCTGTGGCATCATGTTTGGCTGTGTGTGTGGCCCAGGTATAAACACGGCTGTGGCATCATGTTTGGCTGTGTGTGTGGCCCAGGTATAAACACGGCTGTGGCATCATGTTTGGCTGTGTGTGTGGCCCAGGTATAAACACGGCTGTGGCATCATGTTTGGCTGTGTGTGTGGCCCAGGTATAAACACGGCTGTGGCATCATGTTTGGCTGTGTGTGTGGCCCAGGTATAAACACGGCTGTGGCATCATGTTTGGCTGTGTGTGTGGCCCAGGTATAAACACGGCTGTGGCATCATGTTTGGCTGTGTGTGTGGCCCAGGTATAAACACTGTGGCATCATGTTTGGCTGTGTGCCCAGGTATAAACCGGGTGCGCATGTTTGGCTGCATGTGTGGCCCAGGTAAAACACGCCTGTGGCGTCATGTTTGGCTGCATGTGGCCCAGGTATAAACACGGCCTGTGGCATCATGTTTGTCATGTATGTGGCCCCAGGAATTTATAAACACAGCTGTGGCATCATGTTTGGCTGTGTGTGTGGCCCATGTACAAACTTTTATGGCAGTGGCACTCATGTTTGGCTGTGTATTGTGGGTATAAACCATGACCCATGGCAGCATGTTTGGCTACGTATTGGCCCAGGTATAACCGCACGGCCTGTGAAACGTCATGTTTGTACATGTGGCTAGAGTATAAACCATTACCTGTGGCATCATGTTTGGCTGTGTGTGTGGATATAAACAGGCTGCATTGGCAGCATGTTTAGCTGCGTGTACATGGCAACTATAAACCGGCTGTGATGCATGTTTGGCTGCATGTGTGGCCCAGGTAAAAAGCGGCCTGTGGCATCATGTTTTACGGCATGGCGGTTGCGGCCCAGCTATAAACACGACCCATGGCAGCATGTTTGGCTGTGTGTGTGGCTGGCTATAAACCGCGACCCCATGGCAGCTTCACGTTGGCTGCTTGTGGCATTTAGCTATAAACGACCTGTGGCGGCGTGCTGTGGCGGCCCCGGCTAAACACCGCCGGTGGCATGTTTGTGGTTGCGTGACGCCCCGGGTATAAACGACCCATGTCAAATGTTTGGCACCGTGACGGCAGCCCCAGGTATAGGCTCTGACCCGCGGCAGCACGTTTGGCTGCTTGTGTGGCCCAGCTATAAACACGGTGGCATGGCAGCACGTTTGGCTGCTTGTGTGGCCCAGCTATAAACACCGCCCGTGGCAGCATGTTTGGCTGCATGTGTGGTTCAGGTATAAACACGGCCCATGGCAGCACGTTTGGCTGCTTGTGTGGCCCAGCTATAAACACGGCCCATGGCAGCATGTTTGGCTGCATGTGTGGCCCAGCTATAAACACCGCCCGTGGCAGCATGTTTGGCTGCATGTGTGGTTCAGGTATAAACACGGCCCATGGCAGCATGTTTGGCTGCATGTGTGGCCCAGGTATAAACACGGCCCATGGCAGCACGTTTGGCTGCTTGTGTGGCCCAGCTATAAACACCGCCCGTGGCAGCATGTTTGGCTGCATGTGTGCCCCAGGTATAAACACGGCCTGTGGCAGCATGTTTCGTCTATAGATATCAGACATACTCAAAAAGTAAGGTTTATTGTTTTATATTATAAAGGACCACTTCTTTTCTTTATATTATTATATATTCACTCCGTCCTTTCTCTGTAATACTCTGCAGGTGGAAAAAAATGGTGGTAAAGTGCAACTCCTCCAACTGAGAAATCCCTGGGGTAAGGTGGAGTGGAACGGACGCTGGAGCGACAAGTGAGTGTGACCCTACCCACAGGAAATGGATCAATAGCAATAAATTGTTATTATTACACCTAGTGAGTGCGCATGGTATATCTCCAGGTAACAACTGACTGCTCTCAGATCCACTTGTAATGGGGACATTGGATGCTGGCACTAAACTGCAGACTGCAGTCTCACTAACAGCCATGCTGATATCTCTATATAAACACTGAGCGACAATTCGTGAAGATACAATCTCTATAAAATGATAATTTCAATGAAATTCCAGCCCAGTCAAAAGATATCACAGAACAGAATAGGGACTACGTTGTCTTATGGTAAATGCTTAAGTTGACAAATTTTGACAGTATAACTCACCTCCGACACACCCCAGGGCCACCACACCCCAAACAAACGTGCCGACAACAGGGGGGTGAGGGGTGTCTTTACTAAATATGTAAGGACCCCAGAAGGTGATAGAGCTGCTCTAACACATAGATTGCTGATCACTGACACTTGAAAATTACAATTAGTTAGGGACACTGTAGGCACCCAGACCACTTCAGCTAATTGAAATGGTCTGGGCGCTGTGTCCCTTTTGCACTTAGTGCTGCAATGTAAAGAGAACTGTAATGTTTACATTGCAGCTCTAAGTCTGCCCTCTGTGGCTATCTAACAGACAGCCAATAGAGGGCTTCCGGAATCTGATGCTGGACGTCCTCACGTCCATTGCCACGCATCTGCATTAGATCTCCCCAGCCGCCTTCCGGCGGTGGGGGAGGAGTGTGGGCGGAGCCTGACCCGGCGCCGAGGGACCTGGAGTCAGGTAAGTAGCTGAAGGGGTTTTAACCAGCGACATGGGATGGGGGATGGGAGGGAGGGGGGCACTCCAGGAATTTCTAGTGCCAGGGAAATGGGTCTGTTAATGAGTTTTATTTTTTATGTATCTGTTTTGTCTATGCTTTATTACAGGTGGGGGAGTAAACATTTCAGAGATTATACAGCACCTCTTATCTATCAACATTTAATGCAGTGTATAATATATTATAATCAGGGCCGGCCTTAGGCCTTTAGGCGTCTTGCGTGAAAATTCGTCACAGCGCCCTGGGCCATACCCCTCATCCGATGCCTCCTATCCTCTTTAACCCCAAAACAGTTATTAGAAAGCTTGATGATAATAAGATGCTTGTTAGTACAATATAATTTGGTATACGTATATTTAATAATCAAAAAGAAGAATATTAAATCAGGGAGCTATCTACTAAACAACTGAATTATAAACATTAAGGAAAGCCATTTTCTTATGTTTGTTTACTCAACAGTTCAGTAGATAACCCCCTAATTTGCTATCCTCATGTGAGCACCATATTTAACAATACCAAATCAGAGACTGATCTACTAAACACACATCTACAAAGCACATATACACATTCTTACACACACACAGTTTGAATTTATAATTAATAGGTCTCAAGTCCCTTTTCCCACAAGTGCCAGTGAGCGTGTCCACCCTGGCTTTCCTTCTGCGTCCCCTGCTGCAGTGTCCCTCATTGCCCACCCCTGAGCGCTCTTGTGGCTCAGAATGATAGGCTTCTCGATCGGTTCCCTAGCACAAACTGAAAGGGGAGGGCTTTTTTGTTGTTGTTGTTGTTATATCACTATATATATATTATTAAAAATGCATGTTTTCATTGGGAGTATATCTACTAAATAAAGATTTTTTTCACTTTTTCGATTGGATTGTTCCTGTAATTGTGAAACACATAAATGAATGCACGTCCGCACGCACTCTCCCATCCTTCCTTTTAGCAGCTTTCCTTTGGAATGTCTCTTTCCTCAATAAACCAACAGGTGCCTTATAGCCTTGCCTTTTACTTGCGTTCCATTTTTATCCGTGTAGTTCTCTGAGATCTAATTTTACTCCGCAAACTGCATTAAAAGCAAACAATCAAAAAAACAACTAGTATCAGCTTTTTTATTTCAATGTAGTTTCCTGTCTTTCTGAACACTACTTTTTAATAACTTTCTTTTTTAACACAATATTTGCCTAGGGATTTTGTTTTTTACAGCGTCTTTTCATTTCGCTGTCTTGTGACCATTTCTTAACTCTCTTTCCCTCCCATATTTTAACCCTATCCACCCGGACCGGTTTTTATTCTGCTTTATCACGTTCTCTCGTTTTACATTTTCCTTGAACCAGTTGAATTAACCCCGTTATTGTCTTCCTCCTATTTTAACCCTGCTTTTATATTGCTTTCTTTTGTAACTTTTATTCCCCACTAAGTTTCCTTTTTCCTGACTTGCCTAGACTCTAATATTTATTGCAATGCGTCACACACCTGAAATAGTGGGAAAAACAGATATTTGTCAACATGTTTATAGCATACAGTATTTGATGAAGGAAGGTCATTGCAGCCTGTGTAGAAACTCTATAGAATGCCTGCGCTCCCTGCTCCAGTGATCTGAACGTTGCTCTCGTACAGTAAAGGAGTCAGAATGGGGCTCAGTATTCCCAGTCCCTCTGCATCAGTTTAACACAGCGATTGGTTAGAGCAATTTTGTTTTCCAGTAGACAGGACCAACACTGGAGCAGAGGGGCTTAATGTGCCAAATTTAAAGCATTGTGCTGTATCAGGGAGCTGTGTCTTGGGTAACCAGGCTCGCTTTGCGTGTGCCCACCAACTCTTTAGTTGTCCTTCCATTTGGATATTTTGACAAAGAAAAAATGTAAAATTCAGCCAATCCAGAGTTTAGTGAATAACCGTTAGTGAATAAAGTGAAAGCCGTTTGTGGCAGATAATGACTATAACTTGACGTGCATCATTATGTGGAGATAAGAAAAACATTAATATTTTATAATATTTATATTGTTTTTGTAATGTTTGCCCATCCCATGGCACAGACAGAGAAGCTCAGTACTAAGCAGAATGCCTTTATTTCCAGCTCCCCCTTGTGGTCACAACTAGACCCTGCACTTCAAGCCAAACTTCACATCAAAGCAGAAAATGGAGAATTCTGGTAAGGGGGTGGGGGCGGGGGAGTTGTATTTCTGACAATTCTGTATTATTCCCAAGCAGTAATGGTATTATTCCTTATTCCCAAGCAAAATCAAAAAAGCTATTGATTAGAGTTACCATATTTTGAAAGCATGCATCTCCTAATCCTAAACCCCCTTAACATAACCGTAACCTCCCATAAACCTCGGCCACCCTAACTATAATTATTCTCAACTGGATCTTAGTCATCCCCATCCACCAACCAAAATCCACCATCCCTATCTCACTGGTATCCACCGTCCTCGCCCAACCAAGAGCCACTATCCCTATCCCTCCGAGAGCCACCATTCCCATCCCACCAAGACTCACCATCCCTATCCCACTGAGAGCCACCATTCCCATCCCACCAAGCCTCACCATCCCTCGCCCACCGAGAGCCACCATTCCTATCCCACCAAGACTCACCATCCCTATCCCACTGAGAGCCACCATTCCCATCCCAATGAGAGCCACCATTCCTATCCCAGTGAAAACCACCTTCTTCATCCCACTGAGATTCACTATCCTCATCCCTCTGAGATCCACCATCCCCATTCCACCAAGATCCATCATCCCACCAAGAGCAGCGATCCCACCAAAATTCATCATCAGACCAAGAGCCAACATCCCCATCCCCATCCCTCTGAGAGCCAATTTTACACATTGCCCCATTCCTCCATTCCACCTAGAGCCATCATCACACCAAGAGCCACCAACCCGATCCTACCGAGTGCCACTGATCACATTCCATGGAAAGCCTTCCAGTTGGTGCCAAGTGCAGACTCTGCATGGGTTTGTTTCTGCAGGATGCAGATGGAAGATTTCATGCGCTGTTTCAACACCTTGGAAATCTGCAATCTGACTCCGGACTCTTTATGCGATGAAAATGCTCAGTCGTGGAACGCAAACTCATTCCAAGGAAGCTGGGTCAGGGGACATAATGCTGGGGGCTGCCGGAATTACACAAGTGAGAGCCATGTTTGTGCCCCACAGGGTCTGGGGCTTTTACATGTAATGTTTACTATTATTGACTTGAAAAATAGAGACTGAGAGCACGTTCCCACCCAATCCAGGCACTTTCTGGACTAACCCGCAGTTCTTGGTGACCCTGAGGGAGGAAGACGAGGACGAGGCAGGAATATGCACATTGCTTGTGTCCCTAATGCAGAAGAACAGGCGTCAGAAAAGGTCCGTGGGACGTGATTTCCTGATCATAGGATTTGAGATCTTTCAGGTACAGGCTGACTGTGAGTGGGACTCACCTAACTATTACTGAGGGTGACTTAACTACCTATCACTGTGTGAAACTCACTGCTAACCTCTGTCTATTATACCCACTGCTTTACTGGATTTAGGGGTTTCTAAAGATATACATTTTTTTTTACAGGTTCCAGAAAAGGTGAATAAACTGAAGTTGCCACCCCTGGAGCACAGGGCACTGTGCCCATTCCTTACATCAGGGAGTGTTATGGGGGGCATTTGGGCAGTTTATTTAATTACATAAACCCCTCTCCCTAATGCAAACTGCACCAGCACCTGCTGATCTGACCAATCACTGCATGCCTAAGGGCCTCTCCATCCTATAGCACTGTCTACTTAGGGACTCCCACAACCTAAAACTCAATCACTGCATGCACGCCTAGGGGCCCACTTATTCTATAATACAATCACTGCATGCCCAGGGCCTCATATTCTATAATACAATTAATGCATGCCTAGGAGCCCACTTATTCTATAATACAATCAATGCTTTCCTAGGGGCCCTCTTATTCTATAATACAATCACTGCATGCCCAGGGCCTCATATTCTATAATACAATTAATGCATGCCTAGGGGCCCACTTATTCTATAATACAATCACTGCATGCCTAGGGGCCCTCTTATTCTATAATACAATCAATGGTTTCCTAGGGGCCCTCTTATTCTATAATACAATCACTGCATGCCTGGGGGCCCTCTTATTCTATAATACAATCAATGGTTTCCTAGGGGCCCTCTTATTCTATAATACAATCACTGCATGCCTAGGGCCTCATATTCTATAATTCAGTCACTGCATGCATGCCTAGGGGCCCACTTGTTCTGTAATACAATCAATGCTTTCCTAGGGGCCCTCTTATTCTATAATACAATTAATGCATGCCTAGGGGCCCACTTATTCTATAATACAATAAATGCACGCCTAGGGTCCTTTTATTCTATAATAAAATCAATGCATGCCTAGGGGCCCACTTATACTATAATACAATTGCTGCTTTCCTAGGGGCCCTCTTATACTATAATATAATCAATGCATTCCTAAGGCCTCATATTCTATAATACAATCACTGCATGCATGCCTAGGGCCCCACTTGTTCTATAATACAATCAATGCATGCCTAGGGGCCCTCTTATACTATAATACAATCAATGCATGCCTAGGGGCCCACTTATTCTATAATACAATCACTGCATGTCTAGGGGCCCACTTATTCTATAATACAATCACTGCATGCCTAGGGGCCCTCTTATACTATAATACAATCACTGCATGTCTAGGGGCCCACATGTTCTGTAATACAATCAATGCATGCCTAGGGGCCCACTTGTTCTGTAATACAATCACTGCATGCCTAGGGTCCTCTTATTCTATAATACAGTCAATGCTTTCCTTTGGGCCCTCTTTTGCTATAATACAATCATTGGCTCATCCATCCTATAATACGATCATTTGTGCTTCCTTGTGGAGCATTTTCCAAACCCTCTGCCTCTCTGCAGAGTATTTCACTAACCCCGTGCCTCCCTGCAGAGTATTTCACTAACCCCGTGCCCCCCTGCAGAGCATTTCAGTAACCCTGTGCCTCCCTGCAGAATATTTCACTGACCCTGTGCCCCTCTGCAGAGTATTTCACTAACCCCGTGCCCCTCTGCAGGGCATTTGACTAACCCTGTGCCTCTCTGCAGAATATTTCACTGACCCTGTGCCTCTCTGCAGAGTATTTCACTAACCCCGTGCCCCCCTGCAGAGTATTTCACTAACCCTGTGCCTCCCTGCAGAGTATTTCACTAACCCTGTGCCCCTCTGCAGAGTATTTCACTAACCCTGTGCCTCCCTGCAGAGTATTTCACTAACCCTGTGCCCCCCAGCAGAGTATTTCACTAACCCCGTGCCTCCCTGCAGAGTATTTTACTAACCTTGAGCCCCCCTGCAGAGTATTTCACTAACCATGTGCCTCCCTGCAGAGTATTTAACTTACCCTGTGCTTCCCTGCAGAGTATTTCACTAACCCTGTGCCTCTCTGCAGAGTATTCCACTAACCCTTTGCCTCCCTGCAGAGTATTTCACTAACCCTCTGCCTCCCTGCAGAGTATTTCACTAACCCTGTGCCCCTCTGCAGAGTATTTCACTAACCCTGTGCCTCCCTGCAGAGTATTTCACTAACCCTGTGCCCCCCAGCAGAGTATTTCACTAACCATGTGCCTCCCTGCAGAGTATTTCATTAATCCTGTGCCTCCCAGCAGAGTATTTCACTAACCCTGTGCCTCCCTGCAGAGTATTTTACTAACCCTGTGCCTTGGTGCAGAGTATTTCACTAACCCTTTGCCCCCCAGCAGAGTATTTTGCTGACCCTGTGCCCCCCTGCAGAGTACTTTGCTGACCCTGTGCCTCCCTGCAGAGTATTTTACTAACCTTTTGCCTTGGTGCAGAGTATTTCACTAACCCCTTGCCTCTCTGCAGAGTATTTTGCTGATCCTGTGCCTTGGTGCAGAGTATTTCACTAACCCTGTGCCCCCCTGCAGAGTATTTTTCTGACCCTGTGCCTTGGTGCAGAGTATTTCACTAACCCCTTGCCTCCCTGCAGAGTATTTTGCTGACCCTGTGCCCCCCTGCAGAGTATTTCACTAACCCTGTGCCTTGGTGCAGAGTATTTCACTAACCCCTTGCCTCTCTGCAGAGTATTTTGCTGACCCTGTGCCCCGCTGCAGAGTATTTTGCTGACCCTGTGCCTCCCTGCAGAGTATTTCACTAATCCTGTGCCCCCCTGCAGAGTATTTCACTAACCCTGTGACTTGGTGTAGAGTATTTCACTAACCCTTTGCCCCTCTGCAGAGTATTTTGCTGACCCTGTGCCCCGCTGCAGAGTATTTTGCTGACCCTGTGCCTCCCTGCAGAGTATTTTGCTGACCCTGTGCCTTGGTGCAGAGTATTTCACTAACCCTGTGCCTTGGTGCAGAGTATTTCACTAACCCTGTGCCTTGGTGCAGAGTATTTCACTAACCCTGTGCCTTGGTGCAGAGTATTTTGCTGACCCTGTGCCCCCCTGCAGAGTATTTTGCTGACCCTGTGCCTCCCTGCAGTTTGATCAGATGAACCTGGTGTCTCAGAGGATGACTCTAATCCCCAGTCTGATTCCTGTGCGTCTCTCACCATTTGTGGCCCAGCGAGACGTGACCAGCCGGTACCAGCTGCCCCCAGGACGTTACATGATAATCCCCAGCACCTTCCACCCACACGAACAGGCAGTCTTCAGCCTGAGGGTCTTCACAGAGAAACAGCATACACTCACGTGAGCATGCACTCCCTCTCACATCCTCTTCTAAACATATTATTAAACCCTGTTAATAAATCTCCCAATTCTTCTTCCTTAGGGAAATTGATTATGAGATCATGGCAGAGCAATCCGTATTCCAGGTAAGTGAGTGTCGGGATACTTACCTATCACAAAATGTTTATTTATTTTTTATTTACTGATATTTTAAGTATCGTTGACAAGCTTCATTGTACGCACATTACAAACTTGGATACGTGGGCTTTTGTTTGCTTTTTTCCTGTTTTTTCAATAATTGCTGGGTGAAAGTAGGGACTATTTCAAATCATGGGATTCTCTTCCTGTTTCCAATATGAGAATGTTATTCGTTCATCCAACAGTCGGTTTCACATTGTGAATTGTGATAAAAAGGACACGGACTGCAAGGATGAAATTGCCACCTTGGGTGATACGTTTAGTACAGCGATAACGCATTTATAATGCACGTTACCGTGGATACTTATGTCTAAATGTCATTCCCAGGGGTGAGAACGCGAGTACGTACAGCAGGGCATTGCTTACAGGCATTTGTTTGTTAGTGGTTTTTTTTCCTGTTGTGACTTCCCACGCCATTCCCCGGGCAGAAGGTCAGTAGAGGCACACCAAGGTAGAGACGGGGGCCGCTTGGGAGCAGACGGCCCCGGTCATGTATTCCATACATTAACAAATGAAACAGTGGCCGGTAAGGACTCGCAGACTGGGTAACGTGTTAGACTTGTTAACATTATTTTTGATGGGAGAGTAGAGTTTCTCTGAATCGAGTGCCTACAGGCCCTAACCTGACCAGGTTCACCTGCTGAATCTCCTGGTGTTTTTCTTTTGCATTCTATTGCAGCAAATATACATCCGGAGTCCGGCCCAAAATCAGGATTATTTACATTTTGTATTCGCTCCAAATTATCCAAAATAAAGTTTTACAATGGGCAAAGTGGCCCTTCACGCACAGGAAGGTAATTAGCAATTTGCCTGAGCCCTAGAATTCTTACACGAAGAGGCGCTATAAGGTAAAGTGGCCTTTATATTCACTCAACAATAATGTGCTTTAGAAATGAAAGACAAAGAACTGTAAATCTACAAAGAAGTGGAAAAATAATAAGTTAGTATTACAATTGTCTGCTCTAAGGACGTTTACTGCAAATTCTGTGATTAATGAGTAATCGTGTTGGAAATGAGGGTGCTCACGGTCGCTGGGTTTCGACCAATGTGAACCCCAAAAACGGTCTGGGAATGTAAGTCGCTGGGTAGAGAGAGCAATAAGTCAGAAAGACCCAGGATTGGTAGAACTTTTATTGTTTCATTCATCCTATTAATGTCATACATTACACAGTATATTTATTTATTGTTTAATTCATCCTATTAATGTCATATATTACATGGTATATTTATTCATTGTTCCGTTCCTGCAGGAAAGCCCGCTGCGTGGCTCTCTGGAAACGTTTAATGCTCACTTTGCGCGGCTGTCCGGCCAGGTAAGCCCATAGCTATGCGGCAGATGCAGAGTGTATGGGAACCGGTACACATCTGACTTGTGTTTCACACGTGGTGTGTGTGATGTAACTTCTTGTGCCCCCAATCTGCTCCAGCTGCTAAGCCCAAGCCAGACAGTAGAGTTTATTATTAAAAGACTTCAATAGCGAGTAAAGACTTATCAATTATAATATATGATGATGATGTGGTATTTATGGTCCCTAAAAGGGACTAAACATTTCCAACTAATCTCAAACTCGTGACCATTCCTTTATCGTCTGAAATTTCAGGACCAGGAGATCAGCGCGGAGGAATTACAAAGAATACTTCTTCAGATAACATCAAAACGTAAGACTATGAAAGGGTACAGGTATTGTGGGGGTACCCCATTTCTGTATCACACAAGTTCTGTATATGTTTAAATAATGCTACTATATTCCATATTGAGTGTCATAGTATAAGCAGAGCCGTGACACACTTTATTCAGCAAAGTGCTTTATACTCACATCTTTTAGGGACGTGCGTTACCGAAAACTCACATTATCCAGAGACATGCGTTACCGTAGAATAACATTACCCAGAGTCGTGCATTTCCAAATACTCACATTACTCAGAGACGTGCGTTTCCAGAGACTCACATTACCCAGAAACGTGCGTTACCAAAGACTCACATAACCCAGAGACTTGCATTACTGAAGACTCACATTATCCTGAGATGTGCGTTAGCAGAGACTCACATTATCTAGAGACGTGCATTAGTGAAGGCTCACATTACCCAGAGAAATGCGTTATAGTAGACTTGCATTACCCAGAGACATGCGTTATTGGAGACGGAGACTAACATTACCCAGAGATGTACATTACCTGAGACTTACATTACCCATAGATGTACATTACCTGAGACTCACATTACCCAGAGATGTACATACCCAGAGACTCACATTACCCAGAGATGTGCATTACCTGAGACTCACATTACCTAGAGATGTACGTTACCTCACATTACCCAGAGATGTACGTTACCTCACATTACCCAGAGATGTACGTTACCCGAGACTCACATTACCCAGAGATGTACATTACCCGAGATTCACATTACCCAGAGATGTGCATTACCTGAGACTCACATTACCCAGAGATGTGCATTACCTGAGACTCACATTACCCAGAGATGTGCATTACCTGAGACTCACATTACCCAGAGATGTGCATTACCTGAGACTCACATTACCCAGAGATGTACATTACCTGAGACTCACATTACCCAGAGATGTGCATTACCTGAGACTCACATTACCCAGAAAATGTGCATTACCTGAGACTCACATTACCCTGAGATGTGCATTACCTGATACTCACATTACCCAGAGATGTGCATTACCTGAGACTCACATTACCCAGAGATGTACATTACCTGAGACTCACATTACCCAGAGATGTGCATTACCTGAGACTCACATTACCCAGAGATGTGCATTACCTGAGACTCACATTACCCAGAGATGTGCATTACCTGAGACTCACATTACAAAGAAATGTGCATTACCTGAGACTCACATTACCCAGAGATGTACGTTACCTGAGACTCACATTACCCAGAGATGTATGTTACCTGAGACTCACATTACCCAGAGATGTACATTACCTGAGACTCACATTACTCAGAGATGTGCATTACCTGAGACTCACATTACTCAGAGATGTGCATTACCTGAGACTCACATTACTCAGAGATGTACATTACCTGAGACTCATATTACTCAGAGATGTGCATTACCTGAGACTCACATTACCCAGAGATGTGCATTACCTGAGACTCACATTACCCAGAGATGTGCATTACCTGAGACTCACATTACAAAGAAATGTGCATTACCTGAGACTCACATTACCCAGAGATGTACGTTACCTGAGACTCACATTACCCAGAGATGTATGTTACCTGAGACTCACATTACCCAGAGATGTACATTACCTGAGACTCACATTACTCAGAGATGTGCATTACCTGAGACTCACATTACTCAGAGATGTACATTACCTGAGACTCACATTACTCAGAGATGTACATTACCTGAGACTCATATTACTCAGAGATGTGCATTACCTGAGACTCACATTACCCAGAGATGTGCATTTCCAGAGACTCACATTACCCAGAGATGTACATTACATTAGAATGAGCATAGTTAGGATTAGTAATATATGCAGCAAGGCACAGTTTGACGGGGTTAGGTGTTTATCGGAGTTCTTTTCTGTTATCTCATAGCACAGCCTTAAATGGTGGCACAGAAGACCTCTTTAAATTGAGGGATGTGAGTGGCCGGGTCAGAGTGAGTGGCTGTTCTGAGTGTGAGAGGGGTGTGGCCAGGTGCGGGGATTTTCTGAGTGTGAGAGGGGTGTGGCCAGGTTCGGGGCTTTTCTGAGTGTGAGAGGGGTGTGGCCAGGTGCGGGGCTGTAGTGAGTGTGTGGCCATGGGCGGGGCTGTATGTAGTATAATGTAATGATGCTGTTATAGACTGGTTCTTTCCTACAATGGCTGGGTGGGGGGAGGACGGGAATTGTCTTTTTTCCCTTTTTAGAAATATACTAATATGTCTCCCAAGCCAGAGATAACATGTTCTTCCGTTCTGTTTGCAGACACCCATTTGAAGACGGACGGGTTCACGCTTGAAACCTGCACAAGTCTGTTAAATCTCGTGGATGTATCTTTCCAATGTAAAGCTGCATAGCAGGGAGTGCAAGGGCCAATAACAGAACAAACGTCCCAGCTCCATTATTAACCCTCGTAGTCCCATTTGCTTTGGTTCTAGTGCTAACTGATCAGCAGTCGATTTGTCGGGGGTCGGAGGTCTACAGCTCAGATAATATCATTCAAAATCCATTCATGCCCATTTCAGAACGGTCTTGCTTAATTCCGAGATTAAATTATGTTTGATTAAAGTCGAAATTTGTGCGTGCTAAAGCCACGGGATTGTCCTGAACACGTTCCAGTTTTGGAATTGAAATCTTACAGGACTGTTCACTAAAGTGAGAATTCAAAGTGAATTTCACATTTAAGGCTAAATAGTTGAACTGGTTGAACACGCGTACTCATTGACAGACACACACGTAACCATTCTCTGCTCACACTGTGCCATCCTCACACATATAACACGTATGACATACTGACATGTTCCCATTCTCTCTACATTGCAAGCAGAGACCTGCATGAACAGTAATATGCCACATACACTCACTGTTATATAATGACAGGGTGTCAGAGTGCCACCTGGAGCCATGGTCCCACCAGTATCTATGGACGGACCGGCCCTATGTGTGAGTACTTTCAAATAATACTCCTATCAGCCAGCAATAGACTGGATATGACTCCTCGGCTCCAGTTAGGGATTCAGATTGGTTTGGTGGTCCACGTTGGGATTCCATGCTAACCAATGGGATATAATTAACAAGTTCCAGTTCCAGAGCTTTCAATCTTTTGTCATATTATCTCCATCCTCTCCCCCAACTCTCATAAATTCCCCCAAAGTCCATTTTCCTTAATTTACTAAACAAAGCGTGACTCCAACGGAAAAAATAATTTGGAAGAATTTAAAAAATTGTGGAGCAAAATTAAAGATTGGGAGGTAAATATAATAGTGTCAGGTTAGAGAAACTACTGAGATATATTTACCCACCTCAAATTCTCATAGATTGTAACTTTGTAGGGACTTTTCAAATCCCCTTTCTATAATAGCAAAACGCTGAATATGTTAGAGCTACAAACATGCTAATAATACAGCAGTGGGTTAATATCTAATGGCCGCGCGTTATCAGGACAGGCTCAGACAGCACTGGGTTTATACCTAATGTAATGACCGCACGTTATCATGGCCAGGCTCAGACAGCGCTGGGTTTATATCTAATGTAATGACCGCACGTTATCAGGACAGGCTCAGACAGTGCTGGGTTTATACCTAATGTAGGGGGATGTGACCGCACGTTATCATGGCCAGGCTCAGGCAGCGCTGGGTTTATATCTAATGTAATGGCTGTACGTTATCAGGACAGGCTCAGACAGTGCTGGGTTTATACCTAATGTAGGGGATCTGACTGCACATTATCAGGACAGGCTCAGACAGTGCTGGGTTTATATCTAATGTAACAGCCGCACGTTATCAGGACAGGTTCAGACAGCGCTGGGTTTATATCTAATGTAATGACCACACGTTATCAGGAAAGGCTCTTCGAGTGCTGGGTTTATATCTAATCAGGATGAATTTTTATAGTGAAATTTCTTTTTGTTTTAGCATATTTTCAAAAATTATGATAAGGACCAATCAGGGACTATGAATGTGCAGGAGTTACGGGTAGCACTGGAGGCTGCCGGTAAGTCTACAAGATGTTTATCTAAACTCTGAACGATTTATACTCTGTTTTCATTCATTCATTTTATATTTTCGCTTGTCTCAGGATTCCATTTGAACAACCAGTTTGTAGAATCGCTTTGTCAGAGGTACGGCGATGACATCATGAAGGTGGATTTTGACAGCTTCCTCTCATGTCTAGCGCATCTCACCCACATTTTTGGTAAAAACATAAAACCTCATAGAATTTGACAATAAGCTTGTAACTGACGCCGATAATGAAAACTCAGCTAAAGAGAGGTTAATGTTTGGTAAATTGGTAAAACGGTTACTAAGCAGAGAATTGTGGTGAAATCTTCAGCCAAAATAGCCAAGCTGAAAAAAAAAGGCAGGAATAGCCATTATTAGACAGCCTGGCCTTCTGTCCGAGATCCGGCTGAGCCGTTATTACACCGCCTGGCCTTCCGTCCGGGATCTGGCTGAGCCGTTATTACACCGCCTGGCCTCCCGTCTGGGATCTGGCAGAGCCGTTATTACACCCCCTGGCCTCCCGTCCGGGATCTGGCTGAGCAGTTATTACACCGCCTGGCCTCCCGTCCGGGATCTGGCAGAACCGTAATTACACCGCCTGGTCTCCCGTCCAGGATCTGGCTGAGCCGTTATTACACTGCCTGGTCTCCTGTCCGGGATTTGGCAGAGCCGCTATTACACCGCCTGGCCTCCCGTCCGGGATCTGGCTGAGCAGTTATTACACCGCCTCGCTGGCCTCCCGTCTGGGATCTGGCAGAGCCGTTATTACACCGCCTGACCTCCCGTCCGGGATTTGGTAGAGCAGTTATTACACCGCCTCGCTGGCCTCCCGTCTGGGATCTGGCAGAGCCGTTATTACACCGCCTCGCTGGCCTCCCATCCGGGATTTGGCTGAAAAAAGAAAAAAAAAAACATTTTCCAAGTCAGCTAAATTTTCATCTTGGTTATTTTGGCATAAAATTAGAATGTAGGGAAACACGTTTTTTGGGACTCACTCTGACAGCCTAACAATACTGCGCACCCAGGCCACATTCGGTCTCAGGGTCTGCCGCACTTTATCCACCAATATATGGGTGACGTCTCATTTTCTATAATGTAGGGGTTCCCAATTAATTTTTCCTGTGGAACCCTTTGTGTTTGTATGTGCGTATCTGACCCAAATACACACACTGGCACATATTGGTACACAGATACACATACTCACTTCTTCCCAGCATCCAATACTACAGGGGTCCGGTCGCTTTTTTTATGATGACCATGGCGCCTGACCGGACCCCTGACGGACAAATCGCCACAGATCCCCAATTTTGTTCTTGCAGAATTCTTATTGGGAAACGCTGCTATAGTGTATAATTGATTGATTTATATTTTGTAGAATTATTTACAGGAATGTTTGTAATTGTCTGCATTGTATGTGACAGTTGTTGCATCCATTTCTTAGCTTTTACTAGACACAGATTAACGTTTACGCTGCTTTCTGTCTCCTCTACAGGAAAATGGCGCAGTTTGGACCTGGACAAAGATGGGGTAGTCAGCATCAGTAAGCAGCAGGTGAGGGGTGACTGGGGACAAGTTTACAGCTGAGAATTCACGCATTGTGCAGAATTATGTAGAATTTCTCTCTATTTTAATCTGGTTCAGGAAGGGAAACTAAAACAAGTGATTTTATGAATGAAAATAAATACATTTCAAATTAAATAGGTGGAATAAAGTCACCAGATACACCATCTTCTCCTCAACACGTCATTTCTTCACCCTGCTGGGCAATGCATGAAGAGTGCTACCCTGTAGTATTATTACTGTGCAGGAATAAGTACGTTTATTAATCCAGGAAGGATAAGCTGCCTTAGTTGAGACACTACAAGGCACAAGCTTTCATGCATAGCCCATCAGCATTAATATACTATATGGACAAAAGTATTGGGACACTCCTCTTAAGCATTTAATTCAGGTGTTTCAATCAGACACATTGCCACAGGTGTATAAAATCAAGTACCTAGCCATGCAGTCAGAGAGCATGCATACTATATATTTTATGAAATAAAGAATTTTTTTATAATATTATACATATATATGATTTCATTATAAGTGTATTTTGAGATGTGTAGATATGTCAAAGTACACTTATAATGAAATATATGCATTATATATATATATATTTTTTTAACCTTTTAGCAGCCTTGGGCACTGTCTGACAGTCCCTCTGCTGTCAGCTGCTAGATTCCTATTGTGGCAATGTGATTGTGGTGATCACATGGCCCTGGAGGGCCGGAGCTGCTGCAAGGGGACTGCTGGGTTCTCCGGCAGTCATCCCGACCGTAATCGCCAGTCCGGGGCTCCTATTTGTCTCAGACGTACTAGGTACGTATGTGGTCCTGAATTGTTTTTTTTGTTGGACGGACCTAGTACATCCACAGTTGTTAAAGGGAGATACAATTAGAATGAAAATATCTATGTATTTTGATATAAATATATATTTTCAAAATACAGTTTGAATAAAAATTACATATTTTTTAAATTAATTTATTTTTAATTATTTTTTAATAATATACACACGTAATTTTACTCTATTTTATATTAATATATATATATATATTAATAAAAAAAATACACTTAGTATGATGTTATATACAAGAATATAAAAAGACCTTGTATAAGTCGAAACGTTGATCTCTTGAACACTAATATTTTGCACAATAAATTTAATATTTTTTCAACCCAGGAGTGCACCTCATCATTGAGAGAGATATAGAATATATATATATATATATATATATATATATATATATAAAAATTATTTTTTTTAATTTCTAAAAGTAAAAAAAGAAAAAGAAAAAAAGTTTTAACTTTTTTCACCAGCAAGGGCACTGCCTGTGAGTTCAGGCAGCACTATGGACACCTATTGCGGCTATGTGACCGCTCCTTTAGAGTGGTCACATGCAGTGGCGGATCCAGAGCCTGATCTCGGGAGGGGCACTTGTAGATTATTTAGATAAATAATCCAGGCACAATAACCACTACAGCTCAGTGTAGTAGTTATGGTGTCAGTAGTGCCAGGATTCCACCCCAGAGTAAGTAGTCATACCGTTTAAGAACAGTCTGACAACTTACCTGGGTCTGCTGGGATATAGGAGCAGTGGTGTGTGTTAAGGGTGAAGTGTGTGAGTGCAGCAGTGTATGTCAGGGTTGTAGTGTGTGTGTTAGGGGGCTGTGTATGTGTTTTTGGGGCAGTGTGTGTATGGGGGGCAGTGTGTGTAAGGGGGACAGTGTTTGTGGGGCAGTGTGTGTATGGGGACAGTGTTTGTAAGGGGACAGTGTTTGTATGGGGCAGTGTGTGTGTGTATGGGGGGCAGTGTGTGTATGGGGACAGTGTTTGTGGGGCAGTGTGTGTATGGGGACAGTGTTTGTGGGGCAGTGTGTGTATGGGGACAGCGTTTGTGGGGCAGTGTGTGGGGCACTGTTTGTGGGGAAGTGTGTGTATGGGGGCAGTGTGTGTGTGGTGGCAGTGTGTGTAATGGGGGGCAGTGTGTGTGTGTGTGTAATGGGGGAAGGAGGCTTTTTAATAATAAATTTAATAAAATAAATATTCTATGTCCCCCCTCCCTTCTTACCTTTATTTAGGAGGAGGGGGGACATTTCTCTGGTGGTCCGGTGGGGTATTCATTGGTGGTCCCAGTGGCGAGAGTGAACTCTAGCCCGCGCTCCAGGGCTAGAGTTCACTCTCGCGAGATTTGGAGCGTTGCTGTGGTAACCGCGGCAACGCTCCAAATCTCGAGAGAGGAGGACCCGGAGGAGCTGCAGACTGAGCTCCGGTTCCTCTCTCTCACTCCCTCCGCCACCGGCTGTCAGCACGGTGCCTGCGGACCAGGAAGGGAGATCTGGCAGGGGAGAATTTGGGGGGGGGGGCCCCGTTGCCCCCCCCCCTGGATCCGCCAATGGTCACATGGCCCCTAGGGGTCCTAATTTGCAGCCCAGACAGTCCCCCCCCTTAGAAGACAAATCGCCGGCGGGGGGGAAATGGCGGCGATTGGTAAGTACATGGGGAAGGGGTTAATTTTTTTTATTTTAACGGAGTGCCTCAACCCCTCGAGGCACTTGGTACAGGCAGAGAATCGGATGCCTGGCTGATGGCTTCCGATGCTATGTTCTACACTGCCGTGCGCCACGTAAGGCAACCCGAAAGTGATCGGGTGTGAGGGGGCGGGGTATTGTACAAGCTATCATGCAATACCCATAGAGAGGCTGGAAGCAATCACAATCGTTTCTAGCACTCAGTACATCTGCGGTCCTTAAGGACAGTTTTTTGTCGGACATACCAGATACATCCGCGATCGGGAAGGGGTTTAAAATGTGTTCTGTGGAGTGACAAATTGCACTTCTCAGTCTGATGGGCGAGCCTATGATGCAAGGAGAACTTTACCTGCCTGACTGCAATGTGCCAGCTGGAAAGTTGGGTGGAGGAAGGATAATAGTATGGGGCTGTTTATCAGGGGTTTGGCCAAGTCCCTTACTTCCAGTGAATGAAATGATAATGCTGCAGCATACCAAGACATTTTGAGCAATGATATGCTTCCACCTTTGTGGGAACAGTTTGGGGAAGGCTCTTTTCTATTCCAGCATAACAGTGTCCCAGTACACAAAGCAAGGTCCAGAAAGACATGGTTGGATAAGTTTGGTGTGAGAAAACGTGACTGGCCGCACACAACCCTGACCTCAACCCCATCGAACATATCACTATGTATTAATGTCAATGTATTTAGAAAGCAATTTAATGAATTAACTTGTTGGTGCAATGTTCAGGTATCGCAATACTTTTGTCCATATAGTGTATGTGCTCAGGGAAAGATGGTGGATCTATTAACCTGAGTGTAATGCAGCCAAACACTCGTCCCAATAACAATTACACTGTGTAACACTGAAAATATTTGCACAGAAACCCTTCTGAGATAATTTGTTAATCCTACAAACGGGGGCCATCCTGCAACCCCATTGGCAATTATGACACAGCCAAATGGCACAAGAGTTTTATAGAGGTGGCCGCTAATATCCCAGTGCAGGCAGTCGGATCACCAGACTGTCATTATTGGAGACTGTTACACATATAATGCTACAATCCTGATAAAATCTCAAAGAAAAGGCATTGCTTGACCTGATTTAGACAGAGCACTAAGCTCTCTTTACAGTTCATGTAATGTTCCCTGCACTCATTACGCATTGCATTCAAAGCTCCCATGGCGGCCCTTGCTGGACACTCTATGCCAAACTTAGAACAGACGTTTCTCACAGTAATCAGTCAGCACAGTGTCTGCACCAGAGCAATTTACCTGTATCTACATTCCTCTGGTTTAAATCTTTGTTCCTGGTTAGGATTTTGTTTTTCTAAAAGGCATTCGGCTGTGGCTTAGAGTAATGTGTAAAAATTGTCTTGTTTATTGCACAGTGGCTGAAATTGACAAGTTTCCACTGAGTGCGATTGCACCTTGCTAGCAGTAGAGGGCAACACGTCAAGAACAGAAAATACTCCCAAACCAATCCCTGCATCTAACGTGACGTCAAGGCACCATGCGACCATGCTCAGGACTTCCAGCGCAATTAACTCTGAAATGCACTTTATGAAACCAAACAGTGATATGCAGTTTTTAAAAAGAGGAGCAAATTTAATTTACACAAAGTACTAAATGTACATCATTCTTTTAAAAAAATCATTATACATTATAAATACAGTACAAATTCTTTAAAGTACTATATTCAGACTGTAATGTTGGTTTTGGGGAGCTGGAGGGTGACAGATGAGATGGGGGATGAGTTTAATGTTTTGTGATTCTTTTAAAAATAAAACAGAAACTGTATTTGAAAATGGCACAGAATACATGATATTGGCGTGAATTTGGGAATATTGTTTAATGAGTGCACCTGTCTGCCTAAACCCGCACAAGTTACACAGGAGATGCTGAGGTTAAGCCACAGGACTGGCTGATCGCATCACTCTTTGGGGAAATGGGAGTTTCAGGTAGAACTTTAGCAAAGGGGCAATATTCAGATTCTATACTGTGCGATGTGCAAGTCACGACATATCTTTTATTGGGTTTCTGTGCTACTTTTAAAAGAAACCAGTCAACTTCCGCCTTGCGAAGCCAAGTGATGGTGGTGGAATTCATCACCGGTTTCTCTTTGAGATCTCTGATATAAAAAGGGAACCCCTAGTCGTGGAAGTCTCCACCCACCATGGAGATAATGTCACCTGCTGCAAGTGACTACTGGTGTTGGCTGGCTTCCATTATATTCAACATAAAGTGAAACTTTGGCAGTCCAACCCCAACGCATTGAGATAACGGAAAACAAAACTCTGATATATATATTTATATATATATAGTGTCACATTCTTAGCCGTGTGCAAATTATAGTCTACAGGCATTCAACGCTGATCTCATCCAACATTTACCCTCTCTGGGCGCCTCGTCCAATGGACTAGAGAAACTACAACAAACCTTACACCATCTGACATTCAGCCAATTAAATAGGAGGAATTTGAGAGCACAGTCCGCGCTCGGTGGCCAATCGTTAACCTAGCACTAAACAACTTTTGCCTAGAGAAGCATTCCATGACCTTTTTGTTTTCTGATGCTTTCTTCTTCTTCCACTCACTGCCCCAGTTTGTCAAGAATCCATTGCAAATTCTAGGTGCCCCCATAATAATAATAATAATAATTATAACATTTAAATGTACGTTAACAGTTTAACGCTGTTCTGTGTGAACTGTGCATTCATTAGCTATTTCCCCAGGACAGGAAAATAAAAAATAATAAAATTAAAATAAAAAAACACAACATATAGAAGAACATGGAAAAAAAAAATATCCCCTGACTTGATGTTTGAATAACTTAAAGAAAAATAATCAATATAATCAAATACGCGCTGCTTTAAAGCCAGTCTCATATTATAGTGAATCTTCTTTCCTCTCCAAGGTCATAAAGTCCATTTTCATTTGACAGTTCATTGGGCTGAGATGGGAAAAGGCGTGAGGAGGTGGTGAGGATGGGGAACAGAAAGCATACATTTCTGAAGGCAACAGATCACTGGTTGGATTATGTCCTTGATACTAGTCTTCGAAGACAGACAAGAAACATCCCCATATACCAGTACCTCTTTATGGTACGGCTTGTCCTCTCAAGCCAGGATACAGGAAGTGCAACACAATTTTTCCATAAACCACTTGTTGCCCATAGCAAACAAATGGACAAAAGAATTGAGGCTTAAATTTGGAAAATGTGAACCTCCTTCACCTGTGAATACATGTGGCTATTTATGTCCTACAACCATTATCATCTCATTTTCCCCAGGCAATTTCATTGATTTACTTTCAACGGCTCGCTCAAGTTTATAATAACAATTCCTCCCTCCGTTATCTATTTAACGTCCTGGCCCCTAGGCCTCCATTGTGATTAGGGGTTAGGTACGAGTCTGTGCGGTGAACTGGAGAGGAAAAGGGTGAAGAGGAGGAGGAGTGGTGGAAAGAAGGCTGGGTGGAAGAACGGAGGAGCGTGTTTGATCCTCCTCCACCCTGGGGTTGCTGTAGATTGAGGATACTGTCGATGGCACTCTGGAGATGCTCATTCAAAGTATCATCTTGAGGACTATCACTGGAGAAGCTAGCATTGTCCACGTCAAATTGTTCAGATTTAAGCCTTTTTGCAGAAGGAAATGGTACATCCCAGTTCAGCTCTGTCTCATTATCTGGTGGTTCTGTCTTAATAGCCCTTCGGAAGTAGCTCTGATCTTCATCCTTTGCTTCCCGCCTCAATCCAACCAGACTCTCCTCATTCTTGGTGGTCTTGGTCTCTGTTCTGCTAAAAAACAACTTGGAACTGTCCGCCTTCCTTCCCTTTTCATGCTCAGAAACCCCTTGTGTCTTATGAGATGTAATAACGCTCCGTAACCCTTCTTCCTGCTTTATTGGTGGGGTTGAAACTGGCACCTGCTGTGTTTTCTCCACCTTCATTCTAGCATCCGGTGGTTTTCCGGTCACAAAAGCATCCACATTCTCGCGGTAGGTCTTGCGCAAAGGTAACCGGCAGTAGGTGGCAAGAGGTTTCTTCTCAGCAGGTGAGGAGTGGTCCAGAGTGCCATTCATTTGCCCAGTTGGTGTGGTGGTGGTGGCCGGCGTTGTATGAGCAGTTGTCTTAATAACAGTGGGAATGGAGACAGGTGTCACAGGAGGAGGTGGTGGTGGTGGTGGTGGTAAAGGATTCTGATGGACAGGGTCCAAGGCTGTATTGTGAATAACTTTGCTCAGCCCAGCTTCTTGTTTTATTTTAAGCTTAAGGCCAATTCGGCTACGGGCCTCATATGTCTTGATTGGTGGCTTACTGCGTGACGGAAGAGCATCATCATCCGTGTCAAGAGAAGGGGAAGCTTTGGCCCAGGTCACAGAAGGGGAACCTCCGCCACTGTGCTTGATCACCAGCTTTGTTGGGTGGATTGGGGTGGACATCTGCACCACTGGAGGCTTCAGGCTCTCAGGTGCTGGGGCAGGACAAGGAGAAGACGAAACTGATGCCACCAATGGTGTAATGGACAGAGATCGAGCAGAAGACGTTGATACATACTCATCTACCAAGAGAAAAACAAAGAAATTAACATCTGAAAAAATTAGGAACAGAATCCTGCTCTCTTTTCCTAAAGATTTAAGCTTCCACTAATTTACTGCAAACATCCTCAGTGGTGGCACATTTAGAACACAGAGGGCTGCTAAATTTAAAGGGACATTCCAGGCACCAATAAAACTTGATACGTTTGACCTCATTAATATTCTGTAATTTTTTAAATGCTCAAATCTTTTTGCACAAATAAATGTTGTGTAGAACAGTGCACCATAAGCCTGCCTCCTTAGCCATGTCCCATTACTACAGAAAAAGACTTCCTTATCAAATGCATGCACACAGTTCAGCTCACTCACGGACAGTACTGAATGATCTGAACAACAAAGCAACCTGGCATTAGACGGAAAGTACTCCCACGTAGACATATAGTAAGGATTGCACTACCGGTTTGTAGTATCTCTGACTGCCTGCAGACATGTTGTGAATTAAAAAGCCACTCACAGTCAACGCCTGAGCCGTGTACATACATTGATAAGGATGCCTTTCTGGCATGAAGAGGCATGGCTCATCATTAGCTGACTGCTCTCAGCCAATGAGCTAAGCTGTGCATTCCTAGGGAATTTTCAACTCTTTGGTATTAGTAGTAGAGTAGGGGAGTGGTGCAGCAAACCCCCAGCCACCGTTAAACATTTGAGGCAAAAAAGTGAAGGAAGCCTGATCCATGGACATGCAGACTGCATCTCTCAAGAGTACAATGAATAAATATACCAACATATGACAGCCATAAATTGGCTAAGTACCAAGGCCCTGAGTGCACCCAATGTCAATTCTGCAGTCCTGTTGCTTACTTAGCTTCCTGCTCCTCCCTCCCAATCACGCTATCACTCCCACTTACTCCCTTGACTACTATCCTTTAAATTTCCTTTGCCTTCCATCCCCCCCAACAACTAACCCTCCCAATCATCCATCGACCAATATCCCTCCTTACCACCCTATACCTCCCAACAACCTCCACCCCTGCCAACAGCCATCCTCTCCCCAAGCACCAGCCCCTTGTCCCCCTGTCCCCCTGTGTCCCCATTCTCCCCCTCTCCCCAGCACCAGCCCTTGTCCCCATTCCACCCCAGCCTGACCCCTTGCCCCCGTCCCTTGTCCCCATTCTCCCCTCTCTCCCCAGCACGCCTTTGTCCCCATTTCCCCTCCCCAGCACCGCCCTTGTCCCCATTCCCCCCCCCCATTCCCCAGCACCGCCCTTGTCCCCATCCCAGCACCAGCCCCTTGTCCCCCATTCCCAGCTTTTGTTGCTTGTCCCCCCCCAGCGCGGTCCATCCCTATCCCAAAGCAATCCCCTCCCTTCCCCCATTCCTCCCTCCTATGTCCCTGCCCCCCTTGGAATTTGTCCCTACCCTGACCCCCATCCCTTCCCTTGACCGCCATCCCTCCCCCTGACCGCCATCCTTCCAAGCACCTCCCCCTGATCGCCATCCCTCCCAGCACCTCCCCCTGATCGCCATCCCTCCCAGCACCTCCCCCTGATCTCTTTTCCTTTGAAAACACTGTATATCAAGAAAGCAATATTAAGACTACACTTGAAAAGATTTCTAAGAGACATTTTCCAAAACACAAAAAAAAACAAAAAACCACGCTGAATGTGGTTAATTCCTGCACGTGCTGTGATGAGGGCTGGGAACAAGATTGACTGATCAGGTAAACACAGTAATACATACCTGGTCTCTCCTTTGCCAACTGCCGGTCTAAAGAAAGCGCAACCTTTTCTTCCTGAATAAACATTCTGTCAATCATCACCATCTCTGCAGAAGGACTAACCCTCTGAAACAGGAAAACATACCGGCCCGTCAGTCAATGGGACATCTGGGAATAATGCATGTCGTGGACTCACATCAATCTATCCTAAACTATATTAATGACAGTGATAAGTTTAAGGATCCTTCCCTCCCAGGGTCACAGTGTACTAATGACAGTAACGTGTTTAATGGTCAGTCCCTCCCAGGGTCACAGTGTACTAATGACAGATATAATTCATTCTCTCTCACCCTGGATTCCTCCAGCAGTAGAAGGCGGTATTTGTTCAGCATTGCTTGAGTTCGCTTGAGAAGATGAGTAGATACTACCTCAAACTCTTCATCCACTGTCACAAAAGGAAATAATCACAAAAATGTTAACTACATTATAAAAGTAAAAATAGTAAACAAACTCAATGTTTCTATCCCGCGCCGATAAGGTGTTACAGGCTGTGCCGCCATATTGATACTCCAATGCGTATCGCTGTACTGCTCGGTTGAGTGGGCAGTGGTTCCTTCCACCTCCCCACTCATCAGAGCATCTAGGGCAAGTTAGCATTTTAATTATGTATTCATGCCTAAGCTCTTTCAGCCGACGGCAGCCATCTTAGAACTCCTATCGGGAATGCCACAGTGACCATCTTGGTACACTTTTTAAAAATGTATTTAATCATCCAACTTTGTTTTCAAGTTATTTTAACAGTACTTCGGGTTGGTGGCAAAAACGGTAATACCAAGGTCAGGGTTGGTGGCAGAGTGGGTACCACCAAGGTCAGGGTTGGCGGCAGAGAGGGTACCACCAAAGTCAGGGTTGACGGCAGAGAGGGCAACACCAAGGTCAGGGTTGACGGCAGAGAGGGCAACACCAAGGTCAGGGTTGACGGCAGAGAGGGCAACACCAAGGTCAGGGTTGACGGCAGAGAGGGCAACACCAAGGTCAGGGTTGACGGCAGAGAGGGTAACACCAAGGTCAGGGTTAATGACAGTCGTCATTAAAGGAAGGAGAAGTACAAACCAAAACCATGAAGTTCTTTTATGGCAAAATAACTAAAAATCAGTGAATACATTCCATCTGTCCAGCTTTGTAGCAAAATCTATCAATATCTATGGTGAATGTACGTTTCACACAAATGTGTGTTTTCAATACGAAATAATAAGACCGTGGATCTAGCTCACCTTTCATCAGGTCTTGGGAGGACGGGAGCAGGCCCTGGTAGACGTGATACGGCAGGAGTCTATGCAGAGCATCTTCGAACGAGTGGAAGGCGGATTTGTACTCTGGGTGCAGGACTGCCCCCTGGTGTTTGTGTAACTGCTCAAGGAAGCTGAAGACAGAGAAAGCGAGTTAGACCATGACTATATTCAGGTTCGAGTCACCTATAAAATCAAGTATCGGGACTCTTACCAAGCCTCCTTGCTTGGCTGTAGTGTGGGTAGTTTCTTCATTGCTCCAAATTTATGTTCAAACTAACAGAAAGAGAAGCAAACAGTGTTTCAGATAACGGAGCAAGAAGCCAAGAGCCCCTAACAGGAAATGACATCTACCAGCAGGTTAATCTGAGGATTCCAACAAGGCAGCAGAAATAGTGTGAGAAGCTTTAATCCATAGATTAAAGGACCACTATAGTGCCAGGAAAACATACTCGTTTTCCTGGCACTATAGTGCCCTGAGGGTGCCCCCACCCTCAGGGACCCACTCCTGCCGGGCTGGATGGAGAGGAAAGGGGTTAAACTTACCTTTATTCCAGCGCCGGGCTGGGAGCTCTCCTCCTCCTCTTCGGCTGAATGCGCATGCGCGGCAAGGGCTGCGCACGCATTCAGCCGGTCTCATAGGAAAGCATTTACAATGCTTTCCTATGGACGCTTGCGTGTTCTCACTGTGATTTTCACAGTGAGAAGCACGCAAGCGCCTCTAGCGGCTGTCAATGAAGCTATGTTTATAAAAAAAAAGGGGTTAATCCTAGAGGGACCTGGCACCCAGACCACTTCATTAAGCTGAAGTGGTCTGGGTGCCTAGAGTGGTCCTTTAATATCACTCTATGGAGGATACATAACACTGGTGAAATAAACATTTTTAAGATAGATCTCTTAAAACAAATGCTCACAATTCTTGAAAATACTTCAGCTAAAATGAAAGCAGTGACTGAGTAAGACATTTCTCCAGACACTATCAGGGCTTATTCATTAAAGTCAGAAAGAATTGAATGTGAATTTCAAATTTAAGACAAGAGTAGCCAAACCAGAAGCATAGCGGACTTGGTGAATTTTTCCAGTTCGGCTGTTTTGACCTCAAAAGTGAAATTCCCTTTGAATTCTCCCTTTAGTGATGAATCCTGCATGTACACATGGGATCTTTATACTCTATATCCTAGCTCAGGAAGGAACTGTAGAAATCTGCCGATGTGGGACAGTTTGCACCTGGGATTTAATATTGTTTATATTGGTAAATTCCATATTGAAGCATAGTCCAATAATCAACTGTGTGTGTGCTGTACGATACACCCTGAACACATCACATGACTACCAGGAATAGGGGGCTCTCTCTATTGCCAATATTGTAAAAGGCCACCGACGTTTACCTGTGGCTGGGTTTGGACCGGAGCAGCAGGAACCATCTGTGTAATCCCTTTGCCAACCACCTGGATCTGCAGCGAGCCTTTGCCCAGGTTGAGCCCAGAAACAGAACTGATCACGCCAGGTTTAGCCTAAAAAACAATGGTTTTGTGAGTAACCGCAAAAGAGCAAGAATTATCAAAAAAAAAAAAAAAAATTTGAAATCTCAGTAATCCTACCTGTGTAGCTACAGGCATGGCAGTGCCCGCTTTGGCCTGGACTGAAGCTGGCTTCCCACCATGGTTGGTTTCAGGAGGCACTGAACCGGTAACTGGGCCTGTAGACAAACGACAATGGGTAAAAACGTCAGAGTTTACATGTGATGGGCACAAGTTCTAACACAGCAGATACAGGACAGACAGAAAAGGTTCTGGGTGTAAGAACATTACCAGCGCATACACAGCAGCTCTCCCAAAAGACTGAACTTGTGCTCGCTCACCTGACGTTTTGACCAGAACAGTTGCTTGCTGTTGCAGTTGGTGTGGCTGTGATTGCATTTGCTGCTGCTGCTGCTGCAGTTGTTGCTGCTGCTGCAGTTGTTGCTGCTGCAGTTGTTGTTGTTGCTGCTGCAGTTGTTGTTGTTGCTGCTGCAGTTGTTGCTGCTGCTGCAGTTGTTGCTGCTGCTGCTGCTGCAGTTGTTGCTGCTGCTGCTGCTGCAGTTGTTGCTGCTGCTGCTGCTGCAGTTGTTGCTGCTGCTGAATCATTGTTGAGAGCTGAGACGTCTGGTTTCCACCTGCTCCCTGCACTTTAGGCATTTCGCCGTGTGACACAAGCGAGGGCTGAACCAGCACCTGACCAGGTGAATGCCCATGTAAGGGATTCTGAGCAGACACAGCCTGCCCTTGCCCACTCATCAGCACAGACTGGGCCTGCCCACTATATTGCCCCCCCACCGCTGGGGATGTCTGAGTGCTGGAGGGCTGTGCAGTAGTCAGCATCAGACCTTGCTGCATCTGAGGGAAGAAGAACAACGTCCCATTAAACAGCTTCACTGTGGCAATGAGGGGGCACAGAGAAAGCAACAGATCACATGAGATGCAAACAGAAAAGGAAAGCCAGATATCGTCCACTATGTTTCTACCGTACCAACGATTAATAACCTAATTCCCACAGATATCTAGATAGTTACTAACCCTTCATATATGAATATAAACTAGTCATGGTAGCATCAAAGACAATCTTTACTATTACTGAAAAAAAGTTTACATGTAGCGGCATGAAGTATTATCTTTAATGACGATCTTTATAAATCAATAGCACTTTAGCAGAAAGGACTAAATCTCACAGTGAGGGTCTAGTGTGGTTTATTATGGCATGCAGCAACATCGCATGTTTTGACTTGAAACTCTACGTCTCTCTCAAGTTTTAATAACTCTTTGAGCAGCTCCTGGTTTACCCCTTCTCCATGTGGTCATCTAAGACCATGTACAATTTGAACGTTTGAAAACGTTACAGGGTGAATTTGAGATGCACGACGTTTGCAATCTAGCTTGTTTTTGGTCAGATATGCAATGTTTCTGACCAGGGTGAACATAAAGATGGCTGCTCCATAGCGGAAGACTAAACGGGGAAATGCAGTGAAATTAGGTATTTACTAATACGTATGCACTGAAAATCAATACCCATGCATGCTAAAATGTGTGTAGTCTTATTTTAACAAATAATGACCGTTTTCCTTTGAGTATTTCAGAGATGACCCAGTTGGGATTTAATAGGTAGTCAGAGCGGAATTAAAGAGAGAAGGAGTGAATAACTTGTGAATCAGTCAATAAATTGTTTTTTTTGTTTTCTTTTTAACATTTAATAGTGCATTTAAGATTTCATTGAATATTGAAATACAATCTTTTTACTGTGCTATCCAATAACCATGGCAGACAGCTGCTCATCATGTCAATATGTAAGCCTGTATGAAGATATGGAATACAGGACATCCAGAGAGCCAGAACTACCAATCCATCTATTCACAGACCACGAGTTTGTTTTGTCTCCTCAGGAAGGGCCCCTCACCCCCGTTCTCATGATGTGGAGAAGGATGGCTAAAATATTGGACTGGTAGAAATACATGGTGTAATGCTATGTATGTTTGTTATCCATTTTGAATATTCAATGATAGACTGATATAAAAAGAATGACTAATGGCTTATATCTTGTGGTAATGTGCTCAGTCTTTTTAGGATTCCTGTAATAAGAGATTTCATCTTAGCTACTACAGAAACCAGACAAGAGTTGCAATAGGAAAGGTCTTCCTCGTCAACAAAGTTTGGTCTACTCAACTTCACAATGATTTTCAATTGACATTTTTAAAGCAGTAACGATTCTAGCTTGCGTTCTGCCACATGCATGCAATGCTTCCTTACCTGTTGGTACCTCTCCAGGAGCTGTTTGTGCTGCGGCACAGAATTAGACAGTGCCTGGAACTGACTCGGGGTCATCTGAAATGTCCGCTGACTGTCGGCTGCAAGATGGAGGGGCTGCCCGGGGGTCTGGGTTTTCATGGGAGTTTGAGCTGGGATGTGCACTTGGAATGAGTGGGTCTGTGCCTCTGATGTGGGAGGGTTAGTTTGCAGAGAAATGGGAACCCCAGTCCGAATTTCGCCCTGGGGGGAACTCAGCTGCACCTGGAACTGTATGTGCTGCTGTTGCTGGGGTGAGGACAATGTTTGGGGAACATCTGAGGGGTGCTGCTGGTGAGGAGTAAAGGTGGTCTGTACCTGAGGCTGAGATGGGGGGCGTAGTGGGTGCTGGGATGCACCATGCGGGGAAGAGATCTGATTCTGAATGACAAAAAGGTTTTGCATCTGTGGAGTGCAAGAGCGGGATAGAGGCTCAGAAGGGGGACGGGGGACACTCTGAGGTTGGGAAGGGGGGCGGGAATGAGGGCGAGAAGGGGGCCGTGACAAAGGCTGTGGCTGGGAAGGAGGTCGTGACTGATGGGGTGACTGCATTTGAGAAAGGTGAGAGGTGGAGGATGGCAATTGAGGACTTGGAGGATGAGGTAGTGAGTGGGAAGGAGACGCTCCAGGGAGTTTCTGTTGCCCTGTGGGAATCTGAAATAACGAGAGGAAAAAGAAGGAACATGTTATATAATGACAGCCTTGCACTTAGCCATACGAAAAGTTTTGCGTGAGAAAGAGAAAAAAAAGAGCCAGTTTGTGTTCCATAAACATGCGCGTTCTAGAACATCCAACCAAAATACAGGAAACAGGGCCCAAAACCTGGAGAAGGAGATAAAGAGTGAGCAGTGTAAATGGGCAGCGAGGAGTGTGCAGGAAGAGGAGGGGATTAACACGAGAGCAGCAGCAGCAGCGTTGGGGGAAGGAATTAGTGAAGAACACAAGGTAGTGAGTAAGCAGGACCCAGCACACAGAGCAGCCACCTCTCAACTGGACACAACCCTCCTAACATGATATCCCTACTGTATACAAGGGGGAAAAAGTCAACCTAGCAGATGGACTTTAATCCAAACATTGCTTCTAAATAATAACTAGCAATGTCTCCATTAACATGAATTCGTTAGCATAATGAAGAGGCTGCGCTGTGTACCCATGGTGCACTTGGTGCCTCCCCGGCATTCTGAATACGTTGAACCCTGTATACCCTTACCATTAGATGGTTGTATTAGCGATGACCCCCAAGACAGACATATTACCACATGGAGACAGAACAGAGAAATTGGATTTCATTTGTATTTGGGAGAACACAATCCAGATATAGGACATTGCTCTTTAAACTGGAACCATCGCTTCTCCTGGTTCTCTCACTAAATCCTGAAGCAGATATAACCCCCTACGTCTGCTGCACTTCAGTGTTCAGGCAATTTGGGGCCCTTATCATAACCTACGTATAAAAAATATGTATGCCTAGGAGATAGTGGCAGGCATACTGCACACTCTGTGAGCTCTATGAGCTTAGATAGAGCCGGATACCAGCACGCATACGCCAAGCTTAGATAGAACCAGATACCGGCACGCATACTGTGAGCTTAGATAGAGCCAGATACTGGCACGCATACTGTGAGTTTAGAGAGAGCCAGATACCGGCACGCATACTGCAAGCTTAGATAGAGCCAGATACTGGCACGCATACTGCACGCTCTGTGAGCTTAGATAGAGCCAGATACTGGCACACATACTGTGAGTTTAGAGAGAGCCAGATACCGGCACACATACTGCAAGCTTAGATAGAGCCAGATACCAGCACGCATACTGCACGCTCTATGAGCTTAGATAGAGCCAGATACTGGCACGCCTACTGCGAGCTTAGATAGAGCCAGATACCGGCACGCATACTGCGAGCTTAGATAGAGCCAGATACCGGCACGCATACTGCACGGTCTGTGAGCTTAGATGGAGCCAGATACTGGCACACTGCATGCTCTGCGAGCTTAGATAGAGCCAGAACCCGGCATGCATAGTGCATGCTCTATGAGCTTAGAGCCAGATACATGCACGCTCTGTGAGCTTAGAGCCAGTTACCAGCACACGTACCACAATCTCTGTGATCTTAAATAGAGCAGGAAATACTGGCACACACAGCACAGGGTTTGCAGGACTGCCTCCACTCTACTTGCTGTTACTGGGACTGCCCTACTCTATCTGCTGAATGACCACAGTGAGCCAGTGAGACACCCCAAAGTGGTGGGACATTTCCCCTGCACAGGCTGCTGGAAGAAGGTTAGAGAAAAAGGCAGAGAAAGGATTGGAGTCAGGGGAAGTGTCAGTAAAGCAGTGGCTACCTGGCAGGACAGAGCCTGCTGAGATTGGTTGGCTGGGAAATGAGGTATCTGAATCTGTCCTTTAGGATCCGATGCTGCTCCGTGGTTCTGGCCCAGCTCGCGATTGGGCTGGATGGAGGAGCCGGCACTGCTGCTCACTATGACGGAAGCGGGCACGCTACTGCTGCTGGTGGAGGTACTGCTGCTGCTGGAGGTGGCTATGCTGTAGATTGGCATGGGGAGGTGTGGTGGGGCACAGGTTTGAACCAAGCCGCTCTCCTGCTGGGATTTCAAGGCTGCTTCGTAAAAGTGCCGCTCCTTCTGAAATGGCCAACAGCAGCAACTTTCCGTTAATAAAGCCCCCACTCACACAATGCAAAGTCATCTATTTATATCCTGCCCAAAGTATGCCAGGCCCAGATTATTACAACATCCTTTCCCTTAAAAAAACAATTTGGAAATGGTTGATATCCTTGCGCTGGGTGTTTTGTGCGTCCACCATTTAAAGAAACCTTCCCGAGCACCATAACCACTACTGTACCCCTGTCATCCCCTTTGTAAAGGGTCAAACCATTTCAGTATGGTGGAATCCCAGGCCCTCCTTACACAGCTCAGTTCAGGACATATAGTGGAAGGTCCCGAGCAGCGCTGCCCAGCTCCCACTGAGCTGTAGTAAAGGAAGAAAACAGTGAACCCCAGTTTGCCTCCTTACAATGGGGAGCCAGAACTCTTGGCACTACAGTGTGCTGTAGTGGTTATGGTGCGTGGAGTGTTCATTTAACGCCATTCTGTCCTCCTCCATCTGACATATAGTTTGTATCGCGTGAAATAGTAAACTTGTACTTGGCAAATGGGACTCATTGCAATCATAGTGGGTTTATACACAAATGTAGTTAATTATAAATGGGACTCTCCTGTGCTGCGAATGAATACATTTTCAATCATTCATTCTTTAATAATCTTAACATACATTCTTCACTAATAACTTAAATATAAAAATCTACACATATCGGACACCGTTGGAAAACACAGATATTTTCTGATATGTGGATTGCAATATATATTTTCAGGCAGATTTTTTACAATTGTCATTCCTTGCAGGTTTCTGAGTACACCACTAGGGGGAGCACTGTGTGAGCAGCAGACTCGAACTACTGTCTCTGTCTCATTTCAATCTGTGTGCCCAATGGCTCTGGTAAGTCGGCAATTATTAAATTAACAATCAATTGGCAGCAGTTTTAATCTGCTAATAAACAATCCATTTCTGAAGTGAGAGCTTGTCTGAGCAATGATAAAATGTTACAATAACGTTGTGTACCTGTCCTAGCACACAATATACCACTATAGTCGCCCAGCTCAGTGAAGCGGTCTGGTCATAGTGCGGGTTGTTTTTTTGTTTTTTTTGCCACTAGAAATGATTCCGCAGCACTCACCGAGTAAAACTCTGATATTAGCATTTGGAGAAGCATGGCGGTTGTCCGTGAATGCATACTTCCAATCCATTGCATCTCAAAAAAATGCAATGTATTGTAGGGATCATGGCGTCTTCGGATGGGTGGAGCGGACGGCTGCAGCGAAGGAGGCCCAGCGCTGGCAACGAGGTACTTAACCTCTTAAAGGAGCACCATAGTGCCAGGAAAACAAACTCGTTTTCCTGGCACTAAAAGGTCATTAGGTCCCCCAACCCGCTGGGCTGAAGGGGAAAAAAAACCTCCTTCGGCCACTTCCCTTTCTCCAGCACCAGGCTCCCTCTGTGCTTGGGAACTCTCCACCCCCTGCCGACATTAGATCCGAATGCGCATGCGCGGCAAGAGTCGCGCGCGCATTCAAACAGCCCATAGGAAAGCATTACTCAATGCTTTCCTATGGACGCCAGCGTCTGCTCACTGATTTAAACAGTAAGAATCGCGGAAGCGCCTCAAGCTGCTGTCAGTGAGACAGCCACTAGAGGCTGGATTAACCCTCAGGGACACATAGCAGTTTCTCTGAAACTGCTATGTTTTCAGCTGCAGGGTTAAAACTAGAGGGACCTGGCACCCAGACCACTCCATTGAGCTGAAGTGGTCTGGGTGCCTATAGTGGTCCTTTAACTGCCTAAACTTTAATGTTAAAAAAAAGATTTTTAACCAATTGGGTTGACACAAGGGAAGTTTATTAATTTAAAGATGATAACAACATATTCCTCTGTAGTACCCGCACACATGCAGCAAACATACAGATTCTTAAAAAACAGATCTATCCAAACATGTCAAACAATTCTCGCTAGACAGGACTATACAAACATGAGTGACAGGAAGGAGAGAACAACACACCTACAGATAGCTTCTCTAATCTACACCACAGCAACTACAGCACGGGCACTGTAGTTGCTGTGATTAATCCTCATATGCTTTCCTAGAGCAGTACGGGAATGAGCTGACAGATGTCACTCAGTTGAAATGCCAATGTTCTGGCCAAGAAGTATTAGCCTACCTTAGGAAGATTGGCTAATTAAAGTGGACATAAGCCAGGTTCGATCTTTCATGCCAATCCAGGCACAATGGAGAGAAGTATCAACTTAACAGCGCCTTATCATTTGAAAGGCTGTGTTTATGTGGACTGGACGACACACCATTCAAGCAGGACTGATGAATTTATCAGATCATACATCGATCAAGAAAGAGACTTACCTGCTGCTGCAGGAACATCTGCATGGACTCTGCATTCAGAATAGCTCCTGAAGTGGTCTGCCCAAGGATGATCTTGTCCGGACTCGAGGTCAGATTAGGGCTAGGCTGAGAAGATATAGACATGGCCTGCTGGGGGGTTGCTAGAGGCTGAGACTGTACATTCAGCTGGAGCTGGGTTTGTCCTTGTGAAGGCTGCTGAGTTTGGACGGTGAGTATGGAGGGTTGATCTGCACTAGACAGGAGGCTTGCACTCTGGACAACTTGCTGGGCCTGTTGATGCACAATTCCTGGGCTCTGGCTGCTACCCGTGGAGGCCTGCTGGATGCTGACTGTTTGGCCAAGGCTCTCAGATGAGTTAAACATGGCTACTTGGTTGGGTAACGTTACCCCTTGGATAACGGTCTGTCCTGCCTGGTTTAAAGACGTGGTGACTGTAGGTTGACTCTGGGTGCTCAGGTTGCCAGCTATAGACACAGGCATCTGGAACAAGGTGGGCTGTCCTACCTGCCCAGCCTGCAGTTGAATAGGCCCAGAAAGGATATGGGCCGTACCATGGGCGTTCTGAGATGCAAGTACTTGTCCTAGGTTTAGTTGGTTTGCTAGATTCTGGTTTGTGAGCAGGGCCTGATTGAGGAGGTGACCCCCAGGACCTTGGCTGGCAATGATGTGAGCTTGTCCACTAGGATGAGAGGCAGTTAGGATCTGGCCCCCCATGTTAGCTTGGAGGGCAGACAGTTGCTGTACGGTGGAGGCTCCTGTCAGCTGCCCAGGCAGCAGGAACTGGTTTTGCCCTTGAAGCATAGCTTGGGCGTGCTGCGCAGGGATTACGATGCTGTTTCCTTGGTGATTGACAAGTTGTACACTCATAGGCTTGCCCAGTGCATGCTGCTGTGGAGTTGGCTGCTTGAAGACGTTGGCTGGGAGGCCTTGGGGAAAACTGGACAGCACCACATTCTGCCCAGACTTTCCAGCCATAAAGGTTAGATTCTGCTGAGGCTTTTGCTGCTGCAGGGAAGCCTCTCCTTGTATGGTAAGCGTGGTGTTATTAGGAGCTAAAGATTTTGGTGAAATCTGAAACACCTTCGGCTGCAGAACGCCAGTGGGTTTGGGTTGAATTGGGGTAGGGGTGCGTTGGATGATAACTGGGCTGTTTAAACTGGAAGTAACCGTAAGGGACTGAGTGCACTGTGCTGCAGACACACTGCCAAACATGGAGTTTCCATTGAGTGTGGTGGCCACTGTTGATAGTTTGTTCTGCAGGACCAGTCCTGCACTTTGTGGAGACACACCGCTAGATGCTAACGTGACTTGCTGCTGCTCTGGGGATGGTCCTGTAAGGTAGCTGCCAACTGGCAGATTGGTTACTTGTGTTGGCTGCACCTGCTTGGCAATGATCTGCTGTGTAGGTTGGTTGATGGCCATTACTTGCTGACCCACTACCTGTATTTGTCCAATGCCCAGTGCCCCACCAGGGCTGCCATTAGGCAAACCTGGGAGATTAGATATTGGCTGGATGGTGACATTGCCCAGGCCAACTTGCTGAATGAACGGTTGGACACTGATGGCTTTATTGACGACCTCTGCCCCTACAGACTGCTGAACGAGGGCTTGGTGAGTCAGCACTGCCGGCTGCTGCAACCCAATGAGGTCAGCCCCTCCGGAAAATATCTGGGATGTACCATCCGGGGCGGCCTGCACCACCGGTTGCAGGGTGGGGAGCTGGAAGGAACCCAAGTCCAGTTCAGCTTCAGCCTCCAAAGTTTGCTCTGTGATATTAGCCTCCTGGAGGCTCTGCTGGAGAATGTCACAGGGCTGGTCAGAATTGGCGAGGCTGGACGTAGCCCCTGACGGTGACCCGAGTATGTCATCTTCCAAAAAGTCCAAATCTACACTGGCAGCCGGAGGGTTTGGTTCGGCATTTAGATGGTTCCCAGGATTTTCCTGTACATGTAGCTGCAACAAAAAGAACATACAATATGTAAATATATATTTTAAATCAAGCTTTATGGTAACCACCATCAACCAACTTTCCTCAGTACTAAATAACAGTAACGCCTGATAAGAGATATCCTTGATACCAGTGGTTCCCAAACCGAGACCACTGCGCCCCGTGCACGTAGGAGTCCTGTGGAATGTTTCCCTGGTGCTATGATTATAGGGAAACATTACTGCTGAACAGGGGCCCGGTTGAGTGCCGCGGTCCTTTAAGACCGCGACCGGGCCCCTGTAAGGTCAGTCGGCTGGGAGGAAGTAACATCTTGTCACTTCCTCCCAGCATCCTGATGGGAGACACCACGGGAGGAGGCAGCTGCAGCGTCTGGAGAACAAAGAGCTCCAGACCCCTCACTCCCACAGCAGCAGGACTCCAAGCCACCCTTCTGGCACATAAGGTAAGCTGGAGGGAACAGGAGGGTGGCTGGAGATATTAAAAAAAAGAAAATAAAAAGTCACGTGTGTGTGTATATATATATATATATATATATATATATATATTCTCCAATCTAACAAAATATTACATACAAACACACCTCTGCATTCAAACTCAAAAAATATATAAAAACACACCCCTTCACTCACACAAATGTACATCCGCATTTAAAAGTGAACATTACATTCAGACACACCCCTGCAATCAAATGCAAACATTACATACAAACACATCCCTGTATTAAAGGACCACTACAGGCACCCAGACCAGGTCCAGCTATGTTTAACCCTTTTTGCAGTAAACATAGCAGTTTCAGAGAAACTGCTATGTTTATAATAGGTTAATCCAGCCTCTAGTGGCTGTCTCATTGACAGCCGCTAGAGGCGCTTCTGCGCTTCTCACTGTGATTTTCACAGTGAGAAGACGCCAGCGTCCATAGGAAAGCATTGATAATGCTTTCCTATGAGACTGGCTGAATGCGCGCATGCAGCCGGTGACTGAAGAAGAGGGTGGAGAGTCCCAGCGCTGGAAAAAAAGGTAAGGGATTAACCCCTTCCTCCCCCCTCAGCACCACGGGAGTGGGACCCTGAGGGTGGGGGCACCCTCAGGGCACTATAGTGGTCCTTTAAAACAATAACTACAGTATATACAAACACCAACACTGTACATTACACTATGGCGCCAGTATGTTGCAGGGCTGTCTGTACCCATACAACCTAGAAATTTTGACTTGGGGTGCCTTGGAAAAATATTGAAATATTAAGGGTGCCTTAAACCTAAAAAGTTTGGGAACCACTGCTTTATGCTATATAAACCAAGACAGAAGGAATGGCAGTCCAAGTAAAAATTTGCTGTAGGTGGCTTCAAAACATGTGCATTTCATTATTATAGACGGATATAAGCCATGATTGAAAAAAGATGTTCATTAAGTAGCCATTTAGGCAAAATAAAATGTCTTGTCACCTCGCACAAGACACCCTCGTACTCTCCACAGTAAACCTAACCCCAGCCAGGTACAGAAGAGCAGTAATTACCCCTGTGCCCACAAAGAAGGCATTAGTCGCATCTCCAGTATTCTCCAACAAGTCATCTCCATCAATCTGAAAAGGAATTAACAGTAATTATCGGTTTTAGTTAATTGCACAATCCCAATATTATAGCGCTTTATGAAAGGCACCAGATTCAAGTGTTTGCCAAACTCTGCATAACAATATTTCTACTTGTAGTAAAAGTTTGGATTTCTAAAATAGATGTCGGCAGTGTAATATCATAGGAAGTGGCCAGGAGAACCCACCTTGTCGGATCCGTGTAAGAAGTCATTCAGAGCCTGTGGGTCGCTGGAAGAGAAAGAAGCACATTTTAAGGGAAGAATCTTTAACTTTTCCATTTTGCATACAGTATTTGCTCGAAACACATCAAAATGTGTTATTATATGGAATTGTTCCAAATATGTAAATCTCTCTATTCCAGGTTATTTACTAAACTGCAAAATACAGTAAACTGAAAACCAAATATGGATGATATGCAAATTTGAGAATTTTATCTAAATTTGCATTCCCTCCCCTCACCCCCCTTAATTTTGCCAGTTTGGTTTTCAATTCAATACAATTCGGTGTTTAGGGAATCAACTCCTAAAGTGTCTCCAGGGGTACAGCTAAATCCGAAAAGCCTCAACTAGTTATGGTGAAAATATTCCCTAAACCAGGTTTACAATCTTATGAGACCCGGGTCTCCAGTCTCCCCCTGCGTGCGCAGCGTAGGGCCCGAGTCTCCTTAGCGTGCGCAGCGTGGGGCCCCAGTCTCCCCAGTGTACACATACATGGCAGGAAGCTGAGGTTTAAACAAGCACATAGAACATGGAAGGGTTGCACACAAATTAAATCAACTCACCAAATTACATCTAGCAAACACCGGCCGTCTTCATCATCCATGTCAACTGCAAGAGACAAGAGAGAGCTGTGGTCATACAGGATACCTAGACTGTACAGCACATGGATAGAGAGATGAGAGAGATCGCTATAGCCGTGCAGCGCGCGCCAGAGAGATCGCTATAGCCGTGCAGCGCGCGCCAGAGAGATCGCTATAGCCGTGCAGCGCGCGCCAGAGAGATCGCTATAGCCGTGCAGCGCGCGCCAGAGAGATCGCTATAGCCGTGCAGCGCGCGCCAGAGAGATCGCTATAGCCGTGCAGCGCGCGCGAGAGAGATCGCTATAGCCGTGCAGCGCGCGCGAGAGAGATCGCTATAGCCGTGCAGCGCGCAGAGAGATCGCTATAGCCGTGCAGCGCGCGCGAGAGAGATCGCTATAGCCGTCCAGCGCGCGAGAGATCGCTATAGCCGTCCACAGCGAGAGAGATTGTTATAACAAACCGGAAAGGTGGTAGAGAGATATATATGTAAATACTGTATACATGAATCTCTGTTTGTAGTCAATGAAAAAAAAAAACAAATAAACAAAAACCAAAAAACTGTTTATTTAGAACATCCAGTAATAATGCCAATGCCGTCTTAGATGGTACCGGCTATAAAAGTGGCTGAGGCTTACTTCCCAACACCGATTTATATTGGGCTCAATGATCAAACAAAAATAATTTAAAAATAAATAAATAAAAAGTCACATCTAAATGGATATGTAAATAATTTTTGATAGTAACTGACCCAAACAGTACACCAAAGCAGATAGAGGCAATCCCTATATTTTACACTTCGCCATGGGACCTGGACGGTGTTTGATGACATCATCGAGGGCTCACACAATGCTGAGCGTTGTTCTGCATGTCTGGGAGCTCCAAGGTGAGAGATGACTTTGTTCTGGTAGACAGGAGTCCTGGCAGCCTGCCAATCTTGGCTTTTCGCCAGTACAGCTTCACTCACAGCAGCCGAATGGCAGAAAACAATACGAACAAACAGGGATGTTGGTTCGTGAAAGAGAATCTCCGCAATTACAATGCCAGTAATAACACGTCAACTCTTCGTTAATGCCACAGCGCCCACCATACCGCTCCAATACTGCCGCAACACATCATACGCCTCCAATAGTGCCACAGCGGGCCTCATACCCCTCCAATACTGCCACGGCGAGCATCATACCCCTCCAATACTGCCACAATGCGCGTCATACCCCTCCAATATTGCCACAGCGGGCCTCATACCCCTCCAATACTGCCGCAGCGAGCTTCATACATCTCCAATACTGCCGCAGAGGGCATCATACCCCTCCAATACTGCCACAGCGAGCATCATACCCCTCCAATACTGCCACAACGCGCGTCATACCCCTCCAATATTGCCACAGCGAACATCATACCCCTCCGATACTGCCACAGCGCGCATCATACCCCTCCGATACTGCCACAGTGCGCATCATATCCCTCCAATACTGTCACAGCGAGCATCATACCCCTCCAATACTGCCACAGCGAGCATCATACCCCTCCAATACTGCCACAACGCATCATATCCCTCCAATACTGCCACAACACATCATATCCCTCCATTACTGCCACAACGCGCATCATACCACTCCATTACTGCCACAACGCATCATATCCCTCCAATACTGCCACAACGCATCATATCCCTCCAATACTGCCACAACGCATCATATCCCTCCAATACTGCCACAACGCATCATATCCCTCCAATACTGCTACAACGCATAATTTCCCCCCAATACTGCCACAACGCATCATATCCCTCCAATACTGCCACAACGCATCATATCCCTCCAATACTGCCACAATGCATCGTACCCGTCCAATACTGCCACAACGCATCATATCCCTCCAATACTGCCACGGCACGCATCAGATACCGCATATTCATTTAACTGGTAGCAATGAAATAATGATGCCAGTTACGGGGGCTGCATGGCACCTGCATTGTAATAGCGCACAGTATGTTTGTGGTGTGGAGAATCTGACTCTGTCATTCTTCATTCCTGCTGAAAATCAGACACAAACACATCGGCCCTCCTCACATGGAATATCCCAGAAACAGATTCTTTCCTGCATTGCGCACACACACACAGCACTCATTCCAAAGAAACAGAGGGGGGAGTGAAGGGTGAATCCCAGCTCATCCCAGAGCTCCCACAATCACAAACAAACACTGTATCACATCCAGATCCAACAACTGCCTCGTTTCTGCAAACAGCTCACTGTAATCAGAAAACATGTGCCTAGGAGACATGGCACACAGCAGATGGCATTAAGGAATCTGGCCATTTCCTCCTGTAGAAGACAAGCAGGGAATCTCCTTTACATGTACGACCACAAGTATTCGAAACCACAAAACACACCACCAGCAGCAGGAGTGCAGTTAACCATTTATAAACGTGTACTAGGTATATGTCTGTGCTCCAAGTTTTGTGAAAGCACAGGCGTGTATTGACCCTAAACACCAGAACATGTATGGTGTTCCAGTCAGCGAGGGGTTAAACACCAGGGGGGTGGAGGGTACTAATGGAAGGAATGTGGCCTGGTCTGGTATTTTGGAAGCTGGGTTCTTTCCAGGGTGTTTGCAATGAACACAGGAGGTCTTACATTATTATTATTTATATAGCGCCAGCAAATTCCATTGCGCTGTACAATGGTAGTCTGAACCCCCTATATCAGAGTGGATGAAAAAAATCTAAAACTATAATAAACTGTGAGTTGCAATTTAAAAATATAAACTTTTCAAAATAAAGCAAAAAGAGACCAATTGCAAAAGTGCCTTTTTACTTTTTATTGTAACAGCTTTTCGCCTGAATTTTATAAACTATTTTTCAGTTAACCACTAAGCTATCCACTAAGGTTTCCCACTTTTGCATGTAGTGGCTATACTTTATATATTTGCAACCACTAAGTTATTGTTTACTGAACAAGTCACATAGTATAACAACAAATATCTGTCACACGTTAGGTCACAGCTCCTTCCTGTGGACCTCTGACCCCGACATCTCAGGACATCTCAGCGGCAGCAGGTTAGGCAGCAGGTTACGGCATCGAACACACAAATAAACCACAAACTGTATGGGAGGCCACAAGACCCTGATGAAGTCATTTTGACGAAACGCGTAGGGTGGCAAGCTTTTATTCATTGTTTTTACTGTGGACCTCTCCATCTTCTCTGTCTCCACTCTTCTGTGTATCCTGAGGGTTATTATTTTGATGGAAGACTTTGATATATGATGTGAAGAGCCTGATAACTACTATCACTTTGTAAGTGTATCCAATAAAAGTTACATTTTTAATATTATACAGTTACACACTATGGTCTGTCTTTGTGCTCTGTTTTAAGCATTTTCTACATTAAGAAGAGACGAAGCACTTTAAGAAGACTATTTATATCCTGCCTACTAATATCTTTGTTTGTGAGTGTATTTTTTTTAAATATTTTTTATGGTTTGATGTTTTTTTAATTTTTAGTCTGCACCATTGGTCTCCCTTTATATTTGATTAGGGTGTGTTTTCTACTGTTTTATATTTATATTGAAGACCTTGAGGAGTCTTTTACACATCCCTACTAGGGGTAATTATTTTTAAAAAAAAGTTTTTCCCCGTTTGATAGCCACAAGGGTTATTCTATAGTGTTTGTGATTCACTATATTCTGTTTGTATGGGAGGCCAGACAGCCCTGATTAGACTGCACAATCTCTACAGATAGGGTTCTCTGACTGCCTTGGATAAAACCAGGGTCAACAAAAGATTAAAAACAAAGTAAAAGGAAGCACACACAACAAGCTTTTTAAACAAGTCCCGACCCCAAAGGGGACAGTTTCTCTTTGACTCATTAGCTTCTAGGCAGTTTAAATGCTTTTTCCTCTAATAAAGGGCCAGGTGACATGCCTTTCAGAATTCGTTTTTGAGGTTCTAGTTTAGGAAGCTCCGATGGGGAGCTGGAGGACGTGCCTGCTGATATAGTTGAGGTAGGGTGTGGAACTGCACTCTGTCCCTTTAAGTAGTATGTAGCTGGGTGCAACTCGGGCAGTCTCAGTACCAGAGACCAAATGCTGAGTAGCAAAAGGTCCAGGCACTCCAAGGTACAAACCAGGCAATTTACTGATGGAGTGGGTTCAATAAAATTGCCTGGACATTTCTTCTATATTGTGCCAGCTGATACAGACAGAACACACCATAGAGTTATTTACTAGATGTGTCCCTAGTCCATGCATTCTGGCGCAGACAGCACTGCTCTATGGTGCTTCTTGTTACAGCAGGTCCGGCAGAAAGATCCCACAAAGGCCGTATCTGTAGAAAATACGTATTATCTGCTGAAACACGGGATCAAGGAGGAGTATAAAGAAAGTAGACACAGTCCTTAATATGTAGAGAGGAAACAATTCTGACCTTAAATGTCCCCATTCACCTGCACTGCAGCATAGATCGTAATAACGTGGTAAATTTATCTAGCAGATTTAGCACACACACACACAGCACTTCCACTCTTTTAATCTCTACCACCTCTGCTGCAATGCTATTCCATGTATCTAAGGAGCGCACACAGGAGAGCTAGCAATAAAAGCATCCAACACAGATAACAGGATTAACACACCACACTCACACCAGTGAATGATTTATTGGCATTAATAGAAGGGTCACCTATTTTAATGACTTTCTAACAGGTACAGTGTTGTTGCATCACACACTACCTCTCAGGATTTCGTCATTTTAAGTGCTTTGTCATATTTCAGCTAAAAACAGAATGGGTAGAATAATTGCAACAGAGAGAAACCGGCAGCTAACGAACCGACTGCAACAGAGAGAAACCGGCAGCTAAGGAACCGACAGCAACAGAGAGAAACCGGCAGCTAAGGAACCGACTGCAACAGAGAGAAACCGGCAGCTAAGGAACCGACTGCAACAGAGGGAAACCGGCAGCTAAGGAACCGACTGCAACAGAGAGAAACCGGCAGCTAACGAACCGACTGCAACAGAGGGAAACCGGCAGCTAAGGAACCGACTGCAACAGAGAGAAACCGGCAGCTAAAGAACCGACAGCAACAGAGAGAAACCGGCAGCTAACGAACCGACTGCAACAGAGAGAAACCGGCAGCTAAAGAACCGACAGCAACAGAGAGAAACCGGCAGCTAACGAACCGACAGCAACAGAGAGAAACCGGCAGCTAACGAACCGACAGCAACAGAGAGAAACCGGCAGCTAACGAACCGACAGCAACAGAGAGAAACCGGCAGCTAACGAACCGACAACAGACCGGCAGCTAACCGACTGAACAGAGAGAAACCGGCAGCTAACGAACCGACAGCAACAGAGAGAAACCGGCAGCTAACGAACCGACAGCAACAGAGAGAAACCGGCAGCTAAAGAACCGACAGCAACAGAGAGAAACCGGCAGCTAACGAACCGACAGCAACAGAGAGAAACCGGCAGCTAACGAACCGACAGCAACAGAGAGAAACCGGCAGCTAACGAACCGACAGCAACAGAGAGAAACCGGCAGCTAACGAACCGACAGCAACAGAGAGAAACCGGCAGCTAACGAACCGACAGCAACAGAGAGAAACCGGCAGCTAACGAACCGACAGCAACAGAGAGAAACCGGCAGCTAACAAACCGACAGCAACAGAGAGAAACCGGCAGCTAACGAACCGACTGCAACAGAGAAAAACCGGCAGCTAACGAACCGACAGCAACAGAGAGAAACCGGCAGCTAACGAACCGACAGCAACAGAGAGAAACCGGCAGCTAACGAACCGACAGCAACAGAGAGAAACCGGCAGCTAACAAACCGACAGCAACAGAGAGAAACCGGCAGCTAACGAACCGACAGCAACAGAGAAAAACCGGCAGCTAACGAACCGACAGCAACAGAGAGAAACCGGCAGCTAACGAACCGACAGCAACAGAGAGAAACCGGCAGCTAACGAACCGACTGCAACAGAGAAAAACCGGCAGCTAACGAACCGACTGCAACAGAGGGAAACCGGCAGCAACAGAGGGAAAAAGCAACAATTGTCGAGATTTGAAACAGAAAGAATCATCCAGAACTTCTGTAGAAATATATAATTTTATCGCTTTTGCAAATATTTAGAGCACGGCATGGGGGTTCAGGGCAGTAATTACCCAGTACCATCAATAATTTAATATACACGTATACCCACCCAATTTAATGTGAAAAGGGGTGAATATTACAGCTGTGGCATACAATCTGATTGGTACATAATTGATCTAAAAAAGCATGAGGTTATTTTCCCAACACAATTCCACAACTTACAACACTTAGGTTTACATCCTTCCTGAATAAGAAGGCTCCGCAGGAAATAAACCCTTCCTGGCAGCACACCTCCCTGCAGGACAGATCTAAGGTTTAAACCCTTAAAGGACGGAGACAATTGTACAAGTTCGGGCCAAAACAAAACCAAAACCTAGAATCTGAACCATATGTCTGTTCATCCATAATATACCTCTTTTATATTAATTGCACACACACTTACTAGATGTCATTTTCTTCAGGAGAAACAGGACTTTAATTTTACATCAAATATTTATATATGAAAATGTAATATGAATGAAATCTAAATAAAAGTTAAGACATTTTGTTATTTTCCAACTTCTGCATGGCATTTTAACTGTGAATGTCTTGATATTGTTGTCTTTACTGCAATAAAACACTCATATTTGTATTCAGCAATGTCTCACGGGTACAATGATGCCCCCCATGTATAGACTTTCAGGGGGTTTGGAAAGTTACAAATAAAGAGCTTGCCCATTTCAGTTTTTACACATTGAAATTTGTCAGATTGTTTTTGCTGGGCCTATGTTGCCTTTGAGACCGTATAGCAGTCCAGGAATGAAAATTAACCCCATCATGGCATACCATTTGTAGAAGTAGACAACCCACGGTATTCAAAATGTCCAGCCTTTTTGAGTAGCCACAAACCCTGGCCAAAATTAAAGTTTATATTTGTTTTTGTTTTTTTAATTTATTTACACAAAAACTGCCCTTTCACGGATATCATCCTCATTTTAAAACACTCATATTTGTGTTCAGTGATGTCTCCCAAGTACAACCGTACCCCCCATGTACAGGTTTTATGAGTTTAAAAAAAAAAAAAAAAATATTCTCTGGACCTTCTGCCTTGGTTGTCATGCAGGTCTCTCAATAGAATGAAATTATTTTGTGTGTGTATATATATATATATATATATATATATATATATATATATATATACACATACACACACACACACGGCAGCACTCAGAGGACATCACAAAAGTGTCTTTACTGCTACACGTCCAACAAAAACTGACGTTTTGACCCTATGGTTATTCAGATTTAATTGGATTAGCACCTAGGCATATTGCAGACTATCGACAGACACTATTTACATTTTGTTTGGTCATAATTAAGTGGTCCCCCTCTCCCCATGTTGAGAGATCTGCCTGACAACAATTGTTAGGGAGTTCAATGCCACCCCAATGGTGTTAAAGCCCTCCTTTTGCATTAATGGGTTAAAGTAGTACAGTCACCCTGATATCAAAAATGAGTATTTCATAAACACTGAATCTTTATGAAATGCTTACATTGATGGTGTTGGAATTTCACTGAATTCCAGTCAAAAGATATAGTAGAGACTATTTTGTCTCAGTGTTTTACCTTATGTCAGGCACTAAACACCTAAAAACCGTGAGCAAGCTGTGCATGTCCCCTCGCTCTCATGTTATAAAAGTGACAAATTTAAGAAAAACCCGCATTCCTATAAATGAGCGAAGCGGTCACCCTTCCTCGCTGGATGGTATTACTCAATGGCTCTGAGCATTCACTCAAAGCAGAGCTGAGGGATCCTCGTAAACCAGATCTGGGGGAACTCCACACTTTGCAATAAAATGATTTATTTGTAAAGCTGAAGTGATTACATCAGCCAAACACTCTTAACATTGCTAGCCCCCACGTCCCCTCTCCAAACTCTGAATGCATCCAAAAAGCAAGTTTATTCATTAAACCTCTTACAATCACCGGACTTGGACTGGCTCAGCAAGTTTACCTTCACCGTCACTCAGTGTAAAGAAAGACAGAAATAATAAACTGTTAATTTCTCTGGAAATCAACATCTTATAATGACTCTAAACCTTTCCTTGTGGAAACTGAAAGCAGTTACTTTGTGGGTGTTTTTCTCCCAATTAAAAATCTTGACCACTAACATGAAGTTGGACCCCTCGTTCCTCCTCTCACTTCTTCGTCCTAGCAGGGAACATTTTCACGAGATGGCACACTGGTGAGCTTGGACCCCACTTCTGAGAGGTAAACTAGACTATGGGCCTGGGAGTGGTCAAGTAGCTTGAGGCTCTAAAATAGCTGGTAAGCAGGAGAGGGCTTTCTCCAAGATATTGCCACAAAGATGGAAGTACAGAATAGCCTAGGCCATCACTGTATGCTGCGACACTAAAAAACCATCTCTCCCACTGGAACCAACAGGCCTGGCACAAGCCATGAATAACGGCCCAAGACACCATGCTTCCTCCACCAATCATCGAGGTTGGTCCTACGAGGGCAGGCAGCATTATCATAGTACTTCCAGACTTGTCCATCTGAGGGTGATCATCAATTCATCATTACAGGTAATATTGTTCCACTTTTCAAAAGATTAAAAAATAAATAAAAAATTTTTTTAAAATGAATTACACCACTCTAGCCAACATTGGGCACGGCACACAGTGAGCGTGGCATACGTAAAGCTGCTCGCCCATGGGAACCAGTTTTTGAAGCTCCAGATGAACAGTTTCTGTGTTGGCTTTACTTCCAGAAGCAGTTAGGAGCTCGGCAGGAAGTGTTGCAACCGGAGAAGGGGGGGGAGAAAAAAAAAAAAGTGTTGCTCTTTAGCATTTTGTGGTCTTGTTCTGTGACCACAACAAGAATGAGCAGCTCCTGGCCTATATCCTGGATATATTTTTCCTAATCTTACATATAATGCATTTATTTAAAAAATAAATGTTTAAAAAAATTAAACTGTACCATTTTAAAGAAAATCTAACAGTGAAAGCCACAGACCCCAGGAGGACATAGAGAGGTAGTGATAGTATTTTATAGATCAGCGGTAAGATCTCACCTACAGTAGAGTATTGTGTTGCGTTCTATAGAGCGGATCCCAGGACATAGAGAGGTAGTGATAGTACTTTATAGATACCCGGTAAGATCACATGCAAAACTGGTGTTTTCTTTTTAAAATCACCAAACGATATTCAGCAAGGTGCATAATACAGTGGTTAAGATAAGTCAAGCTGCTGTACCCCTGAATCTCACTATAAGTAATGAGAAGACTGGTATATCCTCTCTAAATCTGTATAATGGGGGGGGGGGGCCTAAAAGCCAAGCAGCCCAGACGTGCTCAGCACAAGCTGTCTGGGGACACAAACCGGGGTGTTCCACCCCAAAAAAACGACACTCCGCAACCTACACCACTCAACCCGGGAGAGGTTGCTGCACCAGATAGTGCCTCTCCCGAGCCCTAACGCTGTCAGACCAAGGATTGCAGCCTACACAAGGCTGAGACACAGAGATAGCGGCTCTCCGGGCTCACAAACAACAGCTGGAGAACCCCCGCCCGAGGTCATCCCGGTCCACACCAGGCTACCATACTCACCTTGCGGCCAACGGACAGCTAAGCTTGCGAGTGCCTATCACCCAGCACCCAGACCTGGGGCCTGCAGACAGGCGTCACATACCCGCATCGTGCTGCCCCCCCTGTGGACTCTCTTAGCTGAAGGTGCCACCTTGCCCAGCAGGGGTATCAGCTGACTAATCACTCTCTGCCTCACAGTCCCGACAGAAAAAGCTCCTGGCTGTGCTCCTTATGGGATCCACTCCGCAGTGTCCAAATTGATGCTCTTTGGAGGGCTCCCGCCTAGCAGACACGCTCCCTCTGATAAGTTTTTGCATACCATACTCAACGTCTGACATGCATGAGACTTAATCTTGCCTACAAAGCCTCTCTAAACGCAGTACAATATCTATGCATTTACCTACACTCACGTTACCTAACATGCCATATTATAACTCATGGGCAATAGGAAAGTTAGCGAAGACATCACCATCTCGCGTAAGGCGTTACGTTTTCTATGTTCACACACAGTTAAGGCGCAGCAGCTTAGCATGCTCCTAAACACTCAACTACTGAATAGTTTAACCGCACTAGCTTGTTTTAAAGGACCACTCTAGGCACCCAGACCACTTCAGCTTAATGAAGTGGTCTGGGTGCCAGGTCCAGCTAGGGTTAACCCATTTTTTCATAAACATAGCAGTTTCAGAGAAACTGCTATGTTTATGAATGGGTTAAGCCTTCCACTATTTCCTCTAGCGGCTGTCTCATTGACAGCCGCTAGAGGCGCTTGCGTGCTTCTCACTGTGATTTTCACAGTGAGAGCACGCCAGCATCCATAGGAAAGCATTATGAATGCTTTCCTATGAGACCGGCTGAATGCGCACGCAGCTCTTGCCGCGCGTGCGCATTCAGCCGACGGGGAGGAGAAGAGGAGGATCGGAGGAGGAGAGCTCTCCGCCCAGCGCTGGAGAAAGGTAAGTTTTAACCCCTTTCCCCTTTCCAGAGCCGGGCGGGAGGGGGTCCCTGAGGGTGGGGGCACCCTCAGGGCACTATAGTGGTCCTTTAACAACTAGCATATTGCCTCTACATTAATCGTATTGCTACAAGCGTAGTTTCTTACATTACAGTTGCTTGCATGCCCTTAATCTACTTACCGGTAGTTAATATAAAAAGAGGCTGACAATTTTCAGAAATTATCTATATTGTGCTGTACTATCCCCATCCTATATGCATCTTTATCGTCTCCCCTTCTTCATTCTTTACCCTTGCAACATTACGATTCAATAAAAGAACGACTGACAAAAAAAAACAAAAAAAAACCCTGTTCCTTTATCAGTTAGGAAATCTGAACTATTTCTGTACATGTATACAAGAACATACTTCAAAACCAAGTATCTGTAACTATGTGTAAAAATACCCATTAAATCCATTAATGCTTTCTATTAAAGTAACATAAAGACAATTTTCTTCACCTGGAGTTTACTGATCAGTTACAGCGTATTGTAAAACAAAGCTGCCCACAATGGAATTATGCAAGAAAAATACACATCGCTAATGCAGCAATAAGCAAATATAAATTCAAGGGAATGATCATACTAAAACATACAGCGGTTTCACCTTAGGCCTATGCATTTCCAAACGTAAATAATGCATAGTAATTTTTAAATCAGCGGGTTGCCCTAAAGGGGCAGCGTGAAGAGCCTGCAAAGCACAAAAAAAAAAAAAAACCTCTAATTTAAGGTGAAAGTAAGGAATAAATTGAGCTACCTGCACCGCTAAGCAGAGCTTATGGTGCCTAGAGCTCCCCTGCCTCCGCTCTGTTTCTGGTCGCTGTAGCGATTCCTGAACTCCCTGAAGTTACAGACGCAGTGCTTTGGTTTCACGAGATAAACAAGGCCTGTCCATGGGAGATCTGAGCTTGCATTCATACACTGCACAGCTTTCAATGAGAGCACACATGCAATACACAAATGATGCCCTTTTATTATTGTCCATTTCTGCCAGCAGACAGCACTGCAAAGGAATACGACGATTGTACCTATAGAACAGGGGTAGGCAACAGTCTGTACTCCAGATGTGGTGGACTACATCTCCCTTTGCTTTGCATGCCATATGGTTGGAAGAGCATTATGGGAGATGTAGTCCACCATATATGGAGTGCTGACGAGGGAGCGTATCCTAGCTCAAGAATAGCTCAGTGAACAATGAGTATAATGAAGTATTGAATCCATCCACAAATCAAATCTCAGATCTCCAGGAGTGAATCAACCTTTCTATATATCGACGCCTGCTGATGTGGCGCAGCTGACACAATGCATATAATTTCCGGGATACCGCAGCAGAACTTCTAATAAATATATTTATTCCGGTCCCGCATTATGTGCGGTGGAATAGCTTTACAATAAGCACTGGATAATTGACAGCATGTTTTCCAGTAATTGAAAGCATTCTTCTTCATTGAAACGTTAGTTACATTAGAGAACTATAATTAGCCACCTGACTGCCAGCAAGTGACACCAAGCACCATCACAACTTTGCATGATTACAAAATGTGATTTTTTTTTCTTGAGAGCATCAGGGGTCTGCAATCCGCTCTAACCGCGATTAAAAAGGCAGAGATAAATGGAAAATCGCTGAAATAAACCGCGTCCCCGGAGCATTCCAACAGGCGGCCCTGACACTCCGTTCTAGTTGCACTTTGTGATTGTATGATTACAGTACACAGTAGTGGTTATGTTTCAGTGGGTCTCTGGGTGCTGTCCAAAATACAGGCAGTTTCCTTAGAGCCAATAATGGCCAATCAAGGTTTTGTAGTGCTTTAGCCCCAAAGTACATTATTACCCTCAAATTGCTAGTGTCCATGTCACTTTACTAGCTATACTTCTCAGGATGTGCCAGTCACACATTGCCTTCCACTGAGGACAACAACAACAACAACAAAAAGTTAATTTATTAATAGATTCACTCATTCCTGTTAAAATGTTATATTTATTTTCCTTTTTTTTTCTCCTTATAGTTTTTGAAAAAAGCTTTTGATGACTAACACTGAAGAATTTGTAAATGTTGTGAAAGAAAAAACAGATACAGAAAAAAACAGATACAGAGAAAGAAATTAATAAAAACATGTTTCTATATACAAAATATTCTTTGTAAATAACACCATAGCAAATATAATTAACAAATTAATTTATTAAGCTATTCATAAGAAAAATAAATGTGTTCTACAACAGCATAAGCTTTTTTTTCCCTCTAGAATTGATGTGTGTATATATAGTAATATGGTTAAAAATAATTTTTAAACACCAATCAAGTCAGAAAGGACAGCTTAAAGGAATTGATATTATTGAAAAACAGGTAATATATTTTATTTTAAGCAGATTCGAGCAAACATTTACATTTAATATATGTGGACCTTGTAATGGAACGCATGGAAGTGCAATTTGAACCGCAAGCATCCCAAAGTTGGAACGCATAGAAATAAAGATGGCACCGGTGGGTATTTCAACCAGCCGAAGATCGCGAGCAGCTGGAGAAAAGTGAAGGAAATGGATACCGTAAGCTGTCAGTCAAGAAGAACTAAGGAGGATTGGATACATCGAAAGGGGATGTTCCCCAACACAGTTGATTGCAATCGGGACTGACCCTATTTAAGAACAGGGAACGAAGGGATGGGTAGGCTGATTAATTTTTGGCAGTGATTGTTATTAATTTTAAATTCATTTTTGGTCCCTGAGGAAGTTCCCACATACACACACAAGCCAGAACAATACTGGTCATGAGGAATGTCCACAAGGGAACACCACCATCTAACTACCGACCGATCACCTGCCACTCCACAACACAGTAGATCCGGTCAGGCATCATAGCCTCCAAGATCGATGAACACATGGATTAGTACAGGAGCAATACTCAAAGGGGATTGGAAACAACACCAGAGGCTCAAAACACCAACTGATGGTAGACCAAGCAGTTACATGGGAAATGAGCAGACAGACCAATCTGTGCACAGCCTGGATAGACTACAAGAAAGCCTATGGCACAATGCCACACACGGATACTGGAATGTTTGGCTCTAAACAAGGTCAACAAGACATTAAGAGCCTTTATCTCAATGGGAAAGTAGAAAAACAACTCTAGAAGCTAATTCCAGGACAATAACACAAGTGAACATCAAATATGACATTTACCAAGGTGATGTGCAATCCAAGATACTGACCTGCATAGGCCTCAACCTTCTTAGCCAGATCATCATGACGAGTGGAGCTACCATCAGCCACCTACTCTACATGGACGACATCAAGCTGTATGTCAAGAGTGAGCAAGATAATGACTCATTGATCCACCTAACTAGGATATACAGCAAGAACATCAGAATGTCGGTCCAGACTAAATAAGATGGCAAAAAAAGTGAAGATGATCAGGACAGAAGGAGTTAAAGTACCAGAAGGTCAAATAGGAGATGGAGAGAACAGCTACAAGTTCCTGGGGGTATTACAAACACATGGCAACCAAGAGGAAGAGGCCAGGAGGATAGCAACAGTCAATTATCTCCAAAGAGTCCTAAAGTCTCAGCACAAAATAAAAGTAATCAACACATATGCTCTACTAGTCATCAGGTACCAAGCTGGAATAATAACCTGACCAAGAGAAGAGCTGGTCACCATGGATGTCAAGACCCAGAAACTATTTCACCCGAAAACCATCACCCGGAGACTGTACTCCAGCAGGAAGGAAGGAGGATTGTGTACCAAAATATCTGCACAGAATGTGGGCTGGACCTGCCTACGTCCAGATGAGAGATACTACAAAGGGTGGTTGAGAAAGACAGGGCTAACATCCCGTGGGACTTCCAGATCCAGACAAACAAGCACTAGCCAACCAGAAAAGAAAATGGGGATAATCTCCTCAGGAGAGATCCCCATTGGGGTACAAACTGGTAAATAGGCTGTGACAAAAAAAAAATACAACATAACACAATTAATGATGAAGAGATACTATAGTAGATACCATATAGTGACGGTAGGATAACTATATATCTAATAGGTAAACAAACAGGCTATATTTATTTGCCTAAAAAGTATAACTCAGAAACACCCATATCTGTCAATAAATGGCAGAATGGTACTAATCTGTTATGGCATAAAGTCTCTCAATTAAAACAGTTATTGTATTAAGCCATCAGGATATCTGGTCTGAATCGACCTTAAATTAATGGGCTTCTATTGAACCAAAAAACATTAAAGAATGGTAAAAGGGGAGAGATTCACCAAGATGCTGACTTGTCCAAACGTAAGGTAAGAGGTTGATGTTATAGAGTATATCCTCAGGAGATGTTCCCCATTTTTTTTTCTTTTCTAACGTTATTAGGGTTCATGCCCAGAGTGACCACCCCTTACTGGGATATCCCCCATACAGGGGTTATTAAATATTTCTCTGTTTATCTACTAGCCAACCAACCTGACATTGTGGTGGTAGACAAGAAACAGAAGACTGCAATGGTGGTGGATGTGTCAATACCCAGTGACTATAACTTTAGGAAGAAGGAACATGAGAAGGTGGACAAATACCAAGGACTGAAAGAAGAACTAGAAAGGTCATGTAAAGTGAAGGCAGTAGTAGGTCCCAGTTGTGATAGGAGCACTCAACGCTAGGACCCCAAAGTTGGGGGAGTGGCTTCAACAGCTGCCAGGTGGGACATCTGAAATCACGGTCCAAAAGAGTGCATTCTGGGAACAGCTAAGATACTGCGCAGAACCCCCAAACTTCCAGTAGAGGAACCGAGAATGAGGAATAAACACCACCCAGGAGGGCAGACAAAAATCTATTTATAGTACAAAAGGCAATGTATGATCATATATTGAAACTAAAAGCCCTGTTACTTGTGCCTAAATCAGATATAACCTAAAACAAATATATTTGTGGACTTTGCAGCTAGTTTATAGGGAGCGAGTCCACTGGATTATGTACATTTAAAGAACACTTTGGTTGAAAGCATCATTTATCAGAAGACCAATGAGCAATTTAAAGGATTACTATAGGGTCAGGAACACAAACATGTATTCCTGACCCTATAGTGTAAAAACCACCATCTAGCCCCCCCTGGGCCCCTCATGCCTCCATATAGTAAAATCTTACTGTATTCAAGCCTGAAGCTGTAACTCTGCATGCTGTTTGTCTCAGAAAAACAAGCAGTCTGCTGACATCATCAGAAGTGGTAGCTTGATCCAATCACAGTGCTTCCCCATAGGATTGGCTGAAACTGACAAGGAGGCAGATCAGGGGCAGAGCCAGCATGATTCAAACACAGCCCTGGCCAATCAGCATCTCCTCATAGTGATGAATTGAACCTAGGAAGGATCTCTAACAGCCATCTGAGGAGTGGCCAGTGAAGTTATCACTAGGCTGTAATGTAAACACTGCATTTTCTCTGAAAAGATAGTTTTTACAGAAAAAAGCCTGAAGGTAATGATTATACTCACCAGAACAAATTCAATAAGCTGTAGTTGTTCTGGTGACTATAGTGTCCCTTTAAAGAGCGGAAACTGGTTTGAGGTGAGTGAACGTGATGCCAGGATTAATGAACATGCACTAGCTCTCAGTTACCTGCGTAGCCTTTGGTCAATTAAGCAGCGTTTCTGCGCATGTCTCATACACAATAAAGAAGGTTATCTCTTCCCACTCCCAGGAGAGACCTGCGTCGTGGAGTGTGCATGTGCAGTCTACAATTTTGCCAATAGTAAAACACCTCTGTTCACTAAACGGGGAACTGGGATATTTATAAACAGAAAGCTGCCATAATGTGGCTGCAATCAGTTTACTGAGCTGTTAAAATAATCTTATGTGAACATTTTAGTTCCTCTTTAAGGATTAACTACACATCCCATAAACACCTGCTAGACAGGACATTATGGACAAAGATCAGTCTCTATAATCCAGAATGAGATGCACCAGCCTGGAGCATCTCAGTGTGCTAAAGGGGTCTGCAGGCAGCCACCGGGACCTACTAGGCCATGCACATAGTGACACCATGAAACCTTAGCCAATTTTTACCTACACTAACCCTTTAAATAATGAGCGGTTGAAGACATTCCTCTAAAGATACAATGTAAATCACCATTTACAAAACAGATATAAAGTTAGGAAACCGATTATATATACTGATGCTCATTTGGCACTCTTGCCGGAATTCTACCAATCACTCAATTAATCCAGTTTTACAATCTGTGTCTGCACATGCTACAGAATCAGAGACTGCCTGGAGAGACATTGTAAAGATTCATTGTTACCCTAAATCCCATTAAAAAAAAAAACATCAGTAACTGGAAATGTTACTAAAGCTGAGAATACAGCATCTGTCATTCGGTCCTTATTAACTAATCCTTGGAGAACAGATTGATGAGAATTTTAACACTTAGGAAAAATGGCAACAATATTAATAATATAAACCCACCCAGTATAACTAACTGTAGCCTAACTTACACAGCGCACCTAACGTGTGTGGGAGCCTGGAGTGTCCCTTTCATAAAATAAACCCACTCAGTATAACTAACTGTAACCTAACCTACACAGTGCATCTAACGTGTGTCCAAGCCTGGAGTGTCCCTTTAATAATATAAACTCATCCATTATTACCAACAGTAACCTAACCTACACAGTGCATCTAACGTGTGTGGGAGCCTGGAGTGTCCCTTTAATAATATAAACCCACCCAGTATAACTATCTGTAACCTAACCTACACAATGCATCTAACGTGTGTGGGAGCCTGGAGTGTCCCTTTAATAATATAAACCCACCCGGTATAACTAACTGTAACCTAACCTACACAGTGCATCTAATGTGTGTGGGAGCCTGGAGTGTCCCTTTAATAATATAAACCCACCCGGTATAACTAACTGTAACCTAACCTACACAGTGCACCTAACGTGTGTGGGGCCTAGAGTGTCCCTTTAGGTTCCATTGACACCATACTAGGATCCAATTAGCATGCCCTTTGGTTTTGTACCACCCCCCTCCATTTACAAAGTTCTACTGATTTATGGTTCTATACAACCTTCTCCTTACCGGTTGATACTAAAAATATCATAATTTTCCTCCAAACTATCAGATCCATGTGATGCCACACCATCATCTTAGATTTTACCAGTTCCACCGGTGTTATGTCATCACCTTCCAGCGATTTACTGGATCCAAATGGCAAGACCTTTTCCTTTATTTTCCATACTACCGGTAGGTCCCTCTGGTGCCTTCCATCACATTTACCAACACCCCCAACTTCTTCACATTTGCGAACGTCCCCGCACATTTGTGAACGTCCCCACGTCCCCTCACATTTGCGGACAATGTCTGCAAAGCACAACTGCCATATACTGTGTTATCAATACAACAAACCAGTACAAAGCTGGAAACCAACCTTCTTTGCAGACAATGCTCTGGGTACAGTATCCCCAAATGTGACCCATACTATGTGCAACCTGTATACCAAACAGCCACCATCAATTCTGCAGTTCTGTACAACTGATGGACTAACAACAAGTAGCTGTAACATGTCAAGTTGGACATAGAGGACCAGAAGGTGCAGAGGGCCCTGCTCAAACTAACTTATATTCTAGCTTATATTGCGCTCTTGCAGGCATTTTTGAAAATGTGTTATTTTTTCACACCAACACAATGGATGTGCTACTATATCCAACATAAAAAAAGTTGAATTTTATTTCATCTCCATGCACAGAGTACCACCAGTACAATGTCCCCATCCAATCAGCTCCAAACACCAAATCCCACTAGTACAATGTCCCCATGTCCCCCAATACAATGTTCCCATGCAATCAGCTCCAAACACCAAATCCCACCAGTACAAGGTCCCCATGCAATAGGCTCCAAACACCAAATCCCACCAGCTCTATAAAAAACGCATCCCACCAGTACAATGTCCCCATACACCATGTCCATTCACCATATCCACCAGTACAATGTCCCCATACACCATGTCCATTCACCATATCCACCAGTACAATGTCCCCATCCATACACCATGTCCCCATGCAATCAGCTCCAAACACCAAATCCCACCAGTACAATGTCCCCATGCAATAGGCTCCAAACACCAAATCCCACCAGCTCTATAAAACGCATCCCACCAGTACAATGTCCCCATGCAATCAGCTCCAAACACCAAATCCCACCAGTACAATGTCCCCATACACCATGTCCCCATGCAATCAGCTCCAAACACCAAATCCCACCAGTACAATGTCCCCATACACCATGTCCATTCACCATATCGACCAGTACAATGTCCCACACAGACATGTTTACAAACCAAATCCCCTATATTACTGACAGTTTACTCAGCTGATCATAGGAAATTTTCCTAACATACGGTATGAACAAACTGACACTCTATAGTATAGAGTAACTTTGGTATAACGTCCGTGGCGTATACTATGGAGCATTGAAACAAGTTACACTCAGAAATAGGCATCCCGTTTGTGTACTTATACATACATCATTTTTCACTACGGGGCTGGTTTCATCATTTGATCATTTTATTGCACAGAAACTGCAAAGTAATTTCTGAATAATAAATAAATAAATAAAAATAAACCGTCCACAACAAAATTCCTTACAAACTAACCCTGTGTCCCCCAAATTATACAGAATAATAATAACTTTATAGGAGTAATGGGAAACTGATTAGGTGCAGGTGGGTAATTAATCAGAAGTTGCTTAGCGGGTATATTGATTAGGAGAAGGCTGACAGCTAAGCTGAGTTAGGGGGTAGGAGATTTGAGGAAAGAGGGTTACAGGAGCTGTAGAGGGGATAGACGAATGGAGGCGGGGGTATTTAATTGAAGGCAGAGGGGGGTTCATAGTTGGAGGTCATGGGGGTATATGGTCGGAGGCAGACAGGGTAGATGACTGTATGTAGAGGGGATAGATGTCCAGTGGAGGTTCATTATTGGAGGTAGAGGGGAGAAGAGGATTGGAGGTAGATTATTGGGGCATAGAGGTAGATGCCCAGGGAGGGTAGATTATTGGGGGTAGTTCCAGTGATGAGGATCTTTCTTGATATACCCCCTAGGCCTATATATTGTAAGCTCATTTGAGCAGGGTCCTCCCTCTTCAACCTTATCGTTCCTGTAAGTTTTCTTGTAATTGTCCTATTTATAGTTAAATCCTCCCTTTCATAATATTGTAAAGCGCTACGAAATCTGTTGGCGCTATATAAATGGCAATAATAATAAAAGGCTGCCTGTGATGGGGGAAGGGTGTATATTATTGGGGGGGCAAGTCTTTCTCTTTGTATACAGGCTCGGCCCCCCAGGCTGGCTGTGATCGGGGTTGTGGGGGGCAGGGGGTATATTATTGGGGTGTTTCTCTGTGTATACAGTACCCAGGCCAGGCCGCCAGGCTGGCTGAGATTGTAATTGTGGGGGCAGGAGGTATATTATTGGGGTGGGGTCTCTCTCTCTCTGTGTATAAAGACCCCAGGTTGGCTGTGATCGGGGTTGTGGGGGGCAGGGGGAATATTATTGGGGTGGAGGTCTCTGTGTATACAGACCCCAGGCCCAGACCCCCAGACTGGCTGTGATCAGGGTTGTGGGGGGCAGGGGGTATATTATTGGGGTGGAGGTCAGTCTCTGTGTATACAGACTCCAGGCCCAACCCCCCCAGGATGGGTTGTGGGGAGCAGGGGGTATATTATTGGGGTGGGGGTCTCCCCCTCTCTGTGTATACAGACCCCAGGGCCGGCCCCCCAAGGCTGTGTTGTGGGGGGCAGTGAGTATATTATTGGGGTGGGGGATCTCTCTCTCTTTATATATACAGACCCCAGGCCCAGTCCCCCAGGCGGGGTTGTGGGGGGCAGTGAGTATATTATTGGGGTGTATAGAGACCCCAGGCCCGCCCCCCCAAGCTGGGTTGTGGAGGGCAGGAGTTTTTATTACTGGGGTGAGGGTCTCTCACTGTGTATACAGACCCCAGGCCCGGCCCGGGCAGGATGGGTTGTGGGGGTCAGGGGGTATATTACTGGGGTGGGGGTCTCTCTCTCACTGTGTATACAGACCCCAGGCCCATCCCCCCCAGGCTGGGTTGTGGGGGTCAGGGGGTATATTATTGGGGTGGGGGTCTCTCTCTCACTGTGTATACAGACCCCAGGCCCGACCCCCCACCCAGGCTGGGTTGTGGGGGGTATATTTTTGGGGTGGGGGTCTCTCTCTGTGTATACAGACCCCAGACTGGGTTGTGGGGGGCAGGGGGTATATTACTGGGGTGGGGGTCTCTCTCTCTCACTGTGTATACAGAACCCAGGCCCAGCCCCCCCTAGGCTGGGTATATTATTGGGGAGGGGGGGTCTCTCTCTGTGTATACAGACCCCAGGCCTGACCCCCTCAAGGCTGGGTATATTATTGGGGTGGGGGTCTCTCTCTCACTGTGTATACAGACCCCAGGCCCGCCCCCCACAGGCTGGGTTGTGGGGGGTATATTTTTGGGGTGGGGGTCTCTCTCTGTGTATACAGACCCCAGACTGGGTTGTGGGGGGCAGGGGGTATATTTTTGGGGTGAAGGTCTCTCTCTGTGTATACAGACCCCAGGCCCAGCCCGGGTATATTATTGGGGCGGGGGTATCTCTCTCTCTGTGTATACATACCCCAGGCCCTGCCCCCCCCATGCTGGGTATATTATTAGGGTGGGGGTCTCCTTCTCTCTCTGTGTTTATTGGGGTGGGGGTCTCCCTCTCTCTCTCTGTGTTTATTGGGGTGGGGGTGTCTCTCTCTGTTTATTGGGGTGGGGGTCTCTCACTGTGTATACAGACCCCAGGCCCCCCCGGCTGGGTATATTATTGGGGTGGGGTAGGGGTCTCTCTGTGTATACAGACCCCAGGCCCGGCCCCCCCTGGCTGGGTATATTATTGGGGTGGGGGTCTCTCTCTCTACGTGTATACAGACCCCAGGCCCTGCCCCCCCAGGCTGGGTATATTATTGGGGTGGGGGTCTCTCTCTCTCAGTGTATACAGACCCCAGGCCCTGCCCCCCAGGCTGGGTATATTATTGGGGTGGGGGTCTCTCTCTCTCCGTGTATACAGACCCCAGGCCCTGCCCCCCCAGGCTGGGTATATTATTGGGGTGGGGGTCTCTCTCTCTCCGTGTATACAGACCCCAGGCCCTGCCCCCCAGGCTGGGTATATTATTGGGGTGGGGGTCTCTCTCTCTGTGTATACATACCCCAGGCCCGGTATATTATTGGGGTGGGAGTCTCCCTCTCTCTCTGTGTTTATTGGGGTGGGGGTCTCTCACTGTGTATACATACCCCAGGCCCGGTATATTATTGGGGTGGGGGTCTCCCTCTCTCTCTGTGTTTATTGGGGTGGGGATGTCTCTCTCTCTGTTTATTGGGGTGGGGGGGTCTCACTGTGTATACAGACCCCAGGCTGGGTATATTATTGGGGTGGGGGTCTCTCTCTGTGTATACAGACCACAGGCCCAGCCCCAGCCCCCCCCCAGGCTGGGTATATTATTGGGGTGGGGGTCTCTCTCTGTGTATACAGACCCCAGGCCCGCCCCCCCCCAGGCTGGGTATATTATTGGGGTGGGGGGGTCTCTCTGTGTATACAGACCCCAGGCCCGGCCCCCCCAGGCTGGGTATATTATTGGGGTGGGGGTCTCTCTCTCTCTGTGTATACAGACCCCAGGCCCGGCCCCCCCAGGCTGGATATATTATTGGGGTGGGGGTCTCTCTCTCTCTGTGTATACAGACCCCAGGCCCGGCCCCCCCAGGCTGGGTATATTATTGGGGTGGGGGTCTCTCTGTGTTTATTGGGGTGGGGGTCTCTCTGTGTTTATTGGGGTGGGGGTCTCTCTGTGTATACAGACCCCAGGCCCGCCCCCCCCCCAGGCTGGGTATGTTATTGGGGTGGGGGGGTCTCTGTGTATACAGACCCAGGCTCCCCAGGCTGGGTATATATTGGGGTGGGGGTCTCTCTGTGTATACAGACCCCAGGCTGGGTATTGGGAGGGGGTCTCTCTCTGTGTATACAGACCCCAGGCCCGGCCCCCAGGCTGGATATATTATTGGGGTGGGGGGTCTCTCTCTCTCTGTGTGTATACAGACCCCAGGCCCGGCCCCCAGGCTGGGTATATTATTAGTGGGGGGCTCTGTGTTTATTGGGGTGGGGGTCTCTGTGTTTATTGGGGTGGGGGGTCTCTGTGTATACAGACCCCAGGCCCGCCCCCCAGGCTGGGTATGTTATTGGGGTGGGGTCCTCTGTGTATACAGACCCCAGGCCCGCCCCCAGGCTGGGTATACTATTGGGGTGGGGGTCTCTGTGTATACAGACCCCCCCCCCAGGCTGGGTATATTATTGGGGAGGGGGGTCTCTCTCTGTGTATACAGACCCCAGGCCCGGCCCCCCCAGGCTGGGTATATTATTGGGGTGGGGGTCTCTCTCTCTCTCTCTGTGTTTATTGGGGTGGGGGTCTCTCTGTGTATACAGACCCCAGTCCCGCCCCCCCCTAGGCTGGGTATATTATTGGGGTGGGGGTCTCTCACTGTGTATACAGACCCCAGGCCCGGCCCCCCCAGGCTGGGTATATTATTGGGGTGGGGGTCTCTCTCTCGCTCTGTGTTTATTGGGGTGGGGGTCTCTCTGTGTATACAGACCCCAGGCCCGGCCCCCCCAGCCCTGTGCTCCCCCCGGCTGCCTGTGATCGGGGTTGATTTGGAGGCCAGGAATGCGGGGGGCAGGGGGGGCCCGGGGCCCGCGGTGGGGGAGGGGTGCAGGCTGGGGGTGCTGGGGGGGTGCAGGTTACAGACATTTAAAGACAAATCGCTACAATGTAACAACTCACCGCGGTGTTTGAGCAGCAGTCGGCCCGGGGTCTCCCAGTCCCCCCAGCACGGGCTCTCAGCGCAGGACCCCGGCGGCCCAGCCAGATAGCTGGCCAGGGCGATGCCTGATCACGGGGGCCACGGCAGCCGGGCTCCCAGGGGACCTCCAGGGGGTTAGCGGGACTCAGACAGCCGGCAGGCGGCTATACAGGGGTTAATGAGATCCCACTGCCCGAAACATGGCTCCACCCCTCCCCCAACAAAATGGCCGCCCCTCCCTCACCACAAACAATACAGCCCAATGGGAGGGACCCAGCTCCTTATACAGAGTCACCATCACCACTTCATACAGTCACCTTATACAGAGTCACCATCACCACCTCATACAGTCACCTTATACAGAGTCACCATCATCACTTCATACAGTCACCTTATACAGAGTCACCATAACCACTTCATACAGTCACCTTATACAGAGTCACCATCATCACTTCATACTGTCACCTTATACAGAGTCACCATAACCACTTCATACAGTCACCTTATACAGAGTCACCATCATCACTTCATACTATCACCTTATACAGAGTCACCATAACCACTTCATACAGTCACCTTATACAGAGTCACCATCATCACTTCATACTGTCACCTTATACAGAGTCACCATCATCACTTCATACTGTCACCTTATACAGAGTCACCATAACCACTTCATACAGTCACCTTATACAGAGTCACCATCATCACTTCATACTGTCACCTTATACAGAGTTACCATCATCACTTCATATAGTCACCTTATACAGAGTCACCATCATCACTTCATACTGTCACCTTATACAGAGTCACCATAACCATTTCATACAGAGTCACCATAATCACTTCATACAGTCACCTAATAAAGAGTCACCATCATCAATTCATTAGTGTTCAAACTCAAGGAAATCGGTCTAGATGAAAATGCTTGTTCTTGGTAGAACGTTGGCTTAAAAACAGAGTACAAAGAGTTGTCATTAATGGTAAATTTTCAAACTGGACAGAGGTGGCAAGTGGTGTCCCTCAGGGGTCTGTTCTGGGACCCCTTCTATTTAACATGTTTATAAATGATCTCGAAGACAGCATTGAAAGTCATGTTTCAGTGTTTGCAGATGACACAAAACTTTGTAAAATAATACAATGTGAGAAAGATATTACTTTGCTGCAGAGGGATTTAGATGGACTGGGGGTCTGGGCACTCAAATGGCAGAAGAAATTTAATGTTGAAAAATGCAAAGTTATGCACTTCGGCGTAAAGAATACACAAGCAACGTATACCCTTAATGGAAGCGAATTAGGGATAACAACACATGAAAAGGACTTGGGAATTGTTATAGACAACAAACTATGCAACAATGTGCAATGTCAATCAGTAGTGGCCAAGGCCAGTAAGGTATTGTCATGCATGAAAAAGGGCATTCATTCTCGGGATGAGAATATCATTTTGCCTCTTTATAAATCATTGGTAAGACCGAATATTGAATATGCTGTGCAATTTTGGGCACCTGTTCTAAAGAAGGATATTATGGCACTAGAAAAAGTGCAAAGGCGGGCTACAAAATTAATAAAAGGAATGGAACATATCAGCTATGAAGAAAGGTTAACAAATTTAAACCTATTTAGTTTAGAAAAACGTCGCCTGAGAGGGGATATAATAACATTATACAAATATTTTCGGGGCCAATACAAACCATTGTGTGGAAATCTATTCACAAACCGGACTTTACATTGGACGCGAGGTCATGCGTTTAGACTGGAAGAAAGAAGATTTCGTCTAAGGCAAAGGAAAGGTTTTTTTACTGTAAGAACAATCAGGATGTGGAATTCACTGCCTGAAGAAGTGGTTTTATCAGAGTCCATACAGATATTCAAACAGCTACTAGATGCATACTTGCAAAAAACTGAATATTCAAGGATATAATCTTTCAATGTAGGGTAATAACTGCTTGATCCAAGGATAAATCTGACTGCCATTCTGGGGTCAAGAAGGATTTTTTTTCCTAGCTTGTTGCAAAATTGGAAGTGCTTCAAATTGGTTTTTTTGCCTTCTTTTGGATCAACAGCAAAAAACAAATGTGAGGAAGGCTGAACTTGATGGACGCAAGTCTCTTTTCAGCTATGTAACTACATCCAGTAGTCACCATCAATTATTCCTTCTTACAGTCACCTAATACAGAGTCACCATAACCACTTCATACAGTCACCTTATACAGAGTCACCATCATCACTTCATACAGTCACCTAATACAGAGTCACCATCAATAATTCCTTCTTACGGTCACCTAATACAGAGTCAGCATAACCACTTCATACAGTCACCTTATACAGAGTACCCATCATCACTTCATACAGTCACCTAATACAGAGTCACCATCATCACTTCATACAGAGTCACCATAATCACTTTATACAGAGTCACCTAATACAGAGTCACTATCAATCATCCCTTCTTACAGTCACCTAATACAGAATCACCATCATCACTTCATACAGAGTCACCTTATAAAGAGCCACCATCATCACTTCATACAGTCACCTAATACAGTCACCATCATCACTTCATACTGACACCTTATACAGAGTCACCATCATCACTTCATACAGTCATCTTATACAGAGTCACCATCATCACTTCATACACAGTGACCAGCTCCTTATACAGAGTAACAATCATTACTTTATATATCACATCCTGACATTACCTTCTGCCAGCACAGACAAAAAGCAAACTAACCACAAAACATGTAAATTCCAATAAATAGTTGCTTTTACAGGTTAATAAACTTGAGGAGCTCCCAGCCCCTCTGACATTGGGGAGCTCCTGGGTATCACAGGGTAATAGAAGGTACCACGGGGTAATAATAAAATAATAACAGACGGTAACACAGGGTAATTGAGGGTATTACAGGGCACTAGAGGGTAACACAGGGTAATAGAGGGTAACACAGGGTAATTAAAGGGCACTAGAGGATAACACTGGGTAATAGAGGGTATTAAAGGGCAACTGAGGGTAATACAGGGCACTAAAGGGTAACACAGGGTAATAGAGGGTATTACAGGGCACTATAGGGTAACACAGGGTAATAGAGGGTATTACAGGGCACTAGAGGGTAACACAGGGTAAATACAGGGCACTAGAGATAACACTGGGTACTAGAGGGTATTAAAGGGCACTAGAGTGTAACAGGGTAATAGAGGGTATTAAAGGGCACTAGAGGGTAACACAGAGCACTAGAGGGTAATAGAGGTAATTAAAGGGCACTAGAGGGTAACACAGGGTAATAGAGGGTATTAAAGGGCACTATAGGGTAACACAGGGTAATTACAGGGCACTAGAGGATAACACTGGGTAACAGAGGGTATTACAGGGCACTAGAGGGTAACACAGGGTAAATACAGGGCACTAGAGCGTAACACAGGGCACTAGAGGATAACACTGGTTAATAGAGGGTATTAAAGGGCACTAGAGTGTAACACAGGATAATAGAGGGTATTACAGGGCACTAGAGGGTAACACAGGGTAAATACAGGGCACTAGAGGGTAACACAGGGTAATAGAGGGTATTAAAGGGCACTAGAGGGTAACACAGAGCACTAGAGGGTAACACAGGGTATTAAAGGGCACTAGAGGGTAATACAGGGTATTAAAGGGCACTAGAGGGTAACACAGGGTAATAGAGGGTATTAAAGGGCACTAGAGGGTAACACAGGGTATTAAAGGGCACTAGAGGGTAACACAGAGCACTAGAGGGTAACACAGGGTATTAAAGGGCACTAGAGGGTAACACAGGGTAATAGAGGGTATTACAGGGCACTAGAGGGTAACACTATCCTCCCCCAGCTGGTTATATTGTCCATGTTCTGCCTCTCTGCCCCACACAGGAAAACAACATAAAAGGAGTTTTTAAAAAAGTGAGCAAGGAGAGAGCAGGCAGTGCGCTGGACACCTCACACTGGGGTCCTTCCCACAGCCATTATAAACTGGTTCTGCCAGAGAGACAATGTCTCTCTGTGATTGGCCAAGGCTTGCAAGTAGTGGGCGGGCATTTCCAGGTCCTTCTGCAGGCCCACTGGGCGTGTTAAAATTGATTGACTACCGTGTGTAATAATTAATGAAGGGGGCGGGGCAGAGGGTTTGTTTGTGAGATCCTATTGGCTGGATTTGAATGTCACTGCACCCTCCTGGTGACAGTGTGGGGTGGGCGTGGTTTGGGGCATGGGCGTGGTTTAGGTGCCATCCAGGCTATAAATCCTGTGACACCATGACTACAGTGAGCCACAGTGCCTGCAGCCAGCACTGAGTGTGTTATATAATCTATTATACACCATACTAATAATATATTATATACCCCATTATATATTATACACCATGCTAATAATATATTATATACCCCATTACATTATATACACCATGCTAATAATATATTATATACCCCATTATATTATATACACCATGCTAATAATATATTATATACCCCATTACATTATATACACCATACTAATAATATATTATATACCCCATTATATATTATACACCATGCTAATAATATATTATATACCCCATTACATTATATACACCATGCTAATAATATATTATATACCCCATTATATTATATACACCATGCTAATAATATATTATAAACCCCATTACATTATATACACCATGTTAATAATATATTATATACCCCATTACATTATATACACCATGCTAATAATATATTATATACCCCATTATATTATATACACCATGCTAATAATATATTATAAACCCCATTACATTATATACACCATGCTAATAATATATTATATACCCCATTATATATTATACACCATGCTAATAATATATTATATACCCCATTACATTATATACACCATGCTAATAATATATTATATACCCCATTATATTATATACACCATGCTAATAATATATTATATACCCCATTACATTATATACACCATGCTAATAATATATTATATACCCCATTACATTATATACACCATACTAATAATATATTATATACCCCATTACATTATATACACCATGCTAATAATATATACCCCATTATATATTATACACCATGCTAATAATATATTATATACCCCATTATATATTATACACCATGCTAATAATATATTATATACCCCATTATATATTATACACCATACTAATAATATATTATATACCCCATTATATATTATACACCATGCTAATAATATATTATATACCCCATTACATTATATACACCATGCTAATAATATATTATATACCCCATTATATTATATACACCATGCTAATAATATATTATAAACCCCATTACATTATATACACCATGCTAATAATATATTATATACCCCATTACATTATACACCATGCTAATAATATATTATATACCCCATTACATTATATATACACCATGCTAATACATTACCACCATGCTAATAATATATTATATACCCCATTATATACACCATACATTACCATGCTAATAATATATTATATACCCCATTATATTATATACACCATGCTAATAATATATTATATACCCCATTACATTATATACACCATGCTAATAATATATTATATACCCCATTACATTATATACACCATGCTAATAATATATTATATACCCCATTACATTATATACACCATGCTAATAATATATTACCCCATTATATATTATACACCATGCTAATAATATATTATATACCCCATTATATTTATACACCATGCTAATAATATATTATATACCCATTATATATTATACACCATACTAATAATATATTATATACCCCATTATATTTATACACCATGCTAATAATATATTATATACCCCATTACATTATATACACCATGCTAATAATATATTATATACCCCATTATATTATATACACCATGCTAATAATATATTATATACCCCATTACATTATATACACCATGCTAATAATATATTATATACCCCATTACACCATGCTAATAATATATTATATACCCCATTACATTATATACACCATGCTAATAATATATTATAAACCCCATTATATTATATACACCATGCTAATAATATATTATAACCCCATTACATTATATACACCATGCTAATAATATATTATATACCCCATTACATTATATACACCATACTAATAATATATTATATACCCCATTACATTATATACACCATGCTAATAATATATACCCCATTATATATTATACACCATGCTAATAATATATTATATACCCCATTATATATTATACACCATGCTAATAATATATTATATACCCCATTATATATTATACACCATACTAATAATATATTATATACCCCATTATATATTATACACCATGCTAATAATATATTATATACCCCATTACATTATATACACCATGCTAATAATATATTATATACCCCATTATATTATATACACCATGCTAATAATATATTATAAACCCCATTACATTATATACACCATGCTAATAATATATTATATACCCCATTATATTATATACACCATGCTAATAATATATTATATACCCCATTACATTATATACACCATGCTAATAATATATTATATACCCCATTATATATTATACACCATGCTAATAATATATTATATACCCCATTATATTATATACACCATGCTAATAATATATTATATACCCCATTACATTATATACACCATGCTAATAATATATTATATACCCCATTACATTATATACACCATGCTAATAATATATTATATACCCCATTATATATTATACACCATGCTAATAATATATTATATACCCCATTACATTATATACACCATGCTAATAATATATTATATACCCCATTATATTATATACACCATGCTAATAATATATTATATACCCCATTATATATATATACACCATGCTAATAATATATTATATACCCCATTACATTATATACACCATGCTAATAATATATTATATACCCCATTATATTATATACACCATGCTAATAATATATTATAAACCCCATTACATTATATACACCATGCTAATAATATATTATATACCCCATTACATTATATACACCATGCTAATAATATATTATATACCCCATTATATTATATACACCATGCTAATAATATATTATAAACCCCATTACATTATATACACCATGTTAATAATATATTATATACCCCATTACATTATATACACCATGCTAATAATATATTATATACCCCATTATATTATATACACCATGCTAATAATATATTATAAACCCCATTACATTATATACACCATGCTAATAATATATTATATACCCCATTATATATTATACACCATGCTAATAATATATTATATACCCCATTATATTATATACACCATGCTAATAATATATTATATACCCCATTACATTATATACACCATGCTAATAATATATTATATACCCCATTATATTATATACACCATGCTAATAATATATTATATACCCCATTACATTATATACACCATGCTAATAATATATTATATACCCCATTACATTATATACACCATACTAATAATATATTATATACCCCATTACATTATATACACCATGCTAATAATATATACCCCATTATATATTATACACCATGCTAATAATATATTATATACCCCATTATATATTATACACCATGCTAATAATATATTATATACCCCATTATATATTATACACCATACTAATAATATATTATATACCCCATTATATATTATACACCATGCTAATAATATATTATATACCCCATTACATTATATACACCATGCTAATAATATATTATATACCCCATTATATTTATACACCATGCTAATAATATATTATATACCCCATTACATTATATACACCATGCTAATAATATATTATAAACCCCATTACATTATATACACCATGCTAATAATATATTATATACCCCATTACATTATATACACCATGCTAATAATATATTATATACCCCATTATATATTATACACCATGCTAATAATATATTATATACCCCATTACATTATATACACCATGCTAATAATATATTATATACCCCATTATATTATATACACCATGCTAATAATATATTATATACCCCATTACATTATATACACCATGCTAATAATATATTATATACCCCATTATATATTATACACCATGCTAATAATATATTATATACCCCATTACATTATATACACCATGCTAATAATATATTATATACCCCATTATATTATATACACCATGCTAATAATATATTATAAACCCCATTACATTATATACACCATGTTAATAATATATTATATACCCCATTACATTATATACACCATGCTAATAATATATTATATACCCCATTATATTATATACACCATGCTAATAATATATTATAAACCCCATTACATTATATACACCATGCTAATAATATATTATATACCCCATTACATTATATACACCATGCTAATAATATATTATATACCCCATTATATATTATACACCATGCTAATAATATATTATATACCCCATTACATTATATACACCATGCTAATAATATATTATATACCCCATTATATATTATACACCATGCTAATAATATATTATATACCCCATTATATTATATACACCATGCTAATAATATATTATATACCCCATTACATTATATACACCATGCTAATAATATATTATATACCCCATTATATTATATACACCATGCTAATAATATATTATATACCCCATTACATTATATACACCATGCTAATAATATATTATAAACCCCATTACATTATATACACCATGCTAATAATATATTATATACCCCATTACATTATATACACCATGCTAATAATATATTATATACCCCATTATATATTATACACCATGCTAATAATATATTATATACCCCATTACATTATATACACCATGCTAATAATATATTATATACCCCATTATATATTATACACCATGCTAATAATATATTATATACCCCATTATATTATATACACCATGCTAATAATATATTATATACCCCATTATATTATATACACCATGACTACAGTGAGCCACAGTGCCTGCAGACAACAGTGTGTTATATCATATATTATATACCAATGTACCCCATGACTGCTGACCAATCCTCTCCTCCCATTGCCCCCAACAAAACACATGAGACCAGAAATATGGGTAAGGGCAACGACCACAGCTTTATTAATTTTACAACTTTTTAACAGACCAGCATTCTATCCAACTGTCAGCTGTTGGGTAACTTCCACCAACAGACAGGTGCCACTTCCTTGTCCAGAATTCGTATTAGCCTACCGTCATCAGCCCTCAGCAGCCTGTGACTCCCCAAGCTGACTCATCGTTTCTCATCACTTTCCATTTCGCTGGCCAGGAGCACCGCCACTGCGATGTCGACCGACACTAGCCCCTTCGGTCGGCATCGCACTCCCGCAGCCAGTGCCACCTCCAACCCAGACTGTAGTCCAGATCAATCCCCGTCAGATGTACTCCATCTCTCCTCATTAAGACCAAATTGTCACCCTCCAGATCCATGTGACGGACCGTCATGTTCAACTTTCGCCACCCACGCTTGAGGCCCCGAGCATGCGGCAACGCCAGCCAACAAGGGCGTGGAACGATTTCGGAACAGACGAGCGTTAGATCCCAAAACAGAGCCACACAGCGGGCCAGATCCTGCTTGATTATGTGAATGAGATCTACCGTTCTCATCCAGCCCAAATCGTTCCCAGGTGCACCACCAGTTACCGGCCCCGATACAAACCTCCTAAATTCAACACATCCGTCATAAAACTGACCCCAAGCAAAGCCCCCTAAATCCCCAGCCACTTCATCCGGGAAGCCTAAGTTCCTGCCGTAGGACCTGCCCAGTAAACATATGAGTGGCATAGGATCCACACATAACAAGGGGAACCTACAAGAGAGGAAAGCTTAACAAGTGCGGCAGAAGATACAGCCGAAAACGACATGAGTCCCATCTGCCCAAACACTAAGAGGCCCGCCTGCATGGCGGCTCCAATCCGAAAGGAGTGAGCAAGATACCCACCAGAGGCGTCCACTCCGAAGCAATGAGGAGAACTGGTATCGTGTCAACAGTGGCCCATCCTGATGAGACGATCCAGCCTTGCACCCAAATAAGCCCTGACCAACTGAATCGGATAAAAGGTGCTCACCGTGACATCCAGTGAGCCAGCATGGGATTTGAACTGATGCCCTCATGTGTACTGTTCCTGCTGTCTTGCCTCTGAACCATACTTCAGCTCAAAGTTAAACCTTGCCTTGTTTCCAGCACTAGGGGGCTGGACTTTTTTCCTGTGGCTGCACCTGTCTATCAAAGACCACCCGAGGCAGATGGATCATTACCCAAGGTATATAACAATGCCTCTCTCTGAGGGCAGTGTCAGTTCCTTGCATCCTGTTTCCTGAGACTGACTTGGCTTGTGACCCTTTCTACCTAGATTATTTGTTATTGCCTGTTTGCTGCCTACCCTGACTTTTGGAACGTGTCTGACTACTCTTCTGGATTTGCCCTTGTCTGTACCGAGTATTGGAAACACCTTTCATGCTCAGCCCCCGTGCACAGCTTCACAGTCCTGGTGGTTTCTGACCATATCACCGTGGACTGTGTATATCTACAAGGGGTGAGCACAAATCGCTGCCTACTGGACTCCCAAGTAAGGTAGTCTGTGACATAACAAACTGACCATGGAGTCCGCAGAGATGTTCAAACTGCTTACCCAGCAAGTATCCAGCCTGGCCCAGACTGTTTCAGAGCTGCAGTGAGTTCAGATTCTTAAAGGCACAGTACGCCAAGCCAGGGTACCTGCTTATTCTGAGCCATTCATTGTTATGCCTGAAAGATTTGATGGTAGCTGTGCATCCTTCCAGTACTTTAAGGTGGATTGAGAGTTGTTTGCCTTAAAGCATCGGACATATGCCACCAACTTCATCATGGTCCGAGTGGCTATCAACCTGCTGTCTGGACGGATCAAAACATGGGCACATCAGATGTTACAGGCTAAGAGTCCTGTCCTTGACAGTTGGGGATCCTTCATAACTGCGATGGAAGTGCAGTGCAAGCCCTCTAGTAAAACCACTGCGCCAAGGCCAGTATCAGAGGATCCCAGAAACAGGGAGACCCAGTACCAACGTCACACCTCCTTGTTGCCTCTTTATGATCCGGTTTCTAGGAAGACTCCAGAAGTATCTAATGTTCCTCTTGACTTTGAGGAACCTATAGAAATGGGACTTGTCCGGATCAAAGTGACTCAAGAAGAAAGAGACCGGAGGAGAAGCAATGGCCTTTGTTTTTACTGAGGAGAAAGGGGTCACTTCATATCTCATTGCCCTGTTCGCCCACCTAGGCCTCCAGCTCTCCGACTGGCTACCACCTTTCTTTGTCCTGTGTATGCTGCATGCCAGCCTAAAAAGTTTCAAAGAAGCCGTCATTCCTGCCCATGCTTGACCTCCCTGAGAAACTCTCAATCTCCTGCTCCAAAGAAGTCTGCACCTCCTCCTGAAGACACTCCTCACCGTCCGCCCTCGAGGTCGAATCCGACTCTTCCCGATAGGCTCCGATCATCCTGCCCACTTCAGGCAGAGTTCCGCCGGCTTCCTGGCCCCCTCCGGTGTTTCTGACTCGCTGGAGAGGTAATGGAGGTGGGGCCTGTGACGTGGCCCTGCATCACATACGCGTCCCGCGGTGCCTCCACTGATGTCACCCGTCTTATTCCTGACGTTGTGGCGTCACATCCGACTGTCCTGGAAGAGAAGGCAGACATTGAGAATGTCCCGCTTCCATCTTGGGCCCCACTCCGCCTGGGCGCATGAGGAACCTCTGCTGCTCCTCACTGGGCTGGGTGACAACCGCGTCGGAGGCCTCGACCACCTGGCCCGCCGACAATGTGCAGGGGATACCTCCGCTGTCCTCTCCGCCTCACCAGCCCTGGATCTTTCTGCAATGCTGGCCACCACCGCATCCAAGGCACCTGAACCATGGCACTCCAGGTAAGCCTGTAACATCGCCACCATCTCCTCATGGGACCCTGCTAAGGACGCTTCCGCCATATTAGATTTGAACTCCTACTCCTACCACTCACAAGACAGCACAACCTCTAAATATATATATATATATATATATATATATAAAACAAGGGGGGTTGGCTGCACTCACCTGAACATGCATAAATGGGGGTGCTGCTGGGGGCCAAATAATACAATACACAAGATCCAGCGCACTCACCTATCCACTAAACAGCAACTTCAATGTTGAAAGATTTTATTAGTTTTTTTAAAAACACCTAATCTAGGCAAAAATAATGGGGGTTTAGTTACATTATATGATCATACATTGCATAAGCCTGCCACAACGTCAATGTACCCCATCTGCCTAGATTAGGTGTTTTTAAAAAAACTAATAAAATCTTTCAACATTGAAGTTGCTGTTTAGTGGATAGGTGAGTGCGCTGGATCTTGTGATATATATATATATTATTATTATTATTTTTTTGGAGGGGATTGCCAGCCAAATGCCAGAAAGAGCGGGAAAGTGTCAGGGTCCCCTACACTCCTTCTAGGTGACTGGTGAGGCCCTCCCCTGGTTCTCCTTTTTATTCCCCTCCAAGTTGAAACAATGTTTGTACCTTTGTGCCATCCCCCTTTACTACTGGGCAGCATTCATGTCTGTCCTTCCTTTCAGTCCAGAGCCAAACTTTTATTTTATATACACTATGGCTACAGTGCCTGCAGCCAGCACTGTGTGTTATATATTATACAGCATACTCCTAATAAATCATATATTATATACCAATATACAGTATGACTACAGTGAGCCATGGTGCTATATCCTATATTATTCAGCATACTAATAAATTATATACAATATAAACTGTGGTGGAATCTCGGTAAAAATAAATTTAGTAGGCCGAGATTACCACATGGCATGTGTACGTGCATATGCTGACGTATCGATCAGTTGGTTGCACGAGGCAAGATACGATCAGTAGTGTACGGAGCATGTGCAAGAATACAGGATGTAGTATTCCCCTCCTCCATTGTGCTGGACAAGCCATGTGGTCAAGCAGGAAGTTAATTCTTATTTGTAATGATTGGTCAAGAGAATGTGCGGGTGGAGCTTAATATGGGAGGAGTTATGTGCCTATATAGGAAGCCTGCACTATTGTTCAGGGCTCAGAACTTGCTGTATTTTTGGTGACATTAGTCCCTCTGAGTCCCGATCGGTGATCCAATAAAGAATCTCTTCCTTCCTGAAGAAACCTGTGTCCATCCCTCTGTGCTTTGCTTCCGTCAGTTTCTCCGGTATCATTTGGTGCATTGGCCGGGAAGCTCATCGTTCAACGGTAGCTGAGAGGCAGAGGCGTGAGACGGTCTATCTTTGCCCACGTTCTCTACGGCTGCACCCCTGAACTTCTGCGTGGACCTCCCTTCGTCTCGGCGCCACTGGTCTGTTGTCCAGGAGATCATCGGCCTCTACGTAAGAAGTGCTGGGGTGTCCCCGTCGATGAGTGTGAACTCAGGTTCAGGAACGAGGAGGTAAGACAACTGCTGTTTTAGACGGCAGACCCACTAGGGGTATACCGATTGTGCGGTAGGCCCAAAAGGGGTTTAAATCTGTGTATGGAATCTGCCCCCTCTGTCGGAGGGAAGGAGCGAAGGCGCACCGTTTGATCTGGTTAGTCAGGCGGGGTCCTGTGTAAATAGCCCTAGCCGGACACCGGTGTCTTGTCTAGACTAGCGTTCTAGGGTGTATATTACGTTCGCTAGGTCGGAGGGACCGGGAGACTAAGCGGCGCCTGTGTAAATTCGGTTCGCTAGCTCTCAACCTATCTTGGCTAAGTGGGAAGGCGTGTAAATTTGGAACCCACTAGACTTTTGATAGAGTAAATAGACTAGAAGGGCAATTTTGTAAATTTCGCCCTCTAGTTCGCTATATGTGGTGTTTGGGCAGTGTGGCTAACCAAAACGGGTGTATATAGTTTTAGGTAGTCCATTCAAGGTACTGGCCAATAGTTTAGTTGGGATTGTAAATGTGTTAAAGATTGTTAGTAAAGTGTATATCTTGTTAGATAGCGCGAGCTCAGCCGTCTAGCGAGAGTGTTAATAGTGTGTTGCTGTATCATAGTGCACGGTACCATAACCCTGTATATTTACTGACACTGTATATAAGTACTAATCATTGTCGTCTATTGCATGTTTAACACCATAACCACTAATAATTGTATTGTGACCTTAAATTGTGCTTTGACCTATGCTAACCGTACTGTAACCGATACTAGTAAAAGACGATGTTACTGGGGTGTGTTATAGACGGGTAATTCATATATAGAGAATTATAGCGTGGGTGACTGTATAGTTTCGCCAAAGGGCATAATATTGATTATTTAGTGACTGGTGTAACAGCTGTGTGTGTACGGGAATTCCCTGAGTGATTATTGTGTTATTGTGTACGTTTCACTTGGTAACTGTACCACGTGGTGCTGTTGCCAGAGGAAACGGGTGTGACTGTTGAATAAGAACGCGTGCATAGTATTCGTTGTCAACGACGTTCCATTGATAAGTATGGGCGCGTCAGAGTCAACGATTTCGGATCCCTTAGGTTGTATGGTAAAGAATTTTAAAAAGGGATTCAAAATATGTGATTTTGGGGTTAAAATGTCTCCTGTTCGTTTGGTCACTTTGTGCACTAGGGAGTGGCCTACTTTGGTTGCGGCATGGCCGCCGCGTGGCAGTTTGGATCCAACCCTGGTACAGCGTGTACACGTGGCTGTGTCAGGTAGGCCTGAACTTTACGGACAGTTTCCATACATTGATTGTTGGGGGCAGGCCGTAAACGACTCGCCAAAATGGATCCGGATATGCCACGAGGAGCAATGTCGCCTCATGGTGGCCAGGACTTATTTGTCCACTAGGACCGGTGTTAGGCCCATTTTGGACACGCCCCCTGAGTCCGAGATCCCTTTGCCGCCCCCTTACTTTCCTTTAAGAGGAAGTGACGCGAATGCAGGAAGTTCTGCACCCCTTCCCCTATTGCCCCCATCCACTTCCGCTTCCTCCTCCAGTACAGAATCCACCCCCCCTCGTATTAAAACTCCCCTTCCTGAACCAGGACCAACCCCCATTAGATCTGAATATCCTGATTTGGCGCCACTTCAAACTTCCGGTCAAGCTTCTTCTAGCTCGGCTCAGAGTATACTATTCACTAATTTTTCACAAAATCAAGTTCCCACATCCTCATGCCCTATTACCTCTCGACCGGAACCTTTAACTGACGCCCCTCCACGTAGCCCCATACTAACCCGACAACTGACCGGTACCCAACAATTAAAACATTATCAGATGCCTCTTCGTCTGAATCCTGGGTCAGCCTATATCGATGCCGCAGGTCAAATGGCACATGCTGACCCAGTCTTCGTATATGTCCCGTTCACGACTACCGATCTCTTGAATTGGAAGACCCACAATTCCTCGTACACTGAGAAACCACAAGCTATGACCGATCTGTTCACCTCGATAGTTCAGACACATAACCCGACATGGGCTGATTGCCAGCAGTTATTAATGACATTGTTCAATAATGAGGAAAGGACAAGGATTAACCAAGCGGCCATTAAGGCGCTAGAGGAGAGAGCCCGTGCTTTAAATCAAGCCAATCCGGCAGCATGGGCCGCAACACATTACCCTAACACCGATCCTGACTGGAATGTAAATGGCGCAGATATGGCTCAACTTAAAGCCTATAGAGACGCTATAATTGCTGGCATGAAAGCCGGAGGGAAGAAAGCTATTAACATGTCGAAGACAGTTGAGGTGATTCAGAAAAGTGATGAAGCGCCCAGTGTCTTTTATGACCGATTATTGGAGGCATACCGCTTGTATACCCCCTTTAATCCGGAAGACGCTGATAATTCCCGAATGGTAAACTCCGCCTTTGTCAGCCAAGCTTACGGAGATATTAAGCGCAAGCTACAGAAATTAGAAGGGTTTGCAGGTATGTCTATCACCCAACTAATGGAGGTAGCGAACAAAGTATATATGAATAGGGAAACAGAAAGTAAGAAAGAGGAAGAGCGCAAGATGCGTAGAAAGGCAGATATGCTAGCGGTAGCGATCGCAGGCGTAGATAGACGGGGCCCAGATAGAGGCGATGGTAGATGGAATAGGGAGCCTTTGAGTAGGAATCAGTGCGCGTACTGCAAGGAAGAAGGGCATTGGAGGAACGAGTGTCCGCAAAGAGAGCAGTATGAGAGAGACTTACCCAGGGCAGGTTACGGAAACTTTAGAGGCAGAGCGAGAGGTAGAGGAGGCCCCGGAGGGAGTAATGGTAATAGAGGGAGTAATGGGAACAGAGGAAGTGTAAGGGAAGATAGGTACTATCCAGCAGCGCAAAGGTCCCGCGATAGAGAAGGTAGGGACTTTGTGGGATTGGCTGACACGGTCATGGAGGACTATTGATACCGACCGGGCTCCATCCCCCTTGGTCGAGCGGAGCCTATGGTCGATGTATCAATAGGGGGAAAAAGGAGTGCGTTTATGATCGACACTGGTGCTGAACATTCGGTGGTGACTAATCAAGTTGCTCCTCCATCTGGAAGAACTATTACTGTAATAGGAGCAACTGGAAGAAGTACTGAAAAACCGGTTCTTAAAAGTCGACTCTGTACATTGGGAGGCCACGTAGTAAAACATCAATTCCTTTATATGCCTGAGTGTCCAGTCCAATTGCTGGGACGTGATGTGCTATCCAAATTACAAGCGCAGATTACGTTCCTACCAAATGGAACAACATCCTTAAAGTTTAATGGACCCTCAGGTATCATGACATTGTCCGTACCAAAGGAAGAAGAGTGGCGACTTTATACAGTGTTGACTAGCCAAAACCCGAGGAGTGATGAATCCTTATTTAACATACCAGGAGTTTGGGCAGAGAACAACCCACCAGGACTGGCCCGCAATATTCCACCCATTAAAATCGAACTAAAACTTGGGGTTTATCCAGTAAGCCTGAGACAATATCATATTCCGCAGAAGGCTAAGAAGAACATCCAATCTTATCTGGATAAGTTCATACGGCATGGTATCCTAAAATTCTGTACTTCCCCCTGGAACACCCCATTGCTGCCTGTTCAAAAGCCCGGTACAGATGAGTATCGACCTGTGCAGGACTTGAGAGCAGTCAATGATGCGGTTGTTAGTATACATCCAGTCGTACCCAATCCATATAACCTGCTTGCTTTAATTCCGGGCGGGGCTACTTACTTTACAGTCTTAGATCTCAAAGATGCCTTCTTTTGCCTCCGAATTGCCGTAGAGAGCCAATGTATCTTTGCTTTCCAATGGGAAAATGCTGTAACGGGCTCGAAACGCCAAATGACCTGGACAAGATTGCCCCAGGGGTTTAAAAATTCACCTGCCCTATTTGGTTCAGCTCTAAGCCAAGATCTACTAGATTTTGAGTCTATCCCAGGAGAGTGTGTATTATTACAATATGTAGATGACTTGTTGATAGCAGCAGTTACAAAGGAAGTATGTCAGCAAGCAACGCACGATCTACTACACATTCTCTGGAAGGCAGGATACAAGGTGTCAAGAAGGAAGGCTCAGTTGTGTTTGCCAACCGTCAAATATCTGGGATTCCATATCTCTGAAGGTCAAAGAATTATGGGGCCAGAGAGAAAAGAAGCTGTGTGCCAAATACCGATACCCAGGAATAGAAGACAAGTGCGAGAATTCTTGGGGGCAGCAGGCTTCTGTAGGATATGGATTCCCAGCTACGCGATACTGGCAAAACCTCTGCATGCAGCTATCAAAGGTACAGAGCACGACCCCTTCTTATGGACTCAAGAACAGCAAACGGCATTCGAAGATGTGAAGAGGGCTTTGATGAGTGCCCCAGCATTAGGTCTACCTGACCACACACGGCCATTCTACCCGTATGTACATGAGCAAAGAAGAATGGCTGTGGGAGTATTGACACAGTACTTGGGATCATGGCAAAGACCTGTTGCCTACATGTCTAAGCAACTGGATGCAGTGGCCAGCGGACTTCCACCTTGTCTAAGAGCTGTAGCTGCAGCCGCCCTGCTAGTAGCTGAAGCCGATAAACTCACTCTGGGTCAAGAACTTTATGTACGCGTTCCACATGCAGTACAGATGTTGTTGGATTACAAAGGAAATCATTGGTTTAGTAACAGCCGTATGAC